GTCATTCACTGTGAGCTTTGCAGTGACTTTGAGAAGCCCTTCGTAAAGTTTACAGCCTCTCATTCTGTTTAACTGCTCTGTGTACAATAACGTAGCAAAAAAGGTGACTCTAAGCTACTAATGCATTCTTATTCGATGAGACATAAAGTTATAGTCGAAGTGGGATATTGACAGTCAATCTTTTCAATAACCTACCAAGTGATATAAACACATATTTGATTAAATATTCTTGCTTCAAATACGTTTTTATTTTAGAATAGAATAGAATGGAATAGAATATTCCTTCATTGATCCCCCAGGGGGGAATTTTTTTTGCCACAGCAGCATCACAGACAAAGATTGTAATATTAAGAGCTTAAATAAATGTAATAATTAAGAAAAAATTTAGAAAAAGGAAAAGGGGAGAAGAAAATACAATAAACACAACTTAAAAAAGTGGTGGTGTGAGTCCAGTTTTATTACAGTTCGTTGTAAAGTCTTATTGCAGAAGGGAGGAATGACCTGCGGTAGCGCTCCGTCTTGCAAAGTGGGAGTCTCAGTCTGCTGCAGAAGGAGCTGCTTAAAGCCCCCACAGTCTGGTGCAGTGGGTGAGAGGGATTGTCCATGATGGATACAAGCTTTGTTAACATCCTCCTCTCACCCACCTCCTCCAGGGAATCCAAAGAACAGTCCAGGACAGAACTGGCCCTCCTGATCAGTCTATTTAGTCTCTTCCTGTCCCTCTCGGTGCTCCCTGCCCCCCAGCAGACCACTGCATAGAAAAGTGCAGATGCTACCACAGAGTCATAGAAAGTCCTGAGCAGAGTCCTGCACACTCCAAAAGACCTCAGTCTCCTCAGCAGGTGGAAACGACTTTGGCCCTTCTTGTACAAGACGTCTGTGTTGGTTGACCAGTCCAGTTTATTGTTGAGGTGGACACCCAGGAATCTGTAGGACTCCACCATCTCGATGTCCAGACCCTGGATGTTCACTGGAACAGTCTGAGGCGTCCTCCTCCTGTGGAAATCCACGACCATCTCCTTTACTGGCATTTAGCTGGGGTGGTTTGTGCCACACCAGTTGACAAAGTCAGTGATGACAGTCCTGTATTCCCGCTCATCCCCTGATGACACACATCCGACGATGGCTGTGTCATCAGAGAACTTCTGGAGGTGACAGCTCTGGGAGCTGTCACCTGAAGTCCAGAATCTGAAGTCCAAGGTGTACAGGGTGAAGAGGAAGGGGGAGAGCACTGTCCCCTGTGGAGCCCCCGTGCTGCAGACCACCATGTCCGATACACAGTTCTGAAGCCTCACAAACTGTGGTCAGTCGGTGAGGTAGTCCACGGTCCATGCAGCTAGGTGACAGTCCACTCCTGCCCTCTTGAGCTTCCCCCTGAGCAGTGAAGGCTGGATGGTGTTGAAAGCACTGGAGAAGTAAAAAAACATGACCCTCACAGTGCTGCCGGTGTTCTCCAAGTGAGCCATGGACCTCTGCAGCAGGTAGATGACTGTGTCGTCCACCCCTATGTTCGGCTGGTACGCAAACTGCAGAGGATCCAGATGAGAGCTCACCAGGAGGCGGAGGTTCCTCAGCACAATCCTCTCCAGAGTCTTCATCAGGTGAGAAGTGAGGGCCACAGGTCTGAAGTGGTTGGGCTCCCTGGGGTGTGCTGTCTTGGGGACAGGAATCACGCAGGAAGTCTTCCACAGCTGGGACCCTTACCAGACTCAGGCTCAAGCTGAAGATGTGCAGTAGCACCTCACAGAGGTGGTCTATATATATATATATATATATATATAAGGTATTTTCTTGGCATGATGGCTTTTCTACAATGCTTATGACAATAAAAATAAAACATATGTTATGCAATATTACATTAAAATATAACATTAAAAGACTAACCTTAAATTGTGCCTCATGGTGGGGCGTCTCACTTTCCCCCGCAACGTTTGTCTCACTGTAACCCATCACTACCATTTTAGAAAAAAACAACCTCTCTTAGCAATTGAGACTAATCTTCAGCTAGCATCATCAAATGGTTTTATATGTTGGTAGTTCATCAACATGTATGACATAAGTTTTACTACTTAAATTAATTTGCTTTGGCACAACAGTGGATTAAGTTGACAGTGAGAATATTTACTATTACATGCAAAAAATACATTTTTGTGAAAAAAACATGCTAACCACAGCAAGATGATGTCCTCTCCCTCATGGCTGATGGGAAATGGGAGGGGCTTGAAAACATAATGGTCACATAAACACAAATGTGTTCCGTTTCCTAGATACAAGGGGTGTCTCACATTACCCGATGTCTCACATTACCCCATTCTCCCCAATGTTGAAACTTTTTGATTTCTTGTATTTCAAAAACACTCCAGAAGTGTTTTCTGTTTTGGTTTGGACGGAGAGATGGCAGAGGGAAGTGACGGAGTAGCGGAGTAGGAAGTGAGATGGAGGAGGGAGTTTGGAGTACTGCAGGTGAACAGCGTTTGAACAGGAAAAAACGGAATAAAGTGGCAAAGGAGGCAGCAAGGAGGGGGGATTATGATTCATCAATTTTGAACGGTAAAGGGGAGCAAAGTGCAAGGCCAAAGCAAATTGAGGAATACAAAGTAATTATTAGAACGACTCAGGAAGGACAATCGTTTGGTGAGTGGAGCCCAGTTAAGATGACAAAAGCCATACATAAAGTTCTTGGGGAAGTAAAAAGTGTGAAAGTTCTGCGAAGTGGGGCATTGCTGGTCCTGTGTAGGGATGGGGCACTGCAAGGAAAAGCAATACGAATGAGTAGAATGGAAGGAAAGTCTGTAGTGTGCTCGATGCCAGAAGTGAGGAGAGTGGCTGTGGGGGTTATTTCAAATATTCCCACGGCTATTACCTGTGACGAGATCAGAGATAATATAGAGGGGGCAAGAGTGCTGGAAGTGCAGAGACTAAAAACAAGTAGAAATGGAGAGAAGATGGACAGTCTATCTGTCAAAATCAGGTTTGAGGAACCAAAGCTGCCAGATAATGTATACGTCGGATACATGTGTTATGAAGTTAGGCCATTTGTCCCCCCCACCGCTTAGGTGCTTCAAGTGCCAGAAGTACGGACATGTTGCAGCAGTCTGCAGGGGTAAACAGAAATGTGGGAGATGTGCAGGGGATCATGAATATGGTAAATACCAAGAAGGGGCTAAGCTAAAATGCTGCAACTGTGGGGGTCGAGCACACCTCGGGGTATCGAGGTTGTGAGGCAGGCAAGAAGGCGGCAGAAATTCAAAAAGTGAAAACATCGATGGGAATATCATGCAGAAGCAGTGAAGAAAGTGGGGGCGAGCCATATAGATCCTGCAAAAATGGTGAGGGCTGACGCCAGCAACAGAGTTGAAGCTAGTGTGTCTAAAGCAAAGGAAAATACACTTACAGTGAGTAAGACTGACTTTGTATTATTCATGGTAGAAGTGATAAATTGCTCAGCGCAAACAAACAGCAAAACGGAGAAGATCAAGATCATTATCAAGGCTGCAGACATCAAGGGGCTTAGTTGTGAAAAGGTTCAGGAAACATTAGCTGGAGAAATGTTTGATTAGCAGACATGGGGTGGAAACTCCTCATGGTCCTAGCTATCCTACAGTGGAATGCTAGAAGTCTTATTGCTAAAGGTCAAGAATTTAAGAAATTTATCGAAGAAAGGTGTGAAAAGCCGCAAGTAATATGTATTCAAGAGACATGGCTAAAGCCACAGTGGAATTTCAGGTTAAATGGGTACATGGCAGTAAGAAATGATAGAGAAGGTAGAAGCGGGGGAGGAGTGGCCTCATTCATTAAAAAAGGAGTGAATTATAGGTTGGAAAAAGCAAGTGATGAACATGAGTCAATAGTAATATGGATATGGACAGAAAACAATAATGTGACAGTAATAAATTAGTATAATCCAGGGAATAGACTGTCCAGGGAGGTACTTAATGAAGCAGGTGGACAGGTGGGGGGGAGGGTAGTTTGGTGCGGAGATTTTAATACACAAAATACTTTATGGGGGGAGCATGACTACAGATTTCAATGGGAAGATAATAAAAGAATTTATAGATGATAGCGAGATGGTGTGTGATAATGACGGCAGGGGCACTCGATACAACACCTTGAGAAATACTGAAAGTGTAATAGATCTCACTCTAATGTCGGCTGGGATGGCGGGAATTAGTACATGGGAAGTACTACAATATACAACTATGGGGAGTGGTCACTATCCAATAGTCTGCAGAATTAGAGTTAGCTCAATACAGAATAGTGAGGAAAGACAGCTAAAGTGGAAGTTAGAAAGTGCTAATTGGGAAAGATTCCGGGAGATCAGTGAAAGTACATTTAGGGAAATAGATGAGGAAAGTATAACGAGTGAGGTGGAGTTTAATGAGAGAGTGGTGCGAGCAATAAGGCTAGCAGCAGAAAGATCAATTCCGCAAGTGAAGGGAAAGAGAACAAGGAAGAGCGTGCCACGGTGGAATGAGGACTGTAGCAGAGCAATCAAGGAAAGAAATAGGCAGTACAGGCACAGGCAGTAGTGCGCAGAGTTGAGCGCCAAGCTATGAGGACATACTGGAGACAGTATTGTAATAAGATAGGGCGAGAAACAAAATTGACAGATATATGGGGACTGATCAGGAAAATGAGTGGAATATAAGAAATTATGAAATCCCAGGGCTACGGGTCGATAACCAAGTGGTAGTGGGGAATGACACAGCAGAGGTTCTTGCAGAGGCATTTGTCAAGGTGCATAGTTCTGCAAACCTAACTCTGAATGCTAAAAGTAACAGGGAAAAGATGATAGTGTGGCAGGTTGCTGCTGCACCTCCACTCAAGTGGCATCAGCTGCATCCAATCTTCAGCGGTGCCTGGCCTGATTGCAGGGCGGGAGGTTTATAAGTTCTGTCCTCTCATTCAACCCAGTGCTACCTGACGTTCACTCGACGGGCTGTGTGATTGTCCGCTGGTCATTGGGTTCGAGCATTGTGGGACACAAAAGGTAAGCATGCGGTTTTATGCCTGGATTTTTGTAACAGTGTATTTTGGTGTGACAGCAGCCGTAATGTTTCATTCGCAGCGTGGTCTGCGTTTTTACTATTTACTGCATTTATTGTTTATTGGTACTCAATCAATTATCCTTCATATTGTGCTCTTTTAAAAACAGAATTTTAATCAATAAAATTGTGTAATTCTTTTTGGAAGTCTGTCTCTCGTCCTCTGCTTGGTGTAACGAATCTGTGTGACCTTTAGTGAGAGGGTCTGTTGTATTTCCTGGGGTGAAACTCCCCAGGTGGCGTTGTTCGGCAACAAAATACTTAATCCCCCCCCTCCATTACGCCGCCACAATAGGAAAAAACAAGGGTATTAGGGGTAAAAAAAACAATGACTAGAGAGGGAATAAATGTGCCATTTAGTATGTTTGAGATAAAGAGCGCAATAGCAAAAGCAAAGCAGACGACACCAGGGAAGGATGGAATCTGCAGGGCTCTCAAGTCTCACGCATTCAGCGTGTGACACACGCATTCCCACCCGTTCACACGCTCACACGCCACACATTGTATTTCTCACGCATTTAAATGAACACGGTGATGTCCACCAAGTTGCACCTCTTTAACTATGGAACAGGTAGGAATCAACTGAGTTCCTCCGAGAGTTCAGAAGCTGCATGCCACGCGCAAGCCAATCAAATAAAGTATATTTACTGAACAACCAATCAAAAAGCAGCATTGCTGTATCCGGGTGGATTTTGATATCTTGCGGTTTGACTACAGAAGAAGAAAGACACTCGCCGTAATAGAGCAGGTTTTTATAAGGACGAGATAGACCCGATGATTACAGTAAGTCGGTAACCTACACATGCAGAGACCTCAACACCTCATGGCAGATAAACTCATATGATAAACTAAAGCCCTATGCTATTGCTATTAACAGCTGTATTGACGGATTTAGCCTCTGTACAGCCATTTCCAGCCATTTTCCCCTCCACAAAAGCAGCATTTCTCATATATCTCAAATATAAGTTCTGATACTCATGACAGTGTAATGCTCATGTACCAAAGGATTAAGTATCTCCATGTTTGTGAAACCTATACTAAAGTACAATTCATCTAAATGCTCCACAGTGCTGATTTTAACAACCCTCCTTCACAACAGGTAACTTTACGACTTAATACTTATATATTAATGACTTTATTCTCCCAAATAATAACTTTATTCTCTAAGATTTAAAAACGTTTTTTTTTTTTTTTTTTTTTTGTAATTGTGCCCCTTATACTCCGTTGTATTTAAGAAATAATTATATTAATAATAATTATCTTCAATCCCCCCCAAGGAAATCTTACTCTAAGCTTAGTTCAAAACTTGAGAGCCCTGAATTTGTTATGGAATGTTAGCACAGATGAGTGACAGAGCCCTCAAAATTGTATTAAACTTGTATAATAAAGTGTGGAAGTCAGGTAAAATCCCAGCCAAGAGGAAGGAGTCAGTTATAGTTTCTATACCAAAGCCAGGGAAACATCAGTCAGACCCAGCTAGTTATAGGCCCATTGCACTAACGTCTCAGTTGGGGAAAATAATGGAGCGAATGGTTATGGAACGGTTAAATTACTATTTAGAGAGCAAAAACCTCTTATCGCCGTATCAAAGTGGTTTTCGCAAAGGAAGAGGGACTATGGATAATGTATGAGTGTTAGAATCGGAGATTAGGAAAGCTCAAGCTAATAAGGAAATAGTTCTAGCAGTCTTTTTTGACGTGGAGAAGGCATATGATATGCTGTGGAAGGAAGGTCTCCTTTATTAAAAGGAAAAATACTATTAAAAGTATTGAGTTTTTGGTTTGATCGGAAAATTAAGGTGCGGATGGGCACTTACTACTCCAGACAGGACAGTGTAGAGAATGGGACGCCCCAAGGAAGTGTGTGCAGTCCAACTTTGTTAAACATTATGATAAATGATATCTTTGAGCAACTCCAACCAAGTGTAAGCAAGTCATTATTTGCGGATGATGGGGCCTTGCGGACTAGGGGGCGCAATTTACAATATTTACAGCAGAAACTGCAGTGTGCGATTGGGAGAGTGGAACGGTGGGCGGATAACTGGGGATTTAAATTTTCAGTGAGCAAGACACACACACACAATATGCTTTGCAAGAAGACGTGGAATTTGCTAAAAGTGGACAATAGGGCAAGGCTGGGGCGACTGATGGATTCTGTGCGGGATACACGGTTAATAGAAAGGATTTAGGAGTTTCCGTCACTAAAGGGTTATAGTCTGTAACTACTTAATCTACTGTTCCACCGTAGACTCAGCAGGTGGCGGTAATGCTCCAGACACTGAGGAGTAAACTGCCATTAAACCAAACAGAAGAAGATGTTTTCTGTTTCCGGATTCGTCGTCCTTGTCAACTGTCATGGCGGCGGCCTAAATCGTGCACGAACTGTTGATGTTGGAGCTGTGTTGTCCTGTTAAATAATACCGTTAAGAGGATTAGACACACGATGGACGACGGACGGAAGATATGGAATAGATACTTAAAGATTTACATTGTCTCAGGCTGGGCAATGATGTTCGGTACTTGGGTGATCTTTAAAACCATTTTAAAGCCAGACCATCCAGGTGAGGGAGAGAAACTGTCATCATGAACCAACCTGAAACTTTATAACTGTTATGTTCAAGGTTTAAAACCAACAAAAGAACTGTAAGGTAAAGTTTAAATCAGCTCTGTCCCCGAAACAAATGCTCAGAGTCTCGTTGGTCTGATTCAGAAGTTGGTGTCTCAATCGCATCATCAGCTTCAGCTGTAACAGTACTAAACAAACAAAATCCTGATTCTGAACCACAATACCAAGACTTTTCAGGTATATACCAAATCATTTGAAGGTTTATACACTTATGTATAACACGAATTCAGATTCACCTCACTTAAAAAAAAAAAAAAAGTTAATTTTATTTTATTTTTAGAAAGCGGGCACCGCTTTTTGCTGCGCAGACTTCATTGAACAGGTTCCTGATCCAAAACCCCCAAATTCAGTTTCAAATTTAAAAAAAAAAAATCAATATATAAATTAGCAACTTTGCTGACTCTGGCACATTTACATTTGTATTGTTATATTTATATTCATCAACGTGCATTGTCCCTGTGCATGTATGCATAGTTTTTGTTGAGAGGCCGGACTCTAAATGACAGGATATCAGGCAATTTTTATATAAAACAAATTAAGTAAAACTTTTTAAAATGTTGCTTGTTTTAACTTGTTTTAGATAGCTTTATACTGTGGATTATACTGTATCATTTACAGTCTGATCACTTTCGGTATGAAGAGACTCCCATTTAGATTGGGACACAATTTGCTTCGTTGGATATCAATGATCTCCAAGTTATTTATTAATTTATTTCTTTTTTTCTTTTCCCCTCCACAGTTCCGAAAATAGAAGAAGACCGAAGACCATATCGTGAAGATAAAGACATGGTATATTTTACGACTTGGGGTAAAAACGATAGCTGGAAAAGAACTGTTTCCTACAAGAAAGAAAATCTCGTAAAACACTACATAAACAAATACTATACGCTTGACTGGGCCCCTTTTCCTGAGCCTCCGGACCGCAAGAAATAGCTGCACCGACACTGACAGTGAATGGACAGTATGGACTTTTGAAGATGAGAACCATGATACATGATGAGTTTATGACATTGTAGGCACTTTGATGATTTGCAAAGAAAATGTCAGGCTGGTCTCTCCTGTCCAGTTTTGACAGAGCTGCCTTTTGTTTTGTTGATGTAAATGGGTGAGCAGAAATGTTTAAAAATGCCAGCAGTCAAAGTAAAGATCCTGTCAGCTTCATGCATGCTGTTGTCCACCTAACAAAGTTGCCAAAGTATGGTTTTAAATAAACTCTTTTCTGATGTGGAGGATGTTTCATTTTCTAATGATTCTTCTGGGCTCTTCTACCAGTTTATAAACTTAGAGGTGCAGTGTGCAGGATTTTACTTAGCAAATTAGCAAATCAGGCATGAAAGACTATGTAAAGTGACACTCATAAGTAGTAAATAGGAGTAACATTCACAAGTAGCTTTAAATGATTTATAATTCCTGGGATATGAAAATGGCTTTTTGTTTGTTTTATTTTTGATCGATTAAAATATCAACTTTGCTGACTCTGGCAGATTTATATTTGCATTTTTATACTTATGTTCACCAACCTACATTGTCCCTTTCTAAATAAATAAATATATATATATATATTTTAGAATAAATCTTTTTTTATTTACACTGTTATACTCTCCATCAAAAGACCACTTGTCTTCATACAAATGAGACAAGTTCTCAACTTCTTGAGTACCACAGAGCAGAGCAGTGGATTAAACATTAAGTTGTACAGCGTATGTCTATGGGAGTGTCGCCACTCTGTTTTAATCCACTGCTCTGCCACAGAGTAACCTCCTGTAGAACATCAAAACAATCATTTGATAAAATTATAATATTATCAGTGAGACTGATCAGGCAACATTATAACATCACTTCAACTATTTATAGAAATACGAGTCGCACTTTGAAGTTTGTTTCAAAGTGTCATGAATAAAAATACTTTACAACTGCAACAATAACAGTTACATCTGATCAGGCAACAATAGTAACTTCATCTGCACATTTATTGGTCAAGAATATATATAGAGCACTTTCAAGTTAATTTCATATGTTAATTTAAAGAAAATCACAGTAATGATAATAGAAATTATTATAGTTCTACATCAAAATCTGCAATAACCAACAATAATCACAAGAACAATAACAAAAAATGACATAACTAATGATAATAATTAATGATAATGATAATTTAATGATAATTTTGTCATTTTATTATTTCATTGTATGTATTTAAAAAAATCGACACGTGATCTGAATTTTTTTTAAATCAGTGAATGCAATGCACATCCGTCCTTGGCTTCAAACCACAAAGGTGTCTGAAATCCTGGGCCAAAGTTTCCTTGAGAAGAATTTGAGACGGTCATAGTAATGACAAGCAGTTGTTGAAAAAATTTCCTCAAATTTTGCACTTCTTTTGATTTTTGCGGGAATATATTTTTCATAGTGGACAGATCAGATAGTATTTGCTTTATCTGAAGTCACTTGTAAAATAATAATAATAATAATAATAGTAATAATAAAAATCACAATGACAATAAAATAAATATAATAATAATAGTAATGATATTAATAATAATAATGAAAATGATGATGATAACAACAATAATTATGATAATAAAATAATAATGATTACAATAATAATGATGATAATATTCACAATAATAATAAAGATAATATAATAATAATAATAACAATAATGTTATTAATAAAAATAATGACAATGGTGATGATATCAACAACAACAACAATTATAATAATAATAATAATAATAATAATAATAATAATAACAACAACAATAACAATAATAATAATAGTTATTATTATTATTATTATATTTATTATTATAATAATAATTATTATCAATATTATTATTATTATTAGTAGTAGTAGTAGTAGCATTAGTATTATTAGTGTTTCTTAGTATTTTTAGTATTATTATCGTTTGTGAATTGTTTTCGTCCCATTACAAGTTTCCACTCCAGTCCAGTATTTGGCGGTAATGTACATGAAAGGTGTCTTGGAAAACATCAAATGACAATACAACAGAAGAACAAGGTATGTCTCTTATTTCAGCCGCCAGAGGGCGACAAAAGCCCGCACACACACGCCACGAGCCCTCGGAAGTTGAGAGAGAGCGTGCTCCCCAACACAACCAAAACAATGAAAGCTATCATTCAGAGGGTCACCAAGGCGACCGTGACAGGTGAGCAGCTGTGTGGACTCAGCAAGGTTCCTTTTCTTTGACACCTTTATAAAGTCGTTTCGTTAAGGGTAAACATCTGTTAGTGTCTGTCCACTCACTGATCATGCATTTGAGCTAGCATAGCAAGGTTAGCTTCAGCAGTCTTTGAATGGAGCCCAAACTGAAGTGTGATCACTGTTTATTCCGGCTCAGAGGAAAACACGATGGATTTATCTCACAGCGCCGATCAGGAGAGTGTATACTGTTGTTACTGAGTTTCTAACTCTTTTTTGTTCCCTGTCTGCAGTGGGAGAAGAACAAGTGAGCGCAATAGGACGAGGACTGTGCGTGCTGCTGGGGATTTCAGTGGAGGACACCCAGAGGGATGCTGACTACATGTGAGTGTTTGGGAGGGACCCTTTCTAGATTTGATCATCATCCCTTCAACATAGTGCCAGAAAAATCTGATCGATCACACTGACTTATTTGTATTAATAAATTGAGCCATAATCGACAACTTTAGAAAGTGGAATTTTGTTATCACTTAGAAGATGTAGGCATAGACATGCTAAAAATAGTGTTCCGATTTCTTAATTTGTCCACCAGAGCGCATTGAGAAGTTTATTTATAACTTTTCAAAAGTCAGTCTAATGTTATTCAAGTATTTTTAGACTTGGATCTATTTTAAGGCCTGTGTGACAAACTTTTGTGGCTTCAGTGCAGCTTGTGGGGCAAATGTACGTGATCAAAGTCCTGCAACTGTCTGCCAGCTGCACAACTGATCTGAGGAGGTTTTTAATCCAAGCATAAAAAATAAAACTTCACAAAAACTATCCCCATAGAGATGGAACCTTCATCTGAAGAGGTGAGGTACCTCTTGACTTAATACAAGAGCCAGCATCCCTGATAGTTAAGCCAAGTTAAGAACAATAAAAGAATAATTGCGCTAGAGATCTGATTCAGCAGACATGGATTTTATTGCCTTTTTGTGAGTTTTGGCCTCGATAAAATCCAGAGGCAGCAATCACCACAATCTAATCTTGTTACTCCCCACTGTGATTCAGGACTCCAAATTTCAAACTTGTATGACCTAAAATGTCCAAGTAACAATTTATCTTCTCGATTTTCTTTTTCAGACCAAAAGCATTTTTTAAAAAGAGGGTTTTTTGACCCCCAAGGCTAAACTACTCCAAGTTGAAAGTGGTTATTATCATCGTGAGATGGCCTAAGGCAGTGGTTCTCAAGTCCAGTCCTCGAGGCCCACTGTCCTGCATGTTTTGGACGTTTCCCTGCTCCAACACAGCTGATTCAAATGATTAGCTCGTTATTAAGCCATTACAGAGCTTGATAACGAGCTGATCATTTGAATCAGGTGTGTTGGAGCAGGGAAACATGCAGGAGAGTGGGCCTCGAGGACTGGACTTGAGAACCACTGCCTTAAAAAAGGGCTATTTCTGTAAGATTCCTTTGTATAATGTTGTCAGACACTTAAGATAACATTTAGATCCCGTTTGAGGAAAGCAAAATACACATGATTATGAGCAGAAACATCAGGTGCATTAGCATGGCTTTCATTTTCAACCTGCTTTCAGGCTGTGAACAATATACTTCAACACTAGGAGGAAAACTTTCTGCACATTTCAGTAATTTCAGCTGCAAACACTGGGGCCCATTCAGTGTTTGAACTGAGAGATTACAAAATGTCTGAGGATGCTTATTGATGTTCACCACACAGAAGATTAAATGGGATCTAGAGAGTGTCTGAAACAAAAAGGAAATGTGGATTCAAGTATCATAATGGAAAAAAGAACACACAAACTATCAGAAAAGCTATTAAATATACATGAATTGCAGTGAGAGGCCAAAAACAATCACAGTAAAGTTGCGTCACCCACAATGAAATTATCGCTCTCTGCAACAAAACAGACAAATAAAGATGTTGTTGTGGTGAATAAAACATCTCCTCTTGGCCAAGCTCTAAGTTCTTTTTCATGTCCTGCCATGAAAAGCAGCCAGTGCCTGCCTGCAAACTTGTGTTATGCTTTTTAAATGTTCAACTTTATTGGCGTAAACATGCAGAAGTCTGGAGTGGTCCCTCGAAACATAAGACAGTAATTTTTTTCAGCCAATGTAGACCAGAGCGATCTTTGTAGTTGCTATTTTCCTCATGTGTTTTCAGAGTACGAAAGATCCTGAACCTGCGGCTGTTTGAAGACGAGAACGGGCGAGCGTGGAGTAAAAGTGTCATGGACAGAGACTTTGAGGTGCTGTGTGTGAGCCAGTTCACACTGCAGTGCATACTGAAAGGCAACAAGCCAGACTTCCACTTAGCCATGCCTGCAGAGCTGGCCCAGCCCTTTTACAACAGCATCCTGGAGAACATGAGGAGCTCCTACAAGCCAGAGCTCATTAAAGGTGGGTCAAATGATGAGTGTTCATTCATAGGATCTTGAGTGGTAGTGGAAAAAAAGTTGTCCTTGTCTCGAAAACAAAGTAGGAATTGTGTCATGAGTGATCTCCCAGTCTTGACGAAGGGGAGCTTTACATCTACATAGAAACTGCACACTACTGGATGCAATAGAGCAGGAACACTGCTCACACCATTTTATCCTCTAGGAGCCTCTCCTAAAGGAGACCTCATCTGAAAGACCAGTATGACTTTTATAAACAGTTCTCATGTAAAAGGGTGTTTTTGCACGGAGTCCTGTTCATCAGAGTCAGCACGGGCTGCAAACTGAGCTGCCACTAGCATTTTTTTTTTTGTTTGGAGAGCAGGCTTCCTTTGTAATTATCAATGTCAAGGTTAGAAGCTGCTAAATCATCCACATGGGTATGTCTCTGCTGTAAAACTTTCAGACCTACTAAATAAAGCATTAACAGGGTGGCTTTTTGAAAGGACTTTAAGGGACTGCTAACCAAGCTGCTACTATCTTTAACCCCATGGCTAAATAACATTTTGCATCCTAGTAAATTACTCGTTCAACAGTTCATCTGTATGACCTCAGACCTCAAACTATCTGCTACAGTGGGAAACATAAGACTCATCCCTTATTCGGCTCTTGTATATTTACATAAAGATTGATAAAATAACGCATTAATGTTGGTCAATCATAGAAAAAGTCAGATGTTTAAGAAATGAAAGCAGATATGATTGTACACAACCCTCCACAGCTGATGTGCAAACTAGGGTCCGACCGATTTATCGGCGAGTCGATTAAATCGAGCAATTTTAGCCCGTTTGTTCTAATCGGTAATCGGCCAAAACTTGCCGATTTTCGTCAATATTTTCAGGAATAAAATGCGAAGATTAAGATTCGGTTTCACTTCGAAAATGTTCCGCCATTTGAAAAGTGTCCCGACTTATCTTGTAGACGGCGCAGCGACCTCATGACAATCTTATCCACTAATTTCGTCACAGCACAGCAGAGTGACGGATCTGAAGCAGGCAGCTCAGGGACGCACGGAGGAGAGTGGTCCGCCTCAACAGTAAATAAACTAGTTTTTGAAGTACACAATAAGCCAACAAGTTTCATTTCAACCCACTTCACGATGTTCCCCGCTGTGCTTGTCTCGGTCACGCCGAGTTAACAGTGAAGCACCATGTAATATGGAAGCTAAAGTTAGAGTTAGCCACCTGCTGTTAGCCTTGCTCCACAGTTAGCCGTGCTAGTAACAGTAGCATAAAAAGCAGTACACATTACATGATCGAGCTACTTCTCTTACTGAGGCAGCTGCATGTCTCCAGATGAGACCAGATGTCTCCGAGTTTGATCAGTCTGTCTTCCTGTCGACATGAAGAGCAGTAGCCTACAGTATATCCACGATACCTGTGTGTATATATAAATATAAATATATATATATATGTATATATATATATATATATATATATATATATATATATATAAAAAATAATAACTTCATAAAAAAATTTAAAAATGGTCCGATTAATCGGTAATTGACCCCCCCCCAAATAATCGCTATCTGCATCGGCCCCCAAAAAATCTGTATCGGTCGGGCCCTAGTGCAAACGCAGTGCAAGTTACCTCCTATAAATGTAACTGACTTTGAGAGTACATTATATCGAAGATAATACGCTCTGTATCCCTACATGACTGTTTTGTGTACACACTCACTCTTTACTGTGACACAGACACACACAAGTTTAGACTCCCACTCCGAACATCTAAACTCTAAAAGCATCCATCGAGGTGAGACCTTTTTCCATTTGATCAGAAATGACTCTTCTTCCAGCTTTCTCCGCTTGTGAAAAGTTCTGTCTTTTAGTCGTTACTTTTGATACTTTTGGTACTTTTTCAACTACGGTGCTCAAAAAAATAACAACTTTATATCTAAGACTCTGCTAGATTGGCCAACTCTGCACACACTTAAGGGAGCAGACAGAAACGGGGGTAGGGTGAGGTGCAGGTCAAAGTAGATTGAGACTTAGGAAGGTAGAAGGTAGAGCACGTTTCAACTGTGCAAGTTGGTATAAAAATCTGGAAATCAGGTAAAGCAGATGCATTCTTACATTACTGATGTATGCCCCATGAATTGTAATTAATTTATCCTAAAGCTAGCTTGTCATTAGCTACTTTAACACTGTTAAACATGGTAACGTCAGACCGAGGTCATATACTAAAAAGCTATTGTTTATATCTGATATTATGATAGATTTAGTAGAATTATTATAGAAAGAATGAGAATTTAAAGGGTCAGTGTGGACATTATGGAGGCCTAAACAAAAGTGCTGGTGGAGTAAAGTCTCAGGAGGTTGGTTAACAGGGTTAAAAGATGCTGTTTGGTTCACAGCTCTGTGTTTCTGAGCTCATTAAAAACTTCAGTATGGAGGGTCGCTGTTAAAGCCACTCACTTATACGTTTGGATCAGCTCCCGGTCCCCTTGCTACTTAGCTGCCTGTATCATCTCAGTGTAAGGTTGTGGCTCTTCAGGGGGAGGTAGTTGGGGATTATTGGCTCTGTGATGCCACGGTGGTGACGGTGGCAGTGAATCAGGTCAGCCCACCGGGGAGCAGGTGTGGAGAACACCTTGTCCCAGCAAGGGAGGCATAAGGCTCCCTAATTAGTCCCCCCCTCCAGAGAGGAAATATGATGACGCAGCTATTTTTCAGCACGGCCCAGGGCTTCATTGTGCAGATGGTGTCATTAATCTAGTGGACCCAAAGGAAGAAAGAAGAGCATTTAAGTTAACTTCCTGTCCTCCTACAGTCCCTTTATCTTTTGTCCCCAATGCCTCAAGGCTCCATGTTATCCTACATTCATACAAAACATCAACCATCAGTGCCAAACATAACCCCTTTGTTTTGTCTCCATGTTTTCTCTCCATTAAAAAGTGCTCTTCTTTGTTAGAAAAGGCAAACATGGATGCATATGTCAAGTTTAAGCTTTCACTGTGTTTTTGTTTCATCTTCTGTTACTAGATGGGAAGTTTGGGGACTACATGCAGGTCCACATTCAAAACGATGGGCCTGTCACCATTGAGCTGTCATCGCCTACTGGTCCCAATGACCCCAAACAGGTGAGTCAGTGAGCTTGAAAGCATTTTTACATAAAAAGTCTACATTATTCATCCACTTTGGTGACTTTTACTGCAGTTTTCAGCTTTATTAGTAACAGCAGTGAACATATACAAGAAACTTTCCTCCAACACATGCAGCTCAGAAAAAAAAACAACTGAACGAGGAAGAGTGCAAAGGCTAATAAAATCAAAGTTAAACTATGAGCAGTGAGAGAGGAACAGGTGGAAAAATAGCTCATGTGGCACAAACAGGGGGGGCACAGGTTTAGGTTTGACTCTGACGATATCCCAAATATATAGAGGAAGTCTCCATATCAATAAAAGTAGGTAATGAACACTCAGAGTGCTGGACTTGATACATGAAAAAGCTGTCAAACTAATTTGATGTTTTTGGGGAAATGGCTATTCTGCTGTCTTGGGCAAGAAAAACAAAGTAACAGTAGTATTAATGATAAAAAAGACTTAAATGAGGGTTTTGCTTACTGTACATTATCTAACAAAGAGTCACTATAATGAATGTTTAAACTTACAATGTAAACCTGCTTCAGTTCTCATTTTACCCCATCACAGTCATCAAGGTCTCTGCTTTTATTTACCTGACTGGTATTCATGTGAGGTGTTGTCCAACTTTTCAGTCAGTTCACTTCTATTCTTTAACCACTAGGTGGCAGTGTTTACCCTGCTGTCACTCTTCTTGTTCATGCAACAAGACTTTTTAAATTCAGGTGAGCTAAATGAATTGTACATAGTCATTATGTTTTCAGTTGTGGTTCCTCTACAACATGTACTTTGTTGAATTAATACATACAGGGTAATGCTTCTTGAAAAAAAATGATCACAGCAATGATCAAATGTTTATGTAAGGATGCATCCAGTATGGATCTTAAAGGGATATTCCGATGTAAAATTAATTTAGACTCAAACACAACGTAAAACCAAGTTAGACACCCCATTGAGAGATGAATGTTGCCGACCGCTTGCTTCTCTAGTTATACCAACTTTAGCGAGACTGCACAATCGCAATACACAGCGGTCTACGTCACCACGCGCTAACCTCAACCAAAACACCACTCTGTATCCAAAAATAATGCTCAGAACAGCACCTAACTTCATCAACAGTCCATATAGGGTCCCCGCCGTAGTACTAGCCACCAAACATCTCTTTAAGCTTTGCCTGATTTCTTTAGCAAAGAGACTAAACACAACTCACCTCCTCTCTTCCACCAGTTTGTAGTAAGACCTCAGGCGAATCCAATACGGACTGCTGAGGGGTGACACAGCTCAAAGAAGAACATTTATGATCATTTCTTTTATCATTTCCTTGAAGTAATAGTCATCATAATGATCATTTTGCACTGCAGACGCGGTAGTTCTTCTGCCTTAGTGTCCGGGTCTGATTGCATTTCCATGAAGAAATGATCATAAATGTTCTTTCTTGAGCTGCGTCACCCCGCTGTACCCCGCTCTTTGCTAAAGAAATTAGGCTAAGTTAAAAATTTGTTTGGTGGCTAGTGCTGTGGCTGGGACCGTATATGTACTGTTGATGAAGTTAGGTGCTGTTCTGAGCATTATTTGTGGCTATAGTGTGGTGTTTTGGCTGAGGTTTATGTGTGGTTCCATAGACTGCTGTTTACTGCTATTGTGCAGTCATTACTGAAGTTGGTATAACTAGAGAAGCAAGCGGTTGGCAACATTCATGTCTCAAGGGGGTGTCTAACTCAGTGTTCTGGTGTGTTTGACCCTAAATTAATTTTACGCCTGAATATCTCTTTAAAGCTAGACCACTTATTTTGTATTCAATATCTGGATCAAAAGAGTGTGGAGTTGTTGTTGAGTCCCCAAAGCTGGATCTCAGTCTGGACCAGTCTTGAGGTCTCAATCAGTATGTTAATATGCACAGTTAAGTGGAGCTGTGGTTACAGCTCATTAAGTGATTTAACTGGACTGGTGTCCTTGTCCGTGTCTCTTATCTCTTAACAAAAGTATGTCTGCCTCTAAATCTATAAGCCTTCTTTTAGCTTGTGACTATTGGGTTGATCAACTATATCACACACCAAAAAGTCCACAAACACATTAGAAAGAAGCTAACAGGTTGTATGTAACACAATGAAAGCACTGTTAGCTTTAAGGCTCAGTACCTTTGGTAATGTACCAGACAACGCCCTCCCCTTCTTCTGTCAAACTGCTGTTCAACTTGCCTGTCAAAGCCGAACATGTGAACTGTGGAGTGCAGAAAGCTCAGGCCAGTTTGAGTCGGATCGAGGCGCATAGATGGAAGAGGAAATCAATCCCCAAACGCATTTCTAGGTAGATTAGTCTGACAGTGAGAAATTTGATTCAGTGTTATTTCAGTCGGACTTGTGCGTTTATGTGTGCAAACAAGGGATGTGGCAAAGCTCCTTATTTTGCAGCTGTTTAAACAGAAATTGAAATCAGGATCAGCTGACTAGTCTAAAGATAGAGCAGCAGTGCCTGAGTCCTTCTGTCAGGTCAGTGTTCATATATACCTGCACTTGTTCAGTATTGCTAAGTTTAATTCCAGCTTAACAGACACAGCCATTATCTTTTTTTTTCAAGATCAAGATACAACTGAACTGTCATCTGTCATCTGTGCTTGGTTACATCTAGGTAGTTGGGTGGAGCTACAGCCCTAGCTTGTGAGAGGTGCAATGAATTAGTGCTAACATATTGATTCTACAATAGCGGTTATGTTCAATGGTCCAGTGGTGACAACCCATCTACATCCTAGCCCTGAGAGTCATTGAAGATATAAACCCCAAACTAAGTTCTAAGACAGTGGTTCTCAAGTCCAGTCCTCGAGGCCCACTGTCCTGCATGTTTTGGATGTTTCCCTGCTCCAACACACCTGATTCAAATGATCAGCTCGTTATCAAGCTCTGTAATGGCTTAATAACAAGCTAATCATTTGAATCAGGTGTGTTGGAGCAGGGAAACATCCATAACATGCAGGACAGTGGGCCTCGAGGACTGGACTTGAGAACCACTGTTCTAATAAAATAAAATAAATACTTTTTGTAGATGTTTGGATAAAAATAACTTTAAAACACCGACAGTAAGAATCTTGTCCTTGCCAAAGTTGATGTCTGCCATTGCCATGGCTGATTCACTAGGCTGTCACTCAGTCGTCCTCACAGTGAAGCTAAGAGCCCTTTATGGCTGAGTCCACTGTACATCTGTATGCCAGATTAACAGGGTGTTACGTGGGCTGCAGATGATTGGTACCACAGGCCTTAGGGACCCCACCCCTCTGCAACACCTGTCCCTGCAGGAGTCAAATAGGTCTGCTACCAGCATGCCCATCCTGTTCTCTGCTTTTGAGTACGTCGTGTTTAAAAGTCAAACCAAACTCCTCCTTTAATCAGACTTTTTAAAATCTTGAATCTGCGTATTTCATATTTAAGTGTTTGGAGTTTGCACAACATGCTTTGAGGCAAGACTGAATTTAGGGATCAAAAGGATACCTGTTGAGCTAAAATGAATATTTGACTATAAAAGAGTCAATCTAATGTGCTGATGATGTGTTCTGTACATCTATCTTTTGGAGTTATGTGTTGACACCAACCTGTTTATGGGACTGGGGATGGAAATTAGCCACCTGGCTATAACCTTATGTATTTACATGTAAATGTTCATTAATGCATTTAGGGATGTCCTGATGCGATATTGATATCAGATGTTGGTCCGAGTCTGAAAAAGACGTTGCAGCTGAGTGCAAAACTTGTCATGCACAATTTGGCGCCAATAATGGATCAATGTCAGTATCGGCCAATACTGAGGGCTACAATACCTGTATCTGTATAAAAAAGTTGTATCAGGACATCCCTCAATGCATTGTCCCATTTAAATAAATAAATCTCTATCTCAGTATTGACTTCAACACTGAGATTGAGGAAATTGCTCATGATTAAACTTTTAAATTGGTAGTGTGGTCAGGTTTTTGGAGCAATGTATTTAGGAGCAGGTCTGCTTACACTGAAGCATCTATCTTCAGTGTCATGTTTTGGGATACGCCTTGTGCATTTTTGTGTGTTTTTTTGTGTGTGTGTGTGTCTTCAGCCAAAATGGTACTGGTTGGACAATAGCGTTAGGGCTTGTTTTTTGTATTGGAATTTGTATTGTTTGGCATTTTTGATGGTAAAAACTTGAAGATGGAGGATCACAGGTATCATGCATCACAGGAGCCTCTTTTCCTCAAAAGCCAGCATCTCTTGACTCATGAGAGGGGTGAGCAAGGGTGCGTTTCAACCTAGAATCTGACTGCAAAATGCTTGACGTCGCTCAATATTCCTATTTCTATATCCTGTACCTTGAAAGACATGACACCAAAAGTGGTTTGGATGTTCCCTCTGGAGCCAGTGAATATCTGCACCAATGTTCATGGTCATTCATCAAAAAAGGTTGTTGAGATATTTTGGTATAAAGTGGTACATGGACAGAAAATGCCATCTGCACAGCTATGCTGCAGATTTAAAAAGCAATCTCCTGGTGCCAAGATGTGAAAATATGGAGCCTTATTTGATAAGGTATCAATTTTCAATGATTTTCTCCAGGGCACCTGGAGGGAATATCTTCAAATCTGGTACCAACACGGTCTCAAGTTTGAAGCCCGATAATCTTTATTTCTGTGTTTTTCTTTTGATCCAAAGAAAAGTGTCTTGAAAAATATATTTTGAGACATGAGTCAAGGAATTAAATCAAGTCAACTGCTGTGTAAGATGCTGCTTCACACAGATGTGAGATAGGAGGAGCATCATGAAAATATCAAAATTTCACTTGACTTTGATGAAACGATGCCCCTGAAAAACTTTGGTGTTTTTCCCGTTCCTTATCACGAAAACGATATCTGAGAACTTTTGGAGGGAAAAATCTTCACATTTGGCACAAATGTTCCCATGTCCTCAAGAGAGAAAAGATTAGATCTTAGATGTCAGAGGTCAAAGTCACTCTGACTCCACGTCTGTCCCATCCCTCCAAAAATGTCTCTTCATCAAGCCCTTCAGGGAATGTTGTTACACCTTATTTATCTTTACCTAATCAGATGTCCCAGAAAAACAACACCATCTGTTATCAATCAGCTGTTTCTTTGCTCTTTCCCTCTTGTTAAACATTTTGCTGCAAACGCTCTGTTCAGCTTTAGCCCACTACTACTGTTGTATTATTACACAGACGTATCCACTGACCCTGTTACAGCTGCAGCTACACTGTAACAATGACCTGTTGTGTCCACTGTACATTGTCTGGTTAACAGAGGCATGCAACAAAAACTCATGGTGGTCAACCTGCGGTTTACATGGTGTGATTTTCTGAAAACAATGATTTGATTGAATAAAAGAAGGATTCAGCTTAGGGCTGGGTGATATGGGAAGTTTATCATGATGTCGATATATATCACAGTATAAAAAATGAAATTTGACAGTGCTAATTGGTAGCATGTCTTTTGCAATACAATAAGCTCCTGCATCTGTGAGGTCCTTGTGTCTCTTTGACGTTTTGTCGTAAGGCGCTGCGCTAGAGATAGCTGTGTGAATGGTCCGCTGTTTCGGCTGCACGGCGCCATGGGCTCCTTGCCCTGCTCGGGCTTTGTAACCTTTTACATTGTGCATGCTCTGCTGCATGGCACTGCTTCAGGTGGTGCGAAAGATTTGAGGTATTCCCTGACTTTGTGAGAACATGTACTCGACATAATTTGCAGTGCACATTACTCTGCTTCATGTCCGACTTCAAAAAACCAAAATACCTCCACATCACCAGTGTTGGTTTGTGTGTAGCTGCAGCCTGCTACTATGCAGTTGTTTGCTACTTGGTTCTAATCCAGCACATGATTGGTTCAGTGTGAAGTAGATCTGGAGCAACTCCCCTTTTCATTGGCTATGCGTATAGTCTACCAAAACATGGCAGAATGCCAACTATCGAAAAGAATATTGACCAGGTTTTATTTTGATATTGAGCGAAATTAATTTTTGATATATATCATTATCCTTTTTTCGCCCAGCCCTAGTTCAGCTTCATAGCTGCATCTGTGATACTATATAAATGTGTTCTCCAGATTTTTTCTGACCTCTTTGTTAGGTGAACTACGTACTGTAAGTACAAGTAGCACCAGTATGGAAGAAGCAGCCAGTGTGAACTGGGAGGTTTAAACTGTCTTTTTGCATAAATACTTGTATTGTGTTCAGCAGAGTCCACAATGTGCACTTTCTGTGCAGCTGTGTAGCTCTGTTTAGTACCAGCTGACCTTTTTCCTGTGGATTTTGTGCAAGCTGCCTGTATGGTGGCTGAGTTGAGCTTGTGGCAGCTGGATATTTGGGCGGCCCTGCCAGTGAGGGATGCAGCAGTAAACTGATTTCACAATCAGCCGCAGAGTAAAATGTCACAACACCAAGTGTTTCTGTTGTCACTCCCAGAAGGGACTCCTACATTGTTTTTCCCACAACGTGCACAGAGCCACAACGTGACTAAGAGTGAGCCTTGTGGTGCACCACTGCAATATGTTTTGCTTATCGACATGGAAGCTATGCTTCAGTAGTTGGAAGGGACTGAGAAGCTTAGTTTTGTATCCATCAGAGACAAATGTGTGAGCATTTTCAGCACATAAAGAGTGGCCAAGAAGTTATTCAGGACGGTAGATCACCTGTCCTCAAAATATACAACTAAAAGTTTTAGCTGAAGGGTCAAACCCAGTCAACTGAGTGCAGCCTCTGTGGAGACCGATAAGCACTAGAAGACAATACATAATAACTGAGTGACGTTACAGAGGTTGCAAGTTACATGATGCAACTCTGAATTAGACATAAAGGTGTTGGTTACAAAAAATGGTGTAGCATGAAAAGTCGGGCTTCAGTGCGGAGTACACACACTCAACAGAACAGCGAAGAGACACGATCCACGTCACTTTGTGCAGCCAAGTGGCAGCTTGTTACTTAAAGCACCATCTGCTGGCATTTTACTGGTGCATTGGTTGAAAACAAAGTGGCAAAGGTGCTTTCTCCATACACTGAATTAACCATATGCTTATGTGTTTATTTAGTCCAAGTCTGTTTGTGTATATTTCTCCAGCTGCTGATGGCAAACTGCTGTTTATTTAATTGTCAAATGACCAAGCTGTCCAAAAGAGGAGCTAAAGTTATCATGAAGTTGTGCCTCTCGGTATCAGAAATACTCCTCTGTCAGCCTCTTACTGCAGCTTTTTGAAAGAACTTCATACATCCATCTGCTTGAGTCACTTCTGGTCACTTCCATGGATCCTTTCCAGCGTCCTTATGCTTTGGCTGAGGGCCGGCTTTGGCTGCTCTCCCTTTGGTGGGTTTGGCTCGCTTGCCCAAAGGGAGGGATATTAAGCGGCCCTCAGAATTTTAATCTTGTCTGTTTGGGATGTTTTGCCCTGGAGGCCGAGGAGCTGAAGCCAAGGCTGAACATGAGGGATAAAGGGCCGGCCAATGGGCTGAGCTTGGCATGGTGAAGAAATGAAGCAACAGCCAACAGACACTGTCCCTTTCTTTCCATGAATCAGGGATTTGGTCCACTGCAGGGTCAAGCGGCCAGCAAACAATGGTGTTATCCAGAGTAAAGAAACCCACCCTGTGTGGATGTTTTCTGAGGGCTCGATGGCAGAGGAGTTTTTCTGTTTGTCCACCTGACTGTTTGAGCACAAGCGCTGAGCTGAAACCAGCAAACACAGAAATTATGTAATGTTTGATCACATTAAGTCATCCGGTTTTCAGTCCAAAGTTTCTGGTTTGATTTTAGTTTTTTTATCGGCTCACTACATCTTCAACAAAGACACTTAGCAGTCTTAAACAACAGCAGGTGAATGGGTTTAAATAAGAGTAGCAGCAGTTTTCACACTCTTTGAATAATGTAATGTCTTGCACGATACTTTGGATTTCCTTAGATGACATTTTGTTCATAAATATTTACACAGCAGCCATAAAAATTTTAGCATCAGTGTTTACAGGCAGTCTTAAAATGATGGGTTGCATACCGACTTGATCATGATGGTTGTGGTATTTTATGGACCATGAAAGGAAGAAAAGAGGCGGATTTGATTGGAGCGGAGACGGAGTTGTGCTGAGTGGCACTGGGAAGAGCTATTTTGGAGTGTGAGAGTCAGTGCATGCAGTCACAACAATCGACTCATTGAAGTGATCATATGACAGCCCAGAATAGCTCCAAATGAGGAGAGAACAGAAGTGGTCCTGTATCCACAAAGACTGTTTTGATGTGGAGCGCCGGCCCGCAGCGCTGATGTGTTTCTTCTTCTTTATTTAGTGAGACTAATGGCCATGCATCTTGGGATGTTAATGCTGAGCTTACTCCAAAGATTATGATCTACTCGTCATGATGCAGCATGCTCATAGTGTGCTCCTCAGCCCACTTAGCTGACTGATAAGATTCCAGTTTTAGTTCAGCCAGAGTTCAGCCAAAAGGGGACTTTTAATACGTTTTTACAAGTAAACTGGTTTCTCAGAAAGAACAGAGACTCACACACTGAAAATGTCACAGCCCTGGTGTTATGATATTTAAAACACTTCAGAGATGCTTTAAATTTTTTTGAGAACATGAAACATTTATCGTCTGGAAGTTAACAATGAAAGTTAGGAAGAAGATTTTCAGAGGTATGATTAATTTAGAGTTTAACTCTGAAAGACTGAACCGAATCTGATGCAGGAGGATAATGTTAGACTGAGTCCCATGGACTCAGATCAGAGCATGAGCTAGTTATACGGAGGTCCAGCTGCAGTAATGTGGTGGAGGAGGTGTTTGTTATGTCGACTTTGCTTTTTTTACTCTGAACCAGATACTGCCGTCACCATTTGCAGCACATGCCATCGTAACAGAGGACCAACTGGTTAGATTCACAAGAAAAAAACAAAGTCTTTTTTTTTAATTGAAGCAGTAGAAACTGTTTCTTCACTGTCTGAATATGTGTACAGTCACCTTGGGTTGTCCTCTTTCTGTATGAGGTGGAATATTCACTGGCCTATTTTTATATATAAACCTCTCTGGTGATAATTACCATCAAACCTCAAAGACTTCCCCAGTTTTCAGGTTTGTTTGTATCAAACACATTTCAAATCAGCAACTTCTGCATGTTCAAATGAATCAGGTCACACCTGAGAGAGGCTGCTTTTAATATTCTGATGCAGATTCCTGAAACGAGTTCGAGCAGCTCCTTCACAGAGATGAACTTTTACCTTCTGACAATTTTAAAGTTTTATTTTTAACCTTTTAACTTCTGTTTGTAACTGTTCTCCATAAGCCTTTCTTTGAATCTCATACCTCTCCCACACATCCTCGTAGATCTAGCTTAAATTTGTCTAGTGTCAGAATCTACCCCATTTGAGGACTTTAATGGTCTTAATTCAAACTTCCTTTCACACAAACAAAGGGAAACTCTGTAGATGCAAACTTCAAGTTAATACAAAGTGGAACATTATGGTTATTATAGGTTTTGTGGCCTTTGTCTAAAAAATAACTGACAGGAAAGCCTGTTTAAAATGGATGAAACCGCACATTGAGTGAACAACGATGTGGGTAACACAGGATGTAAGGCGTAGCTTTAGTTGACACACTTTTTTTCCCCTTTACCAATAAAGTGGAAACACCAACAAGGTCATTGTTCTTATTTTGTCACACAGTTTGTTTGTTAGTAAATCTACGTTATTTGACACAGGCGGTTTTGTAAACCAGAATTCTAGTATGGTGGAAAACCTGTTCACTGCACACTATCTGGCTTATTATCCTGCTATCAATGAAAAAAAATAAATCATCTTACAACCAATACTTTATATCGGCTTGTTTTTGAGTTTAAAAATGATGTATTTATACAGCTAAAAATGATCCATCTGATTATGCTCTACTAATGCTTCCATGGCAACAGCATTTTAATGGATTACTTGCTGCACCAATTAACTTTAAACTGAATATTTCAATTCCTGGTCAAATTAAAACATTAGCCTGTTTATTTGTAAAAGGTGCATTCAACTGAACATTTCTATGAAAGTGGAGCAGGACTTTTACAGGAAGATGTACGCTGACATTTCTGTCCTCATTCAGTACCTTTTAAAGATAAAAAAAGACAGAGGTTTCAACTCTAACATCAGTGCTCCCATCACTATCATGCCCCCCAGCTCTGATGTCATTGCACGGTTTGCAGGACAGCATGTTGATGCACTTTCCTCTGTCAGAGATTGTTGAAGCCCAGTCACTCCTCAGGCTCCTCTCATATCTGTCAGACCTGCCTGATGGCTGCAATTATTTCCTCAGGTGGAAGAATGGAAACAAGCGTTTTTACCTGTGTTAACAGGCAGAAGTAGAAGAAATACGCATTTTTCCACAGATTAATCTATCATGATGTGTGTGTGAGAGAGAGATCAGGTTGTCTTTGGGATTATTTTAGCTGTTAATAACTGAAAAAGGTGTCAGCCCCTTAAAAAAAAAGTTGATCCTTCAAGGGTTAGACCGTGTGGTGTTAAACTTTCAACTTAATCTCATATATCAGAATCTTTTAGATCTCCTATCATCCGTGTATGGCGACCATTACTGTCAGAGAAGTTTATTATCAAACTTCGCTTTTTGAATATGTAACGCACACACTTCTGTAACTATAACTGGAATATCTTCAAACTCAACCCAAGATAACCCTGATGGTGCTTACATAATCATCATCTCCACATGATTTGCTTCCTCTGTGATTTAACTATTCTCCCGCAGAGCCACAAAAACACTATGTAAGGGTGGAGTTTTACTTATTCCCATGTTGAAAATTACTTCATCTCCAAATGAGTTTGGAGGCTTCCTCAGCTAAAGTAAATGTTGTGTGTTTTACTGTGAAAGTAGCTGGACATTAAAACTTTGATTTAACCGTTCGCTGTTGTCTTTCGTGGCCTTCAAATGATGAATTTTTAAGCAGATTCCAAACTGTCTCAATTATTAAAGACATCCATCACAAAAAATGTTTTCTTTATCTTTTTTAACATGTCACAGCCACATAAATTAAGCTGTTACATCAAAATGCGTCCTGTTTTTTTGTGTTTCCCCAGATGTCCAAGCAGGAAAAGCAGCAGCAGAGGAAAGAGAAGGCGCGCTCCAAAGGCCCCTCAGAGTCAAGCAGGGAGAAAGGGGCTCCGCGTTCCCGACAGGACCCCAACGCCAGCAGTGGAGCCGAGGGTGATGTGTCATCAGAGAGGGAGCCCTAGGTTAGAAGGGTGAGGAAGCATAAGAGATGCTCAATGAAGAGCTTCAATCAGAGTTTAATTTTAAAGTCTGACAGACCCAGACTGGATTGAAATAACAGAGATTTACTTTGAGAACATAGAGGCTACGGATCAAGTTTTCTCTCTTTATTTTGGTGTCACTGTATGACTGATGCTTCAATCTTTGATGTTATACCAAACGCAGTACCTCAAAGTCACAGACACACACAAAACGCCAACATATTTGTCCTCTGAATGTACATTCAAAGCAGCCTCCTAGTTACATACACTGTATAATGTATTAAAAAACACGGTCACACACAAAGGGTCAAAACTCTTTGCCAATAGAAGGCTGCTTGCATAACTCTGTCTGTATTGACCATAGACAGTATATAGAATAGACGCCGTCTGCCTCCTCACTGGGTGGAGCCACCCCGAGAACAGCACCCTCTGGTGACGGGCTGAAGTATAGGTCATAAATCCCACCTCTTCCAGCCATCCCTATGAAGCTGTGGACAAACTTTAGAAATTAATTATACAGAATATACATTTTTCTCCCCCTTGCTGGTGATTTTTTTTTTGTGCAGCTCCATTTTTAAAAGTTATTAGGGGTTCATGTTTTTTACGATGGACACTTGATACAGCCTATGGGTGTGCAAAGCTTGTTTAGCTCTCCCGGAGGATATGCTGTTGTAGCTGAGCGTCATTACAGCAACTCTTGGTGACTCGCCTGCTGAATGCGTACAATACTACTGCGCAATGTTGGTTTCAGGAAGTGGAGTGAAGTGGAATAACTCAGAAATACCGTGAGCTTTTTGGCTTCAAATCCATATACTGACGGAAGGCGGAACCAAGGTGTCCATAGTATATACAGTCTATGGCAGTGGTTCTCAAGTCCAGTCCTCGAGGCCCACTGTCCTGCATGTTTTGGATGTTTCCCTGCTCCAACACACCTGATTCAAATGATCAGCTCGTTATCAAGCTCTGTACCGGCTTAATAACGAGCTGATCATTTGAATCAGGTGTGTTGGAGCAGGGAAACATCCAAAACATGCAGGACAGTGGGCCTCGAGGACTGGATTTAAGAACCACTGGTCTATGGTATTGACCTTTTTAATAAAAGGCTACAGATTGAATTTCAGAGCTGAAAGAAACCCTTCAGGTTTTCAAGTTTCAGGGTTATTTTATGGAAAGTGCCACCTGTTAGTTGTATTGGTTTGTAAAAAAGTTATTTTTTCCCCTGGAGGGAAACAAGCTTTAAAAATCAGAACCATTGTTTTGATTGATATTGCGATCATAACTGTTAGAAACTCATGATTTGGCACATTTACACAACTTAAAACCCCTTTAAAACTTAAAAGCTGAAATCTACAATAAAAAAAAGAACATTTGAAACAACTGTAAGATGGATGTCTGTCGGACTGACTGGACCTTATCAATTTAAAAAACAAACATCTGTTTTAACACTGAAAGAGATCATTCATCAACAATGTGCAGACTTTCAGGGCCCAATGATTGAGGATGTATTAAAAGATACTCAAAGATATGGAGCACCTACACTCACCGGCCACTTTATTAGGTACACCATGCTAGTAACGGGTTGGACCCCCTTTTGCCTTCAGAACTGCCTCAATTCTTCGTGGCATAGATTCAACAAGGTGCTGGAAGCATTCCTCAGAGAGCTTGGTCCATATTGACATGATGGCATCACACAGTTGCCGCAGATTTGTCGGCTGCACATCCATGATGCGAATCTCCCGTTCCACCACATCCCAAAGATGCTCTATTGGATTGAGATCTGTTGACTGTGGAGGCCATTTGAGTACAGTGAACTCATTGTCATGTTCAAGAAACCAGTCTGAGATGATTCCAGCTTTATGACATGGCGCATCCTGCTGAAAGTAGCCATCAGAAGTTGGGTACATTGTGGTCATAAAGGGATGGACATGGTCAGCAACAATACTCAGATAGGCTGTGGCGTTGCAACGATGCTCAATTGGTACCAAGGGGCCCAAAGAGGGCCAAGAAAATATTCCCCACACCATGACACCACCACCACCAGCCTGAACCGTTGATACAAGGCAGGATGGATCCATGCTTTCATGTTGTTGACGCCAAATTCTGACCCTACCATCCGAATGTCGCAGCAGAAATCGAGACTCATCAGACCAGGCAACGTTTTTCCAATCTTCTATTGTCCAATTTCGATGAGCTTGTGCAAATTGTAGCCTCAGTTTCCTGTTCTTAGCTGAAAGGAGTGGCACCCGGCGTGGTCTTCTGCTGCTGTAGCCCATCTGCCTCAAAGTTCGACGTACTGTGCGTTCAGAGATGCTCTTCTGCCTACCTTGGTTGTAACGGGTGGTTATTTGAGTCACTGTTGCCTTTCTATCAGCTCGAACCAGTCTGGCCATTCTCCTCTGACCTCTGGCATCAACAAGGCATTTCCGCCCACAGAACTGTCGCTCACTGGATATTTTTTCTTTTTCGGACCATTCTCTGTAAACCCTAGAGATGGTTGTGCGTGAAAATCCCAGTAGATCAGCAGTTTCTGAAATACTCAGACCAGCCCTTCTGGCACCAACAACCATGCCACGTTCAAAGTCACTCAAATCACCTTTCTTCCCCATACTGATGCTCGGTTTGAACTGCAGGAGATTGTCTTGACCATGTCTACATGCCTAAATGCACTAAGTTGCCGCCATGTGATTGGCTGATTAGAAATTAAGTGTTAACGAGCAGTTGGACAGGTGTACCTAATAAAGTGGCCGGTGAGTGTATGTCTTGCAGTCGAAGCGCGCCTCATTTATACTGAGGCCACTGTCCTCATTGCAGCTGTTGCTGGTTCAACTCCCGGCCATAACCCTTTGCTGCATTTCCTCACATACAGCAAGATACTTCTGCAGGCAGATAAACCGTGTAGTTCATCTGTTAAAGACAGCTTGACCCTGAATTGTGCAGAGAGACCAGCACACCTGAGAAGGAAACAGTCCTGTGAAATGTACAGTCGTGTCCTCCCGCTAAAAAAAACTACACTGGACTTTTTTTTTTTGCTGTTTTGTCAACTTGTGTGGCTGCAACCAAAATATTCCTCCCCCATTTATCATATTAGAATGTGTCGAGAACAATATGGCAGCTTTGAATGTGCAGCTTGAAGAAAAAGACAGGAGCGTTAACATTCTCCTTGGCATCTCTGTTTTCTCCTCCTCCTGTCTGCGCCTGCTCTGTTTGTTGTGGTTGACGCTGCACAGAAACTCAGCAACACTCATGAGAGACAGACCTGTTTCTCAGTCTGTGGTTCATTTTAAGAGGAGAGAGGGCGGGCAGAGGAGAGGAAAGGTCGAGGTTACTCTTATTCGCCTTCAGTCCTTCAGTATTTGTTTAGCAGTGCAAAAACAGAGGACTTGTGGGGGAGTAAAGATGGGGAGGCATTGAGTCAGCTCCCCGCGTGTCCCCCCTGCTCTGGCTGTCTCGGCTCCTGTAGCACCGCTCCTCTCCCGATGTGAACTCTGAGGAAGGCACGCACATTTACCGATACGCCGTCAGACAAGCATTAAAACTACACTCAGAGAACAGCCATAGTTCCTGTTTCTCTGTTGCACTTGGCCACAGTCGTAAAGTTAGCTGCAGACAGTTAAATCATGTCTGACTCAAGTGTTATCATCTGAAATGAAAACTGATGGCGTGTTATTTTTGTCTTTTTCGCTACAGTTTTGTCTGTTCCACACACACACCATCCCATGTGGGACCTTGTAAGCCTGTTGTCCTGTCTCGTGTTCTCTACAGCAGGGGGCCCTCTGCTGTAATCCTAAAATGCATGTTGGGTAAATATGTGCCCCAAGACATGTAGACTTCATCACCTCGTTACATAAGGCCTTTTTGTCTGACGGAGAGCCAGAGCGAGGGAGACAGGAGGAAGAGGGGGAAATGAGAAAGAAGAAGAAGAAGAAGCAGGAAAAACATTTGAAGGAGTTGACAGAGTTATTTGGGGTCTTTTTTAATCTCTCTACACGCAGAACGTTTCCAGCGGAGAGGTGAAAGAGAAATGTGGATTGAGAGAGATGTCGGACAAGGGTCTTGTTGTGTGCATATTTTAAAGAGAGATTTGGTGTTCTTGAGGTGAGCTTTTACATGACTTAAACATGAGCACAGCTGAGCTGTCCTCAGAAGAAGTCAGTCATGGCAGCCCCTCATTATCCTCTCCAGTCTGTCCTCATCTTCATCCAAAAATGTTCTAAACAGCAGAAAAAGAAGGCTCCTTCTGCACATTTGGCTACTTTCAGCAATATCCCACCCATAATGTCAATTCCAGTTTTACTTTTTTGCAACTCAACTATTAAAGACCTGTCAGAGTGGATTTAACTCTCATTTTCAATTTTTTATAATGCTGCTCTCACAATGTGGAGCCATTTTATATTTTATAAAGCCTACACTCTCTTTCTTTGTTGAGACAGATCTACTTCTCCAATAAGCGACCAATTCCTTTCACCGTTGTGTCATCAAATGAGTATTTCTATTAAAAAGAAGATGACCTCTGCTGTCCTCACTTCTTTATGCTGTGAAAAAAGATCAACCTGAACATGAACTTGAACTGGCACCGTGCACTTTTAAAAAAATGTGACAAAAATAGTTCCTGGATTTGTAACGGCTAACCTAGGTCAAAGTAGTTTTCTTAGTTGACAGTTAATCTGCGCATCTTTAAAAAGTCTCCACAGTAAGGGTTCATTTCAACAGGAGGAGAGATCTAAAGGTCCAAGTGAGAATAAAATGTGCATGTATGGATATGTCAGCCAAAGTGATTTCAGCATTCTGGATAGTTGTGTGTTGCTACTGAATAAGTGTAATCTTTTCTAAAATCATAGATTTAGCTCATAGATTAAAATCAGATTTACACCAGAGCTGGTCTTTAATAAATGTGTGTTTACACTAAAACACACAAATGGTAGAAAATGCTCAGTTAAACATGAAATAACCAGTTGATGGGGATAGTGTGTGATCAGTCTGTCATGTTGGAACAACCTCAGAAGAGTGTTGTGTGCAGGAATATGTTCCGTTTCTTGAGTGGGCAGCTGGTTACCTGTGAAACTCCTCCTCCTGACTGGTGAGCGTGCGCATTGCTTCATTCCCTTCCTTGCTGTTGAACTGTGTGTAGCGTTTCGTTTCCTCCTGAAAGCGCTCTCTTGCTGTTTTGGTTTATTTTCTATCTGTAATTTATCAGTACATCTGTCTGTTTAGAAAGTCTGTAAGTATTTCTGATAGTTTTCACCAAGCACTGTTTTTATCTCCACTCCGGGCGATCCCTCTGACCATTTACTTTATTAGCTCCTAGCTTAGCTTCTCTTAGCTACACTTGCTAACGATGGCTTCCCCCCGGTCGCCTGCTTCTCCTGCTCGCTTCTGCTCAGTGTGTCAGATGTTCAGTTACTCCTCGTCCTCCTTAGACGATAACGATACCTGCTTTAAGTGTAGTTTATTCTTAGCTCTGGAGACGAGGATTACAGAGTTAGAAAAGCGGCTCCGCACCGATGCTAGTGTAGCGATAGCCAGCCAGGACTCGGTAGCCGGTGCGGGTCGGCCTAGCTTAGCCTCCCCCCCGGCGAATCCCGAGCAGCCGGGATGTAGTAGTGGTTGGGTCACTGTGAAAGGGAAGCATAGCAGTAGACCTAAGAAGCCCACGGTAGACCACCACATTCACACTTCAAACAAATTTGCCCCTCTCAGCAACACACCTGCTGAGCCTGACGCTCTTGTGATTGGAGACTCTGTAGTCCGAAATGTGAAATTAGCGAAGTCAGCGGCCATAGTTCAGTGTCTCCCGGGGGCCAGAGCGGGCGACATCGAAGGTAGTTTAAAACTGCTGGCAAAGGCTAAACGTAAATTCCGTAAGATTGTAATACATGTCGGCATAAATGACTCCCGACGCCGCCAGTCGGAAGTCACTAAATTGAACGTGGAATCGGTGTGTGAATATGCCAAGACCATGTCGGACTCCGTAGTTTTCTCTGGTCCCCTGCCCGATCAGACAACTGATGAGATGTGTAGCCGTATCTCATCATTCAACCGCTGGCTGTCGAGGTGGTGTCCGCAAAACGGCGTGAGCTTCATTGATAATTGGAAGTCATTTTGGGGCAAGCCTGGTCTGATTAGTCGGGACGGCATTCATCCCACCCGAGATGGAGCGGCCCGTTTATCCAGAAATCTGGCCGATTTTATTAATCCGAACCACTGACAATTCAAAGCAGAGATCAGGGAGCAGGGCCGCAGTCTTACACGCCCCCCTGCGCCTCTTTTAGAGCAGCCTCCCAGCCACTACCACTTATACACAGAGACAAGGGAGCAGAGCCGCAGTGTAAAACGCCCTTCTGTACTCCCTTCAGAGCAGCTTCCAAGCTACAATCAGCTTGACTTAGAAATCAGGGAGCAGAGCCGCAGTGTAAAACGCCCCTCTGTACTCCCTTCAGAGCAGCTTCTAAGCTACTCTCAGCTTGACATAGAAATCAGGGAGCAGAGCCACAGTGTAAAACGTCCCTCTGTACTCCCTTCAGAGCAGCTTCCAAGCTTCTCTCAGCTTGACATAGAAATCAGGGAGCAGAGCCACAGTGTAAAACGTCCCTCTGTACTCCCCTTCAGAGCAGCTTCCAAGCTACTCTCAGCTTGACATAGAAATCAGGGAGCATAGCCACAGCTCTACACGTTCCTCTGTACTTTTGTTAGAGCAGCCTCCTAGCTACTGTCACTTTAATATAGAGACTGTGTCTGTCCCTCGTACTCGGCTCTCAAATTCTAACCGATCAATTAAAAAAGGAGTAAATAACAAGAACCTTACTAGAATTAAGACTGTTAACATAGCTGAACCAAGTACTAGTAAGATAAAATGTGGCCTACTGAATATAAGGTCTCTAAATTCAAAATCTGTGTTAATAAATGAACTAATCTCTGATCATCGCATTGATTTACTCTCCCTAACCGAAACATGGCTGCGTAAGGATGAATATGTAAGTTTAAATGAATCCACTCCTCCTAGCCACCTAAACTTTCACATTCCTCGAGACTCCGGCCGAGGTGGTGGAGTTGCAGCTATCTACAATTCCAGTCTTAGAATTAACCCAAGACCAAAACTAGATTATAACTCTTTTGAAAGTCTCGTTCTCAGTCTCCCGCACCCAGCCTCAAAGTCCATGAGACCACTGGTATTTGCTATAGTTTACCGCCCTCCGAGCCCATACTCTGAGTTTTTGTCAGAGTTCTCAGAGTTCCTATCCGAATTAGTCCTTCTCGCAGATAAAGTCATCGTCGTCGGTGACTTTAATATTCACATAGATGTGGAAAATGATAGCCTAAGCATTTCTTTTCGGTCCTTGCTAGATTCAATTGGGTTTACACAGTGTGTACATAGACCTACGCACTGCTTTAACCACACTCTCGATCTCGTCCTGGCTTATGGCCTCGAAACTGATGCCCTGTTAGTCAGCTCATTAAATCCTCTATTATCTGATCACTGTCTAGTAACTTTTGAATTTGTGCTCTCAGGTTACTCTCCTCACAACAAAGTCGTGCTAACTAGAAGGTTGTCTGAAAATGCTGTTACTAAGTTCAAGGAGGTAATTCCGTCTGCTCTAAATTCTGTAGTTGAGAAAAACTTTACTGATAGCTCATATTTAAACATCAGTCCCTTGCAACTCGACCAGTTTGTTGATGATACCTCAGGCACACTGCGATCAGTTCTAGACTCAGTTGCCCCTCTTCGACAGAAAACTATTACACGCGAGAGGCTAGCCCCGTGGTATAATGCTGAAACCCGTGAGCTGAAACAGTTATTAAGAAAATGTGAAAGGATTTGGCGCTCCTCCAAAACAGCTGAAGCTCGTTTTCTCTGGCAGGAATGTCTCGATAAATATAAGAAAGCCCTACGACGTGCTCGGACAACCTACTACTCGTCTCTTATTGAGGAAAATAAGAATAACCCCAGATATCTCTTCAGCACTGTAGCCAGGCTGACAGACTGTCCGAGCACCACTGAACCATGTATCCCATTAGCCCTTAGCAGCAATGACTTCCTGAGCTTCTTCAATGATAAAATCTTAAAAATAAGAGGTAAAATTAGTAACCTATTGACTCCACCAAGTGTCTCTCTCTCAGATAACCCTAAAAATGTTGAGGAGCCCCTAAGGCCTCTGGTGCACCTTAGTAATTTTGTACCTATTGACCTTCCTGAGTTAAAATCAGTGGTGCTAGCAGCCAAACCATCGACGTGTCTCTTAGACCCAATTCCATCTAAATTGCTGAAGGAAACTCTTCCTTTGATTAGTACGTCCCTGCTCAAAATGATTAACACGTCTTTATTAACAGGATATGTTCCCCAGTCTTTCAAGACTGCATTGATTAAGCCTCTCCTTAAAAAACCTACTCTAGACTCAAGCTCCCTAGCTAACTATAGACCAATATCCAACCTTCCTTTTATTTCTAAAATCCTAGAGAAAGTTGTTGCGAATCAACTCTGTGATTTTCTCCATAACAATGGTTTATTAGAGGATTTCCAGTCTGGGTTTAGAACCCATCACAGCACAGAGACTGCTCTGCTAAAGGTGTCAAATGACCTACTCATGGCCTCAGACAATGGTTTTCTCTCTGTTCTAGTCCTGTTAGATCTTAGTGCAGCATTTGACACAATTGACCACTCCATCCTGCTTCAGAGACTAGAACAATCTATAGGCATAGCAGGATCAGCTCTCTCCTGGTTTAAATCGTACCTAACAGATCGATCCCAGTTTGTCAATGTAAATAATAAATCCTCTGCACACACCAAAGTGTGCTACGGTGTGCCGCAAGGGTCAGTGCTCGGTCCAATCCTCTTCACCCTGTATATGATTCCGCTGGGTAAAATTATGAGGAAGTATTCGATTAATTTCCACTGTTATGCAGATGACACCCAGCTATACCTATCCATAAAGCCAGAGGAAGCAGGCCAGGTTGCTAGGTTAGAAGCCTGCCTCAAAGATATAAAATCCTGGATGACCAATAACTTTCTAATGCTCAATTCAGACAAAACTGAAGTTCTGGTCCTCGGTCCTAAACACCTTAGAGAGGCGTTCTCTAGTAATTTAGCTACATTTGATGGTATCAGCCTGGCATCCAACCCCACTGTGCGTAATCTAGGAGTTGTATTTGATCAGGATTTATCTTTTAGCTCCCACATTCAACAAATTTCTAGGACAGCCTTTTTCCACCTGCGCAATATCTCAAAAATTAGACGCATATTGTCTCAGAGCGATGCAGAAAAACTAGTCCATGCCTTTGTTACCTCTAGGCTGGATTACTGTAATTCTCTCCTATCAGGCTGCTCTAGTAAGTCATTAAGGACTCTTCAGCTGGTCCAAAATGCAGCAGCTCGGGTATTGACTAGAACTAGTAGAAGGGAGCACATCTCCCCTGTTTTAGCCTCTCTTCACTGGCTCCCTATTAAATATAGAATTGAGTTTAAAATCCTCCTTGTGACATATAAAGCGCTTAATGGCCAGGCGCCATCATATCTCGACGAGCTAGTTATACCGTACTTTCCATCTAGACCGTTACGCTCACAGTCTGCAGGTCTGCTCGTTGTACCAAATGTCTCTAAAAGTAGTGTTGGAGGAAGAGCTTTCAGCTACCAGGCACCTCTCCTCTGGAATCATTTACCGCTCGAGGTTCGGGGGGCAGACACACTCTCAACTTTCAAGAGTAGACTTAAAACGTTCCTCTTTGATAAAGCCTATAGTCAGGGCTGATTTGAACCAGCTCTTAGTTATGCTGCTATAGGCCTAGACTGCCGGGGCTATCTGGCACACTGAGCTAGAATCTGTCTCTATCTCCTCTTTAGATCTTTATGTCCCATATAAGTCACTGACCAGTTTTCTGTCTCTCTGAGTGTCTCTGAGTCTTTTAGCTGCCACTGGACTAATGCTGCAAACGGTCTGCTGCGGAACTGCCTGACCCCAGCTGCATCCATCCTGGGCCCTGAGCTCCTCCATCTCTTTGGCTCTTTGGCTTCTCTGGACCGTTGCTGCAGAGACCCCCCCCCCCCCCCCCTGAGCTCCTTCTTCTCTCTGATTCCTCTGGACTGTTACTGTTACTGCAGACATGAACATCAGCCTCACTGTCATTATTGACATACAAAATAGAACTGACTACGATTAAGCCTGCTAACTGTAATCACACTCAATTAATTCAACATTGTCCATTATTTCTCATATCCTAAACCTGTAAACTGAACGTCTTTTTGTTTCACCATTACATGAGCTGTTGTCGTTGTTGCTGTTGTTCCTGCTGCCTCCTGTCTCTCTCTCACCCTCGTTCCCTACTCTCTCTCCCTCCCCCTCCCTCTCCGTACTAATTCTCTCTCGCCTTTCCCCTATCTTGCTGTCTCTCTCCCTCCCCCTGTCCTCTCCCCCTCTCCCCTCTTCTCTCTACATTCCTCCCCAACCCAGCAGCGGCATGGTGGCTGTCTAGCATGAGTCTGGTCCTGCCCAAGGTTTCTGCCTGTTAAAAGGAAGTTTTTCCTTGCCACTGCTACTCATGTTAGTTGAGATGGGCCAAAACCCATCTTAGGTTGGTTCTTGATCATCAAACAATGAGCGTGGTCTCGACCTGCTCTTGTTCTTTGGAAAGCGTCTTGAGATGACGACTGTTGTGAATTGGCGCTATATAAATAAAATTTGATTGATTGATTGATTGATTGATTGAGAGTTGTGCGGAGCATCCTTTAAACTGTGTGGTACAGTTTTTGCTGAATAATGATAAAGCTCAGCAAGGTTCCTTGTAAACAGTACCAAGCAGACTTGAAAAAACTGGTAGTCCACCTTATTGGCAAACCAACAATCGCTGCCTTGCACAAGATGAGGTAATAACATCAGCATTTTCATCAACTTCAGACGAGAAGTGAAAATACAGATAGAAATCTACATTTCAAAAACATTTGAATATGTGTGAACTAGGGCTGTAAAGTCCTGGTCGTCTTATTGGTCGATACTGCTGTGTCGTCCAAAATTCTGATTGGTCAACTAGATTTTTTTCCGCGTCAATTTAAAGTCTATGGTTAATTTCATCAGGAGGAACGTACCAAACGCTAATGGGGGGTGTTTTCAGAGCATACACGTTTCACAGGTAACAGCCTGTTTCCGAACACCCCCCTTGTTTTCACCATTTTAGATTTGCCCAACCCCCTGGAGACCGTCTGGAAACAGGAGGAAGATTGAAGAGTTTCCACATTGATCAACGTTCTGTGGTTTGCAGGATAAAATATTTGTGTTTAATTGCCTTCTTGTGCTGATATCAGTATATTTTTGTGCCGCTGAGCCATGTCGTCCCATGCCGCAGAGGGGTTTGTCTCCCTCCCATTAGTCGATTTTTGGTCGAAAATTTCAGGGTTTTAGTCGACCAAAAATGTCTTTGGTTGATTGTAGCCCTGGTGTGAACAAGCTAAAGTTTCTATTCATCAATGTTTCCAGTTATTAATGACAGAAACAATGGCTGTATAAGTGATGTGAACCTTGATACTTACAGAGATGAAACTGCAGGGAGTCATCAGCCTTCTGGTTTTGTTGAAACACTTGCTCATAAAACCAGAAACTAAAAGAGAGAAAAAGTTTAAGCAGAGTTCATGAAGTGGACAGTAATTTGCTTTGGAATAATTTTCATTGCAACAAACGATTGCAACTCCACAAAAGATGGAAAAACCAAGGCGCTCTTTCAGAAAACTGTTTATTTATAATAGAAACCACAAACATGCATGTCATGTTAAAAAAGAGCAGGCATACAACCCACGCTTAGTAGCGCAGCAGCCTTCCTCAGGGTGTAATCCTCAGCACACCATCAGCCTCTTAAAAACATCAGTAAACTGAGAGCACCTGAGTTCACAGGTGTGAGAGCAAGGCATGGTCGCCAAATGACTCTCCAACAGTGTTAATATAGCTGCCACAGAATAAAATGCCCATTATTTTAAGCCACACTTCAGTCATATCTGCCTTTTAGTTTGATTTTTTATTTATTTTTTACTCTAGTTATAATTGACAAAAAGTTAAGCCTTTAATGTAGATTTAGTCAATCAAAAGTCATCAAATAAAATCCACTTCAGACATTTTTGTCTTATCATCTCATCAAAAACAAAACCTTGATTTGTCTTGAATATTTATTATCAGTAATTTATTTTCTTATTTCGCTGAAAAAAAGCCACAAACTTGGAAAAAATGTACCCATAAAGAAATATACCATCAACCAAAACCTATACTGAAATAAAAATTGTGAACATTTTTTCCCCTGATTTCCAGCTTTTTTTTCCCTTTGGTTATTTGTGTCGGAGAGTCATTTGCTCCCTCACCTGTGAGCCCAATTACCACCTTCTCAGGTGCGCTTATTTAACTGGTTTATTTAAGTGGCTGATGGTGTGCTGAGGGCTACACTCCAAAAACGGCTGTTGTGTTGCTGTGCGTACATTGTAGTCCTGCTTTTTACATGACCTGCATTGCATGTATTTGTTGCATTTCTGTTTATGCAGTTTAATACAGGATTTCTGAATTTGTCTGCCTTTCTTGGATTTCTGTGTGCCCCACCGTAGAACACGTTTGAACAAGAGAAACCTCTGAGCCCTCCAGACCCTCTTTCTTTTGTTTAAAGTTTTGAGAGAAACCATCCTTGAACAGAGGTGGTAGACTAGAGCATGTCTTATCCCCCACTTACAATTCAGCTTTGGATTCTTTTAGACAACAATCCAAACAAAGCTTGTGTGCTGGACCACAGGCTCCAACATCATGCAAGCATAGCAAACCCGAAGATACCCACTGGTGTGAAAACATTGAAGCGCTAACATTTTCTATGTGCTATAGTTGTGATGTGCGGTGATTGAGTGATTCAGCACATACAGCTGGGTCAACAGTTTGTGTGTATATGTGTCTAATTGTGGCTGGTGTTATTTGTCTTTCATTTGCAGCTGTACCTTTCTCGTAGCGGCTTTTATTCAGATGATTACAGTGTTCATTCTGGATAATATGAATAAAAGGACCTAGAGACACGCACTAATAGCTTTGCTCTTTTTGTCTGTTGCAGACATTTTGCCAGGGACATGACGGTGATCACACTTTCCTCAGGAAGGCCTGAAATGTCAGTGACTCTCTCACCTGATCTTGGACTGTCCTCTTTCCTGTCTGGAAATCACGGGGCCTGCAGCAGAACACCATCGCCTCCCTCGTGTCTTTGGCCTCTCTCCTCCAAAATAAGATCAGTTCAGCCACTATATATGCCTCTTTGAAAAGGTTGATGCACAAAGTGCACATGGAGGGTCACATGGAAAGGACATCTGCAGCACTTCACTGTGGTTTTCAGAGTTTTCTCACTATCTTACCATGTTTGTGCCTCCATCTGGCACTGGCTCTGTTCGTCTTTTCCTTTCAGATCTTAGCCACTGTCCCCACTTAATCTCTGCTTAGAAACACGGCACTGACCCTGAAGCATCACTCTGCTCCAAGCCCCTGGCTTATGCACTGGCACAAGCAGCCTTTCCATATTTATTGCATCAGTGCCACCTCATGATTGGTACAATAACACTTGTAAAGCCAATCTTAAGGTTACCATACCTGAATAAACAGACTTTGAATGAGTTTCTAAATACCCAAGAAACACCGACTAGTCCTGTCATTTCAACCCCATGGTCTCCCCTTTGAAGGAAAACATACTGCTTGGTAGAAAATCATCAATAGAAGAATGTTTTTATTATTATTATTATTATTTTATCAAAAAGCAACAGCAATAAATCATAGCTAAAGAGACAGTTCAGTTTTTTAAGCGTGATTGTATGCGATACTTGTCAACAGTATTGGTATTACCCACAGAGGACCCTGGTTAGACCTGCTCTTTTAAAAACAGGCATGGTAGATGGGAGATCATTTAAAGTATGGGTGAGGTCCCTTTTAGTGCAAAAATGAACAAGCTACAGCAAAGTCAAACGCTGAATAAACAAGTCTAAATCAGGGGTACCCTTACACTGAAATGTTTGGATCACACCTTTGATTTTCAAATCCACCATTAAACAGCTTAGAGAGGACATGAAACTTCTGATGGGGACTACGAACACATCAGAAATGTAGACTGAGATTAAAAACAAGTAAGCAATTGGCTCTTTTTCTAATAAACTTCCATACAAACTTCTCCTCTTCAGCCAGTCTGTTCGCCCCCTGTTGGCCAGTTGAAAGAATACAGGTTTTGGGTACTTTGACATTCTGCAGCTGCTTCATTTTTACGCTGAGAGGTTAGGTAATCCTCATGTTTTTTATACACAACCACAGTTTCCAAGACGTTGGGATTCCATCTAACATGTTGATTAGTTTTGATGGTTTGAAAATAAATTAAAAGCAAAATTTCACTAAAAATAGCAGAAAGATGATGTTGAAATGATGAAACTGACAAACGTTATTGTTTATGAAAGACATAGGCTTTTTTAGAATTTGATGCCAACAACAAGTGTTCAGTTTTTGGAAAGCCAATACCAATTATGAGAGAGAGAGAGAGAGAGAGAAGGGCTGCCAGTTGTTGATCTACAAAGCAAAATCACATTTCTTTTTTACAAACGTGAAACAAAATTGAATGAATAATTTAAATAAATATAGACTGAAAAATATGTACTTTGTTAAATATTGCCACAAGGGACTTCTGGTTTGCTATTTAGCCATCTTTAATTATTAAACAAGACAAAATTGCTTGTAAGTATTTGGGTTTATGCAAAAACAGTAATAAAACAAGGCGTTTAAAAAATCTTTCTTGAATGACTAGAGTTCGGGATATATGATAAAAGTAAATTTAATGCTTGCAGGAATGGAGCACAAACAATACATCCAGTAGATACACAGGAGTGGTGCCCAGTTGATTCAGAGTCTGTTATCCTTGCTTTCTCAGTCTTCTCAGATTTTAATCTTTATTTCCAAATATTATCAACAAGCAATTTAAACAAGTAACACTTGCCCTTGGTTTCATTCTGTTTGTCATGCATTCGCTGTCCTTGCATTGTGTAAACATCACAGTGACCTTAGCCTTCTCATTATTTTACAACTTCTATGCACATCTTGAGGTTAAAGATCATGTTTTACATATACATTAAATCTGAATAGATAGCCAGTTACTTATTATAGCTGAGTTTAGTAAATCTCTTGAGAAGGAGAAATTGAATTGGGTTATGCTATACATTAAAAATAAATTTCAGAACATGGCTGGAATCTATGTAATAAGGAGCACAACAGAACTTAATTCAAACACTGTCCAGTTACTGTTTTCCAGATTTGATATATGTGATTTTTAGTATCAGTGTGGGAGAGGATGTGTCATTTAGAAAAGATGATTGTGACAGTGGCCTCACGAATGCCAATGTGAGGCTGATTTTTAAAGAGGCCATTAATCAGACCATTTAATTGGTCTGTCCCTCTCAGCAACGCTTTTAAAAAAGTTGGGAGAAATTTCTTTAAGTGTTTGTTGCCACTGCTTAACTTTTTTGAAACGTGTTGTTGGTATCAAGTATTAATTTAGCTTACGCTTTTCATAAAAGACCATTTGAAAGTTGCAACATTTGACTTGTTGTCTTTGCACTATTTCAAATCGAAAAGGCTTTAAATCCTGTCTTTACCGACATTTCACACAGCATCCCAACTTTCTCTGAACTGGGTTTGTAAAAGCAAAACCATAAATCTGCCATAAACACTTTCTCGCTCTTGTTACCTGTCTGTCTGCTCACCTGCAAATCAGCCCATCCACTCAGATGTTTTGAGGTTTGCAAACTTGGCTGATTCTGGTCTCAGCTGACTCTTCGCAGTCCAAACAGATTACCTGTATGTCTCTGAAACTCTCCCTTACTTTGTTGCTTCTTCTTAACTCACACGGAGGAATGGATTGTTACCTTTCTTTGCACCTTGGATTGAGTACCTTTAGTGACTTTGAGTTAGTTTGTCTCAATTACAAGGAGAGGGAGCCAGCTGTGTTCACCGTCATTGAACAGTGACACAGTGCGGATGAATGAAGTTCAGCCTCACAAAACAGAACTACTATTTATCAATGTTTTTGATTATTACACTGTACTGCTGTCAGTCGACATATCTGAATGTACATTTTGTTGCCATTTTATAAAAATGTCAATATAAAAAAAGAGAATTTGTGTTTTTTTCTGAAAGAAAGGCGGCTCAGACTATCCTTATTTATTCCTCCTTTTCCACCTGGACCGTCAGTGCTGTCCCAACTGTACCCCTTTGACTTTTTTTTTTTAATTGAGGCTATTTCTGGCCTAACATACCATGTCCCCCCCTCTGCTTCTCTCCCCCTGTAATGCTGCTGAGCTGAGGTTTCTCCACATTGAGAGGGAGAGGAGCCGCTCTAGCTCGGACTCTCTCGGAGAGGGAAGACATGACCCAAATATGTCTGGTCGCCTGCTTGCCTAAGTGCTGCCTCAAACTGGGGTAGAAGAACTGCAGCTCTCCTCTGCAATGACTGCATCGTGATCCCAGTGCCAGACAGGGAGTACGGTGAGAGAGGAGGATGGAGGCTGCAAGGTTGGATTATCGATGTATGTGGCAAACATCTCAAAGGGCTCCAATCGATCACAGCAGTAGGAACAGGGAGTGTTGAACAGGGCAAATGTTACATGTTGGTCTTTTTAAGGGGTCACCTGTGTATTTCACAGCCATGGCTGTGTGTGTGTGTGTGTGTGGACACCCTGAGGTGCAGGGCAGGGCATTGGGAGTGAGTGCAGTGTCGCTCGGACATGGGAAAGTGGGTTAAATTCCAGGCATTCTCTTCCTCCTGAAGGTCTGGTTTGTCTTCTCGACCACAACTTATCTCACATCTTGTGTGTGTTTGTGAGAGCCCTTTGCCAAGCCCACTGGCTATGGAAAAACAATTTAACTGGATTTAATTTGTTGCCCCCCCCTCCCTACTTCTCCTTCCTCTCCCCTCCTTCCCCTTTGCTTTTTTTTCTTTTGTTAGTGCCTCTTAGAGGATTGGGAATGCATCTTGTTTGGTAACTCTGTGCCCAGTCCGAGCTTGCTTTGAAAGTCAGACAGTCCGGGTTTCAGGGCAGCTCTCAGACCCCCAGTCATGTGTGAATGGTCACTGAAGCCTGCAGACCATATTATGGGATGCTGAAACAGGTATTCATACATCTTTGAGAGTAAAATGTATTTGGGAACAATAATGTGGATTAGTTTTCTGTCAAACATGTAAATCTTCCCTGTCACACCTCTTGTTTTCTTTTTGCTCTCTTGTCCCCTTTTTGTCATTCCAAGCCCCACACGCTAAAGGGTTAAAAAAGCACAGTAAAACCAGTTGCCTAGAGCCCCGACCACTTTTTCCATTCTTGCTGGAATGTTTCCAGTGCTATTTATATGAAACCTCAGGCCCAACAATCAAGAAACCGCCTTTGCCAGGATAAAGTTTTCTTCATTATCCCAAATGTCTGTTTGACTGAAGTCTTCTCTCAGAGAAATAATCAGAGATGACAGTGAAATCTGGGCTCCGTCTCTGATGTGACAACACAGATTTGCACCGACAACATGTACTAAAAGGCACGCACGAAACCAATCCATATGACCTAACTGTTATTGTAGAACCAAAGAAAACACTACATGTAATCTGGATGAATAATTCATAGCAGTGGCGGTTAAAGCTCTTATTCAACCCTAAACACAAAGAGAAATTGTGTGTCATTTGTGATCAGAGGGAAAGCACTCACTTTTAGCTGGGATAGAAATATTTCAGAATGATAACAGTTTTCTATTTGTTGAAGATGCCGTCACCCTAGAAGGCATCACTCTGGCTGCCGCACACAGGGTTTTCGCATGCTTGAATGAGTGAGCAGAATTACTTCAGAGGAACCGGTGTTGCAACCTCACAAACTTTGTATTATTATCCATCATGAAAGAGAGTAACATCTCTTAAACACAGACTTCTGCATCAGTGGATCTCAATAAAAGATATTCCCAGAAGAGGGCAGTGAAAGATGTGAATCACCTATTTTATTGAGCTTTATATCATATTAATATGATTTGGAATTATTCAGCAGGAACACCAAATATTTGATTTTGTGTACTTAAACAATGAGCATTAAACATTCTCTGTGTAATGAATGTAAAATAATATTCATGTGATACATGCCAAATATATTAAGTGTGTAAACACATACAGTAAAAATTTGAACCTAGTATTGCAGTATACAGTTAGTGTTTTTAAAATGTAGTTAAAATAATAAATGCAAGGTAGAGGTGCTCTTGGATGGTCTCACATTGTGATTTATAGGTGCACATTTTCACAGATTAGAGCCTTTGTTGGAGTTTTCTGTCCTCTTTAACATGTATCCTGGTGACCAAATCAACCCCTTTATACCATCAACCAATTAATATCACATCCACTGAATAAGAATGTCCAATGGCAATGTAGGATTATGTTTAATAAATGCATCTTAACAGAACATTACCCTAAATGCACAAAAACCCAGGACTGCAGCTCAGTTGAAAGATGAACATGAACTCTGACAGACATTACAGGGGGACAATGACGACAGGGGAGACAACAGTGGGGGTTGTTGCATCAACAACAGAGACAAGTTGGAATGATGTCACTTACTGCACATGCTCAGTCGAATTGCCACAAACACATACGCCATTGAGATGAAGACACTAAAGCACAGTGCTGGAAAGGTGTGGTTTATTGTACTCCTAGATGTTTTCAGGAGCCCCTTAAGTCCCAGATAATATTTTGATATTAGAAAATAAAATACTGATAAATAAAGAAAATACATTATTTCAAAATATATTTTATTTGTTTTAAAAATGCTATTTATTAAATTTTATTATGAATATTATTCTATACAGCCAAACTCTGCTTGATTGTGTAAATTCTACCAACATAGTAAACAAATAACAGTATGATGTTGTTGCATGGATAAATAATGCTGTAAATCACTGTAAACAGCACATACTTTTAGATTAGACCCATGTTAAGAACATTTATTGCAATTATTAAAATTATTATATGCAATTATTGGGGATCAGTGCACTGGCGGTATCATATACAAAATGGGTAACACTTTACAATAACCGTAGTTTATAAATGGTGAATAGACAGTTCATTAATGTTTAATCATCATTTAAAAACAGCATATAGACCAATTATAAATGGTGACTAAAATGATGACTAAACATTAATTAACTATCTGCTTACATTTATAAATGGTCTATTTACCATTTATAAGTTATGGTTATTGTAAAGTGTTACCACAAAATGTCATAAGGCTACATGCAATGTCAGTAATAAAATCATCTGTAAGTGGTTGGCCTAAGTAGAAATCAGTAGAAATGCAAAACGTCGAAACCTTCCCCAGTCTCCCCTACTTTACAGCTGAGGAATCATATAAGTCTAATGTATCTGATGACGCGTTAATTGGTGTACGAAAACACACAGCTGACCTGGGTTTGAGTTAATGAGCATGCCCACGCGCACCAGCGCTCTCTCTCTCTCTCTCTCTCTCTCTCTCTCTCTCCTCGTGCCCTCTCAACACTCAGCAGACGGACGCATCCATGGAGGGCTCGTGCAGCAGTCCTCTGCCGTACTATTTCCAAAACCACATTTCATCATGACATAAGAAGTAGAAACCCGGCTCTTCCAGCCAGAAGCTTATCGATTTTACCAAACAGCCCTTGCAGCATCCCAGCGGTACACATTTACAACTTTTTTTTTCTCTTTAAACATTTCCCCTGCTTCCCTAAAAACCCCTCCCCTGTACTTTTTCATCCGCTCCCGGAAGATTAAGTGTATTCCCTGGGAAATAGAGGAGGTTGCTCGTTTTGTTTTTTTATCATCTGACTCCGGGGATCCGCATGGATGTGGCAGCGGAAAAGGGGATGTCTCCGCCGGGTATCCGACTCCGGAATCGACCGGAGCAAGTGATGCCGAACCAGAAGAAGGTGAAAGCGAGGCGGAAAAGGCGAAAGGAGTTGGTTTTAATCCAGATCTGCTTGTTCGGCGGCTTGCTCCTGGTTGTGAAGGGGTTTTCCTTCTTAGCGGAAAATTCAGGTGAGGAGTTAGCAGTTTGTTCTGCTGAAGGTGGAGCTGAATCCCCCCAGTTTGTTTGTTTGTCTCTATTCTCTGCTCTTTTACCTCTCTAGTATTATTCTTACTACCTAGAGATTCTCACAGACTGTGCTAAGCTTGAAAGATAGAAAAATAGATATAAGTTTAGAGAGAGCCATCACACTAAAATCCACCTTCCTGTTCACACTTCCGCGAAATGCTTCTCTTAATGTTCACACTGTGACTTCAAAGTCAAGCATTTCCTCTTTTTCTACTAACATGGTTGAGGTGTAATTGAAAAGTATTACATTTAACGAATGTACATGTCTGTTTCTCTTGGGCTGAAACTTTTGCTCTAATATTCTGCTCATAATGATAAGAGAGGCTGGTTGCAGGTGATATTACCTGCAACATTAAAGCTCTTGTGAGGCGTTTATAACTGGCTGTGAGGCAGATTGAAATAGATGCTGATGCCACTCTATGATCTACAAAAGTAAACTGACCAACAGCAGCAACAATGATAGTTTCCTTATTGTAGTTTTTTTTTTTTTTTTTTTTTTTTCAGACTTGAAATGCTTCAGGGGGTATGTGTCAGACCTGATGACTGAGAGCATGACAAAGAAACAGCTTTCCTGTACATCGTCCACAATAAATAGTCACACTGAGTGACACCTTTGAATGATTAAAAGTTTTCTCACAGCATCTTCACGTGTTAAAGTTGTGAATTACACAGGAATTTGGCGCTATGGTGTAGGGCTGTCAGTTAAAAAACAAAGAAGAAAAAAACAGCTTCAAACAACATGATGTGTAAATGTTGCAGTCTTATCAGTGATTGCTTCTTCCGATCCATAAAAAAGACAGTCTTGCAGGGTTGAACACTTGCAGATGCGCTGCTAGACGATGATGATGACGCCTCCTTTGCTGTTGCTGTGTTAGATGAATGGCAAGCCATCAGGTGAGCCTTCAAATTTGTCGTGTTGACAAATAAGACAGCTGCTTGGTACAAAGTTGACATACGTATCTTTGTCTTTTATTTTTTCATCTACAGTCAAGATAGTAAAATAATTCCTGATGGCTTCTCAGATGTTTTGGTGTTGTGACCGTGCCCCTGTGCAGTCTTTCTTGACCATGGCCTCCGTTTTTTCTTGTAGAGAAATAACGCTTTATTAGTTTACAGAGGTTAAGAGTGCATGGATTGGTCAGGTTTCAATGAGAGTATGTTATTATGAGTTTAAATTGCTCATTACAGGTGGATTGTATGAAAGTTCAGATTTCAGATAAAAAGTGACAGCCCTTCTATGGTACAAAGTGTTTAACATTGGTTACTCTATCAAATATGACACACAATGAAGTGCTGGTAGATGTATACAGCAGTGTTTTAGTGTTAGGATGTGTTATATTTACCTTAGATGTCAGAGCTACAAATTATGTCACACTGAAGTTGATCCATAGACTGTATATACCATGGACAACTTGGTTCCGCGTCCGCCAGTATACGAATTTGAAGCCAAAAAGCTCTCGGTAATCCTGCGTTTTCTCTCCATTTCCCAAAACCAACATTGCACAGTAGCATTGTACACATTCAGTGGGAGGGTCGCCAAGAGTTGCTGTGATGTCGCTTGGTTCAAACAGCGTATCCCCTGGGAGAGCTACGCAATCCCTGAACGCCTATAGGCTGTATCAGGTGTCAATCATAGAAAACATGAACCCCCTAATAACTTTTAAAAACAGAGCTTTACAGAAAAAAGAAGACTTGAGCACAAACCAGTCTTACTGTAACTACATGTCAACATTACAACCAGGGGGGAGAAAAATGTATGTTCTGTGTAATAAGTTTCTAAAGTTTGTCCACAGCTCCATAAGCTTTACTGGCGGAGGTGGGATATATGACCTATACCGCAGCCTGTCACCAGGGTGTGCTGTTCTCAGGGTGGTTTCACCCAGCAAGGAGGCAGACGCTGTCCATTCTATATGCATTATCATTATCATTTTTTTTTTTTTTGATTATGATAGCCTGAAATTCCACCACTAGCTGGGACTGTCACTCCTCTTACCAGCCACTGCCATAATGCTTAACTACCCAGATGTAAAGAAGATGGCAGATGGCATCTCATAGGGCAGTGTAATTTGACAATATTTTAATCTTAATAGAGATAAAGTTTTATCAAGGTTGTTTTTGGCTTAACTGGCCTAAAACCACTCGAACAAAGCGATGTGTAATTAGCACAGATATACGGCTGTTCAGCTGCAGGGAGGGCTGAAGGCTTGTTATACTAGCTCTGCTGATGTCAGCAGCACACAGCAAACAAATGTGATCTTTTCTTCACATTGACACTCTGATCCTGTGTTTTAGTTTGCTATCAGATACATTACGCTGTATTTTGGTTGTTGGGGTGTTTTCATAACCCAAGTCGGTTAGCAGGAATCATCATTTCTGTTTAAAGACTTGGAAATAAGTAACTTGGACCATACCTAGTCGGTGGGTTTTGCAATCATAACCCTTGAGACAGCATTTTGATTCATCACAAGGCCAACATCCAACATGACAGCACTACTTTTTGTGCATTCTGTTCAAATGCGTTTTAATGTGTCCGATATTAGTCATCTTTACAGTAACAGTTAGCCACTCAGGTTGTGTTTGGAAATGAGTTCTTGAATTGCCAAAATGGTAAAGCCAAAATAAAGTTGTTGTATATTATGCTTAATGAGAGACAGCCCCAATACATATAGGATCTATCAAACAAATCTTGATCTTGTAGCAGACCAGGTGAGCCAGTGTTACTGTACTTTTTTTTCCAGTTTTAAGCTGTGAATTTACCATCACTACAGTCTATCAAAACATAACACTGAGTATCAGTGATCAGCAGTACCGCTTTTTTTATGCTGCTGAAATACACAAAATAACATAGTCAAAGAGAGTTATAGTCCTGTAACTGTTGGCCCAAGCTTGACCTAAAAATGCTTATGTGGGGCTCAAGGTGTTTGTTCTAATACACAGGTACAGAGAGGGCTATAATGGGAATTCATCCGAGCTTTACTGGCGAAACTATTCTAGGATGACAGAGGGATGCAGAGGCTCCTGTATGTTCAGGTGTTGTTGCTGCAGAGCACTGAAATCAGGGCAATGAGCCCCAGGGTATAGGCCTCAGGGTTACTGCATATGTTCCCCTGTGTTTCTTTATTTCTCTGTGAGCTGACGTGTTTTTAAAGTGCTGCAAAATGCAATCAGATGAAACTGTTATAAAAAAAAAAGCAAACATCTGTGTCACATGATAGTTCCTCCTCCTTTGGTCCACGTTTGACTGTCCCCCTCAACTCTCCACTTAATGATGAAGTCGGCTGCAGCTTAAGTGAGATGCATTTCTCACTTCTCAGGGACAGAAGGCTTGCATGAATATTCAAACTCTGATGATTTGTGCATCATCAGTGGGACTAATTTTTCACCTCTTTCCTCCCGCTGTGTACCCTTGTTACATGGAAATAGTGCCTCTGTCTTTGTGAGCTTAGAGGTGAATAAGAGACAACAACAGGGCGTTTAATGCATTTCCCTTGTCTCCATTGTGTTCTCGTTAACTTGTAATCAGCTTACCGGAATATCAATTAAAGTTGATTATTTATGATGCGCTTAATTAACTTCAGCTAGATTGAGCTTGATGTTGTGGAACTGGAAAGCGGAGCACTCAACGCCTCCTCACAGTGGCACATTAATCATTCCCACACTCTTCTGCTCCTCTTTGTCGTGTGCAAGATAGCAAGTGATAGAAGGAAGACGGCAACAGTGCAGCGCTGGCACGCAAACCACACCACCACCACCATCACCACAGCTGCTGCTGCTGCTTCTGCTGCTGCTGTGTGTGGTGTAGTGAAGGTGATGCCAGGTGAGAAGTTCAGCCATGCCCTGAGGACTCTGGAATAACTGGGCTTTTTAATTCTATCCGGATCTGTCTCTCAGGCCAGACTTGTGCTTGGCAGGGTGGAAAGGGCAGAGCTCCTGCTGAGCTCTCTGAAGTATGAAATGAATTCACTGGTGTTGCTGCTTTCTTGAAGAATGTGCAGATGTAGCCACAGTGGGAGCCCCACTTTGTGAGTGTGCTGTTTCTTCACCCCCCCCCCCCCCCCCAAAGAGGATTTTGTTTTGGAAAATCATGAAATTCCACTTCAATGTATGAATTGTGGAGGAGGGAGGATATCATACTGACACATCTGTGGTGGTGTCCTGCAGCTGTCCCCTGCTCCATCATAACATAAGAATCAAACTTTGACATTGGAGAGAGATTCCTGGCTTAAATACATTGCTTCGCAGAAACACAAACATATGATCATACATATATAGAAAAAAATTGCATAATTTTTATAAAAATTTAAAATGTGCTTAAAAAAATGAATTTTAAAACACATTTTTCAAACATACTCAAGTGTAAATACGAACAATATTTGTTTCTGTATTGTTTGGGATAATTAACTGCTCCTCTTTATTTAATAGAACCTTGAATTCAGTCTTTTTGGCTTTTTAGACTGAATTTATCAGGCATGTTTTTGAAATTTATAAATACAAACTAGGTACCTGGCAATCATGAAAATAGTCAGCGAATTAATCACTGATGACAAAACCTAATCATTTGCATTTTCTATGTTAGCTTTTACTCAAAGGGTTGTCTAAAAGCATGCTTCATAATTCACTCAGTATATTGACATTTTGTTCAGAATTTTAGATTTATTGTATTAGTCTGACTGAAAATAGACATTTTAAACACATGTAAACATTTTAACCCAGTTTCTCGTAGTCTTACATACTAACATGGTTGGAGATCAATTTCTGTTGTTTGTCTACACCTCAGTCAGACCTAAACTGGCCAAAGTGTTCTGTGCATGCTTCACAATTTGCACGTTAGGCTTTGACCCAGAAGTTGGACAGTATTAATGCATTGTAGGAAGCTGGGTTGCTGTGCATGTGCAAGAGTGCATGGATTTTATGAGGTTATGGTGATAGCGCCCTCTCCTGGATCATACAACAAGTAACTTCAGGCATTGTAGTTATACTATAGTTCATTACAGTTAAAATATGAACTCCTCCCAAGTGATTGTATAAAGTTTAACATTTCATAAAAAAAGTGACAGCCCAACGGTCCAGTAGTAAAGAGTTCAAAGGGAGCATATCGCCACCTACTGTAGTGGAGGTGGACATACTTTTGTCAATAAATCAATTCTTGCCCAGTGCTTGCAACCGCACAATCAAACAAACATTCCCATCGGTGCAACTATAAACCTCCATGTTCTGCAGAATTCAACAAACAGAGTTTGGTAGCTCCAAAAAAAGTGATTTAACATCCATTCCTGGTGTGTGTGTGTGCTTTATCCCGCAATATAAGTACAATGAAGGCCTGTAGCTTCTCTATCTGAAAGTCTAATGACAGTCTACCATATTTATAAAGACAAACATCTTTAATAGGTGTACTTAATAACTAAGTGTCTCACAGCTGCAGACTGAAATGGTCTGCTGAGGAAAGTTCAATTAAAGATTTCAAATATGACAAGTCTCTGTTAAGACCTTTCACACTGTGATTTTCTTTCTCTTAGTTGCAAGTCACTTTAAACTTTCAAATGATAAAAAGTGTCACATTTATATTGATGCAAGAATGAGCCAGTTAATGGGTTTGCCATAAATAAATTTGTAATCAATAAAAGTTCATGATTTATTATTTCTTCCATCAACAATATCAGATATAACATTTCAGCTTTCCGTGTGTGAACACTTGCTGGGTCTTATTGGCATCCTGAACTGGTTTGGATTTCTAAAATAAATCAAAACATCAGAGAGAGAGATTCTCACTTTTTGTTGACTATGAAGTAAAAAAGAAACAGCATCAGTATTGCCAAAATAAGACTGCCACTGTGACGATGCTTTACAAACAAACTGATCAGAATATGTCAGGATTCAGTTCTAGGCATGTATTACACTTCTATCAAATTTTTCCATCCAAAGTGAGCAGGCTCAGCACCATGTCTGTCTCTTTTTTTCCTCCTTTGCTCATTATCAAAGATCTGTCAGCGAAAGGTCAGACGTTATGTGTTATTTTCAAATTAAAAGCAAAAATGCCACTGAACAGTTCAACTGGATAACATGCCTCTACTTTTCTTTTTGAATGTCACTGAAGCTTTCACCATGCAGTGACACAAAATTTGACAGACTTCAAAACTGATAATGCATTTTGATACAAGCTCAAGTCTCTTGTTGCACAGGCGAGGCTGTATCTGACTCAGAACTTTGATCAGCTACAATATTAACATTTCATTCCTTTTTGAGGTCAGTGCCACACCAACATCTTTTATCAACCCATAGACCCTTGTAAGGGCACATCATCATGTTACTGTATGAAAATTTTTTTTCGTTGTGTCTAAAATAGTAGGAATAGTTGTAGTCGAATAAGCTCAAGGTAGCAGCGGCTCTGCTGAGAGCCCCTTCAGCCTGGACAAATAGCTTCTTTTTAACGTGTTTCACCAACTGTGTCTGTTTATTCTGCAGAGGAGGCTACCATAAATACCTTTCTTAAAATGGGATGGTAACCTTGTAACCAATCTGAGCACCTGGAAACAAGCTGAGCAGCTGCTCAGCTTGCAGACCCTCCTCATTTCCTTTGCTATTTTAGATTGTCTAACAAACAATACTAGGACTAATGTGAAAATACATTTTCTAATTTTGTTGCATGTTACATTATTAGATTGTTACATTGAATCGCCAGGTTGAGGTTAGGGTTGTTTTGGATATAATCTGTCCTCTGTGGATGAGCTAGTTCATGACTGAAAAACACTGTTACTCTGGGCCTGATTCATAACAGGACTGCACAGCTTTTGTAACTACAGTACCTGTGCTAATGAGATGAAAAGACATCATCTGATTCGCTGAGCACAGGCAAGAAGGATAAGGGTTCCACTCATTGCACTCTTGCACCGTTTGCCATGAGCCTCTATGCATTAATTTAGAACAATATATGCCCCTTTTTATGCAAATGAGCTTTATTGCAAAAACAGTTTACTCACAATTACCAGAGCTTCATATGTTTTTTTGTTTTTTTTTTGATATGCTGGAGTGTTTTTAAGTCAGGTCACACTCACTGAGCAACACTTATTCCTCTGGATGGCATAATAATAACATATCTGCACATGAAATGTCTCTTGATTACTTTGAAATCACCATTTCTAAATGATCAAGGGTTAAATCTTCCTCTTTTCACCTCACTGTCCCACCCAACTGTTTGACCACCATGGGCTCCAGAGCCTATAGTTGCTCTGCTCCCCTACTTTGGAGCCCACACTTAAAAATCCTGCGTGATATGGTTTTAATATTGCGTCATTTTTTTTACAACCTTAGGATTTACAAATTACAGGCAGAGTTGCTCATTCTCCATTGACTGTTTGGCTCTAGAGCGAGCCTAAAGCAAGGAGACCATCCAATATGGTGGCAACGCTGGATTATGCACCAGCATGTAATGAGGTGTCTACAATGTTTGGTAGAAACAGTGAATGACTGTGAGACAAACTTAAAGTAAAAGAAATAGTGCAAACCAACCTCTGGTCACGGTATGTGTGAATGAACTTAAAACTGCAATCCAAGAAGCTGAGAAGGTATATGACAATGTTGCTGCAACACCTGTTTCTGCTGCAAATCTTGATGGCGATGAGATGCTGTTTAAATTCATGGAGAAGCTTGTAAAGGAAGCGACCTTAAACCTGGCATCTTGAGAGCTGTGGATTCCAGACACAGAGAGAGCCAGTCTTGAAGGCAGAGTCAAAGACTTGAAAACAACCCATGTCAGGCTGGATGCAAGGAGAGCAGACAGTGTTTGCGCAAAGAGTTGAAGAGGAGGAGAGAAAAGGTGCATCAATGCTGACTTCAATGGCTGCATCAGCAACCACACACACTGCACAGGCCACGGCCATAGTGAGGCTCTCACTACCCAAGTCTTTCACAGTTGCAAAAGAGATTTCCACAGGTGAAGGAGAGACTAGGAGAGCTGTCAAAAGCAAGGTGGACCAACCGGCTCAACTGAGGTGAAAAAGATGCAACTTTTGGACAGCACAGGTAACAGAATCTCAAAGCCTTTGACTTGATTTCTGCTCACACACTGCAGAAGACATCTTCAGAGTTGTGGAAAACAGGTATGGAAATAAAACTGCAGTTTCCCTGGAGATGATTGAGGACCTGGAGAAAATCCTTGTGGTAAGATCAAATCAGCCAAGAAAAGTGATCAACTTGATCCAAGCTGTGGAGAAAGCCCTTGCAGACCTGACAGAGCTTGGAGAGACAGGAGCCATCAAAAATCCACTGGTAACAAAAAGTACAGAGAGCAAACTCCCCGACCTTCTTAAGAGAGCTTGTCTTGTCTTCATGATAAACCCAAGCAACAATGTCACCCCGGCAAACCACATTGACAACCTTCTGTAGTTCTTTAAGACCCAAGAACAAATCCTTGAAAAACTTGTGCAACTTGGAGTGCCTGAGATATCAGAGAAGTTTGAAAGGAAGTTTCTTTCAACAAGATCAACAAAGACAGATGGTGGATGCTTTGTCTGCAGAGATGGGATGCATAAAGGACTGCGTTTTTTCTGCAAACGTTTCAAAGAAATGAAGTTTAATGAAAAGTTGGGTGTGTTGAAGAAGCTGGGAGCATGTGAAAAGTGTCTAGGATGTCATGATGGACATGAGTGTAAAAACACTTACCTCTGCAAAAACCAAGACTACAGGGAAGGGAGCTCCCCAGACCACCATTACCTTCTGTAAGCAAGTGCAGAATCCAGAGGGAATGAGTCCGACAAAGGTGGATCCATCAACCCAGGATCAGTCTGGGTTGATGCAGACAAATGGACTGGAGGAGTTACCTGTCATCATGATGCTTCTTGAGGTTACAGCAAATGAAAATTGGAACACTGATAGACCTGGCATCCGATACCAACTCACTCACAGAGCAGTAAGAAGGTTAATCGTCAGGAGTGACATAATCCCTTTGGTCATCCATAGAGTTAGGGGTATGACAATGAGGGTCCCAAGTCAACGATATTGTCTTAAAGTCAGAGTTAAGACACCCAGAGGCACAGAAAGAGCTCATCAGCTCATCTGTTATGGTTTAAATGAAGTAGCTAATGTTTAGAAAGTCATCAAACCTGAACAGCTAAAGAATTTGTCTCCAGAACCCGGCCTGGAGGATCTGTGAAGACCGGAAACAATTGAGTGACTTATCAGCCACAGAGAAGGACGACTTGCTCCACAGAGGGAGAAGATCAGTGGTGACTTGGCCCTGTAGAGCAGCCCCCTAGGTAAAACCATTGCTGGAACCCACCCAGACTTGTTTGAGAGAGTGGAGAAAAGAGCACAAACGTCTGAAACACACTTTGCATGCTCCATGAGAACAGCTACAGCTAAGTACAAGGAACTCATCGAGGCTGACACTGAGCACAACTGCTGGTAGAGATTTTCTGGAGTGGTGGAAATGGGACAGTATTGGAGCAGCCTGTGAATCGAATTGTAGAGGATGTCGATGTGGAAGCTGTCAGCCAAGAGGTAAAGAAATGCCACTGAGAGAAGAAAAAGAGCTGGAAATAATAAAGCAAGATCTCACTTAGGTATAATCTGATGCACACAGTAACCTACTGCTCCATACTGGGACACAATATACCCATTAAATCAGTCTGAGGCAGTGGATCGAGCCATGCCCTGGAGTTTTTTGTCATCTGGATGAGCACCTTTTGGCTTGGTTGCTCACTCTCCAGCTTATCATAGAATTTAGTGCTATCAGGATGAGAGTGCACAGTGCAGTCCTGTGCAGCAGAGCACAGAGATGCTTGCAGCCCATGCCAGTCCTAGTAAAATGCAAAACTGAAGCGAACTGCACAGCACTGTTTGTGCGAATGGCACACATGTTTACTCATGAATATTATAAGTGTAATTTGCTTTTTGAGACTGCAGATTGCAAAGAAGATGAACTTGTGTTTTTAATACTTGACTTTGGTTGGCAGTCCTTGTAAGATTGTTGTGAATACTTAATATGAATTGTTAAATAGTTGAATCCACATTATAATGTACTGCATTTCTCAAGAAAGAGGAGAGAAACATCTCACTTTGTCGAACTTTAAAGTTTATTTCAGGGTTTGTGAGTACAAGCCTCTGTGGGCCAAATACAGCTGTCACCATGAAATACAATGGGTCTCTTCAGTCATGGATATTCATGAAAAACTATAAAATGACACAAAGACATCTTACTTTACAAACAACTCTTTAAAAAAGCACAGCAAACCACACATTCAATCCAGTACAAGGTATGGTGAGAAATGAGGCATGATAGGATGGGGCCTCAGTAATTTTGTTTGCGAGTGATCATATTTCCTCAGGTAATTGAAAATGTGGATTTGAAAGCTCTGAAACTCAAGTATGCAATCACAGCAATTCTGTCGCTGCTCTGCATTGTCCTTGAATCTATTTTAAACTTTCTCTCTGACAAACATCTTCCAGGTTTCGACGTCTCCGGCCGCAGCAGCGAGGACCTGGAGAGATGGGGAGGAAGGAGGCTACTGCAAGAAATAGACAACAGCAGCCTGGAGGAAATGGGGAGTGAAGGATCTAAGAACTGCACAGCTCCAGGTAAGACAGAGACAGGATGAAAGAAAGAGGACACTGAAGTGTTCGCCCTCCCTCCCTCCTTCTCTCCCTTCAGAGCAGAGGGGAAAAATAGGGAAAAAGTAAGAGAGAAATCATCACCGCACATGCTCCTTTTTTCTACCCTCTCTGTCCTCTCTGTTTCCCCTTCTTGATGTGGGGTAACCCACTTTGTGAGGTCAGATGATTTCCCGTGGGCCCACCAATGACGTTCTGGCTGCTTCAGCAGTTTTCAGTCTTCGTTCTCTGTCACTTTTTTTCTAAGATCCTGCAGGTTTCCTTCTCACTCCCCCTCACCTAGCTTCCTATCTCTTCGTCTCGCAACAGCTCTTTCATCCCTTCCTCTGTGTCTCCTGCACGTTTTCCCCCATGGTGGCTGAATTTCTGGGAAAAAAAAAAAGAAAAGAAAAAATCCCTGTTTCCATGGCGACCTTTTATCTTATAAACCTGCAACTTCTGTGTGAGGCATTCGGGATAGTGTGAGAGGATGCTGGAGGCATTTTGTGCAGCTTGTTGTTGTGAAGTTGTTGACTCTGGGTAGTGGGGCTGAATCCACCATGTGAGAGTAGAGCTTTCACAATGTCAGACCCCCCCCCCCCCCCCCATGATTGTCATGGCTAAAAATATCCTTAATATGGGTTTAATAATGGTATTTAAAGAAAACTAAGGACAAAGGAGTAAATAAAAGTACTGATATCAAAAAAGTATAATATGAAAACAATACGATTACAAGTGTGATATAAGAAAAGCTATATCTATCACTCTGACTGGTTGTTGAAGTCCACTGTTCAACGATGCGTGAGATGCACCATGCACTCTAAAGATTTTGTGCAACTTGAGCCTTTGTATCTTTCGAGAGAGCTGCTGATAGTATTTGACTAAATTTGATTTGAGATTTGTACTTTGGCTGCAGTGTGTTTACTAACCTTCTGAATCGTTCGTTGTCAACCGTGGAAAATGTTCTGAACCTTTGGTGATATATTCAGTGATACATCTTTTTTTATCTTTTAAGCTCTCTCTCTGTGATGGGTAGTGTCACTATAAACACTTCCTTTAGAGTACTCTGGTTCAGCTGGATTTTTTGTCATTGAATGTTCTCAAGTCTTTTGTTTTTAGGTTGAAGCTCCTGCTGAGAGTTTTTAACCGGTTGTGAAACAGGCTAATATTAATACTGTAGTCCCTTTATGACCTAATAAAAGTCCCTTGAACAATTTTATGATGGTCATTTACAGAAAAAAATATTTCACTTGGTGGTAAAGAATTTCAGTGGGACGTCATTGTGGTTGAAATAGAGATATAGGTTGAAAATAGAGCTACATTTAACAGAAGTATGTATGAGTGTGAATCAACCATAAATGAAATTTAAGAAGGAGGAGGTAGACATGTGATGCAAGGTAACTTGGCTCCTTAAAAGCGTATGTTCAGTTAATGTGATATAGCACGCTAATGGTTAACAGGTGCGACTTTAAGGTGTTCTGCCTTGTTAAGAAAAATGATATCATAGCTTAATTAATCCACAAAGATCCATGACTTTGTGAACATTGAGTTTAGAAAGCTATTGTATTTGTCATCCAAGAGTTCACTCACCATTCATAATTATGAACTTGAGCAGGGGGCTTGTTTTCAGGTGAGTTGTTTTCCCCCCATCTTCTTGTACCCCACAAGGCACTTTGTTGTCTCCAGGGTCGATACACTCAAGTCTTGTCTTAAAAAAATGTGTCCATGGGTTGTCTCTTTTCTTCCCTCCCAGTGTGCAGGCAACAGGTTGTGACGAGGCTCACATATACCAGGCTTTTAAAAAGACTTCTTACCAACATAGTGGGGAAAAATTGTCAAATCAAAGTACAGATCGATGACTGAATAGTTTAAAATGAATGTGAGAAATAGATCATCAGATCAGTGATGAATATTTTGATTTAATTGAAAAAAGTTGAAAAACAAATTTATAGCTAAATGGAGAAAAAAAGTTAAGAAACACAGCTGAAGGTGGAAGTAAGCAGAATTAAGTTACAGTCTCCTTCATTATTATGATTTGGACCAAAAATAGATGAAATTTCCAGGGTCTAGTGAACTGGAAGGGAATGTTCCCGTGTGCTTGTGCGCCAGGGACTTCTAAAGTTGATGCACAACCTCTGGGGAAGGAGAAAGACAACGCTGCAGATAAGCTGCGCAGCAAAAGATCGTACAGACTGGCATGTTATGAATCTGAGGAGGCAGCTGGTAAGACTATGGAACTTTTAAGACTTTGGTTTGCTGTTGTGCCGCCGCTCAGGGCACGAGCAAACTTTGTGGTATTTACATCAACACAACATCAAACTTCATGTTTATAGACTGTTTGGATGGATGGTGTGTTTGTGTCTTCATTAGCAGAATTTTTTTTTAAAGTGCAGTCTGTAATTTTTGGCACACGTGGGCATGCAGTGATGTCTGCATGGATTGATTGATTGATTGCTTGATTGATTGATTGATTGATGGTTTGTTCGCTGTTTGGCTTGGGGCCTCCCTTGCATGAGCAGCATGTTGAAGCTGAGTTTTTACAGGTTTTGCACATGTGTTTTGATTTTGATTAAATAATTCAGGCAATATTATGGCTGTTTGATTGAAAAAGAAAATTATTCACTTCTTTAAATGTTAAAAGCCAATAAATATTATAGTTAAAAGTTAACTTAAAAGTTAAAAACAGCAGGAAAAGCTACTTTCTGTTATATTGGGAAACAGGAGCTTATATGAAAATGATGCTGTTTTGTATTATGCAATGCAAAGCTATTGTTGATTTATTGCTTGTTGGCATTAAGCACAATTGTTTCTTCTGTTTGTTTGTTTTTTCTATTTCAAAGGTTCTACGTATAGCAACCAACGTTAGTGAATTCAACTGAACAACTTTTAAATCAAGAAACCTTACATTTCAAAATAAAAGATGAAAAAAAGATGTTCAGTGTGAAAGTTACAAAGTGCTGTTCCAGTCTAGAAATACTCAATACTCTACAGTTTCCATGCACTCAACTACGTTCCAGGTAACATCAATTAAGTCTTTAAGGGCCGAGGGCTTAGGGTTTAGGGCTTATATCTAGGGCTAAGAGTTTTGATTTAGGGTTTAGGGTTTAGGTCTTAGGGTTTAGAGCTTAGGGTTTAGGGTTTAGGGCTTAGGGTTCAGGGTTGATATTTAGGGCTCAGGGTTTCGATTTAGTGCTTAGAGTTTAGGGCTTGGGGTTTAGTGTTAAGGGCATATATTTAGGGTTTTGATTTAGTGCGTAGAGTTAGGGCTTAGGGTTAAGGACCTATATTTAGGGCTTATGGTTTTAGTTCAGGTCTTAGGGTTTTGGGCTTGGGGTTGATATTTAGGGCTTAGAGTTTTGATTTAGGGGTTGGGGCTTATAGTAAAGGGTTAGGGTTTAGGTTCCCTTAGGTTTAGGGTTAAAGGAGGAGTTTGAAATTCAGCCTTCGTATTAACTGACAATGCCAAGTGACTACTGAAGAAGACTATATGAAGTTTGTAGTCCAAATGTGTACAGGTTAAGAGAAAACACACTGAAACAGTTGGAAGAAGAGCGTAACTACATCCTAATGAACCTTAGTGGGTAAATCTGTTATTGTTTGACATATATTTAATCAAGGTTTTATTTGTGGAAGTGTAAAACATTTACTGTTTCAAGTGTTGAGTGGAATCCAGTTTCATTTACAGGTAGCATACACAATCCTTTCAAGAGAGGAAACGGCACAGTTAGAGTACTTGACAAAAATTATCTAGTGACAATAAAAAGATAAACAGAGGGGGCGAGAGTTTGTATCAGTGCACTTGTTGCAGAAATATTACTGGACTTGAAGGTAAATTAAGTGACATGGACAGCATTTGCGCACTCAAAATGATCAAAATTTTCCATCTTGTCATTATTTTCCAGATAGTTTTGAACAGAAATTTCACCACAATTCTCACTGTCACTTGGCAAACCATTCATGTCATAATCTGTGTTCAGTTGGGGAAAGCTGCAACGTCAATGAACACTTATTGTCAACATTTTTTATCATATAAATTAACTGGACCGTAGTATCTGTAATGCCCACCTACTTCTACACTGATCCACTATAATCATAATAAAACTTTTGTCCTAGAGTGTTCTTTTTTTACCTTTTAGTCCAATATCAAGGTACTATTAATCTCCTAAAATCATTACATTTCCATCCCAAGTATTTAGGCCTATAAAGAATCAATCAAAAAATGTTTAAAATAAAGGCTCATCACACTTTGGCAGGACAAAAAGCGATATCCTCAAAGTGCTTCTTTTGTCTATCCAGCGATCAAAACTCGAACACTCATCCATAACTGTTATGTGAATAGTCAAGAGTAACGGCAGATCCTCACATTTGAGATATTGCCAACAGCAGATTTGTGCTAGATGAATAAATAAATAATTATTTAGTTATGATAAATAACCAACCGTCAACAAATCGATTGGTGACCAATGCGGTTGTACTTTGGATGAAGTTTGACTTTGAATAAAAACGTGTTTTGTGCCGCGATCCAGCCGGCTCTTTAACAAACCAATCCTCACAGGTGTGTGTGAAACATCACATACTCCTTGATATGTTTCTATATTTAGATGATATTAGACATGAATTTCATGCTCCCTCCTGTTATAATTGCAGTGTAAGAGGTGGGATGCAGATGCGTGACCCCCGCCGCAGATCACTTTGACATTTGTCTTTTTTGCCTCCTCAAGCAGGAGGCAATTGGCCTCTCTCATGGCGTTCTCTCGTGAGCTCATTAAGCAAAATAGCCGTCATCAATCTCCTTCCTCACCCTCCCAAGGTCGGCTTTGTCATCTATAAAGGGAGCAGAGGTCAAAGTTCAACTTATTCTCTCATCCTGCTTATTATACAGTAGCTGCTCTTTCCTCCTTTGTGCTAAAATTAAAGCTCATACCCTCGGTGGCTTCAGCCCCAGCGTCTCTCCAAGGATTGAAAGGTTTTAGATGGAAAAAAAAAGTCTCAGAAAGTCTGAGCCCACTCTGGTGATTTCTGCTGCTGTCCCTGAAAAGAGAGACGTAAAACATACAGGAGATAGTGAGTCATTTTTACAGCTGACCTTTGAGAGAGAGGAGTCCACAATTTTTAAAAGAGTGGTGTGAAGGAAGGCTGTCGAAGCAGGACACATGGCCTGTGAGGTGTGAGCAGGTGCAATTTTGTCGGTCTTTTTAAATGATGAAAGTATTTTTTCTTTCCTCCTCATCAAAACTTTTTCATCCTGTAAAATCCAAGTTGATAGGAGAACTTTTCTCTCATAGTCCACTGTTGAAAGGTTTCCTCTCACCGACTGGCCAAGGGTCTTCTAATTTATATGATGAAATATTACCAGGAAATGCATTTGGATAACTCCAATTCAGGAAAATGGTGCACCATTTATCCAGCTATATACCATGCCTGGCACTTTTTGAAGCTGTGCACAACCCTCTATTTCACCTCAGTCAAAGTCCCCCTTCCATGCTGAGCCTCCAATAAGAGACAATGAAGATGAAGTCTTGATCAATGCGTTGTAAAATAGGGACACCGTGATGATTTTGAATGTATCAGCAGTCTTGTTTGATAACAAAAAAGCAGAACTGAAAGTAAATCTTCATAAACCACCAAACAACCAAAAGTTCGTCCCGATGGAAACACTGTCATATGATCCCAAAGGTCAGTAGGATTCATCCTGTTGGAACCAAAGCTGTATTTGTCATTTGGCCATTCAGCTTATTGTGTGATCATGTCGTAACTTGCATGTGTATCTGCACACCACAGACTGTGTGAGTGTGTGTTTTTCTGCAGTTTACCATGCACAGAGTGTCGAGCACGAGTCTGTCTGATGAGGAAGCATCCCGACATGAGCTCTGTGCTCCGGGAGGAAGCAGCACGGCGGAGGCGCTCACTGATTGTTGCCTGAAATTATTGTCCTGCCGATCGAGATGAGGGAGACAGACAGAGAGACAGAGCGGGAGAGAGAGGCCCTCATTTGCTAATTTTTCCCTGCCGGGCGCACATGAAACAAGCGATCATACCCATCATTACGTCTTCCTCACTGATTTTAATTGTGAAGACCCCGCTGTTACTAGTGATTTCAGTCACTTGTTTCATCCCTGACCCCCTCCTCATCAGTGTTTGGTTCATCAGTGGAGAAGAAACCGGAAAAGCTGGTAGTCTTGCTGCATGATATAAGCACTGTAAATTTTCTAGATTATCTATACTAACATTTATTGTTAGGAGATAGTTAAATTAAAGGACCCAGAAGCAGACTGGATGACAGGCAGGTGTTGTAGAGGTTTTATTTCAGGTTGGATGGTATCTGGCAGGGTCTAAAGGTGGGTGAATTAAGGCACTGTTGAGCTTCTATGGGTAGACTTTGGAGTTGTGTGGATTTGGCTTGTCCATAAACCTGTTTCAGTGAAAAACAGTCCAGCCAGGCAGGACAAATGAAGTAGGATTCCCTCTGTTTTACCGGATTACCTACAGGGTCTCTTAAAAAGGAATATCAAAGTTAAGAGTCAATAAGGAAATGTTGTTTTGATAGTCAGTAGTGTTGTACAATTAGAGGATATCAGAGGGGGGTGGTAGTCAAGCTGCAGCTAATAACTTTAGCTGTCGTAAGTATTTTTAAAAATTGCCATTTCTTTTGAACTTTTAATATCTACATTTCAATTTGCTTTTTATCGCCATTATGAGACTCAATTGTTTGCAGTATTAAACAGTATTAAAGTTAGTATTAACAAAGTAAAGAATTCTTACAAGTTTTTTGATTAAGAAATCATAGGAATGCAGTGAAATATACTTTTTTCATTCAAATAAATGCTATACAGCTACACCCGTGTAGTCTAAGAACATTATTTAGAGGTAGGAGACAGCTTCAAAGTGCATATTCTGTAAAACACTTTTTCTTTTCTTTTTTTTTTTCTTTGAAGGATAACATTGCAGCACATCAAGAATGCAGAAGTGCATAAACAAAATATTCAGTCAGTGTGAATATGACACACAGTGATTCTTTAATAATTTTAATCATGTAGTTAATGACGTCCAGGGATCCCTGGTTAATGCATCAGCGTTCTCAGGAATTCTAGTTTGGATGCTTCCTCAGTATCGTAGAGGACCTGCATGTCTTAAACTATCATACTCACACCAGTAATGCATAAATCTGATCACAGCATACCAACTGGAGGATGTCCTTTATACCTGAGCCACAGGTCCGTGGGAACTCATACACTTAACAGCTCTCTGAAGGCTTTTGTGATGCATTTACATGCTGTCATCAGTCTGACTGGTTATACTTGCGTGCTTCGCTCAAAAGTGCCCAAAATTAAGGTATTGTGGTGATATTCTAATTCAGTTTAACACCAAGTGAATATTACGGTGAATATTACTTTTGGCACTCAACTGAGCAGTGTGAGAATATTTAAAAGTGAGATGTGACATTCAAAGCACAGTGGTATTATTTTATATGAGATTTCAGTAGGGCTGCGAGCTGAGCTGCAGACAACCAGGTTAGCTCAGTTTTTAGATGTTGTAAAGTTGTCTAGTTATTGCGTTAGGTGTTGGTTACAGTTGAGAAGGGTTAAATCTCTGTAACTTTGATCCCTATTTTCTAGGGGTGGAAATAATACAATATTATCATGATAATTGGGCCACAATATGATATTATTGCGATTTTTAACATTTTGCAATATAGTGGGTATTGCGATACAATATATTGCGATTTATACAATTTTTTTCAACTGTTTAGCTTATTTAGCATTTGTCTTTCCTTTATGTTTGTCTTATTTACTCTGTATTTTATTTTCATCTAGCACATCTTGCAAACCTCATGTGTCAGGTCCATCTCATCTGTGCTCTGCTTGCATTCCTAATGTCCCTCCCCGAGGTGCTGCTATATTTGTTGTACCAACTTTCTCCTGCTCGAAGATGTCACCTCTGCCAACCTCACTGGACAAACAGTTGATTTTAGTTTTCCATTATCATAGATTTGACTTCTTATTAACAATTAATTTGAAAAAATCGATACTTGGTAAATGAGCGATACGATATATATCACCAGACGAAACATTGCGATACTATGCTGTATCGATTTTTTCTCCCACCCCTATTTTCTGTGTACAGCAGAAATAAAATAAAAAATCCTGGCTAATAAAGAGGTGAAAGGTTCATGTACTCTAAGAATGACTAACAATGTTTATGTAAGTATATAAGCGCTCATAATGTACGTTTGCCTCCATAAGTACACAGCACAAGAAATCTTTCGTTTTCTCCTTGACTTCCCTTTTATCATGAAAATCACAAGTTTTTCATTCTGGTGACTTTGTTGTGTGGGTGAGGCAATGTTGTACCTGACTTGCTGTGGCCTAGATTAGAGTAGGAAATAAGAAAAAGCCATCACTTCAGAGGATACCAGAGCAATCAGGAGAAGAGTCTTTTAAATTTTCACCAAGTACAGCAAAGACAAGATTTTTAACACTCTGCCATGCTCATGCACGTTAAACCACGCTCTTTAAGGACTTGGCTTCTGGACAAAAAGGGACACCACCCCAGTGTGGATTATTATTTCCTGTTGATTCTCCTCTCTTTCAAACACAGGTGGATGACGTAACCCCCGGCAGCTCTGTGTACGGTGGCATTATTAGACAGATATCGGTGGGTACCCCAAACATGTGACTGCTCTCTACAGGGGTCTTTCCCCGGAGGCTTTCCTCCTCCTCCTTCTCCTCCTCCTACGTTATTAAACATCCTCTCTGCTTGGCTCAGCTCGACTCCGACGCCACACTCCATTTTAGGAAAGGAGGCTGCGATGACTTAATCAGGGCTTCCCTTTGAGATATGTGATGTGTGTGCACGCATGCGTACGGCTGAACGTTGAAGGAATAGAGCCTCATTAGGAAAAGTATTGATTAATGCAAGAGTGCCGGCCCTGTTTTCTGCAGCGAGTAGGAGTGTGTGTTCAGCCCATGTGAGCATTTATGTGTGTTTGTTTGCCTCACTTTACGTGGGCAGCCCCCCCCGGTTCCTCCCCATGTGCCGGAGGCAAGTGAACAAGCATCGCTGTAATGCAGCTGATGAATTAATCACACCAGAGAAAAAATGATCACGGGCTAAGACCTCGACAATAGAGCTTCACTAATCAAATGCAAAATTGACCTGGGGAGCTCCCATAATGATTTCCTCTGAGAAATCAATCCTGCTGTATTACAATATTAGCTTTGAGTGAGCTGCTCTGTCAACACAACCACAACAACTGCATAAACAGTTGCAGATGGTGGCAAAGTTCTTTCATAACTGCCTAACGTGCAGATTGGCAAAGTCATCTTGTTGTGTTATTGCAGAAACAGAAGCCTTGGTGCTCAAGGGAATAAGAGCGATCCATCACAGCAATTAGCTGAGCGAGTCAGAAAGTCCCCGCTACATCAGCTCCTGCTGCTCCTCTCACTGTTTCTCCCTCATTTCCCCCCTTTACTGTTTTTGTCCCTCTTTTTTGTTTGCTGTTGTTTTCCCCTCATTTCTGCACTCGCTGAATGTCATGTTTCTTCTTCATCTCTCTTCTATCTCCTCCTGCAAATAGAGGAAATGCTTCCAACTTCCCCTCTGAATTATAGAGTCCAGGTTGTTTGCCAGCAGCAAAAGTGGCTCGACACACCTTTAAAAGATTCATCCTGCTGGTGTGACTGTGAGCAATGTTGAAGCTGTTTCCTGAGAGCTGCAGACATCGCCCTCAATGCCACTTTTACAAAGACTGAGAGGAGACATAGCTGCTCACACGAGAAGTATTTTTCTGAACAGTGTTTTTGTGATCTCAGAAGTAAAATTGTCTGCACAGAGAGTCTCATTAGGTTGTTTCAGTGCAGCTTGTCCTGAACCAACTCTATCATGTTAACGCGCACAGCTCAGTCAATATGTGGTTATAGCTTGTTTATGCATTTTAACTGGAAGCTTAGTAAAAGCTAGTTTAGTTTTTAAATCAACCCGGAGGTGTGGGGTTCCGCCCCAGGTCCTGAGGCGTCCTTGGGCAAGACACATGACCCCATCCACCCCTGCTGGGTGCGCTCTGTGGTGTGTGAACGGGATAAGCAGCCTCCGCTTTAAGTGTGAGAATGTGGTTTGAATGTGACATGCAATGTAAATAGTGCTTTGAGCGGTCTGAAGACAAAAGAAAGCGCTGTACAAAAAGAAAATACAGTCCACCTTAGATGCCTGCATACTAGGGCTGGGCGATAAACCGAAAATTTACCGATACCAAAATTTACGACAATTTTGCCCATGTCAATATATTTGATGTCAAAAAAAATAAATAAATAAAAGTTGGTTTTGGATTTTTTTTAGGTAGGCTATGGTCTCATGTCCCTTTCAAGACGCTGACCTACGTTTGAGACGTGACTCCACCCCATCCAGTCTGTAACAAAGAGGGAAAGACAGGTGAGGAGATGGAGGACGGTTCAAAGTTTGGAGCGGCTGAAGTAGATGAATTTAATGTGGGAGGGGGTGAGCAGCTAGTGCAGTAGTTATCGTCCATTTATCGTTATCAAGGTGAACTGCTCAATATATCGTGATATTGATTTGAGGCCATATCGCCCAGCCCTACTGCATACCATGCTTCTTGTTAATTACAATAGCAGTTTTACAAAGGACACAGTCAAATAATTTGTTATCTGCTAACAGTGGAGGTTGGTACAATGTGAGATATATCTCATTCCCCAATGATTCTGGTGCAAACAACACAACATTTCAGACTCCTATTCCACTTTGCTTTTGGTTGTGCTCTGACAATAGGACAGTTTTCGTATGTCTCATTAAATGCAGCCATGCAGTCTTCTTATGATTTTGCCTCCGGGTACATAGTTTAAAAGTTTATCTTCTTCAGAGTCAATATAACAGTGCAGCCTCGACCATACATACAGAGGAAACTATCTTGGTTGGTGCCTTGAGGTCAGACACGGACAAGCTGTGTGGCTTTGCATGACTAAGCTTGTCGTCACATCCTGTTTGTGCTGCACGGTGTCAAATATAAGGTTAAGATTCAGTCAAAATGTGATAAGATGTTTGATGTGCTTTATGGATAGGAATATTTCAGCCTGTCAGATTGCATTATTTGAGGAAAGGCTCTCCACATGAAGAAGTCGAGCAGCTGGCTGGCAGTGATGATGATTGACAGAGCCACAGCTCCCAAGTGCTTCAGCAGGCACTCTACGAGCTACTGAGGGAGCCGCATGTACACAACCAGACTGAGTTATTGTCCTCGTCAGAGTGAGGGATGCAGGGGAATAATTTTATCTCATGTAAACATATCTAAAGGGTCATTACCATAATCTGGTCATGAATACTACTGCCGATGGAAATGCATTATTCAAAAAAAGTCATTCTTGTGCTTTTTATGCCTTTATTCAGATGATTGGATAAAGTAAAAAACTGAGAAAATCCATATTTAGCAGCAGTGAGGGATCAACAGCAAAACTATGTTTGCAACAACAACGGCAAAACAGGGTTTCAGTACATTTATTCAACCCTGGTCCTGAGTGGGTGCCTTAAAAAAATCTGTATTTGCCAGTACAGAGTAGGGCTGTATTGGCAGATACGTAATTAGAGAAAAATTGGACATTTTAACATTTTCTCAAAAAAGAAGCACATTATTTTGAACTCTAAATACCCGTTCTTCACAAATCAATTTATTTAAAAGCTATTTGATCATGTACTGAAAGGCGACATGTCAACGCCAATCAGCTGCACAGACAGGGAGGGGGAGAGAGATGCACATTTATCATCTGCAACAATGCATATATCATTAGCTACTGTGTAGCCTTATATATTGCGGGTGATGGAGGGACAATGTTAGTTTTATTCAATGCTGCTATTTCAATGTTCATTTTCACCAACTCTGATCCATGCCTGTGTCACATCTAGAAGTGATTTTTGAAGTAGTACCTTGTATGGCTCACCCTCCAAAATTACCAATAAATTATAACACATGCAAACCTCTTCTGTTCGCCTCCTCACCAACACCCGTTCACGCGTCCACATAACTCCAGTCCTCCATAACCTCCTTTGGCTCCCTGTTTGCCAATGCAGTTTGAAATCCTTCTTCTCATCTTCACAGCCCTCCATAATCAGGGCCCCTCCTACCTCACTGACCTGCTTCACTCCTCCAATCCTCAGACTCTAACCCTCTCATCCCTGCACTGAGGACCAAGTGCTCAGCCTGGGAGACCGGGCCCCATAGCAGCCCCCTCCCTCTGGAACTCTCTCCCCAAACACATTGTGGACTGTACTGATTTATCAAAGTTCAAATCCCCAATCAAAACCCACCAGTTCAAATCTGCTTTTAACTTTTGATGCAACTGTCTGTCTTTTTAGTCTGTATTTACTATGTCCTTGTCTCGTACTACAAACATGTATCTCTTCTATATAGGGATGGGAATCGAGAACCGGTTCTTATTAAGAACCGATTCCAAATGGTTCAATCCATCGACATCGTTTACATTTTATCTTAACGATTCCCTTAACAATTCCCTTATTCCGGGTGCCTTGGAAAACAGTCTAGCGAGTGCCAGTCTACACAACAAGAACAGAGACTTTGAGGTATAAAACATGGCGGACGGTATGAAAGCGTTGCTTCATTTAACAAAGAAAGATGACAACAGTGCGACGTGCAACGTTTGTTGAGCCGTGATAACATGCAAAGGTGGAAACACCAGCAACATGCTTAAACATTTGTCAACAGGGCATGGCATCAGATACAAGGAGTCACATGTATTTGCTGTTCTCCACCGGTTGTCAGCCGCTGCTGCTCCATCTCAGCACAGCATGGAAGTTACTCATGTCTTGTGTTAACATAAGCGCATTGCATGCCAGACTTAACAACGTATTTTGTATTTGACTTAATACCGACCGAAGTAAACGCTTTACAAATAGTTTGTTGTTTGATTATTTTTAGACTCTCACCGAAGGTGGCATACATCTTTTTCTGTTATCCAAGACTCAATAAAATTTGGAGCTAACGGTGAAAACCTATAGTCTATATTTTTTAAATCAAAGACAGGCATTGATAAGGGACCCGTTAAGGAATTGAGTCAATAAGTAGAATCGATAATGGCATCGATATCGATAAAATCTTATCAAATCCCATCCCTGCGTCAATAAATAAAACACAATATAACATTACCAGTGTAGATCTAAAGCTTATTTTTGCTGTTTCTTTTTAAGTGTATTTCCTCATATATTTGATATAACAGTGGGGCTTTTTTTTCCACAAAGATAAATCATAATCTGTTGAGCTGTCATGCATGAATTAGAAAGACTGAAGTTAACTTGTTCCAGAGAACTCTGTGCAGCCTAGGCTGCCATAGCAATGTTCACTGTAAAAAAGTGAGTCACCTTCACTGTATTGACAAGCCAGGATCATGTCCAATCTAGTCCTATATGAGTTTTGTCAAACTGATTGACCACGCTGCAGATGATCTGATGGATGTGGTTATGGTTCAGACTCTAACTGAGATGATGTTGATCAGAAGCAAATAAGAGTATGGTTGCGTTTTTGGGACTGCGCTTGCATTGAGAGTATTTTCTTTGGTGAAAAAGGTTTGAATAATTGAGCCAAACTGTTTCATATCCATCTGGTCAACTGACCGCTTGTATCTCTGAGCACAAAATAAGATCCAAAATTCTTGTTTAAAATGTGACTCTTAACAGCTTCCCTCTTTCCCATTGTTTTTTTTCTTTGTCCACTTTTTCACTTTCAGTCCTTCCTCCGTAAGGGGCTGTGCATTCATTAATAATGATTCTGTTCTTATATAAGCGCTCATACACAGTTCATGTAAGATTATGTCATATCTGTTGCAGCAGTGTGCTAACATTCGCAGAGGACCTCCACAAACTTATCTCAGTCTTGAGATGAAAAAAGAAAACAAGACACATTTATTGGTGAAAAACATGGAGTCATCAATAATTAGCCATGTTTCCAACAATATGCAGGAATGATATCCTCCCAGCTATAAGGTGTCGGACTTATGGTTTACGTGTATGTGTGTGTAAGCACATCTGTGTATATGGGGTGGGGTGGGGGTGAAGTGTGTGCGTGCGTGCTCCAAAGTGTGCAAGGAAGGAAAAAAGAGCGGGAGTCCTTAAATGTCACATTACTCAGCACGGTAACTACGCTCACGACATGCGATGTGTCAGCCCACATCATCATCGCCCACTGAGCATGTGCAGAACAGGCCCCCAGCCCTCCACGTGCGCTCAGAATATGCACGAGATGAACACGGGGATGAGCTTGTACAGGTCCCCGAGGGCGGGGAATGCAACTTTAATCACCTTTTTTCAGTGTTATTTATTTATTTTTCTTTGTCATGCTGAGCGCCACCATCCCCCTGGTTGTTTTTGTTATTGTCCTCACTGTTTGCTCTCTGTCTGTTGTACCGGCGCCGTTAGAGCATCGACAGCTCCACATGACGTCTGCACCTCCGAGGGGCAGCAGTGACTCCTTGTGCATCGGCCTGAATCAAACGTCTTTATCATCAGTGTGAGGGAGAGTGTCAATGTTAAACCTCTCAGGAAAACTCACAGCACTCTCTCTGCTCCAACTTACAACCTCTGTCAGGTCAGACTCCCAGAATGCTTTGCTTCCAGCCATATAGCATAGTGGGCTATTTTTAGGCACATTAATATTCCTCTTAGTAGAGTTCACATATTCAAAATAGCACACACATTAGCATCATTTATCTATCATTAATGTCTATTTACAAACACAAAAACTGCAAGGTTATTCATTAGTAACCCTCAAATTACTGTTAATGCTTAGTCTGTTTACAGCAACCAACTGGACTGTCTCTAAAGTGAATAAGAATAAAAAGGGCGTGAAATACTGAGCAAATGGTTTGAGGATTGGGATTAAAGTAAAACAACTGCCAAACTCACTCATAATAAGTAAAATTGGAGGTAATTGATAGAAAAATCAAACTGGAGCTATGAATTTAAACGCCCTATTGCACGACTAATAAAGATAATCAAAGAGCCCGTACTTGACTGATGATTTATTGGTGAATATTGTACTTGAAAATAAAGGATTACCATCATTTCAGAACATAAGCAGAGTCCATCTGTACGTTTGCCAGGGAGTTCAACTGAAACAACAATTCATTAACATCAAATTGATTAGATTTTATGTTTTTGCCCATAAGTTAGGGGCAAAACCCATACTAGCATTATTGTTTTGATAACAGCAAAATATATAAAGTTTTCAGAGGGCTGACTTGACCAACATAAAGCCTCTGATAGGATATTTCATTTTGATGGTCTATAAGAAGTGTAAAAATTAGGATTTTAAAAGAGTTTTAAAAAAGGTATTCCCTGTTCAATCCTTTAAGATATGATAAGATGAGTTTGTTCGCCCCTCAGCTGAGTGGCTGTTCATCTCACAGCTTTAGAAAGGCCAACATGACTGTTTTCTAAATCAGGGGGAGTCAGTTTGTTTTTCAGGGCGATTACGCTGCGCTTCGGTGAATTTATTCCCTTTGACTAAATACAAAATAAGTGTGCACGCCAGCTGTGGCATATCCTTTTTCCTCTATTATCTAGAGATTTGCGCTTAGACAGTGATTAAATGACTCCAGACGGAAACAGATCCTTCGGCGAATAGTACAGTTAGGTAGAAAAAGAAGCTGTAGTGTAAATCAGATGAGATATGGAGTTTACCTTTCTGATCACTACCCTTCCCCTCTCTTTCCCTTTTAAGTCCAAAATATCTCAAGCTATCTCTTTGAATGCAATCTTCAAACGTGTTTTTCACCCTCCTGCAACCTCACTAGCGTCTAATTGCAGCCGGACGCTGTTATGGAAGTGGCTATAGCATCACTGGGAGGATATTCTGTGTTGTTTTTCAGAGAGAAAGGAAACCACACAGAGAGGACGCACACACAGACACACGGACGTAAAAACAGTTCCCACTGTGCATAATTAGCAAGAAGTGTGAGATGCAGAATCATTGCATTCATTATGGGCTGGATGGTTTCCAGTGGATGGTAGTTTGGGAGCAGAGGGAGAAGTCTTGCAAATCCATAGCGCCTTGCACCCCTGTGAGGAGCGAGTTCGCGGGGAATTCATTAATGGCATATTTAAGTGTTAGTCATGGCGCGTGGCTCCCACTGATCTGCTAATGGAGCTCCTCTGTGGCACTTTCATGCTATGAAACTGTCCCCATGTTTGATTCTGTCATGAGAGCCAGAGTTTTTGTCTGACAGCCTGGTAGAAGTGAATTAGTGAATTAGTCATTATGACAACAGGGAATCTCCCAGGACTTTAGATCTAACTCATTGTTGAAGTTTTGTAGTTTTTAATATCAGCCCTCAGGGTTTCAATCAATCTTTGTTTATACAAGGCCAAACCAGAATAAGTGATAATTCAGGACACTTAAAACAACATGATCGGTCATGGAGGCAAAAGGCAACACACGACTTTATTAACTCTAACACAGAGTGCGAGTAATATCATCTATTCACCTAATGCGCACGGATCTAGATTCGTGAATGAAAGCATTTACTGGCTTTAGTCGCCCATCAAATCTAAATAATTTCATCATTCCTTGGATACTGGCGCCGTGGATACGATAAATCCAAGCGTAGTAGAAATGGTTGTGAAGATTGCTACTATTTATTTGTTGTGGGAAGGAGAGGCGATGAGAGAGGAGGAGAGACACTCTGACATGAGTAAATTAGATCCAGAGAGGGAAATAGCAGGGGGTAAAGTGCTGCTTTTACTGCTCAGGCTGCAGGTGCTGCAGCTTTCCAACTGACCCCACAACCATAGGCACACATATGCACTCACAGGATTACCAGGTAATGTGACGTCCTCACTCACTTGCCTCCAGGCGAGCTCCTTTTAATTCCGGTTTCGGTAATTGAAAGGAAAGGTATCATATAATTCGGGGCTCCCACACACCGACACAATCAGTTTGTCCTCCACTTTAGATACCACTGAACAACTGTGCGTTTTCATACGTCACCCGGCAACCTTATCGCAATGCGAACATTTGCTCAAGTTGAGACATTTTCAACTTACGCCCAATTCGCGTCTTTTGCACCACCAGAATGGTAAGAGCGTCTAATCGTGTCTTTGCATTGACTAAACATGTAAGTGAATCACGCAAATGATTTTACTTAGACAGTAATAAATATATTTCACTGTAATTTGATTATCCATTTCAAATAAGGGTCAAATGTATGATTTATTGATGATTTATTCACACATTCAGGCTGCTTTATTCCCCTCTCAGTAAAACCAGGTGGCAAGCCGCGGTCCTGAGAAATGAAGCTGATGAGGGAAGGGAGGGCTTAATACTGCAGTTCCCTAAGAGCACACTTGGGTCTAGCTGAAGAAGCACCAGAAACCATGAACACACTGAGTCGAAAAAGGTCTGTTTTTAGAGCAGGTATAAACACGTTTACATTTTGACATATAATGATCAACACGATATGTGCATATTTATATTCAAAACCTTACTAAAAGATGACTGTGCTTGATGTTTGGACTGATGATGAGTTCTCAAGATCAAATGCTGACACTGTTTGTTGTTTCGGTGACATGGTTAATGTTACCGACAGTTATGTTTCAAGACTGTAACAAAAACCCCTAAGATGCAGTGCGGGAGTCTATGTGATACACAGTTATACACTGTATACCTACTAGGAAAATACACAGTGACATCGCTGTGTGCTTATGAATTGGAAAGTATGGTCAGAAGTTTACTCTGCATTATGCACTTTAGACCCTGCAGGTAATTTAGTGAAATAATGCTGATATTGTGTGAATGGTGGTTGGTGATGTGTGCACGAGCCGGTGTGCCAGTGAACTTTTTGCTGCTGCTGCATGTGTATTGGGTTCAGTAGTTGCTGGAGTGCTCTGCATGTAAAAACAAGGAAGCCAGATAGATTGCTTTCATGAGTGGACTTGTTCTTCTACTGTTGCTACTGTTGTTATCCCTGAAATGACATGTGCGTCTTATATCATACTTTTCTCATGATAAACCACTATAAATAAACCACTCTTCTTATTCTTGGTCTTCAAGGTTAACACCCCACAACTGTTGCAGCCGTGAAACATCATGATAACAACGTTGTTATACTTATGGAAAATGTGTTAATTAAAAAGAAGAGCAGGTCAATACTAGGACTGCACCACATAGAAAAACAAAGCTAATATTGCAATATTATTCTTTTCGGCAGTATACTGTACTGTAAAATGTATAGGGGAGGGTGGGGTAAGTTGAGCCAAAGGTGAAGTTGAACCACCCTCTGTTGCTTGGTAAATGGTCAAAGAAATTGATCATGTGACCAAATATTTCAGAGATGGGCATCAATTCATGGAGTCTGTGAAGGTTAGAAGCACATGGTTGAAGTGGTTAGACATTTATTTCCAAAAAAACATTTTTCACTCTTGAAAGTGAATTTAGTCTGTCATAAGTTTTATTAGAATTGTGTTCAGACCAAAAAAAGATCCTTTAAATTTGTTTTATACATCAATTGTTGTATCTATGAGCTACAACATGAGGTCAAAAACCTAGTATAAAAGTCCACCATTTTAGCTCAGAGGACTAATAAAGTCATAATAGTAGTTCTGGGGTAAATGGAGTCGGTGGCTCATTGAGAAAGTAAAAAAGTCTGATGAGAGGATCAGAGTTTCAGTTCAGATTGTTGAAATGTGTTACTTTGTCTTTTCTAAAATACAGCTGTGAATGTTCTGAATCACTTAAAGACATTCTCATGTTAAAATGACTTTTTACAAAACAGCTTTTTAACAGTTATATGTAATAATAACAAAAGAATTATTGTACCAGTTGAGTAGAATATAATAGATAAAAATACACATGAATATGAAGAAGTGACTGTTATTTAGGGAGAGAGAAGGTGAGGGAGGGCTGGGGTGGAGATTGAGGGGGGTAGTAGAGATACAGCTCAACTTACCCGCTCCTATGTTCAACTTACCCCATACATGGGAGACCACTTTTTTTTGGCATGTTATATTATCAAGACAGTTAATGTTTGCACTCATTCTGTTGGTTTGCAGGGATGCACATCTTGAAATATATGCAGATACACTAGTTAGAGACAAAACTATGATTGCCTTGATGTAGTGATCCGAAATATGAAAAATGGCTCATCTTACCCCACTCTCCCCTACCAGGTAAATGCAGGGTATTTTAAGTGTTTGGCAACTATTTAAAATTTCAAAAGCACAGTAATACTATTTGTAAATTGGGTCTTTAAGTCTGAATAAATCAGATCTCCCTCTTCACATTTTAACAACCTCCTGACAGTAGCTCTGGCACTTGCACAGAGAAGTGGAGACACAAGAGGAGTGACGCACTGCAACATAAACTGTAGCTACTAATTAACACAATCAACTAACCTGCACGTAAATAATAATCTCTGCGATTGAAAATATATATGTTTCTCCAAACTCATCATCCTCTCCCTCAGATGATTATCACTTCACTGTGATGTACATGCACTGCTGGTGTAGATGCTCAAAGTAAACACTCTGTGGTACTGTAGCGACTAAGTCTAAAATTTAAAGCCACTGAGGGGCTGCATAGACGGGCTAAACATGATTGACTGGCTTGCTGTGCACTGTTTCGGATTGTTTTGGGAAATAAAACATCCGTCTTCTTCTGCAATTTTATGAATTATTTATTGCTCACCATTATGGTCTTCATGAGAAGTCAAAGAATTAGTGTTCACCAAAATCCATAAATTCGGCAAAAACAATAAAATTCACAAGATTTCACCCGACCTGGCATGCTGGCGTTGGGTGAAAAAAATAATAAATAAACAAATTTGTACTTCACGGTCTAGGAACACCTGCTACCTGTCCCTACCTAAGTAGGCGTGTGATCCAAGACACAAAGGTGACCCCTAGTGGACAACTTATTGTCATACACACATATACTGATATCTTAGAGTGGCCCTTACAGGTACCCGTAGTGTAGCAGTCAGTGCGTAATCCAGCGACACTCACAAGCACCAACATGAGCTGTGGACAACACTGTCTTTCAATCCATCTGGTTTTATCAAGTGTTTTCCAGGTATCTAAGGTGACAGCAGAGCGCAACAAGTGTGCACTTTCTTCAGATATTATCTGCATCGTGGTCATTTTCTCTATGAGTATAAATGAGGGGCTGAATTGTAGTGATGTCAGGTAGATTTTCATTGACAAATCCTCGACAACAGGGCAGCGGAGAGAGTGTGACATCTTTCAGGTTATATGACTGACATCGTGGCCCCTACCATTTGACAATCGCACACATGCACATTGCAATAGATAGCTTTCAAGTCATGCCTACAAAGCTGTGTAAATAGTAGCACCCACAACTTAATATCATTTGAAAAGCAGCTAAACTAAAACAGAGTTTGTTTGTTTTTTGAGCTGCATGTCATGAATAGCTTCTCTGTAGGTGGCCCAGATTAGGGAATTCCAACCTTTTTGACGGTACTGAATCTACAGCATCTGACGGTCTGGTGGGATGGGGGTATCAGTACACAATATGTGGTAATTCTCTACTAATATCATGCTAAGATATATAAAAAACAGTTAAAGCTTGACACAATCCATCAGTGTGAGCCTTGAGCCAGCTTGGGAGTGGTGAAACCAAATTTTACGAAGGTGTTGTCATATTGAATATCCTCACTGTCCATGGGTCCATTTCCAGCAGCCCCAGTATATAAAAAAATAATTTAAAAAAAACACTTCTTATTGTTGTTTATCTCTTCAAGATTTATCATTACTAGCTAACAAAAAAAAAATATATAATATAAACTTTAAATGAACTTAATTTTGCAGTTTAAAGAAATAAAGTGTAAGGCTTTTTTATAATCCCCATACTCGGTTAAAATTAGGTGTATCTTTATAATTTTAAGTAAAAGTTGAAAAAAGGGGAAAACAGCAAATGATTGCAGCCTTTTGAATCTACTGTGGTACTTTTCTATTCTTGTGAATTTTGTAAATGACCGATGGAGCGAAATCATCTTTCTGAAGGTCCCACCTTAATACACAGCGGAGCAGAAAAAGTGTTTCATCAAATACACACAGCTCATAGTGTGTTTGTCCTACTCGATCACTCACTCTCTGTCTGTTTATCTATCACACACCAACTCAAACACACCCATGCACACACACAAATACAAACACTCACACACAAACACACACATAAATCCCCCCGGTGAGCCTTTTACTCCAGAGGTTGGATCTGGTCTGAACCAAACTGTAATATAATATGCTTAGTCATCAGAATAGCAAAACAGCAACAGCATCTGCGTGCACACACTCTAACCCTAGCCCTGACACACACATTAACAGACACACACACACACACACACACACACACACACAGAGCGAAATCCAAATAAGAGCTTGCCATCCAAATCTGCAAATGCAGTTAGACAACCCCCTCCCCCGTCATCTTACCCCCCAATGCCAAATCCAGACAGTGGTGCCTGTTCGTTTCCATGACAACAGCCTGAAAGTATTATATCATCAGTGAGGAGGGAGCAGGGCAGAATTTTACACGCATGCACACACACTCAAACTCAAACACACACACACATTCCCTCACTGTGTTTTTTGCTCTCACTACGTCAGACACGCACTCACACACACATACAAACATACATATCCCTGAGTGCCCCCCGTTACATAAGGCTCCCCAGCTCGCACTGAGGAGATGTGACATCATCACCATACATGCAGAGGGTGAGGAGGGTACGTGTCAAATTTTAGGGGGCAGAGTCAGGTCGTTCGAACCATCTCATCAGAGGAATGTGATTAAATTTTTGTGATGAAAGTATTGGCCGTTTTTCCCAGAAGTGGACGAATCATACTGACTTTCACACAGCAGCCAGTCTGCAGATTTTTAAGGGAATGTGTTTGGGAACAACCCCTCTTAACTCTGCAAATCCCCCACTGCGCTGTGCTGTGCTCTACTGATGTTGAACAAAGTGTTTGTTTTCTGTAAAAGAGAGAAAAATCTTCCTTGTATCAGGAAATGGGAGTCATGAGGATGTAGCAACTTCAAAAAACTCTTCCTGGAGAGGAGTTGAGTGTCCATCATCAGATCTACATAGCCTCATGAACTGCATGGCGGCAATATATGTAAAAATCGTAACTCTTAACTTTCACTATCCTATTGCACGCAAAGACTTTTGTTTTTGATGACACTGATCATAAGAGTTAAATTTTTGGTATTTTCCTATTAGACTTTTAAATTTGTATTCATCTATGACATGATTAGACAAGCTTCAGGTAACAATGTGTTTACATTATGAATCGCAGAAGTCAGAAAAATGAAAATAGAAAAAAACATTATTTGGAAAAAATGAAGATGGCTGTCATAGGATATTATTGAGCCCTAATTTCTAAGGTCTTGAATATGAAAATAAAAATCAGTGATCTGCATTTTTTAACCCAAGTTCGAGACTTTTGGAGGGAATGAGGAAGCTCTTGTGGACTGTTGTTCTCACAACTTACCTCTTTCAAGTCAAAGAGATTTTCAAAGTTTCAGGCTTTTCAGGTCAGCTGATTATTGCTTTGACTAAACTGGACACTTCTTTTTCACCATAGTAAGGAAGAGGGAGCAACAATCAAATTTTCATCAGTATGAGGCATTCTGCATGGGAGCTGGCTGAGTGTAGAATGTGCAGGGATTATCACTCGACTGAATTTATTGATAATCTATCAAATGAATCTATAAATGATGTTCCTGCACCATGTCCACAGTCAGCTCTCTGTTGATTTGAGACCACATTAATGATGAACACCTGAAACATGTACCTCACATTAGCAGTGCCAGCCCACTAAAGACACTGTGAAGCTTATTAACTCATAAAGGCGCCATTGAAGTCATTAACGTCCATGTAGCTGGTTGTCTGTGTGACCTGTGGGAGAAAGTAACATGCGGTGTCTTTATTTAAGTCAGTGAGTGGACCTGCTCTGCTTTCATTCTGTCATAACGTGCTATAAGGAGCCAACATGCTGACATTACGCGTGCTTTTTTTTCCATGTACTTGAAAATGCAGCTGTCAGTGGTTTCTTGATTTTCATAGCATGTTGGCAGCCCTGGGTTAGAAAGCAATGAATCGGCGAATGAAGTGGGGCAAAAGGGGCTTCCTAGTTTATATTTAAACAGCAGAGATTGCAGGAAACCCCCCAAGACTCTCAGGCATTACTCCACCTTTCACCCCCATCCCTGTGACGGTTATAAATAACATGGAAGACGGAGGGAGAGTGAGAGCGAGTTCAGATGAAGAGAGTGGTTTTCCTCTGGGATTTGTACAGTAGATGTGTGTGAGAAAGTTTCGGGTCAGAGTTAATGTAACAGGGACATATGCATGTGAACACCACGCACTCCTCGTCTTCATTTCCCTCCTTATAAATGAACCCACCCACTCTTACATACATGATGATGATACCATACTCTCACTGAGGCTCAAACTCCCTGCCAACAGACGAAAAGTTGCCTCTGATTGTTTTAAAAGTCGCTTTGGTTTGATTGTTTAAAAGAAATAAGTGATTTTAGTAACATTTCACCCTGAATCTTATTTTTTTGTATGAATAAAAGTGAACCTGAGATCATCTCTCTGCAGAGACGGTAGGTTCTGCCAGATTGGGAGCAGCCCACTGGGCAGTATATGTGCAGATATGAATCGTGTTCCTGACCTTGATGTGACTGTAAAATCTTCACAGGTTGAACATTATTTCATTTTTGCTTTGATATATTTACAACCTATGGAAAAAGATTTTGCTTGTGTTGGTGAGTTTTGCAGAAAATGTCATGAAAGTTGAGAAACTGCTCAAAGATGAAGCTTGTCTCTAAACGCGGATTCCTCATTCTGGTGAAATCTCTTTATTTTTAAACATTTTGTACCATTTACACTCTGAAAGCTGCTATCTTATTTAAGCAGGTATGTTTGGGCTGCTGCTGTCCGGAGCAACAAGCAGTGCTGAGCACCTCCTTCATTTGTGCTCGTCCCAGATTCTCGTATAAATTAATCAAACTGCTCCCGTTTTTAGTTTAGTTGTTTTAGACCTGGATGAAACTCAAAAAGGACAGAGATTTGAGGCTTGAGGTCTGCAATTCAGACATTTCAGGACAACTGAAGAGAATTCATCTTATTCATGAATCCCTTTTTATTGTTTTTGAAAGCAAGGTTTGAATGAATCACCCAGATCCAGGTATTAGACAGAATCATAAAGGCCCTGAGCCCACGATAAGAGATTCAGCCATTAGAAAAGTCCTTTGGCTGTGTGATAGCTGTTCAATGTCGTGAGTCCTCAGGATCCATGGGTAGTTATCTGAGTGGGTGCCTGGGAAATGACTGTTCCTTCATAGTTGCTCAGTGACTGTATTGAGCTGTGAGCAGCAGAGTAGCACAGCCAGCGATGGTTCGAGCTGCTTTACTCAACTATTACTGAAGCCGTGGTGTTGAGTTCTGGGGCTTTTAAGAGGTGACTGTTTGTTGAGAGGTGTGAAGTGTAATTCTCACAAAACAGAGGGGGGCTCAATGAGAAATGTGACTCCATTGCTGGACAGAACAGTATTTTTTAGTTGGGCTATCACCGCGCCTTTAAATGTAGCAATAAAAAAAAAAAACATGGGTAGATTTCAGAGGAGAAATTCCCCCTCATTTTATAAATTAAATTAGGATAATCCTGATGTTTGGAAACAAAGGAATCTAATCCGGCTCAAAAAGTTTGATCCAGATCAAAACCAAAACAGGATTAAATAATGTAATCTGGTTTGAGAATACTTTTTTGTATCCTTTTAAACCACATGATTTTACAGATTTGACCCAATCCAGTCAGTTTGTTTAATGACAACGTGGAGGTGCAGGTAACATGATTCAGAGCTTTGTTTTTAGTGAGACAAATGAGAAGACAGTGAGTTTAAAGATAGCCCACACAGTCTAGCACAACACACTGATATTACAAATAATGCAGGAGGAAGCCAGGAAGAGCAAATAAGACTCTGTAGAGGATGTAATAAGAGGCCAGAGAGATTTGGCAGAAATGCAACAACACGGCAGCTAGCGTGATACGCTTGTGCATCTGAAAGGTTCAGTGGAGCATAAAGGAGATGCAAAGGAGCCGCAGAGCTCCGGCACGAGGAAAACAAGCCAAACAGAAGTCATGCTCAGATCGACTCACAGCCCCCTCAGCGGCTCACTTTGGCTCCTTCCAAATTGCCTGCTAAATTAGACTGGCATGGGATGATGCAGGCGGGCGAGCACGCGGGCAGTCAGGAGAGTGAAGCAGACCGAAGCAGAATGTGTCCCCTGGCACGCTGCAGCCTGATTACTGATTGATACATTGACTTCTGCTGATTGAACAGAGCCAAGACCAACACGGGGACTGAGATGACTGCAGAAAAAAAGAAACAGTCAAAGTCTTGCTGCCTATTGTGTGTGCATGTGTGTGTGCATGTGTGGCTGGCACATGTGCTTGTGTCGCACTCCATCTGCTTGTTCAGTGGTGGTGTGTGTGTGCGGATGTACTACAGCCAGCCGGGCTTTGTAGGGTCAGAGTACCCTCAGCAGCTGTTGAAGGTTCATCCCAGTGACCTCGCTTACAACTGCACTAATTACCCCACCGAAAATTACATCACTTCTTCTTTCTTTCTTTGTTTCCTCGTGTGAACTCAGTCAGTGCTCTTGCAGAGGAAGACGTTTGCAAATATGATCAGCTATTATTAACCCTGTGAGCGCCACAGTGAAGTCAGATGATCCTACTCATAATGGTAGGCAGTTCATATGTGCAGGAGGTAGATACAGCATAAAAACAGTTCAAACAGACCCTCCTCCTCCACTGTGTTAATCTTCTATAGGGATGGGTATTGATAACATTTTATTGATACCAATGCCGTTATCAATTCCGCTTATTGATCCAATTATTTATTTACTCCCTAATCAATTCCTCCTGTGAATTTTTCTATGTACAAAACGTAGGCTGTACAGGTTTTCTGTGTAAACAACATTTTATTGAGTTTATAAGTTAATAAATATGAAATCGAACACTGTATCCTAGATCTCCGGACGTGACTAAATATATCAGTACAAAGTTTAAATTATTAGTTTTCTCATGAAGGATCCTTGATCTTTCAGGGCTGATATTATCTCAAGCTGACGAAAAGACCCTCTCAGATGGGGTTGAAGATGCACGAACACGCATATAGGAAGCCGAAAGTGCTCAGAGCAAGGGCAGGTAGCAAATGTACTTGGTCCACCATTTATATCATGTAAAATGGATCAAACGACTCAAAATTTGTGCAGCATTTGTTTCATCTACCTCAAATAACATTACAGAATCTATCATTGAAAACACTGTGCTCATATTAACAGGACAGAAAAAAACAAAACTTAACCTCGTCAGCTTTGCTCTACAGCGAAGTTGCAGTGGCTGCACTGGTTTGGAGTTTGTCGAACTCTTGGTATTTAACATATGCCGGTGGTGTTTGCCACCCTTGCATGATATTACAGCATTGCACAAATTGCACTTTGTGTTTTTAGTGTCCTTTTTGTTCAAATGAAGCCAAGCTTTCGATTACTTCGATCTCTCCGCCATTGTCTTGGAAATTCTGCTGCTGACTGACAAGCCCGACTGACTTGTGGCACTTTATGTGATGTTGATGTGAGGTCCAGCCGCTCCGGCGTATTGTGAAGAACTGACAAGGGAATCGTTAAGCATCAAGGCTAATGATGTCGATGAGTCGAACCATTCCTAGTCGATTCTTAAACGGAACCGGTTATGGGTCCCTAATCTTCAAGTTTTCATCAGACACCTTAACAATATTAAAATATCAGGATGATTTTCAAAATAAAACACTCCACCCGGATGATCGATTTTCCCTTGATTGATTTCTCACATTTCTCAGACTAACCTGTCTGACTAATGAGGTTGGGGATTGATTATTATCTTGCGTGTGTACACCTCATTCATATGTCAGACTTTGGCTTGAAAGTTGAACAACATAAATTAGCCAGTTAGGAAATGAAACTTCAACAGACAAAGTGACGTGAAAAAGATGAAGCTGTCATATAGAATGTGTGAAAGGTACAGAGCTGTAAAGTTGTGTGCTTTATGTACAACCTGTTAGTGACTTGTTATCCCGATTGTCGAGGGGCCGGGGTATGTAATGTAACAGGTCAACTGGGAGATGGTCCATTATTAAGACGCTGATGGGGGCACATAGCCACCTTGCATAACAGAGGTGGGCGTACTTTTGTTAAAATCAGTTCTGAATTGATCATCATTTGTCGTCATGTTTTTAAAAAGGTTGGGATTTAAAAATCTTTTGGTGTCTGCCAGGATCTACCTGTTTACAGTTATTAGATTTTTAATATAGAAGCTTACCAGTAAACACACAGTATGCTACACTGCTGAGAAGGCAGGCCTTGCTTGCTTTCTCCTTTCGTCAATCAAAGAGGTTGAGTCAGTGTATCTGTTCACTGAAATCCATTTTCAGTCAGACTGTTCTCAGACTGACTGAGTAAAACATCTGATTGCGTGAGCTGTCACATTCAGGTATTATCTTTGACTAGTTCCTCCTCTCATCTGTCCTACACGCCCTCACTGCTCCCTACATACAGCAGAGCACATGCTTTTTTTTTTCCTATCCCCAAACATCATGCATAATGCACCGTACCTCTGCCTGCACTCTGTATGTCGTACATCAAACGTCAACGCTAATGGCAAATACACGGCGACGGCGCAGCGGCTGCATCTGAGGAGTGACTCCCCTCAGGTTGAAAGTAGCAGTCTATTATTTTGCCCACCTCTCCAATCTGCCACTGAATCACTCTCTGCTTCAAGGAGACTTTCTCTCTGTTGCTATGGAGTTTGTCTTCGGAGGGAAACATAATTTACCAGCAACCAGGCACGAGTGCTGATATTAATGAAATGAGAGATGTGAGTGTGTGTGTTTAGGCATGCTGGTATTTCAATTTTACTGAATAGAAACATTTGAAACCATGTGTGAAATATGTTTCAATCTCATCTCCATCAGATGCGATGTCCAGTTTGAAAAGCTTTTTTTGTTTTCACTCACATATTAAGACGTTCCCATTCAAACAGACTGACTGTGGCAGAAGCTGCAGAGTTTCTGTTTGCTCTGTAAAGTCCTCCGTCTTGGTTTAGTGAGTCTAAAAATGTGTGGAATAAATTGTCCTTGGTGTGTTTTTTTCTTGACGTAAGGTATCTCCTGGCAATGTATGTCCTTTGTTGTGCCTGAAAGCGCCCTCCCTTTGCCTGGTTGTCTTGAATTAAAATGTGTTTGAATAGGCGGGTGAGTCACACCTGAAAAGCAGTTGTGTAAGTAGTGACCCAGCAGGCACAGCGAAAAGGAAAGTGATATTCTGTTGGCTACATAATGTGCATGCGTCACTTGAAGACAAAATAAGCATTGACAGGAAAAAGCACCAGGGAATGAAAGATTTTTTTCATACCTTGAACCCTTGAAGGTGAAGTGACTTCCTAAGCCAGCATAGATGAAAATGACTGTACTCTTTTTTTTTTTACACATGTAGGTCTGATGATGTAGCTCTTGAAGTTTTCTGGACATTTTCTGGGGCTCTCACGTCCAAATTTCCCTTATAGAGGGAAGGTTAGTGTTCAGGGAGGAGGAGCTAGGAGTGGACATGGATAGCATACTGCATAAGTGACAATTCAATGTTCTGAACATGATGGATGAAGCAACAGAGATCTACAGTCTGATCCTACATGTTGCCTGAGTCTTAAGTAGAGCTGAGCGATAAACCAAAAATTTACTGACACCGAAATTTACGACAATAACTGATGTCATTTTGCCCATATCGGTATATTTGGTGTCAATAAATAAATAAATAAGTTGGTTTTGGATGTGTGTAGGTAGGCTATGGTCTTATGTTCCTTTAAGATGCTGTCCTACGTCAGAGACGTGACTCCACCCCATCCGGTCTGTAACAAAGAGGGAAAGACAGGTGAGGAGATGGAGGACTGTTCAAAAGTTGTAGCGGCTGAAGTAGACAAAGTTAATGTGGAGGGGGTGAGCAGCTTGTGAAGTAGTTATCGTCCATTTATCGTTATCGAGGTGAACTGCTCAATATATCAAGATATTGATTTGAGGCCATATCGCCCAGCCCTAGTCTTAAGGATGTAAGTCCCCCCTTGGAATAAGGTCTGGTTACAATTCATTTCAAGACTGAGTCATTAAAGTGAAGTTTAATGTTCAGTTTGGTTCAGTTTTGTGTAAACCGATGATTGGTGATTAGGGGATGACAGGAAAATCCCTGGTAAAGTTTGGGTAAAAATTCTCTCTGTGTTTACACATGCAGAAATTTGGGGAAGAGTTTTAGAGATTTGTGGAGTTTTGTTCACACTTAAATACAGTTTTTACACTCTCATAAAAACCTCCTAATATGATTAAAGAGCAAAGTCAGCTTTTTATTTCAACAGCAGAATCCTGTCAGTGTTCTTGTTGACGTGCCTCAAACATGCTGTGTACAGTCGCGACTATGCAGTGAAAGTGTGAGAGCTCAGTCACTGACTGATATCAAAGCTACACACAAAGTCCTGCTCTTACAGCTGTTACTTATTGCTTTTCCTTCTGTCCTCTTTTAAAATACTTGACTAGCAGGTGGCTTGAGTTATGCTCAGTAAAAAAGATGCTCTTTTACAGAGCTGCGTCTGTGCTGTTTGCAGGAGCACAATGGTATTGGTCAAAAGAGAAAACATTGGCGTCATGTTGCAAATCAGTGGTTTCAGATTAACCATTGACTACACTCTATAACATTTAAAAAAATCTTATTTAGCATGCACATCTGCCGAAGACACGGTCGTTACTTAACAACAATAATTATGTCACAAATGCACTTTTTAAACCATCATTAACAATCCTATGAGAATGGTGGCCAAAAAGGGAGAACAATCTACAATGGCCCAAATAATCCTCAGAAGGAGAAACACACCGCAAATAAAGAAATGACACAACTTCAAAACACATAGCAGTCCAAAACAAACCCAAGGGTGTAAATGTAAAGCGATAAAGCAAAAGACCTAAATAACATCAAACACACCGCTAACACTCAAATGATACAAAGCAAAAATACACAAAGCAGAAAGCAGTTACAGAATGAAGAATGAAGTGGAGGAAAAGCAGCAAATAAGTCAGACTTTTAAACACAAATAGCAAAGTTTAGATTCAGCCTGGCTGTTTGAACCATATAGCTCCAACCAGTTTGACCTTTGTGCATGCTCAGTTCGTAGTTCTAAGATGTCTTTTTTTTAGTCAAGATTATAAAAAGGACCTGAAAAGGAATTCCTCTTAACAGCTGAGACCCGAGCGAGGTTCAACATCCGAATGCCCTTGCTGTAATGGAGATCCTCTGTTTCTACAGCCAGGGCCTTCTCTGTTTGCAGAACTTCAGCTCTTCATGCAGCAGGCTTTCTGCAGCATGTTTTGTCATTTGAGGAGCAATGCCATCACTGAATTTGGTTTGGATTTTTTTATACATTTTGGAGGTCATTTTGGTTTTGCATTTGTAGTGCATTTCTCCTTATAAAGATTGTTTATTCATGAGCCTTTGCTCCATTATGCCCCAACCTACTTTTTGGTTGCAACAATATGTTTTAGATTTGAGTCATAGCAACTCAGAAGAAAGTCTCTTTATGCAAAGTGGACAAAGCCATCAGGACTCTAATGGGCAACAGTTTGAAGCCTCTAGTTTGACTTTTTAGCCAAAGTTATCTTGTTTTCTGTGAAGGTAGACACTGCTACTTATCTTTCCTGGGAAATGAGTCACAATTTGAGCCACTTGTCAACAACGTGCAGCTATGCCCTACAAACATACCTCTCCATTATCCAGTCAGCTCTAAAGGAACTCTTTACTCACTACATTACCCAAAAGTAGGATATTTAATTTGAACTTTTTAATTTCCTTGAGGGAACCTTCCCAAAAAGATTAATAAAATTGTATCTGATCTAATTTAATCTATTCCCCGCCTAAAAGAGTCTGATATTCAAGATTTAAAAATTCTACCAGGATTTTATTATTTAATTTAATATTTTAATGAACTTTTGTGCACAAATAGGCAAGAAAAATTATGTTTGAGTTCAGAGAAGAATTACAATTATTAAATCTGCAGGAAGTGTTGAATAGGCTCTTGTAACTTTGATGTGTGGTGCATGATATTTAAGCAGCTCAAAGAGTCTGTGTGTGTGTGTGTGTGCGTGCGTAGGTGTGTGTGTGCAATTGTGTGAATGCATAAAGGTTAAGCATAAATTGGGACCACTGTGTTTCCTTGTATTTCCAAATTGAGAAAACTCTAAAAAGTCTGTGTATGTGCATAATGAAATTACTGAAGTTTAAGATGGTTCAGGACTATATTATATGGAATTATGTTAGACATTATCTGTGTCAGTGAGGCAGGTGTTTTGTGAGAAATGACACAGTAGGTTCATCTGATGCTGTATCCCCTCCCGGCACACACAGTGTCAGGTTGGGCGCGGTGAATCCTGACTGTTTTTTCTTCTCAATCCCAGCATCCTCTCCACAGGACTCAGCTGATGAGCCTCCTGTCTCACCTGATCATGCTGAGAGCCATTCACCTCTCCTGGCTGCTCTCCTGCTGTCCACTTCTACCTGAGTGGACCCTCATGGACGTGTTCATACTCGATATTTTACTCAGGGTTCAACACCATTTAACACTATCCCAGCAACTGACTTTTTGCACATCTCTGATCCCTTTGCTTAAAGAAAAATCACATTGGTTATTTTTCATCATTCTCCTGATTGGGAGTGGCCGGGTGACACTGCAGCACCCTCTGTTGACCAGTTGGTACTGTTCAAGAGAAAAAAACAAGAACATGTGGATAACTTTTGCCGACATGTTGCTGGAAAATATAGTCACTCTTGGAACAGCCAGGCTTTAAATTTGTAACAGGAACATGTTGAAGCAGGATTAAAATTTTTGTAGCATGTGTCTGGTAAATTTTCTCTAATTTAGCTGGTTAACGTAGTAAATGTAAGCTTCATTAGTTGGTTTAAAACCATGTCTGTAGGAGCTTCTTAAGTGCTCTCCTGCTGAGAAGCAATAAAGGGAGAATTTGAGGAAAAGGCTTCTTGGATATGCATATTTATGTGCTGAAGAGGTCCTTCAGTGTATTGCTGTTTCAGATAAGGAGCTGCTGAAATATAAAATCCCCCAAATAAAGGCCAATAGAGAACTGCTGACGTACGCTTTAACCTTCATAACATTCAGGTCTGGCTTTAAGGTGGAGTTAAAACACCACACAGTGGATGAGTCTTTGTCTAGTGTTTATGTTTTTTTCTTCTCTTTTTAAATAACAACAGCTTGAAAGTGATTTTCTAATTTTCTTCTCGTTACTTGTCACAGCACACCAAAAACTCGGATAAAAACTTCCAATGTGGGCCCGTACTCATGAAAAATGAAAAACAGTCACCTTTTCTACCAAAGTCCACAGTCACACTTCAGCATGTTGAGAAATCAAATGTTGACAGTCCTGCTAGAAGCTGCTAAGCTTTGATTGGTTTGTCAGAAGCAGATCTAAGTCAGTGAAATTGTAGCCGTTTAAGTTCTCCTTCAATTCAGAAGTGGTATTTTTCTGCATATGCTCACAGCAGTGTGAACATGGTGAACATGTGTTTCTGATCCAGACTCAGGGCTGAGTACTGTGAAGAGGAATCTGTCAGTGTTGATGTGTATAAAACATTGTGTTTACATCAAGGTTCAGCGAGTTTCTTGAGGGAGTGTGAGTTTCTGCATCACGTCCACACACGTACCCACTGCCCCTGATGGGAAATGAGGCTTCATGCTCATTGGAACAGCGATTAGCAGCATGAGTTTCATCTGCAGGCTCTTGGAGACTTCAGGTGTAAAACAGACTCAACACCCTGCTAATTCAATTTCCCTCCTTGTGGTTGTCTTTTCACTTAACAATAGTTACCAGTGTCAGAGATTTTTGTGTATAATTGCCTTTTTCTCATCTAAATTTAGCTCTTTTACTGAACAAGAGAGCTGCACGTTCCTCCCCTCACACACCAGCCTGGCATTTTGGCTGGATGGAGTTAAAGCAAGCTCACACGGGCTTGTAACAGTAAATATTAAACACATCCAGCTGTCGCTGTGAGATGGCCGTCTGCTCTGCTGCTATGTTCCCTCTGTGGCTTTTTACAGGCTGCTCTGCACTGTGTTAAGCTTAAAAACTTTGAGCAGTTCGACATAGTGCAGAGGAGGACTGCAGCCACTCAAACACACAGCGATGCTTCGGATGCAAATAGGTCACAGAGAAGAGAAACGTTGGGAGAGTGGGAGAGAGCGGTGGGAAAGTAGTAAACTGTTGTGCTCTGGTTTTGTCTCTGGAACAGATTGTGAATTTGTTTATTCTGAAATAAGACTAAAGGTAGGAGGAATGATAAACTACTCCAGGCTCACGCGGTTTATTCATTCATTCTTTCACCCACTCACAGTCAGCCCACCTGCCTCTTCACTGAACAGCATCATACACTCTGAAAGAATCTGTGTGACCTTGATCTGTGTGGTCCTTTTGTCTAATCTCATTATCTCCTCTCTGTTACTGGGTAATTAAAAATCAGATTTCAAAGTTTGTTTTTGTTTGTTTGTTTCATTTGTTTTCATTTGCCAAGTGGATTAGGTGCCCCACATATGTAGGTTGCAGTCCTCGTCTCTCTTCAACTGTCCTGTTCAATGGGGGCAAAAATGCCCAAAATACTGCTTAAAAAAACCCAGAACAACTCTATTATTAAAGATCAGGGTAACTACAAATTTAACCAAGACATGTTTGAGGCCAGTAGTTGAACACTTGTGGTGTTGGTCTTCATGGTTGTTTACAGCCAGGAGTGACCAAATATCACACAGATGATGGATTTACATTGCCTCATTTTACCTGTGTGGATCTCTTTGCTCATTCTTGCAGTTTTTTGGTCTTTTAGGAAATTCTGGAAACTATGAGCCAGGGGTTTTCAGCCCTGAGGATGATAGTGTTAGTGAGAATCAGGACCCCACCTGCTCCTTGAGGTGGTGAAATGTTGCAGGTATCAGCCAATCCACTAAACCGCCTAAATGAACTAAACCGCCTAACAGCCATGGTTTTATTTTTAATTATTCAAAAAGAAGATAATGATTTGTCATTTTCATGCAGGATTAGAGTCTTAGATTTAGACTTGCATGCTTTGAAATACATTTTGATGTCTTCATTTTTTTCTTATTTACGCAATAATAGATAAAATGTGAAAATTTAAAAGTTAAGAGAAAACATTTCCTTTTTTTCAGAAGGGTCCCAACCCCAACCCCTACAGTTTCAGTTATGGTGCAATGCATTTACATCAGAAGTCGGAAGTCTGAGCTGGGAATTACGTCACACCCGAGTTATCAGTGTTTCAGTTACAAAGTCGGAAAAAAGTAGTGTGTGTGTGTTTTCTAACGCAAAAACAACAACAACAACATCATTGGTCATCCTCTCTATAACCTATAAAGGATCAGGTTGCATTTCAGCACAAACTGTCACCAACACTTGGTTAATGGACGCCCATTAAGAGTCATTAACTGATTACCGTTTTAACCGTCGGTAAAAAAACATTTAGAAAATTAATAATTTGTGCCTTGTCCATAATCCAGAGGTCATTCACCACATTGTAGGCTACTATTTATAACCCTTCTCGGCATAAACAGGTCACTGAAAAAACATAAATGAAAAAAACACCGGCTGAAAGTACCAGGCTACAGTTGGCCGTTGTTAGCACAGCCTGCTTTGTAGTTCACATATACACATGAAAAATGTAAATGACACTATGACAGCATTTCCATATAAATCTAACAATACTATTGTATACAGCTGATTTATTGTAACAACACATAATAAAAAGTGTTAATGAAAGGATTATTACAGGGGCTTCTACTTACTGTTTACTACTGGCTCCGCCATCTTTACATGTCAACTGGGGGGTTCTGTGGATCGTCCGACTTTCTAGGTGCTCATTCCAGTTGAAAGTTCCAACTGGGAGCTTGAAAATCCTGATTTCCGAGTACAACTGGAACGCACCATTACAGTTGTATTCAGTACATTGTAAGTTGAGTCAGACAACTCATGTTGATGCTTGAGCAGTGTAGTGCAGCTCCAGCAGAACATGATCTGTGTTTGGGGTTTGGGTTCTGACTTCATCACTCCTAAAAATAATGAATGATGAGAAGCTGAAAATGAGAGCACAGCACACTAGCATGGCAGGGCAACGGCAGGAAGAGGCAGATCTGAAAATTTGCAGCTTAAACCGAGAGCCCAATTTGAAGTGTGTTTGTCATGTGATTGTGAGAATGACGCATGTCAAGCGTGAAATCAGTGCAGCTCGAGTAAAGTGCTTGAACTAGCTCATGGGCTTTGGTCCACTGACTAGGGCCAGGTCTTTTTCCGTCAGCTTCAGTTCCCCTGTACCCTTTGTTAAAATTTCTGCAATATGGACGCTACTCTAAGTCTGCATCAGGCTCGTTTGTACACATAGGAATGCATTTCACACTTATTTTTCATGCGTTGGGCAGTAATCATCACGACTCTCTCGCTAGTAGCTGATGAATTTTAAGTATTTCTTAGGTAATCTTTCAGACATTTGTTTTCAAACTCTCACTTTGTACAACTTCACAGTGTTCAAGAATTGCATCCATCGGCCTGTCTTTGCGCAACATGAAACAAGGTTAAGTTCTACATTTAGACATGAACCTCGGGTAACCAAGAAAACACGCAACATTTGCATTGTTCCCTCTAAAGAAACCAGACTCCACTTATCGAGAAAAGGGATGTTTGTCCAGAACACAGGTCGTTTGTCCTTGCTGCCTCTATCATTTAGGTTTTTTTGTGTTTTGGGTATCATTTTGTTCACAAAATCACCCACAAAAACAAAAATAAAGCCGCACTGGAACAGATAGTTCTGTTTCTGCAAAGTTAAGTTCTGGCCTTGTGAATTTGTTGAGAAATTGGCTGTGTCAAGCTCTTAAAAAAATGGATGGTATCTTAATAAAAAAGTCTTTCTCTGCAGAGATCTTCGTAGTAAAGTTGTGAAACATGTAGAATTACAATATGAACTTGACAGTGGCTAAAACAAATCTTTTTAGTGGAGGTAAGCCAGCTGACAGTGTTGAAATACGTAGTACCCAGGTTTATAACATAAGAACCTCCCTCAGAGAGCTAAAAATTATATTCAACGTGCAGGTAAATCATCTAACTCTCACTCTGATTTTGCCGTTAATTGCACCACATGCTTGCAGTCATGAGCCAAACTCTCTACCTGATGCCTGGTTGGCCTTTCCCAGGAAACAAGTAGGTGCTGAAATACGTAACAGATGTTGGCAGTGGCCTGTGAATGTGCTCCTGATTAGTGTGGGAGGAAACGATGACAGGGGTGACTGGAAGCTTGTGGGGTGTGAGGCAAAGGTTCCTCAACACACTCTGGCAGCCAGGCCTTTGTCACCGGTCCCTGCAGTATAGAGGGGACTGAGGGGCCGTGAGAGGGGAGGAAATCAAGAAGCATTGCAGAGAGGGTAGAATAACTCAGGCCACCATTCAAACCAAGCTTCCTCTTTCTCATCTCGTCCTTCACACTCCCTCTGCCAACTTTCCACTCTTCTGTCTCTGTCTTTCACACTCAATCGGTTGCTTTTTGTTGTTCTTCGCTTTTGTCCTAATACTGTAAAGACACCGTGCAAAGACAAGGAGTTTGCAGAGTGCAGCTAAACTCACGCCACCTTCCTTTCTCCTTTGCTCTCCATCCCTCTTGCCTTACCCTAAATATGCCTGGCTCTATTTTTAAAATGGTCTCACTCCTCTTTGCCCTCCCTTTGTCCTAAGCTTGTGCTCCCTTTTTCCATTTCCCTTTTCTCTTCTCGTCGCTCTCTCAGGAAGGAGGCTTGCTCATACACAGTCCTTGGCAGGGCACAGAAACACTTTCACACACACTTGGGCAAAGATCTCTCTGGGCACAGCTCCTCAGTGCTCATGGGTTCAATGGTTTTCTGTGCTCAGATGGTTCACCTTCCTGCTGGGCATTTGAAATATGTTACCTGTACCACACTCATTTACACACACGAGAACTCCTAATAAGCTCTTCTGACGGAGTCTTTCTGTGTCTTGCAGCTCTGCATGAGTTCCCCACAGACCTGTTCACCCACAAGGAGAGAACAGAGGGAGCAGTGGCCCTGCACGTCCTGTGTGTAAGTTACATTTCCTTACATATCTCAACATTCATCCAGGACTGTGTTAAAGTTTCAAATGCACTTTTTTCAGGGATGTGCACTTGTAGCTGACTTAATAAAATGTTAGTTGTCTTGCTAATCTGCACCAGAGTTACAAGTCGGTTAACCTTATCAAGATGATTTGTCCCTGCCCTGAAAAGCCAGTTATGTATTGCATCTAATCTGTTGATCAGTCACTTACCTCCATCTGAGGTTGTAGTTTTGGCCCAAGGCTACTGCCGTATACTACAAAGTTCCACTACCTGGATGTAAACAAGCACAGCTGGCATCTTAAAGTGGGGCAAACATGAAGATTAAGTAAGTAGGCTGTAGCTGTTTATAAACTCAAACATAACCAGGAATGTAGATGCTGGTGGAGCTAGCTCTGCTCGTGATAGCCACATAGTAGTCCAGGGTTTTGTATGGAAGTTTTGACTTAGTGTAGCGTGGACTAACTGAGTTAGAAGTACGTAAAAAAACACTCCACACGACTCGAAAAACCCTCAAAATTTACTATGCGTGACTCTGCCCTACGTAGCAGTGTCCTCTTTTTGGGAATCCACAATATGGTCAACCTAACTTACCAAACAAATTGAACATTGTTTACTGACAGACACTGAGTGTAGAGATTGATTGTGTGTTTATGACATTTTGAAATAGTCAGCATCACATCCATTTTTGCACTCATGAGGCTGATGCCACCATTCCCCTTTGTAAATAAAAGCACATTTTTCACATCCCAAATGGCTGCATTTCAAATCTTAAACAGTTACTTGCTAGTGCTTTTTTAATTTATATACTAGAGATAGAGATTAATATAGTTCAGAACTGCTCCTGACTGATAGATCAGTCATCGCCTGAAATCCTGGACAAAAATCCAAAAGATCCTCATATCTATTTTATAAAATAAATATTCAAGACCAGCACTTTTGTTTCTCATCAGTTCATATTATTGAATTGTTGTATTTTATCAATATTCAAACAACAACAATAACAACAACAACATGGTATTGGCACTGGCCATTGACAAGGTGATAGCAGTTGGCCAGCAGTTCCATATTTGGTCATGTTAAAACGATTGTACTCAAGTATGATGGTTTTCTGAGTGTGCTCTTACCTTTCGTTAGACATGGCTGATCATTTGGAACTTACATTTCCATTTGAACAAATTAAGGCTTTGGTTGCTTGGGTTAAGCCATTTTGACTCCATTGTAGGGGCTCACTGGTCAAAACTTAAATATCCTGTTTTGTTGAAGAACAGAAATCTCTGCCTGGCCTCCAGCTTCTGTCTGTGACTGCTACAACACCTGGTTACACCTGGTTTCCACTTATGAATGTGCACTGTGTCCATAGATCTGATGATGCCTCTAGCACCTGACACAAAGGAGTTCACTTCATTACAGATAGAGAAACTATTAAAAACTGACTGTTTTTAAGGAGAGGCAGTTTTTGTTTGTTTCATTACACAGGCCTTATCAAGTATGTTGTCGTTTTGATTCTGGTTTCTGTTATCTATCAAGCAGTTTCAACTATGACAGAAGGACGGTCACAAAATTACATTCTCATTCCCTGAGAAAAACACATGTTGGTCCAAACTGTAATTTGATTGGTTGGCAGAGGCACAGAAACATAAAATGCTAATTTTAGTCTTAACAAACACTCATTAAGGTGATTACTGACTTCACTCATCCCCCACTGGAGCCACTAAAGGCTTTATTCAACTTTTTCAAAACCGCAGTAAAAACTTCCTGTCAGCTTTCAACAGACTTTGATGTGAAATCTCAGTGAAGTTTTCCCTGTAAGCCACATCAATCACATCACAAATATCCAATAAGTCAAACCAAAACATATCACACAGCAACAAAAACTCTCTTATCACCTGTCATGTTTGGTTAAATTAAGTTATGGGCCAATTACCTGCAGGCCACCAAAGACAGAATCAACACATTGTGCCATTTTAAGTAAATTCAAACTCTTTTTCAAACTTTTTAAGGTCACACAAAGTTTCATCTAAAAAATGCTGTATATTAGTGCATGTTAAAAGTCTTTTATTTTAGATCCAGAACTTATTTCCAAGTAATGTAACATAAAGAAACATTAGCTGAATGATGTTCATTATGTCTTCAGTTTCTTAGAAATAATTTTCTTTTTTTTTCTTCTTTATTTTAGATTTTTTAAGTAATCTTTTTCACATATCTAGACATGTTTTGGCCGGAACTTCGGCCTTCCTCTGAAGTGTCACTTGGTGGTAGATGTGACACGTCATATCAGCTGCTGTTACGGAGGGGTGACCCTCCTGTCAATTTTTTTGATATGATGTGTCACATCTACCACCAAGTGACACTTCAGAGGAGGGCCGAAGTTCCCGCCAAAACATGTCTAGATATGTGAAAAAGATAAAATGTCTGAGACAATGTAAAGAAACATTCTTTGGAGGCATTAATCACAAGTCATTTGGGAAGGATTTGAGCAGATGCTATCGTATTTGTCCCATGTTGTTTTACACAAAAATCTTGGGCTCAATTACCTCCAGGTTTTATGAATATTTTAAAAAAGGCTGTAGAGACTTTTAGCATGGAAAGCTAAAATATGTTTTTAACCAAAATCCCAGTCTCAAAATAATCAGAACACTAAAAAAGAAGTTGGATAAAGACCAAATTTGATAGTTTACAAGTGATTCAAGTCCATCTTTTAGTTCAAGGTAATATGAAGAAAAAACATCTTATCTTAAATGTTAAAAATAGCAGTTCCTTTGTTTTCTAAAAAATTACATGCATAGTTTGAATTTGGTGTCGCAGAGAGGGTATCCTGACCGTTGTGGTGAACCTTCTCTTCTTTTAAATGAAACTATGTAAATGTTGAGGAACCAAAGAGACCATTTTCTGGTGTTTGAAGTTGATGTATTGTCCTGCTCTTACCTGATAAAGACTTCAGCTGCTCAGCAGTTTAGGTTCTCCCTTGATATGTTTTCTATTTATGATGCGCCAAATGTTTTCCATGGGTGACAGTTTGGCAACCAGACTTTTCTACTGCAGAGCCATCATGTTGTAACGTACACCAAGTGTGGTTTAGTATTGCCTTGCTGCATTATACAAGGTCCTCCCTAAAAAGTCATTGTCTGGATGGCAACATATGTAGTTTCAAAACCTGTATATATTACTCAGTATTACTGGTGCCAACCCCAGATGTGAAAGCTACAGATGCCATGGGCACTTATAGTATGATCCCCATATCGTCACTGACTGTGCTTTGATAACAAGCTGGGTGGTCTCACTGCTCCTTGGTGTGGAGGACGTGGTGTCAAAGGTTTCCAAAAAGAGAGTAAAACCTTGATTCATCATTCCACGGGACAATTTTCACTTTGTCTAAGTCAATCTAAAATTGATGGAAGTCACTGCATTTCTGGATCATATTGATTTAGTTTCCTCTTTGCATGGTGCATTTTAACCTACGTGTGTGGTTATGGTGAGAAATTGTATGAACCAACAGTAGCTTTTGGAGGTGATTTTGAGCTCATGCAGTGCATTCAACTACAGTCGTGTCTTTTTAGTTATGTCAGAGATTCTAAAGGCCATGGCCATCCAGCATTGGTTTTGAGATTGCACCAGATTCTATGAACTTCAGATTTCACTAAGCATCCAAGATTCCTGGGAGTTGGCATTGTTCAGTCACAGACGGCTGCAAGAGATGCACTCCGATTACAGACTAATTAGGAAGGAAATTATATCATTGTGCAAAAAGAAGTTTAGTTAATTTGGCCTCTACTTGTAAATAAGAAAAGGACCAAGAGTGGTTGAGAAAGGTTTAGGCAGGAGAGATTACAGTTGCAAAAACGAGGTTATGGCACATAAGTAGCTTTGTAGTCAGTGGAAAACTGAGTGAAATGTTACAGTGGAGGAACCCTCTCAAGCTGAGCAGCACCCCTAACATCAAATCCACCATAACAACCCAACACGTATCATTACACACTGTTACTTATTTGATGTCACTGTTGGTCCTGGGTTGACAATACATGTTATCATCCACCTATTCCTTCATCACTTTCCATGTCAGACATTTGGAGGCTATAACCTATCCTAGCCATCATGTGGAGAATTGATGTACATCTTAAACTGTAATACTGTTTACACAAAGTTGAGACAAGTGCATCATGTTTCAGATATATTTCTCTATGCCCAGAGAAAGAGCTCAATCTATAGCCTTTTCCAGTGCTCTCTACTGTTTCATCTTCACTCATATGTTCATCAAACGCAGGGCCAGTCCCAGTGGTCTCTTTAGAGTGGCTCAGCATGGGTCAGTATATGAGGTCAAAGCTATGATGGAGTCCCTCTCCGATCACTCGTGTTTCAATGTTACGGTGTAGGCAGAATGTTCTTGTACATGATGACCACATGACGACCCATGTTGTGATGTTCAGTTGCTTATAGTCTCTGGAGGGTTAGCTGTTATGGAGTTTCATGCCAGCAGAGGTGCATCTCCGGAGAACTGAACTGAGCACATACGCAGAACTAATAACTACGGAGTGGAGCTTGATGACAGGATATATCTGACATTACAGCCAATGTCACTACTCACACTGCACCCGCCCTGTGAGTTAGCCTTTTCATGAAGCAGAAGAGCAAATGAAAGTAACCTTTACTGAGATGCTGGTGTATTTAAAAAAAAAAGAGAAAAATAGGGTTTATCATCAGAAGCTATTTTTCTAGTGACATCTAACCTTTAAATTCAAAGTACTTCATGTCCTTTTGTAGTAGGTGTTACTAACCTTGACTTCATAGAGAGGACAGCTTGATGTGAATTTCTAGGAGGACGGTCAGAGCTGAAGTGTACTGCATACTTATAATACGGTTGTAATTTTTAACTTTTCTATTTTTGGTAAATGAGAATCAGAATTCAGATGCCGGAGGTAAAAGCCTGTCACTGTGTCTGCAGCTATTTGAACTGTGACATGCCTTGTAGCCGCTGAAATTTCCCTAAACAGATTTTCAAAAATAAATCAGGAAAGGAGCCAGGGAACAGGATGAATGGGAGTATGAGGGTCTCTTATCATGCTCAGAATAAAACGCTGCATGCCAAGCTGCTTTGTCGAGTGCTCTTCAACAAGGGATCTGACTGCTGCAGCTATCAGCTGGAAATGAAATTATTGTTGATTTATCTTGGGTTAAATTTATTCTTTGACTGAGAAACAATAGACCTTAAAGCAGCTCTTTTTGGACACATTAGCCAGAGGCTGAGTCCTTATCACAGCAGCAGCAGCTTTGATTTAAACTCTTGCCTTAATGACTGCAGATTATTCACCCTCTCTTTGCAAGGGTATGCAAAAAATTGCAAATAATCTTTATCTTTGAATCAGAGCTGTCCGTGTTAATGCGTTGAACATAATGCAATTAAGGTGCAAATCAATGTGTTAATTTTTGTTTGTATTGTGTTTTTTTCTGTCCCTTTCAGCACATTACTTTTAGCTTCATCTGCTGCTGCAGTGATGCATAATAGTGACACTACTGTGAAAAACGTCCAGACAGCTCAGCTCACAAGTCAGAAGTAATTAGCATTTTCTATTTAGCAAAAGCCATGTTTACATGTGCAAAATTTATTGATCTGATTAAAAATTTGAGGGACAATACATAGTTGTGGGAGTGTGAGAGGCATGGCATGTGAAAACGCAACAGAATCACTCTCATACACACACACAAACATACAGCACTACACTTTGCCTCCATCTAACCCCCATTATACTAATGTACTACCCCTGAGTGAGAACCAGAGGTGGATTGACGTCACCCCACCAGTATGAATCGGTCTGTTGAACGTTGCATTAACAGGAGTGTAAATATCCCGCCTTGAAATCGTCCAAAAGTAAGCATTAAAAGAAAGCAACCAGAGTGGAACTCCTGAAAACTGTAAATGTCTTAACATTAGCAGGGGGGAAATGGACATCAGTGAGCAATCTAAATAATCACAGAATAACTGCGTAATGTGTTTACTCTAGATATTTTGTTAATGTGTTACCGTCATCCTGTATCAAGAACAGGTGAAGTACTGCAGCCTTTATTTCAAACTAATAAACCTGATAGCTTTTCAGAATCTCTGAACTGCTTTACATGCATTTGAATGTTTGTGCAGACATCCCTAATCTTAAAATCCCACTGGTATATTCCATACAAACTTCATTCTGCTGCTTCTCCTACACTGCCAACATTTTCCTCCGTATTTGACCATGAAAACACATTTAGCCTAACAGATTTCTTCATCTGCCCTGTAAAAGGCACCTTTTCTGAATCAGCAGCATGGTGTGGTAGCTTGCTGATACAATAAAGATAAGATAGGAAAGATACAGGTACACAGGGGCCACTGGCATCAGTGAAAGGGACCGTATGAGTTGGGTGGATGTACATGAAAAAGGCAAATAAAGCCTGATACAAATAAATACAGCAGAAAGCAGTGCACCACCTCAGCAGGAGGTCGAAGTTTTGATCTTCAAATGAGGCTCCTCATGTTTTTTCCCCCACAAATGTTGACGCATCCAGATTGTTATCCAAAGAAAGCTGCTCAAATCCATCTGGAAATGCAAGTGACTAACAGAGTGTTGTTCAGCTGAAAAAGCTCCCGGATGATTACAGGAAGGTCCACTCACAGGTTTTTTTTTTTTTTTTTTTTTGAGCTTTCATCAGATCACTCAGTCTTTCGCTTGTTTTGGTTCACAGTTGTAGATTTAAACACCGGATTAGATCATACCGTCTCTCTTTGTATTATCCTATGACTCTGCTGTCAGCCAGGGATTGTCATTGATTATATGTTTTATCTGATCTCGGATTAAGATAGAGACACAGAAAACTGTGTTACATTTTTTTTTTTCTGTTTGAATTTTCAGATGACAGTGATTCTCTTCACAGCTGTCCTGCTGCACAAGCTCTCCAACTAAACAGGTTTCTGTGCATATCAGAGACGTCTCTTTTTTAAGGTGCCACCACATAATCCGTACTAATGATCGGCTTTTTGCCTTGTCAAAGGTGGTTCTTAGGTTGTGGACTGTGTTGCAAAAAGCTGCAGACCGTATAAAATGGTCTGCAGGTGTCATTTATCGGTTTGAAAAGATGGGGGTCACTACATTGGAAATGCTGACTTGAACCAACTTCCAACCGATATAAAATCTGGTTTAGAGGTGAATTATCACTATGGTCCTGCTGCTTTTACAGCTACTATAGGCTACTAATCTGCCTGATTATGCACATATCTTATTTTTGGTATATTTAGAGTGTGGAGAATAGTTCATGAACTAAACTTTTCTGGTGCTTTCTTCAGGGTTTGGGGTTGAATGTCTTGCCCAAGGACACTTCAGCATGTGGACAGTAGGACCTGGAATTGAACTCCTGGCCTTCCAGTTAAGAGACAACTGACTCTATTGATCAAAATTTGTCTTAAATCAGAAAAACAGTCCCACAGAGTACCTCACTACAGAAATGGGTTCTCACTTGTGTGTCCCTTTAGGACGCCTCAGAAAGCTGTTATTTCATGTTATGCTGTGAGTACACATTAAACATTGTGGGGTTTTACTCAAGATATTTCCCCAAACCTTTTATATGATCACATTAAACTCCTGTATAAGGGTTCTCTGCTTGATCATAGTCCTTTTCTGCACACATTCACAAACACTGAAAATGTGTGGGCTCACTCTTAATAATAAAATTATAATGCATCCGGTTTTTTGAAGCGCTTTTTATCAGTGACCTCAAAGCACTTTACATTGGATACATCATTCATTCATTCATTCATTCACACAGTCACACCCTGGTGGTGGTAAACTACCTTGGTTGTCACAGCTGTTCTGGGGCAGACTGACGGAAACGTGGCTGCCAATTCGTGCCTCCGGCCTCTCCGACCCCTCTAACCACCACCAAACATCACTCACAATCACACAACAATCATCTCATGCAGGTGTTTGTTAGTTCAGGTCCATCTTACCTGCTCTTAGGAGAAGCAAACAGAAAAACTCCAGGAACTAGAAAAATGTGACTCACTCCTGAGAACAAAAGAAGAAACAATATTCATTCTTCATGTCATTCTTGATCGTTAGCAGGTACTGAAAGGCCTGTTATTACAAAGTACAAAAATATTCATGCTGTCCTTTGTTCACACATTGTCAGACAATTTGTAGCGGCTACCTGACATTTTCTCTCTGGATCACTGGATCATCTCAGTCTGTCTCATATTCTGTCTGTGCTCTGTTTATAATATTAAATGGTACAAGGAGTGCACACATGAGGGGGGAACTCACTGGGGTTGGATTTCTGCTGCTAACTGCACCAAGATTAATTTTTTGTCTTATCGTGACTAAGATGAGCTGTAAGCATGCCTTCAAGCTGTTCAGAGCTGCACTGTGCACTCTCATCCTGATAGCCCATTCTTTCCACACATAGGGCCTGATCTACTAAGATGCAAAATAGCGAGTGCTAAATTGCGTGTGCACACTAAAAAATCTATTAACATCGCATGCGCAATTGATAGCGGGAGCAAAAGTGGTGTGGACTGCCCTCTTAAAACAAGGATTTTGCGTGCGCTATCGGCTGTCACCATGGAGAATTTGTGAGAGCAGAGTGTTTGAAGCCACGGAGTTGCACATATTGTTTTAGGGAACTACATAAAGGGCAAGGCAAGTTTATTTGTGCAGCTCCATTCATACTCAAGGCAATTCAAAGTGCTTTACAGATACAAGAAGGTATACTAGAAATCAAAAAGGGAATTAAAACGATTTTAAATCAATAAGACAAACAGATAATTTTTTCTTCTGTTTCGTGTTTGTATTATTATTTATGAAAAACGTCATTTACTGGAAGAACAAAATAAATGACAAGCTTTTGGATAAGGATCATGGCGTGTATCATGGCACTTCTGCATCCTTCTCCCCACAATGACCGTGTGTAATGCTGCTCCAGTTTGCACGTGTCTTTCAAGTGTGCTAAATACAGACGCAAAACGTCGACTGCAACTGGTTTCCAGGTTTGATAGATCACACTGCAGGTGCTAAATGATTATATTTGCATCTGCTCCTCCCAGAATTTTGCGTGGTCTAATGACCTACATACATTCTGCATATTCATCAAGGCAAACACGCTAAATCGATTGCTCACACAGTTTTGCTCACTTGACAGACGCAATCCACGGTGCACCCGGTTAGTAGATCAAGTTTCCAGAGAAAATGTGATGTCAAAATGATATCAAAATTTATAGACATATTTATTTTTTCTGAGACATCAGGGGGAGGAATTGTCTTTGTCACCGGAGAGTTTGAGCATGACCTAATACTTAAGTGCAGTTAACACTTCAATTCAGCAGAAAATTGAACTCCAGTAAGTTATTTGCATTGAGATTTATCCGCATGGATAGGGGCATATTTTCTTCAAATAAATGAACAATGGCTAATGAACATGTATGCAAGCACAATGATGCTATACGCTCTGCCAAATACTTAATACATGCTTCATAAATTAGACAACGTCTCCATCTCATTTATACATAATTAGCAGGTGCAAAAGCCATACAGTCTTTGTAATGCCACAAACAACTGCAAAATAGCAGCATACCATTAACAGTCTTTATTACAAACTGTTCAAGGGACATTTGGATCAGGTTTATCGTGGATTCCCCCAAGGATCAGTACTAAGACCACTGTGGTTCATGTGTGTATGATATTTATCTGAAAAATATATTATTCTGTAGATTGTATTATTTTAAGGCTACTATAAGGAGACTTTGGGCTTATTTTTGACATTTTTGTGATGGTAGAGCCAATTAGATAAAGCCGTTTAACTTTTTCCTGAAATATGCTTTTGTTTTGTTTTGTTTTGTTTTCTGTCTAAATATAATATCAGTTATTTTGAAAAATATATGCACAACTCTAGCCCAAATGTTGTGAAATAGTCTAATGAACCAGAATAAATCTTATTATTCTTTTAATGTGTGAGCCTATGGTATCACCTCAGGTCATGGTTCATGCTGCCTTTTCCAGTTAAGACAGTTTAGCTCATTAGGGAAATGAAAATACCCAACCTCCCCTTCTGGGCTTTCGTTATGCCAGGAAGTTTAGAAAGTGAAAACCAGCTCCTCTGTTTTAAAATGTAAGCAGTGTGGTCCCACAGTCATGTTATTCATGAATATTTGATGTCTTTTCTCGTTAATGTGCTGCTCTGCATTTGCATGGATCAGACCTCTGTATCTTTAGCCTTCAATTACTCGCTTACTGCTTCATTTTTCATGGTAATTAAATCTAAATTTAATGTAGCAGTTTGAGCACAGAGATGTTCCCCGCCCCAGATACTGACAGAGATTTGTTTAAAATGAAGAATAAAAGGCATGTGAGAACATGGAGGGTGGTAGACTTCCCCACGTGTTTCTGCTGGAATTGAAAATGTTAACCGATAAATAATGTCGACAGATGGCTGATCTTTATTACTGTTGTTGTTTGGACTTTTCACCCCATGGTATTGTTTGTATAAACCACATCAGGCAACATGCTCACACTTCACTGATCTCTGTAATATTCATCTCTCTCTCTCTCTCTCTCTCTCTCTCTCCACAGACCGTTTACATGTTTTGTGCCCTGGCACTCGTCTGTGATGACTACTTCGTCCCCTCCCTGGAGAAATTGTGTGAGGTATGATTGTGGACATTTTAGGTCCAAAAAGCTGTTCTTAAATATTTCTTTATCATATTGCACATTGATTAGGACATGCAACAACTTAAGTCTATCACTTTTCAAGAGCATGGACTCACAAACATGTCCTTGCACTCAATGCCCTTGCTTGTGCTTTAATTTGCTCCACTTGTGTTCAGTCTTTTGCACGTGCAGGTTTATTTCAGTCCACCCTCAGCACCTCTCCATGGACTCTGCTGCTTCTGTTTCCTTGTACAACACCAGTTTACTAATTTCTACTCTGATGAAAAAAAAACTGAAAATCCTAACCCTAACTTTAATTTTCCCCCGTTAACCCTGAAGTAGGGCTGCTTAATGATGCAAAAATCATAATCTACATTTTTTTTTTTTGCATTGATGTTGGGATCATGATTATCAAAAACAGTTACCCATGATGTGAAACCTGCACTTCATGGTAAATACCAGATCAACAGTTTTTTGTCTGATTTAGTTGGACTGTGTGTGTCATGCTGGGACTGATCTTCTTTTATGACCACTCTGGACTCCCTTATTTTAGCTGGTGCTGCCTCTTCAAATATCAACTCTACATTTGTCTTTATCTACTCTCTTGCAGCGTCTCAATCTCAGCGAGGACGTAGCAGGCGCCACCTTCATGGCCGCTGGCAGCTCCGCCCCTGAGCTCTTCACATCTGTCATAGGTATTCATTACAACCACCTGTTACACTGCCTTCTCACTTCAGTTTAACCTTAACTCTCACTGCAGTACTGTAGCTGCAGCTGGAAGAAGCACACACGCCTATTGACTCAGGAGTAATCCCAGCGTTTTTAATTTACTGTTGATTTCTGACTCAACCCAGAGCCTTCATTTCCGATAGGTTATGAGAACCACACTTTTGTTAGCAGCTCTGATTGTTGAGTGGGACAAAAGGCCTGAAGAGAAAGGTGTGTGAAATCATGCACTCAGGATTTAGGGCTGCACAAAAAACAGATTTTATTAATCTGACACTAATAGGCCTACACAATATATACAAAAGAAAATGCAATAATGTTGTTCAGTGTTGCGATGTTTGCTAGAATCTCTCAGTATCTTTTGTCGTTCTGCCGTTCTCATCAGTTACATGTTACTTGCATGTGTTTGCAACATGTTTTTCCTGAATCCAGCAGGCACCCAAATAACATTTTTTTTTAATTATTATTATTAAAGTTTAATCTTGAGGCCAAATTTCCTTGAATTTTCACTTTCTGTTTTCTTCCTTTTCTGTATTTTTCTCATGTTTTGTTGTGTGAAATTTAGGACATTTCAAAGATCTATGTAAACCCTGTAAACATGAGTTAATTGTTCACTTTACCTCATTTGGTCTCTTTGTTTGTGTCATTATGTGGCTTTGGTGGTTGGAAGAGTTGACTTTGATTTAACACAGCTTTTGTGCGACACAGCAATTGAGGAAAATTACCGACTGAGGCACCAAAACACCACAACTCTTGTGTTCTGCAAAGTTGAATCACTGTTTTTGTCTGGAGGCGTTAGATGACAGGAAATAACAGCTGTTTCTGGTTTCTTAGAAAGGATGTTGCTCCTTTACAAAAAGTTGTATCTCCCTAGGGATCCTTATTTCACATTTTTAGACACTTAAAATAACAATTTGAACATGTCAGTGGCAAAATCAGCACTTCCAGCAGCTATTTGGTGTTTTTTTTAGGCCCATAGAGCCATTAGGGTGTACTGAAGCATTTTGTAGCTACTGCAACACAGTATTTACTTCTCTGGCATTCACATCCCAAAGTGTATCTTAAGTAAGGCTCATGTCTTAGACTACTGGTATTCCCTTTTAATAGTTTGATGCTTCAGAATAATGTTGTAATCCCAAGGCAGGCTGCGTAAACAAACATGGCTTTCAATATACAGAATCGCATTAGAATCCCATTAAAGTCATCTTATGTAATAAGCTCCACAGAATTACTGATGAGGAGGAAAGGCCATGTGTTTCCTCTTTGATCAACACAACTCTCAGTATAATACATCTGTCCAGAATAACAGTATGAGGAGCAATCACTTCAAAGGCAGGCCGTCACGTTACATGACTTTGTTCTTTATATAGAGATCTAATTATACATACAGACGGGGCCTGGAGATTCAACTCTCTTCTGGTTTGTTAAGAAAAATCAAAGCATCTTGAGTTTTTTTTCATCTCTTCAAAAAGATTTCATCTCTTTCTTTTTCAGTCTGTATGTGTGTGTGTGTGTGTTATGTAGAGTTTTTTTTGTTTTTTTCTTTTGGTGTTTTGACACTCATATACGACATGTTAGTAAGAAATTTCAACCAGAACAGTGAAGTTACCTGAACTCTTTGTACGACTCATAGAACGGTGTGTTCCTCCACAGGGGTGTTCATCACAAAAGGTGACGTGGGTGTGGGCACCATCGTGGGTTCAGCTGTCTTCAACATCCTCTGCATCATCGGTGTGTGTGGCTTCTTCGCCGGACAGGTATGATGTCATCACAGCGTCACAGTTAAGCTGCATCTGAGTGCAAAGATGACTCGGTGGCATTTTCATGAATTACAACAAAACAGATTGATATTGTCAACAAGTCTAAGCCACCTAGACACAACATTTTATGAGATTTTGTAAGGAATGTTCAACCACACACACACAGATCTTATCAGGGCTACTTTTTATTTGTTAAGGTGTCCAATACAAGCTGAACCTGACAGTTACATGAACTTTTCATACATTTTTGGAAAAAAATTACAAGCCTTTAAACTATAAAAAAGCGTTAACTCTGTTAATGTTATTTTCATAAAATATTGTGAAGGGAACATCTCTGTTCTCAGTATTGTGATAAGGTTTTTTGTTCTGTATCGAGGATTATATTTTTCTAGGAAAGATCACAAATGTAAATGCAGGTCTTGTCTAGTATGTGCTGGTTTGAGCTCCCCATCTCCAAAAATTTCTGCATGTCTTACTGAACTTTGCTCCCTTCATTTCGTATCATTTTTCAGTTGTTCTTCTGTCTAATAAAGGTGAAATGCTCAGATTAAAAAGTAGATGACTAAAGACGATTGAATTTCCCTTCAGGGATAAAATAAAGTTATTTTTATTCTTATTAATCACTTGAGAAAGGTTCTCTTTGAAGCTCCTTAACTGACACAGGATGTCTGATGAGGGAGCTGAGAGCTGAGCTGCCACTTACTGTATACCCCTGACATCATTTTCTGTCTACAATTCCCACATCTTTGAAACTATAACCAGAGTCCACTTTGATGTAAATCCTTTTTTAAATAAAGTGCTTACTTGTGTGTGCTTCTATCTTTTCATACTTAAGAAAAAATGAAACACAAACATACCATCAGTTTTTGCATGCATGTCCATGTTATTGGCTGCACTAAAATACAGTGTGAACGATGTGGCTCTTTTATTGCATGAACGTATTTCTTGCTCTCTAAGGTGTAACTGCATCTTTGAAAATTATTTAAACAAAAGGTATGGTCTGGACCTGCTCTTTTTGTAACGCATTAGAGTTTAGGATAAGACATGTAATCATCCACATCCCTGAATGTGAGAAAAGCCTGAAGAAAAGTTTCTATTTTTTTCTATTTATTTATTTTTCAACATGGGAACAGTAAATATTGATAAACATTTACATGTAAATATGTGGGATTATAGCCAAATGGCTAATTTCCATCCCCAGTCCCATTGGCAGGTTGATGTTAAACATAAAAGCAATAATGTTAAAAGTACAAACAACATGACTAAGACAGTAGAACAATGCACTGACAACATACACACAATATACATAAACAACATACATAGACCAAAAACTAAGTGACCAATAGTAAAAGGACCAAAAAGATTCAAGGAGAATTGTGAAGTGCTAAAGTGCTAATCAGAGTGTCATGTGCTAAAGGTGTTAAAAGTGCCATTTGCTACAGTACAGCTTGATAAACTGACGAGTGCATAAGTGCGAAATTACATTGAATTGCACGATGCATGGTACAGTGCAAGACTGGATTGAATAAAGTTAAACTCCTTTTAAAAACTTTCCATTCTGATGTTTTTTTGTTTGTTTGTTTGTTTGTTTGTTTGTTTGAGTGTTGGTATCTTTTATATTTCTGTGTGCTCGTGCTGGTTAACCAGCCACATGTGCAAAACATCCCAACATCCTATCAGTTTGAACACAAAGATAATTCGTATCTCATTTCTGCTTTGCATCCTCCCTGTTTTGTTTTGCATGAGATAAGGAGATAACAACACAGCGCAGCCTCTCTCTGATGCTATCTGACATGCCAGGGACATGGAAATGAGCAGAGTACAAGGATAAGCTCTCTGCTCTGAAAAATATATGCACTGGACTCCAAAAGCAGTGATGCAATCCCAGATTGTGTGTTACGTAATCATAGTGAGATAATGAAGGAGAAGGGCAGGCGGTGTACCAGGGCTTGCAGGGATGGGGTGCAGCAAAATCATCTCCAGTTCTGGCAGTTGCACCTCAGTAATGTTTGTTAGCTTTGGCCGGTGTTTCAAAGCAGATCTCCTCTACAAAGAACTTTTGTACAGTATAACAGAGTACAAGCAAACATTGCACAGCCTTGTTGTGCTCTAACTTTGCCATCTGCCTCACAGCAGCAAACGTTTTCCCATCAGGGAGTGGCACTTTCAAGATGTGACTTCTGACCCTCCACTTATGTATATGCAGCGTGATGCTGTGTGGGAGAGAGTGTTGCGTTGTTAGTCACTGCATTGTGCACTCCTCCTGCATTGCATCTGATTACATAAAGTCAATAAACACGCTGCACCTTTTTCTACGTAGGATGCTACCTTTTCAGTGACTGTGATTCAAGAGGTCAACTCTCGAGCTCCTGTGTTTACATCAGTATGTTAATGATGTCAGAGGCGTTTCTGCAGCACAGCTCTGCACAGATTCCAGGAAGAAGATGTGTTTCTGGAAGAGTGTATGAACTCAAGCTACATGCGTCTTTTAGTGAGTGTTCTTATCTCCCTTTTCTGTTTTCCTTGCAGGCGGTGAAGCTTTCTCACTGGGCTCTACTCCGAGATTCAATATATTACACGTTTTCTATCATAGCACTCATTGCGGTAAGCGGTCACATGCAAATACACAGTCCACATGCTCGAGTCTTGTTATTTTAAATGTATGTAGGGGTACTCTGACTGAATATAATGTGTATAAGGCCAGTTTGAAAGTGCAGCTTTGGTATCAATACCCAATTTGCACTTTCTACCTCAGCAGTATTGCACAGGTTGTAGAAAGTCAATACTGCACATCCACACTGAATTCTTTTTTTAATCTCTTTTCAACCGCTGCAAGTTTCCACTTAGTCTTTGTTTGGATGTTTGAAACATGTTGGATATGTAGAGAATGCACTGCTTTGAGAAGCAACGCTTTAAATTCTGAATACTAGATGCAAAATAAAAAAGCGTGTTTCAATAGTGAAAGTGAAGACTATTGCTCCATTATGCATTGCAATTCTGTTACAACACAAAGAGTCAAACCCCAAAGCAATCAGAAATGAAATTCTCTCAAACTGAAACATTCATAGATTGTTTGTATGCATTGAATTACTGAAAATACAGAGCACAGTATTCCTCACATGATAAAGGGTGTCCAGATATGTCAAATGTTGCAAACAGAGTCAAGTAAAATATCTGTATATTCCTAATACTATATTTTAAAATATATAGGCTGGATTATTACCAAATCTGCGTCATATCATAACTTTTTTATCATTGACGCATAAAAATACTGAGCTGGCTTCATTAACGTAACTTGTGTGGTATTCAATATACAGCATCATTGATATCGTAAGAAGATAAAATACCCTATTTCCATTTTTCAAGGATTTCAAAGTGGCGCCATACTTGAGGTCAGATAAGCTCTTGAATATGCTCTTTATGCTCAAAAGGTTCTTGCACATTTTACTTCTGCTTGTTGACTGTTTTTAAGGCAAAGATGTTACTTTCTATCAGCATAATTGCTAAAACACATTAGTTTCCGTTGGCTAAATTGATGTGCTTAACAACACCGATATTTTATCAGATATTGAGGGCATCAAATCTACACTGATAAAAACATGAGCAGTAGTGAAAATTGTAACAGTGTCAAAAGTTACGACTTTTGTCGCATTCAATTTTGACAAAGATGTGTCAGCCACAAAGCTCCCAGAAGAAGGAGGCTATTGTCTCAGCTCATCATCTTTGTAAGGATGAGTCGGAGACTGTAACTAGTAGAGGACACCGGATATAAACTTAAAGAATTCAGAATGCAAACAAAAGGTAAAATGACCAGAAAAAGGAGGAACACAAGTAGAATTAAACAAATATATTCAAAGTAGAGCATATCTTCAGAATTTTAGCAGCTTTTATTTACAGGAGTGAGGTACAGTTTTAAGGTAAAGCTTTGTATTTTTTTAAAGGCACAGAGAGAGGGTTTGGTTCTTTGAACTTTACATATATGAATATAGAACTTTGTTGACAATACAACCAGCTTACGTATGTTGAACCAATTTCTGGATATTAACTTTTGTTTCAATGCTAAAAGTGAATAACTCACATCAGTGGATATCATAGTTTCCACCAATACGGTGCAGCCAATAAGATGACGCACCAACATCCTAAACATGTCAGCTGTATGGATATATTCTGAATTGTCAGAAAGCTATTTACAAAGCTTGTGAAGCACAGGTCATGGTGGGAGGAGTAAAGAAACACTCCTTTAAATCTTGTGATTTAACTTTGCATCTCAAGAAAAATCATCAATCAACAACGGAAGTTTCTGAAAAGTAAAAATGAGAAAGCAGCAGCGCCAGCCTTTTCTTAAGTTAATTAACAAAGCTGAGAAATACAGCAGAGACAAAATTTCTGAATGTCAATCTTTAAAAAGGAACATGTTGATAATTTATGGTATTAGATCAGTTCCAATTTGACAGTATTGACATTTTAAATGTAGAAAAAAATCCTGCATCTCTTTTAGTTAGTTGTGCACCACCATGAAGCACTGTATCTTCCAGGTTAGAGTGAAGTCTTCATGTATATCTTCTGCCTCTGCCTTTCTTTAGCTCTCCTATCGATTCAACGGCAAAATCTCAAAAGTAAATCCTGAAGAAACCCTGCTCTTTTGTATCATTTTTGCAAAACTGACAACTCATTGGCCCTTTCACACTCATGAGGATTACAGTAAAACCTTATGAGTAAAAAAACCTGCTCACAAGTGCCTTTCAGCTTTTTAAATTAGGTATAACAAACCAAGATGTCATGTTTTGCTCTTTTCCATTGTGTCTGAGCTCTGGATTGGTCATGCCCCCTAGTGGAAGAGATGTTGTAATGCAGAATTTATTAAAATTTGATTTTTTTTCCTTCACCTAATACATGTGTCCTCTTTGTCTTGCCTTTGCAGTTCATCTATGATGAGAAGGTGTGCTGGTGTGTACAGATTTTTTTCTGTTACAGCTTTATTAAATTAATAAATCTAACCGGTATTGCCTGCAGATTTTCAAAATATTTCTGTGTATGATTGTCCGCAGGTGGGAGTCTCTTGTCCTGATTCTCATGTATGCCGTCTACATCCTCATAATGAAGTAAGTATCAGAAACATATGCCCAACTACAGGTAGCTGAATTGCCACAATTAAAAAGTGTTTGCTTCCGTCTTCTTCATTTGCCTTCTGCAGGTTTAATGGCAGGGCTCAGCGCTACTTTGACCGTCGAAAGAAGAACTCAATGAATCTCGCCAACGGGCTGACAGGAAGCACCGATCTGGAGGACAACGTCACGTGTGACGCTACTGCAGTCCTGCTTAAGAAAGGTAACACACTTTACTGTCTTTTTATATCGCAGGATTTGTCCTCTAACAGGACTCTGGAGGTCTTTGCTGCTCACCCCGGCACACTGAAATTTACATAAACATAAAACCTCTATTTTTGTCTAGCTTCAGTATAGGACACTCAAGGGGATATGATCAACAAAGTTCTTCACATTTTGTGTTTACTATCAAAGCTGGGGTGTGCTGTCTGTTTGGATTTGTGTACATTGTGAGGCAGCCACAAACAGATCACAGATTTCCTTGTTGGCTGAACAAAAACTTCATGATTTAGGACCTACACACTTATTAATTACACAGTCCCAGCATACTTGGGGACAAACAACGCTCCTTCTCTTATCAGATCAAGCACTCTTTAAAAGACCCTTTGACTGCCAACCCAGTGGTTCTCAAGTCCAGTCCTGGAGCCCCCCCCCCCTCCATGTTTTGGATGTTTCCCTGCTCCAACACACGTGATTCAAATGATCAGCTCGTTATCAAGCCATTACAGAGCTTAATAACGAGCTGATCATTTGAATCAGTTGTGTTGGAGCAGGGAAACATCCAAAACATGCAGGACAGTGGGCCTCGAGGACTGGACTTGAGAACCACTGTGCTAACCTATGTAGCTTCAAGTTTCCCTCTCCCTGCCCACCAACTGTTAACTTTAAAAAAGTTGGACAGCATGACTGCTCCACAAAAGTGATGCCAAATGATTTACAGCTCTCTCTTTAGTCTCTTGACTGGCTGCTTTAGGTCATTAGCTGACCTCCTCCATGTGAAGAGATGGGACATGGGTCAAAATGTCAAATCAGGCTGATGTTGTGCTCCTGTCTGTTGCAGCCCACCCACTGTTAGACTTGAATAATAATGGTGCAAATGCTCTCTATCTGGCATGACTCCTGTTCTCAAAACCAAGAACAATGTTTGCAATGTATTGTAAGATCACTTCCACCACTTTATAACTGCCAAAAAGGATGACCAATAGAGATTTAGTTGGACACAAAAGTAAACAATCTACACAGCAGTCAGAGAAACATGTTTGTGTTTTTTCTCTCCAGCCAACTTCCACTGTAAGCCATCAGTGCTGATGGTGGACGAGCTGCTGTCTGCATATCCCCACCAGCTGACTTTCTCTGAGGCCGGCATGAGGATCATGATCACAAGCCATTTCTCCCCCAGAACTCGCCTCACCATGGCCTCCCGCATGCTCATCAATGAGGTACAGACACATGTACTTATTTTTTAAAAAGGAAAATATGGCAGTTTTGGTCAATGGTGATGAATTGTGTGTAAAAAGGAAGAGTTAACAATACTTAGCTGTCAGATAATAGATTGAAATGCTCCCTTGCTTACCCCTGCTGATGGTACGGCAACAGTGACTTTGAAGGCAAGAAGCTTCTGTGATGCCCAATGAGCGTGGTCCTCCATTTGTCTCCTGAGGGAGCGTCATGTGTGGCCACTAGGGCTGTAGAGTCCTAGTTGACTGGTCGAGTTATTGGTTGATACATGCTGAGTCGGCCAAAATTATGATTGATCGACTTGATTTTTTTCTGCGTCAGTTTACAGTCTATTGTAAATTTCACCAGAAGGAACGCACCAAGTGCTAATTGGGGTGTTTGCAGAGCACCCACAGGTAACAGCCTGTCTCAGAACACCCCCTTGTTTTCAACATTTTGGATTCACCCAACCTACTGGAGAGTGACTGGAGACAAGAAAGACTGAAGAGCATCCACGTTAATCAACGTCCGGTGGTTTGCTGAATACAATATTTGTGTTTAATTGCCTTCTTGTGCTGATATCAGTATACTTTCACCCCGCCTAGCCGCACTCTGCCGAGCCCTGTCGATTAGTCCATTTCAGGGTTTTAGTCGACCAAGAATTTCTTTGGTTGATTGCAGCCCTAGTGGTCACTCACATAAACATAAAATACTTGTTTTTCCTTTCTATGCTACTGTAGAAATATGGTGATTGGATGGCACCAATGTAGATATAAAAGACTCGCTCTAAGTTAAAAAAACAAAAAACAAAAGCATTTTTATGATTAGGTCATTGTACAGTATTTAAACATACTTGTGAATACCATATTCCAATGTTGCTGGATGCCACTGAATACCACCACACTGCGCCCATCATCGCAGAGAGATTAATGTGTTGATATTGATAGCCTTAGTTTTTAATCGAGTGTATGTCATGGAGTAATAGTTCACTTTTTCAGCAAGATATTTTTTTAAAAGTGTACAGGCATGGGAAGTTTTTCTTGAGTTAATATGTTTTTCTCATTTGTGATTTTGATTGAAAGTTAGATCAGTTAATGAATTTTCCCCTTTTATTTATTTATTTTTTTTAAGTTTTCGGCCAAGTTAAAAGTCTAAATTTGTTCTAAAATATTTCGACTAAATTCTAAATATTTTTTCTTCAGCTCCTAAATAAGTTAATAATACTATGTGTTTTCCTTTTGTTTTGCCTGGTATAACTATTCTGTAGTATTATCACCTTCAGTAAGTGAGAAAATAAGACGTCCTTGGGGTTTAATCACAGCAGATATCCATGTTTAAAATGGATCACTGTTTTCTTCAGACTTGCCTCAAACGGTGCCTAAAGTTTTAGCTCTACAACAACGACACATAATGTCTTAACGCTGATATTTGTAGTCATAACTTCATATATCTTCTCATACTGTCTGACAATTTATTCCAGCGGCAAAGACTGATCAACACCACTGAGACTCGAGTCAACCGCGTAACGAATGGCGACTCTGACTCAGCAGCCAGGAGTCAGGCAAGGCGGAGCTTGGAGAATGGGATGGGTGCAGCTGATCAGGGTCTGAACGGGCGTTGCAGACTTCAGCGGCTGGAGTCTGGGAACGAGACAGAGAATGAAAATGAGGATAATGAGAACAACGAGAATGACGGGGAGGGGGAGAAAGACAAGGACAACGACGGCCCCTTAGTGCCCTTCAAAATTCCAGGTGCAGCACGGAGTACATTTAATGTACAGCTATAATAGTGGTGCTTTCACTTTAGCTGATGTTAAATCTACTATCCCTTTTATTCCCTATTAGCCGGAGCGTGTAACAAGCTGAAGTGGCTGTTCATGTGGCCGTTGTCACTGCTTCTCTTCCTCACCGTGCCCAACTGTTCTAAGCGGCGCTGGGAGAAATGGTTCATGGTCTCTTTCTTCACTGCCACCATCTGGATCGCTGGTCTCTCCTACATCATGGTCTGGATGGTCAGTACTGTCAGCATCTCTCACAGCCAGTCAGCAGGGGGAGCTTTAAATCTTTTGGCCTCCCAGTCATTAAACACTATTAGTGTCCACTGTAATGGGAAGTTTTTGATTGCAGTAGTCCCACATTCATGCAAAAATGAAACACCTTAAATGTTCTCTATTGTGCATAAACAAAAAAAAGTACAAAAACATCATCAAATATTAAACCATGGAGAAATTTTGGTCATGCTGTTGGTGCTAAAATATCGCTTTATCCTTGACTTTTGAACTAAATTTAAAATTCGTCATCATATTTGGAGTTGCTAAGCACTGATATTTGTCTTCATGTGCGATTTATTTATTTATTTTTTTGTATTTTTCTGTGAAACAAACAACCTAAAGTGGATAAACTGAACTTCAAAGTAGGCTTGGCAGGATCTGAGGAAGTGCCAGTTTTGGGAAGAAATCTTGTATGTAAACACTACCCCTCCCAACCACTTTTCCCGTTTTTTTTGTGTTGGCAGTTGTGGCCAAAGGAGGATTCAGACAATTTTCCGTACTTTCTGGTTGGCTTTTACTGTCCTATATTGTAGCACGCTAACTTTGTTTGGGCTCATGCACGTTATTCGAGGACGTGGACACAAGGGAGCAGCATCTGCCTCACAACCAATCAGCACTAAGGAGCAATGTCCGCCTTACAACCCATCAGATTTGGAGAATGGCTTTGTTTACAGTCAGGAAGAGTGGGCTGATCAAAAAATTTAAAATGTTGACTACACAGACATAACAAAACACAGTGATATTGTTATATTCCCAAATGTCATCAAAAATTAATAGCTATTGACTGATATTAAAAGCTTTTTTGAACATACACCAATAAAAACTGTACAGGTATACTGAGACGGCCTCTGTTTGGTTTCAGGTGACTGTGATCGGCTTCACTCTGGGGATTCCTGACGTCATCATGGGCATCACTTTCCTGGCAGCAGGAACCAGCGTCCCAGATTGCATGGCCAGTGTTATTGTGGCCCGACAAGGTACACAAACAAACACACACACAAACAAACAAGTGAACGCTGAACTCAAGCAAGGCACGGGAAGTAGAAATCAATATTTGTGCTGAATGAAGCAAAGCAGAAAAGCATGAAAGAGAAGGAGTAGTGCTCTAACCTGCGGTGTAGCTTGTCATAATTGACTTGTCTCCTGACTGTGTACAGACCTTGACAGTGTTGCTCTCCCTGCCTTAGGTTTGGGAGACATGGCCATCTCCAACTCCATAGGCAGTAATGTGTTTGACATCCTGGTGGGCCTGGGTCTGCCCTGGGCCTTGCAAACTCTCTGCATCGACTATGGCTCCAACGTGAGTGCTGCTCCGCTCAGCCAGAGGAGCTATAAGCTGTGAGCATGAAGGACAGGGAGAGTAGTCGGGAATAACCAGAGGAGAACGGGGAGAGGGTTTCAGCTTTTACACAAATACAACCACACACTATCTGTTGGATCGCTGCACAATTTATCACCTCACACTGTGGAGACTGTATGTGATAAATGGTCTGTTAGCTACTTTCACACCTGACAAGGAAACATAGAATAGGTGTCATCAGAATGAGACTTTGGTCAAGTATACAGGATGATATATCTGTCCGTTTAAGCTCACTCTGTCTTCTTTTGTGTCTCACAAAAATCCAACTATTAAAGCCTTTTAGCAGCCAGTGAGTAAATCTTTGTGTTTGTCTCCTCAGGTCCATCTTAACAGCAAAGGACTCATATTCTCTGTTGGGCTCCTGCTCGCTTCAGTATTCTTTACAGTAAGTACCACACCACACTCTTAAAACTCACCAAACTGAGTGGACAAATAAAACTTCAATGTTCCTTATTTCATAACTCTTTTGTCTTTCTTTCACAAAGCTGATTTTTGTAGTTTAATTCAGCTGCAGCTGAAGGCGTGGGGTTATTTTTGTTGGTGTAACAAAGCCTTCAGGAGAGATGTTCAAATGTGGCACAGGCATTCACTGAGGCTACAGCATGAATGGATTTTAGTGATCAAAGGTCAAGCTCATCTTAAAGGAAGAATTTGCTTCTTTTAAATTTATTATAATCTTTTTTAATAAGTGAGGTTGTAAAAGTCCTCGAGACCCCCCTGTCCTGCATGTTTTGGATGTGTCCCTGCTCCAACACACCTGATTCAAATGATTAGCTCGTTACTAAGCCATTACAGAGCTTGATAACGAGCTGATCATTTGAATCAGGTGTGTTGGAGCAGGGAAACATCCAAAACATGCAGGACAGTGGGCCTCGAGGACTGGACTTGAGAACCACTGTTGTAAACAATAAGCGTGTGAACAGAGAACCAGCACAAGCACAGCACATATCACATAATTAAGCTGATTTAAAGACAGTCTGGCTCAAACGCCAATCTATATGCACCATATACACACTAAACACTGCAGAACCACTTCTGACACTATGATCTTTGTGCAAAAAGCTTCATGCACAACATACAGTATATGTTTTTTTTTTCTCAGTGCCATAATATCTCATGTACAGTTTTTGCACAGTGCAGTAATACTTTTGTGCATCTTCAATTTATTAAAGCTGCAAGATAAACATGAAAATGGTCCAAATGTCTTCCTTTGGCTGTTCTCATGTTAAATACAACCTTAAGTACTAATTTACTTTAGATTATTTGTTATGTAAATGGATTTGGTCCAATCTGATCATTTTTGATGTTTCAGCTTTTCAGGTTTTAGTTTGAACCTTGTAAGAGAAAACTGGCACTTGAAGTTAAAAACTTAAAACCTCAAAGGCATGTTGAATTTGTCTTGCATGACATAGCAGTAAATGAGGTAAAAAAGTTCAGTTTTACTTAAAATAATGAGAGACAATTTTCCCCATAATAGCTCAACATACTGGCTCCGCACAAGCAGGTCAAAGAAACATTGTTTGGAAGAATTATAAACCTATTTTGAATCGATTTTAGAACTAGAGATCATTTTCAGGGATGCAGCACATACTGAAAAACGTGTGTCAATAGTAGCTGTGATACAGACATAACTGCAGATCTTTGTTTTAATTATGTCCCAAAGTAAAAGCCCATCTTTATCCCAGAGAGGTCCAATCTTCCCTGTACCATTCCCCACACTCACTGACTCACAGACCCTACTGAGTGATGCTCAGATACAGACTTCATCTGTAAACTGTCCTTTGGGACTCACACAGCATTGATCGTAAACTCTGTGATGTGTAAAAGAGATTATTTTCCAGCAATGCACAATATGTTCAAGTTTGAGGATGTGAGTTATAGTTGACGGCCAAGGTTTAACCTCCTCTTCACCCCTCCCTCCTTCCTGCAGGTTCTGGGTGTTCATTTCAACAAATGGACTCTGGACTGGAAGCTGGGCTTAGTCTGCCTCGTCATGTACGCCGTATTTCTTTGCTTCTCCATCCTCATTGAATTCAACGTCTTCATCTTCGTCAACCTCCCTATGTGCAGAGACATCCACTGACCTCCTCACTACTCCTCCTCCTCCTCTTCTGCTCCTTCTTTCTTCTCTGGTGAACAGAGGAAACCTCACCTGGCTCTCAGTTTCCTCGGCGCCTCAAAACCAATACCTACCTTTTATTTTTTCAGATAGAAAATAGAGCTCTATATTATTTATCTTTGGTGCAATACTCACAAGAGAGAAGACACGGGGACGTTTCGTTGACCGAAGAGGAGGTGTGAAAGGTGTGACAGGAAAGCCCAGGCAGCAGAGGTTGCTGCAAATCGTCCAATGAACTAAAAGGTTTGCTGGGAGTGAACTTAACTGTACAAATGCCAACAGATAGGCGACTGTTGGTGAAGAAGCTGCTACTGAAACTGACCGAATGGCCGGCGAGAAAAGAGAGAAATCCTGCGCTCACAGCGATTTTCAGCTGGATTGTTTGTTACTCTTTGTACAAGTTTGGATAAAAGCACACGATTGAGGTATTTTTAAGTAAAAACTGGCTTCCTCTGTACATATATGTGAATTATATAAGAACTTATATTAGCTGATATGTGGGATTCTCTTATGCACAACTGGATCAGTCTTGCAAAGCTGAATGATCCAATAACTTTAGAGATTTGGTCAGTAACACACATTTTCAAAACCTGCTTTAACTTGTCTCCCATGTTGAGTTTTAGCCAACATAGCATGCTGTACTAGCAATGAGTCAGCTTAAGCTTTGCACTGACCGAGATAGATATTTAACTTTAGTCACATAGAGTCTGTTCCTGTTTGTTTTCTTTCTTCAATAAAACCTGCATAGGAAAGGGATGTCCCTGGACCTGACACCCAGCACTGTCACTTTATTGTTTAGAGATGTTATTCTATCATTGCAAAGCCTGTACAGGTACTCTACACATGTGACTACTGAATTTAAGTTCCCTCTATAGGCGGTAGAAGTCTTGTACAATATTAAAGGAATAGTTTTATTAGTTTCTGAGCTGAGGATAACAATGTTACTTCTTAAAGCCAAAAGTATTTTTAGAATAGGAGTAAGACGCTTGTTTAGAGTCGGCTGGAGCGCACAGTGTGTGAGTGAGTGAGTGAGTGTGTGTGTGTGTGTGTGTGTGTGTATGTGTGTATCACAGTCTCGAGGGGAACCAAGGAGTCTGCTGTTACTGGGAAGACATAATCATGATTTATTTATGAATTAATTTATTCAAAGATCATGTCTAAGCTCCAGTTTCAGCCCTTTGGATCATGTACAGTGTATTTTAAAAAGGAACGCTCTCTGATGTTGGAGATGTACAAAGTACTGTACCTAATATATAATCCAAGTACTGGAAACTGACTTGATGTTGTTTATATTTAAGAATAGAACTTTATAATTTATAAGTTTTGTATAGTTTGGAAAGATACTGCAACATTTGTATATTGGTACAAAATCAGCTGTTTTTGACAATGACGCACGGCTGCACAGGGCTGCTTTGCCGTGAATATGTTGTGATTTTTCTTTTTTGTCAGACAGACTGAAATGCAATCTTTATCACTGGTCCTAACACACATGGGGGGTTAAAAGATGTTGCTTATCCCCTTGCATGTTGAATTAGTGATGAATTCTGGATGTAAAAGATTCACTTTCAGATCAAAACAAGGTGTAGAAAGTGCGTCCTGATGGCACTCCACCCTCTGAACTTTCACAAAATGTTGTTTCTTAAACACAGTGCTTGAACTCTTGTGCCATCCCTTGTATCTGAGGCTTCAAACGCAACGCTTGTGGCCATCATCCTGCTTGTATTTGAGCCAAAAAAAAAAAAACACCTATGTCAACAGTATTGCCACTCTGTTTCAGCATGTGTTCAAACAAAATGTGGAAGATATGTATTTTTATTTTGTTATATTTTTATCTTGACAAAGAAATCTTATGTTTAAAGGGTTGCTTGTTAATTAAAAGCATCCACTGTCTTTGGGTCGCTGCTCTCCTGCAGCCACATCGGGGCGCTGTAGAGCTGTGTTAGAGCTTGAGAGACGTCTGGGTATATTTTCAGGTAGGCTTTGTAGGGACAAATACTGGTTGTTTTGCATGCCTCTTTCATAATTCAGATTATTTTATGTGTAATTTTAGTGAACTTCAAAGATGGAAAAGGCACTGTCTTGATAATGCTGCAGAGAGATATGCTGTAATAAACACAGATGTTGGATAACTTCTGATTGATGAGCAGTTATATCTACAGTATTTAGAATGTAGGCCTACAACAGTTAGTTTCCAGCTCATTAATGTCGTTTTATGCTCATGTCTTTTGAATTGTTTGTAAATCCTAATTTTTGTTGATGAGGACCTCTGGGTAGAGCTGTAGGCCGTGTTCCCAGTGGTCTTCTTGCAATAAACTGATTTACATACACAAATCTTTTCCCTTTGTCTTTATGAGCCATTCACTGGACCCATAGCTCATATAACGTTGTATCAAATTTGACAACAACTCATTTTTCAAAATATGAGACACCGGGGCATGTTCAGACTTAAATGACTGGGGTGGCTCAGCTGGGTTGCCAACCTATGCAGGGGTGGCATGAAGTTTGTGCGTATCCACCATTCAAATCTTAACTTTTAACACTAAGTAATCATACAGATGTTTCACAGATGTATAATTTTTTAACTTACAGCAGCAATTTTACTTTTATTTTCAGGACTCATAAAAGGCAAAAGCCACAATGTTAAGCCCATAAAAACTGCTTGCACAGGTTCCAGCTTGCTTAACATGCACCACAAGAATTTTTTACAGATACATTATTGAAATTTTTCATCATTTTATGAGAGATCATATGCAAAGGTTAGATAATAAAAGGTATAGTAGATGCGGTGGCAGCTTATTGGTGTTTTAAGTTCCTGTGCGGAAGTGCCCTAAACCAGGGGGAATTTATCAGAGGTGACCTCAAACTCCGGATGAAAGTCAAACTAGGGGATAAAAAAAGGTCAAGATTATGAGACAAAATGTCATAATTACAAGAAGAAAATTAAATTAATAATTTTAATGATTTTGACATATATTTCATAAATTGACTTTTTAAGTCTTGTGGTTCTGACCGCGTACCTGTGATAATCACAAAGATTTTTTTGTTCGAAACCCTCATGGGCTGCCACATCCCACTTTGACCCATACTCTACTTACTTGGTCACACTTCTACAATAACAGTGAATGGATCAATTAATAAAACTCTACTCATAGCTGTAACCATTGCCAAGGAAACCATCCTCATGAGCTAGAAGACCAAACCCAGACAACTATCACTCGATAGGAGACTTTACTTCTGAGACACATCTCTTTGGAAAATTTAGGTGGCATAAACCAAAACCCTGAAATAGACCCCCTCTATCTCTAGTCATGTTTAATTTTTCTACAAACCTGACCTCGTGTATCGTCCACAACCAACCTTTGGGTCTCACCGATAGACTCAAAAATATCAAACTACCTGAGGACAGAGCTGTGGAGGTGTCTCCAGACTCTGAGGACTACTTATCAGCACTAAAGACTGAGTGTGATCTGAAGATGCAGATCCTGCGCCAGAGGTTTGAAGGAAAAGATATAGATGCTATCCAGAAGAGGATGGAGGAGTCAAACTTCCTGGCCTACTTGGAGAGGGAAAAACTACTAAACCTACTAAACTACTAAACGACTAAACCCTCTGTGCTGCCAGAAGATGACTTTGAGGTCCTGTACAGCAGTGCAGAGGATGATCCTGACATCCTGACCCGAAAACACCTGAACGTCCTCGCCCAAGAGCAGCTGAATGCTCAGTCCCAGAAAATTGTGGACTCCCACTCCAAGAGGAGACAGCAGCAGCAGCAGAAGAAGAAGATGGGCAAGTGATGAGATATCCTGCTGACTACACCACTCCAGATATTTAGAAAAGCAACCTGAAAATTTGTGCAGTTTAAGGTTTGATTAAAGAGTGCTCAGTCTTAATTGTATTTTGATCAAAAGTTCAAAGCTGTTGCACTGAGACCAAAAAATGTTTCATATTACAGCAGTTAAAAATGTCTCTAACTTTTCTTGTTAAAAGCACAACTCTTGTCAACTTCTGTTTCACCCAGGAAGGAAACATTAAGGGTTCACTGGACTGCCACTTCTTCCTTTACTTCCAGAGTCAACCATGCCTTCTCTGGACACACAGATTTCAAAGTTCTCGCTTCTGTCAAGTGCCAAAGCCCACCAGAGAACATCTTCTTCACTGTTGAATGAATTTGAAAAAAAAATTTTTACTATCCACTGTAGCTTCCCAAATAACAATTCACATAGAAAAGTTACCATGATAGTAGTTTCAGACTGGAGCATGTTTCACCAGTGTCAAAGTAGCAAGGGGACAGCAGCAACATTCAAACAACAGCAACAACAATAACAGCTCATGTAATGGTGAAACAAAATGAATTCAGTTCATAGGGTTAGGATATAATAATTATGGACTATGTTAAATTAATTTAATGTGATTACAGTCAGCAGGCGAATAGTAGTTCAGTCTAATCCAGGCTTGATCAGTTCCCTTGGTTTGGACAAGTGAGACAGAGGAGGCGGCGCCCTCTATCGGCCAGCCGCCACTGTCATCACTTTTGATCGACGACAGTTTGGATTACTTTTCAACAGCATTATCTCCAAACAAAGGAAAGTGAAGACGTTCAGTAATGTCTCATACAAACCCGAAATTTAAGAGCTAGACTAGGCTAACTCCGTACATTAACCTGAGGAGTCATATTACCGTGGTCTCTCCTCCTCCCACACTCCTCCTCCAGCTCTCTCACACCTCAGTCTAAATCACAGCCCGACACCAAACCATGTAGCCTAACCTTACCAAACTATGGGGCGTTAAGAATCCCCGGTGTTACCCGTAAAACAGGACAAAACGAAGGACAAAGCACCGCAGTGTTGGTGACTTTACTCTATGGAGCTTGACCGGAGTTGCAGACCGAAATAAGCAGGAAACGGAGGTGAGGAGCTCACTGTTTTCTTTCTGCAGCATCTGACCGAATGACCCAAGTCCATCATTTCTACTTCCAGTCATCTGTTTCTGAACTTTTATAAGCAGGGAATGTCGACTAATGGTAAACAGACTGAGTTACTTACGGATACTATTCTCCATGGAAACGTTCAGAAGTTTTCCATGGAGCCCGTGTAGAATTCAGAAGTCTAAGTAGTTAAATAAACTTTATAAGATATGGAGCCCTTGCACTGGAGTATTTAAAGTGTAATGCATGTCAGGTAACTAACGTTTAAAGCAACATGTCTTCATGAATAACCAGCCAAAGGACTTCATAGTGAGGAAGGGAAAAAGTTGTCTCCGTTTGGTAAGACGGAGTTACTATTTAGGGCTTTGCTACAAATAGTGCATCAACTTTAATAGCTCTGTTTTGCTCTTTGTAGAGTTGAGTAGCTGAAGACTTTTAGAGGAACTTTAATGATGTAACATGATAATCTTCTCTTTGCTTGTGTATGCATGTAAGGTTGTTTGGTTGTCTAGCTTTTGCACTGTTGGACCACTGTTTCACTTGCACTTGGCTTGGTCTTGTCCCACATTTCTTGAGTGCAGCTGGGTCAAGTAGGACTATGCTGCTTAATTGGCCTACATACCTTCAGGATTAAATGATGAGTTAAAACTTTGAGCATAGCTATATATAGCATTAGATTTTTAACATGAAAAGTTCAAGCCTTTGTATCAAACAAGATGACTGACTATATTTTTTCATGACTCGTTCCAACCATAAGTAGAGTGCTCATCACGTTTTCTTTCTCACTTCCATGTTTATACTCTCGTGCTCATGGGAAGATGTTTAGAGCTCCTTGGCTGGTAAACAGCTTTATGAGGGACATATTTTACTCTGTGCCACATCACAGAGAATTGCAAAAGTGTTTTAATGAGCCTCTAAGATGAACATTTTACAAGTGCAAACAAGAGGGCAAACACTTTTTTTGCAACAGTGCCAACAGCAGTGCTTGTAGTAATGCTTCAGTGAAAAGTAATGACAAACAGCATGAAACTAAAATTTTGCATAATTATTTTACAGCAGGACAGGACTATTTTCAAGACAAAATAGTTGCTCTACCATCTCCACTGTTTTTTACCCTTCAAACACTGAAGATATGTTGAAAGATGTTCTGAATTTTCTATTAGTCAATATGGAAATTTAAAGCTACTGTAAGGAACTTTCAGTTTGTATCACTGTGGGCAAAGCAATCTTTGTTTATGTCCTGGTCATGCTCAGATAGTGTCATGAAAAAAAATCTCACCCTTCTGACAGTCAAATGTGTCACTAAGGCCCCAACTACACGAATGCAGATATATTTCAAAGCACACATCTTTATGTCCGATTAGGCCTCCCTACCACACCAAAATGGGAGTTTAGAGCACTCAAACCGGATAAATCTGAATCCGAAAAAACAAGTGGAGAAATAAAAAAATATCCGTATAAGTGGATTTGTGTGGTTAAACTTTTACGGATCAATGACATCAAACCGCAGCTCGCGCATGCGAATTAAAAAGAACAACAACAACAATGGCGGGCAGACAGGGTATTCTTTACGTTTGTTTTGCCCTTTTGGAGCTAATTTCAGCCTTGCAAGTGAACCTTGTTTTATACAATTACATCCACCAGTCAGCCAGCTCACAGAGGTGTCTGCTGCGCCCAATACTTTTATTGGAGAGCAATCGTAACGTTAACGTTAGGCATTTTAAAGTTCGCCAGAAGCGTAAGTTTTGGGCCAAACCCGGTCAGACGTCTATTTCACAGATGTTGAAAAAACTTCTCACAGGAGCTTTCAATTTCAACTGCTGGCTATCTTGCAGGTAAATGAGCTTATTTAAAGCTTCAACACAAGTAATCACACAGCCTGCAGATGAAAAATGTCTAATTGGTTGTGTGGCTAAAGTCAGCAAAACTAGCACCACCAGCCTGTGGTCTTCCTTGCAAGTTTATGTTTGTATTTTTAATGGTTACATACATAGCTAACACACAACTATAGCCCAATTTTCTTGATCAAAATATGATACTGTGCAAACTGGACTTTTTCTCAAAGAACACATTTTGTTACCTTTCCAGCTCTACTCTTCTGGATGGTAATCAACAGACCACTTACTCACTATGAACTATAAAGTTGAAGAAAAACAGTCTGATGAGGTCATGCTACTTTGTAAACTATAAACTCTTGATGCAGTCATTCCAGCAGACACAACATGACCCTTTTTGCAAATGCCATACTTCAACCCGAGCTCATCAGGACACTTTACACTGACTAATGTGACCAAACAACCCATGGAAACATGTGGTTTACTGTATCAGCAGTCCTTGGTACTTCTTGTGTAATACACTCAGACTGTCTTCCTGTAATTAACTGGAAAGGCCATGTCTCATGCATTTGTTACACGCACATCAGTTAGCTGCTGATGCTGTTTAAGGTTTTTAACAGATGGTCATAATGACAAGGTACAGGTCCTGGATGGACTCTGGGGGATTTAATCATGTCCAGGATTTAATAAAATACAAACTCGTGCATGGCCAAGGCTGTTCTTATTACTCAGAGTATGTGTACTAATTTCCATACAGTCTTGTTCTTACTTATTTCACAAGGTATGAAAGTATGCAGCAGCAACATGTTCCAGCTCCTTCCCCTAACCTTTCGTAGCTGTTTGTGATTCTTTTTCCATCAAAAACATGCAAGACCTGTCTGAGCCTGACAGAGCACAGCTTGAGCTCACTCCTCTGCAGCTACTTTAAATGTTACTCTGATTATTTTCACGTTTGACCAGTTAGCTGGCCTTTTAGTCTGTGTATACTAGTTGATTTTCTTCTTTGGCGTCTGTTTGCCGGATCAGCTTCTCTGCAAAATTAAAGATTTTTGGCACAAAAATCCCCAGTTGGGCTGTTCACTGCTGTGGGGAAATGAATAAGCAGAAAGGTATTCTGGTGAAAAATAACTCGCAGCTTGCCAATGCTTGATTTGGATAGTGAAAATGGTCATTTGTATACTCAGTGATCTCTAGAAGACAGTTGCTGCTGCTGTAAATGCCACTGTTAATACCATATTCTCTGCAGCTTCTTTAAGATTTTAAGCAAAAGCTCAACTCTCATCTAACTGTCTTTCTGGAAGTTCAAGGCAGCACTCAACAGGGTCTGGAAAAGTGATGTCATCTTGGTTGGCTGAGGAAACAGCCACTCAGGTTACCTGTGTGATAACAAAGCATGCCTGTGGGGGAAGTTAACACTGAACACTTTCATAGGAGAAACAGTCAGTGCGTTTACATGCACAGCTTAATCGGACTAAGCTCAGTATTTGTTTTTTTTGCCAAATTGGACTTCTCTCTTTGTCCGCGTATGCTTGCAGCAGAGAAAATGGAATTATTGACATGAACATGCCCCCCTACCCAAAACTAGGGGGCGATATTGGTTGTTTTGCAACTGCCCATATACTTTAAAATGTCAGTTTTTTCAGTAGGGAAAGCATACTGGCGACCTCCTCGTTGTTCAAAAAGCGGACATTCTTTCGTGCTTCAGCCATGTTGCTGTTGCTTCTGAGTCTAAAGTTCTTTAAAAGATAGGAGCCACTTCTTCTCTGGTATTTTTGTTCCGGGGTTATGGGGGTGTGGCATGCATTTCCAATCATACTCCGACTACGCTGGTTACATGGTAGAGAAAATGGAATTACAATCGCATTACCTGGGTGTCTTAATGGGAATTCTCCTACTCCATTCGGAGTTGTCAAACTCTAATTATAGTCGGACTAAGGTGTTTACATGCACTTCAGTTGTCTGGTCTAAATCGGAGTAAGGCAATAACTCGGTTTTTTCAAGTGACATGTACACGCACTGACTGATGTCTACTGTAGGCTTCCAGAAGGGCATGCAGCTCATGAGTTCAGATCATGTTGAAAATGAAAATGGAGATAAAACTGTGTGCAGGCTGTGTCTGGTACCTGACAGCTTCTCTGTGTGCGAGGCCCTCAGGTTTTGGCAGCAGAAACATAACGAACTGCTAAAGAAGCTGTTGGTCCTTCATCAAGGAGGACTGACAGCCTCTGCTCAGGAGATAACATTTTGAAATTGAGGCTGTAAAGGGTTAATTTTTTTGAAATGCAGCTCACTTAATGTAGAGAACTTTTCACAGTGGAGGGGAAAACTCACAAACTAATACATGGATAGTGATATGAAACCTACGCATTAACAATGAACTTCAATATCTCTTGGAGGTTTTGCCTTGACAGATCTAACCATTAACCCCAACCACTTCCTGAAGCAGGTTTTATCTGTCTGTGTGGTGCTTTGTCTCTTTGACGACATGCAAGTTAACTCTCATTAACATGGGTGCCCTTTTGTGCATAAAGGCAGCAAGTAAACACTGTAAATACGAACAGCCTGACAGATGTAAGACTGGTTTTCAAAAATACTGAACTCAAGGCCTCACCATTAATGTTGCTGTTGTTACTTTGTCAAAATACCACAACCTAATTGCCACTGAGGCAATTTAAGGATTTGAAACCCCTGAAGACGGTTGACTTTTTGGCCTACATCTAAATGAGTTAAATCTCTTTTCCTGTGTTTATTTACACTTTGCTCATCTTCCATATCTCCTCCATGACTCAAATACTCATTAAGATATTTTCTGTTTAGGTTCCCACCCTCTTTGCTCTATTTTCTTTCCATCCTCTCTTGCTGTTGGATCTGAACAAGCAGCAACATCCTCCACCTTGATCAGATCTCTGTGTTGGGTTGATCCAGCTCTCCTGGTACCAATTTAAAGGGGAGTAGCCCAGAGGAAACAGTCCAGACTTTTCTCGGCTGACCCTTTTGTGTGGAAAGTTGTTGTGGGCTGTGCTGGTGCCTGACACAGTTTCTTACCAAGATCCAGTCTAGATGTACTCTTGTTGTGAGTGAGATTTGATTTGTTTGATGGTTATTTTGAGCTTTTTGCATGCTGTCATTAAAAGACTGTGAAAGCTGTGATTAGAGGCCAGGCTGTGGGTCAGGTTGGTGTTTGACTAAAAGAAAGTCTGTAATCCTTTGGCAGAAAAACGAAAGCAAACCTGGCCCTCTATTCATGAGCGAAAAAAAGGAGTGAACATATTCCTGCATACTATCAGTTTTTTTCTCTCTCTATCCAGCTCAACAGGGGCCAGCTGGTTCAGCTGAGCCAAAAGAGAATCACTGACCCCAATTCTGCACACACATGTGCAACAAAGCACACATGTGCGCACAAACCACAGTGGACGATTGGCCTTACGGACTGAGTGTGAACAGATGTTTGTGATCATTTTAGAACAAAAAATAAAATTCAACTCTCTTTTATCATCATTTTGCATCAGTTGTTTTTTAAGGCCTGCCAGTACAGCTGTCTAATTATGGAAAAAAAAAATTATAATTGTGATTATTTTAATTAATATTGAGATCATAGCTGTTCAACTTAGCTACTCATGGACATCTTCATTATATGCATGAATGGAACTTTGAAACTCTTGAAAACTTAAACACTCAGCTTTTTGGAAAAAAAAGAGAAAATAATATAAAATTTTCATCTTTTTGTTCACCAACATGTGCCTATCTGTCTAAGAGGGTAATAGAAATTTGGAGAGAAAAAAAAAACATGGAAGAGTTTTGAAACAGACCATGTTTCAGTTCTTTACTTCATTAAGAATTTTGACTGAATTTTTATGATGACACTTGATCAAATGGCAGACTTTCACTTGTTGTAGGGAAGTTATATACCTACTGAGTTTGTTCATGCCTGTGATTGCCACAGTTGATGCCGTGCTAACACTGTCCCCTTGCTTTTCAGACACTCGCACGCACACCTGCCTCCTCCTGCTCTTCTCCATGCTCTCCTCTTTCTCCCTGCAGCTGCTTAATAGTTTGTACTGCTGGAGCACATGTTAAAGACACAGTGGTCCATAATTAAATCAGTGACTTCCTCTGACTCCCAAACTTTATTGCAAACCAATCCAAACCCATGATGATGAAGTGAAAGTGAGAGCCGTCTGAGAGTAGGGGCAGATATCTCCCACTGGAGGTCTGCTCTCATTGGGGTTTAGACTTGGGGTTTAGAAAAGTTAATATAGACATAGAATAAAATACCCTCTACTTTCATGCTCCCCCTCTGTCCCCCCGGCGCACAAGCACACACAAATCCTAGCATCATCTGGTTTGTCTCAAAGTCATTACATGACCCACGTGTGGGAGTTGTTATCTACTGCTGGGTTAATGCAGCTGCCTGCAGACCCCCTCCTTGTACTCTGCAGCTATGACAGCAGCATGGAGCCCTGTTGGTCTGACACTCTCTACAACAAAAACAAGAAGCAGCAGCTCGTGTTGGTTTCTAAATTTACTCAAATACCAGCGAGGCTGTTTAATGTGCTCATCTGTTTTTATAAAGTTGGACATAGAGAGTGCTGGGGAGCAAGAACAACTGACTTCATGCTGTCTCCAAGATAAAATGTTCCTCAGTAAGTTTAAAGAATACTCTGAATCTTTCTGATACATAAATATTGTGCGTGATTAAAAATATGTCCAAACATTTAGTTGAGTAAACAAATATTTTTATTAATGTAGGTCTAAAAAAGATTGTTAAAGTTGTTGTTCTGCTTCTACCTCCTGCCATAAAGAGCTGTAGTGGCTTTATTGGGCGGATGGGAAAGAAGAAAAATTTGTGGAAGGTCATAGGTGATGACAAGAGCTGCAGGTTGGGGCCAAACCTGGGGCCACTTACTCTTGAGGGCCATGGCTTCTATAATTGTTTTCTGAGTTTCTGAGGTCAGTTAAGAATAAAACTACTACTACTCCTACTCCTACTACTAAAAATAATAATAATAAATTTTATTTATTAGTGCCTTTCTTGAAGCTTTTCTGATTTTCTTCATATTCTGAATGCCCAAAAAGAGGACGTGCACGCATAAAATTTTGAGGGTTTTTCGGGTCGGGTCAAGTGTTTTTTACGTGCTTCTAAGTAACTCAGTTAAATGCATATTCGGAATTACCAAAGAGACACTTAACCAGGCCTCCTGGAGATACAGAAAAATACTCACACAAAGTTGTGTTTATAAACAATATATTCATTTATCTAAAACATTTCATTTCACCCCAACAAAATTATCAGTCACATAAATATTTCTCACTTTTCTTTCGCTCACCAGCAGACAGTGCATGCGTGCATCTCGTCAGTGGCTTTGCTTAGAACTGCACTGTTTTATAATGAATGAATACACGTTCCAGGGTTTGACGTCTCAGAGTGTGTTTCCAAATGAACCATTGAACCTCTATGGTAAATACAGGGGGAAAAAAACTTGCTTCCATACAAAACCCCAGACATCTGAAGGATTTTATAAACTTCCCCTGGACAGCCCCCAAAAAGAAGACATGTTTGGGTAAAAGAGGACATATGGTCACCCTAGCTCAAGTCCTCTTTTTTTGTGCAGCTCCATTTTTAAAAGTTATTAGGGGTTCATGTTTTCTATGATTGACACTTGATACAGTCTATGGGCATATGAAGATTGCGTAGCTCACCCGGGGGATACGCTGTTTGAGCCAAACGTCATCACAGCGACTCTCAGCAACTCTCCTGCCGAATGTGTGAAACGCTACTGCGCAAGTGGTGGTTCCAGGAAGTGGAGAAAATCCCCGAAATACTGAGAGCTTTTCCATTTCAAATCCATATACTGGATATCATATCTACCTCCAATTAAACTAAACAGGGCTATCTATTATCACCAGCCAAAGCTAGCATGACACTCACTGACAGGAAATGAGGGTCCCACCATGAGAGTAATCGTTAAAAAGACAAAATAATGGTTTCCCACTGTGACAGTGTTTTATCATTATTGTTTAAAAAACTATACTAACAAACAATAAAGCCTATTTATGTATGTCAGGGAGACAGAAATTATGTGTTTGTTCTTATATAGTGTAGGATTTATGTTCACTGTTTCTGGATCTTTAACTGTGCGTAAGTATCTCTTTGTGTTCTTGTTTATACCACTTTAATGTATTAACACATGTAAACATGTTGGCATCTGTGTTTACATTCTGTACAGAACCTCTCTGTGCTGCAGCGCCAGGGGGCCTATCTGTGGTTTCACAAGGGGGAGCAACACACTCACATGTGACTTTGTTTCCTTGCAGCTGGAGCTCTTACACAAACACACACACATACACACAGTGACCCATGTGCACTGAGTCAAAAATTTGTAACACTAGTTTGAGGGTTTGATTTGAGTGTTTTAGTCGGGTGGATGGATTCAGCACATTCCCACAGTTAGTTTCACCAGAAAAAGCTGAAAATAGGAGCTGTTATGGTGGAAGGTCACGGTGATACCTACAACACCCAGCATGCTTTCTGGTTCATCTGAGGCTCAGGAGGTTTCTGCATGTGGAAGCAGTTTTTCTTGGCACTGTCACCAGGTTTAGATCTTCAACAGAGTAAACAGTGAAGGAACAAAGAATGATCAAAATCAGACTTCCAGCAAATATCCTCAGAAGTTCATCTTTTAACTTTTCCCCAACTTTCTTCCTCTGTGCCATTTTTTTTCTTCCACTTGTGTTTGTGTGGAAATGAAACCATTGTGCCAGACTATCAGTTCTAATTTAAGACTGTGAACTCTGTTTCCTTAATTCTCTGTATACCCAAATGATCTGGGTCAGTGGCCGTCGGTTTTGTTTTTCACTTTTCATTGCCATTAGCTATGTGTGCTTTTTCATGGCAGAATTGATGGGGCTCTATAAACTCCATAACAAAAAGTGCAGTCTTAACCTGATCCAAATGTTGCAAAACATCCTTTGTATTTATTGGGAACTCTACTTTAACAAAATAGACCTGACTCCAGCTGACTTTGTTGGTTTTTGTTGGCAGATAGTGATATGTAGAAGTTTGGCAAATCTTTATTGATGAAAACCACCTGCTGCTGGGTCAGGGTTCATAAAAGCACCTCCAGATAGCCAAAGCATTTATACTGTAGGTCCTATGAAGCCAAAACAGAATGTTAATTTTGTTTGTGAAGTGCATTTACATGGACCTGAGCTTCAGGGTCATGAACCTTATTCAGGTTTGGATCATACTCAAGGTATGGCATCTACATTCAGAGACCTGGTTATCCAGATCCCTTTATACATTATGAATACTTGTGTCATGATTTCTGATCAGTGTATCTTATGCATGGGCACCTGTGAAGTTGACTTTTTACAGCAGGTACGATACGATATGATACGATACGATACAACACCATACGATACGATATGATACGATAGGATACAACATCATACGATACGATATGATACGATACGATATGATACGATACGATACAAAACAATACAATACACTTTATTGTCCCCTTAAGAAACTTTGTCTTGGACTCCAAGAGCTGCACAGATAAAGCTGCCAACTGGTGAGACAAAGTACTAGACCGAACACTGACACAGACACACATCCCACACACATTGCACATACCCATATTGCACAAGAATCCCATGGAAACGGTCAAAAAAAACACAGAGAAGAGGCAACTCTGGCACTGTTCCAAATATGATCCAGCAAAAGAGCTGGGAGATGGAATTGAGACCTTTGGCCTTCATGCTAACAACTACTGTGTGCCTGCAAGTTAGTCAGCCATGCCCAAGTAGTAATAAATTTTGTTGTTGAGGCAGTAAGTCATGATAAAATATTCCCTTTACTGGCCAAAATGTATAGAAAAATTCGATGAATCCCTCGTTCATTGTGATACATTTCAGCTTTCTTGTACAGTTCTGGTCCTGTTGCAGTCTTTTTTTAAATTCAATAAAGTCACTGATACATGATTTCAAACTCTAATTATGATGTTTTCTTGTAAAATTATAGCTTTGTTTCAGTTTTTACAAAAGGACTTCACTAACATTGGTCCTGTTACAGAAGTATTAGACATGACCTGATCATGTTCTTTGTATTGCACTTTGTTTCTTACTTGCATGCTAAGAAACTGTTAGTTTCACATTCAGCAGTCCGGGAGCGCATTATCCTGACCCAACCCTCCAGACTCTGTCAGAGTGTCTTTTTGTTTCTTTCTCCCCCTCAGTCGTAGGTGCAGGGGAAAGATAGTTTCCTTCCTGTGTGAGATAAAAGGGCTGGACAGACAAACAGAGCACCCTCCTGCTGTTTTTAGGGAACATTGAACCTGACAGACAGAGGGAAAGAACATAGTAAAATCACCCCCAAATAGAGACAGAGATAACAAAAGACTCAAAAGGCAGAGATTTGGATGCAGCTCCCCATGGGCTCTGCAGAGTTAGTGAAAATGCCAGATTGTTGAATTCAGTTATATACTATTTCACCTTTATTTATTCAGACTGAAGAACCACAGCTGTAATACTTTGCTATGATGGAAGAGAAAGAAAGGCAGCTGTGTTGGAATAAAAACTCTTCAAGCTTGAAAGTGATGACTGTGTGAGGACACAGGAACTAAGTGAAAGTAAAAAGGCGAGTGAAAATGTGAGAAAGAGAGGAGGGAAACTGCAGAGACAGGTAATGAGAGGACAGCAGTTTAGGCCAGAAATAAGCTGTGGATTGGACTGAGATGAAAAGGATTGAGGCAATTATCTGAGATGAAGGAGACAGGATGGATGAAGAGACAGGAGACAGGAAAGTGAAAGGAGAAGAGGAGTTGAAAGCAAGCAGAGAGAGGGAAAAAGAGACAGGCAGACAGACAGAGAGTCTCAGTGAAAGCATTTCAGTCAACCAGCTCCTCTATAACACCGACTGTGGCCAAAGCAGGAATTTCCTTTGGTTACAACCCTGCTGAAGTGTGTTTTTGACCTACAGTGTTTCGGCCCCTGGGGACGCCGTGCCAGACGTAACGACACACCCAGACGTGAGAGTCACTCAGTCCTGTGGTCAGGGGGAAAACATGGCTGACAGCACACCGCCAGGGACTCCCCCCTGTGGCCTCACAGACCGGAGCGGGAGCTTCTTTAAAGTAAGTACTGACAGATGCGTGCAAACAGATGACATAAAAATACAAAGAGGTTTTTTAGAGGTTGACTCAGTATTTGATGTTTTAAACTGGAAAAACTAAAACTGTTGTCATGGTAACCAAATCCAGCTCAATATAACTTGACTCCATATTGGGCCACGATCCTGCTTTCTAATGTAGTATTCACACTCTGAGAAGAGTAATGTACATGGAGTAACATTTAACAAACAACAGTTTACAAATGTTCATGTTAATTGACATTCAAGTGTTAGTAAAAACACCAGTTCAAAGTTTGTGCAAAAAAAAGTGTCAACTTACCATTTTATACCTCCAAATCAATGCCAGCTTCACATGACCCACACCAATACAACAATCGCCCCTCTGATACAGGGCGAATGAGCCTCTGCACATCTTCCACTTTCAGTGTGACGACCCTCAATGTTTGATCTGACAGCACACATGTAGATTGCAAGTATAAGGATATTGAAATCTGTAGCATTGATGAAAGGCTCTGTTAAACTAAGAGTTTGGAGAGAAATGCTTCATTGGCTACCTGCCAGCTCATAATGCTAACCCAGGTAGTTTGAAGGCCTTGAATGTAACGGAAATCATTGCACACAAAGAGCAGCTGTGCCTATTAGCTTGGATGTCTTTCACCCGGACATGTCCTCTTTTTTGGGGGTTGTCAGGCCTGTCCGGCTTTGTCTGGGTGAGTTTATGAAATCCTTTAAATGTCCAGGGTAACATATGGAAGTTTAGAGTTTGTGTCACGGGGACTTACTGAGTTAGAAGCGCGTAAAAAAAACTCGACCCGACCTGAAAAACTCTCAAAATTTACCACGCACGACTCCATGACTCCGCCCCCATGTAGTCGTGTCCCCTTTTTGGGGATTCAGAATACAGTGGCGGCTGCTGGTCTTTCAAGGAGGGGAAGCTCATTTTTCTGGCCTACATCATAATTGTATTTGTTTATTAGTATGTAACAGAACAGAGTCGCCAAACACAATGGCAGTCATTTTTAACAAAGACAACAGTCGCTGAGGATCGGTAAAGTCTCCGGAGCAGTTAAGAACAACGGAATGAATAACTTGGAAAATGCTCTGGTAGATGTTTTATTCTTCAAGATCGCTGATTCGCTTGTTTAGCTGTCAATCAAAAAAGGATTTCGCCTCAGACAGCTCATCCAATCATGGATGCAGAAGCTTGGAGTCCGGGAGAAAGTCGGGACCGCCCTCTCGCCATAGAACTCCAGTGAAGCTGGGCTTCCGATGGGCGGGACAAAGCCCAGCATTTATCCAATGAGCGTCTAGTTTCGCTGCTGGAACAACCCACTTTAAGCTTCCACATTGAAGTCAGCAGAAGCCCAGCGTCCGGCTGTTTAAAGCGCTGAGGCGCTGCGAGGATGAATGAGAACGAAGTTATGCCGGTTACCTGTGATTATCAGCTTCTTATCACAGTGTCTGAACAAAAGATGAAGGCTTTCTAGTGCGTATTTAGTTAATGAAATGTACACACAGCAGTACGTATTTCACCACTTTTTCTTTTTTTTGAGGGGTGACATTTTAAGGGAAGCCGAGCTTCCCTTGCAGTCTTAGAGCAATCGCCACTGTCAGAATATGGTCACCCTATATCAGGTCTTTTTTTTTCTTTCCTGCTATTTGTCTTGATTCATGCAAATTTCTGTTTTGAATATAGAATCAAGCTGCAAATATGAACCCTGAAAGAAGCAAATTCTTAAAGTTTGTGCTTGTAGCGATACCTAAGAGCTACTTCAGGCAGCTGCACTGACAAAGTCTTTAAATCTGGCTGAACTACATACAGGTGGTGTTCAGGGAGAGTAAAACAGCAGTTGTTGCTCTGTTTTATAAAACATTGTTTCTTTTAACAGTGCAGCTTTCACCATACTATTTCTACAATCACTAAAGTCTCTCTTGAGTGCATAAATCATTGGATTATTCACCTTCTGGCTGCTTTACTTTTGACTTAAAATCCTAAATATTGGATAAGCACCCCTCCTCAGGAAATGTAATACAGATTATTGGCTGAAGAAACATCAAAGTAGAGTTGTCCCTCTACATTTTTCCGTCTCTCTTTGCCACATATTGATGGAGTGCTGGAAGTGAAGGATGCCAGCTGCACTGTTTGGCAGCATTACAGACACACTCAGCTGAGTAATAAAACTATAAAACTTTCTCCCTCCCTCTCTCTCTCTCTCTCTCTCTCTCTCTCTCTCTCTCTCTCTCTCACTTGTTCAGTATGTCTTGGTCCTCTCTCCCTCCACCTTTAATCCCTCACTCATCCATGGTTCTGAAGTTACACTCACCAGACCTTCTTTCATGCAGTCTCAGATGTTTTACTGAAACACTCTGTCAGTTTTTTTATGGAAAGTGTTTCTTAGTGAAAATAATCAGCTAAATCTGTTTTCCTTCTGCTGCTGCTGACCAGCTATTATCATTTTATTTTGCGACTCAAATAATGCTTACATACTGGGGATGCTTAGTATTGGCTATGGTGTTAAAATGGTAACGGGTTAGTGTCAGCTGTCCAATCAGGGATGGGAATCCCAAAACCTCTCCCTGATCTGAACCAGTTTCAAGTAGCCATTGACAGCATTTGCCTTTATCCCTTAAGGTTCCCTTATCCAGTTCTTCCACTTGGCTCTGCATACCTTGCAAAACAATGATATGGGGCATCATGAAATAACAACCAAGGAACAGGAGCGGTCCAAAACGTTGTTGCATACAACAGTTATTGCTGTGCTTACAGTATCAGTTCTGAGACCAAAGCAGTCTGACATGGCCACTTACTCACTTTGTGAGACTGCTAACTTTCCTGCGATTCATTTTTTCTGTTTTTGCAACATAATGGGGCTTCTTTATCAGAGTATTTTGAAAAATTGTCCAAATCCAGTCCCCCCAACCTCCAAAAAAATATATAAAGGTAACCTGTGATGACCTAAGTGTTCATTTTAATGTTGAATGTTAACTTTCTGTTGTTAGCTGACCGTGTTTGTAGAAGGCTGCCATCTTTGTTATGGTCTGCAGACCAATCCGAGGCTGTATGTATGATTAGTTAGTAGTTCATTATTCAAATCAAATCAAATCAAACTTAATTTATGAAGTGCTTTTCATACAAAGTGATATAACACAGAGGGCTCTATTTTGGTGCTTCGCCGAAGACGTGCCGCAAGCGCAGCGTCAATCAGATCCGCTGCGCTGACAAGGCGTTCCCAAGCACATTTTGGTATTTTGGTGAGCCGCGCAGCCCGGCGTAAGTATCCCCCCTCCCTAACTCAGCTCCTCCCGGCAGCATAAGTCATAGAGAGGGCGTGGAGTCGGTTTAACACAGCCGAGACCTGTTTTCACCAATCACATAAGCTCCTCTCCTTGCCTTTAAATCCAAAAGAGATCAAGAGATGTCTGAAGACAGTTATGCCACACGATGGCGACAGAGGGCAGCTGCTCAACAAGTGTCCTCCACACTCTCTCATCTGAGCACAGATGGATTTGGTGTGCGTAATGTTGGACCCACTGGTAAGACAAACACCCTTTTCCACAAAAAAGACACTCACATAAAGTTGCATATATTCAAACCTCACGTGACAAAGGTGGGTTTAGCGCACAGATCACAACATAAACTCCAAAAATGGCATTAAAATCGGAACCATCTGTGCGTAAATGACGCATCGCGCTCCGTGGCCTGGCTCTTTCTTTCATAGATGTTGGCATATAAAATAAATTTGGCCCACAAAACTGAATATTATAATATCTGTATGTCGGCTTAAAGTAGATCACGCATCTGAGCACTGAAACAAATCATCTGTTCAGCCGCAGCAGCTGCAGCAAGACGGACAGAGGACACGGAGACGTGTCCAGGTCGAGCTGTGCGAGAAATAAGAGGAAGAAAGAAAAGGAGGGAGACACATTACATATCTTGTTAACTTCATCATGTGTGTTTATTTACTAGATATTTAATTTAATTTGATGCAGTTTCAGCTGTATTGATTCGGTCAGGTTGTGTGCCCAAACGCGTGCCAAACGCGCTCATCAGATCAGATATAGATCAGAATATATCTATATAGATCTAAATGTATGTGCTGACTCAGATTAATAGTTGTTGATGATTATTTATTGCACTGAAATCTGCCTGACACTGTGGAAACCTGCCGGTGAGGCATCGGTGACGTATGTCGATACGCCGCCGGTCTACCAAAATACTACTAGACCAGCTGCGTTCCGCCTTGCGCTGAAAGCTGACCAGGTTTGAATCGGCGAGCTTTCAGCGCACGTTACACGCCGGTGGCGAGCACGAAAATGTCACTGCGCCAGCTGATTCTGTCAACACCTCCCCCTGCCACGCCACCACGCCCAGCTTGGCGGATCTCGGCTCGCCTCCGTGCGACTCAGTCCACGAAAATACCAAACTCGCCTTACACCGGGCTCCGCCAGACGAAAATACAACTGCGCGGGGCTCGCCGCCCTCCGCCGCCTCACCGGCGCGAACGAAAATAGAGCCCAGAGTGTTACAGTCCATTAAACAACCCCCCCACACACACACACACACACACAGAGAATTACCTTACCCCAAACAACAATATAACCCACAGTCAACAGTTCACTTAAACAGTCTCACCCAAAGCCACACACACACACACACACACACACACACACACACACACACACACACACACACACACACACACACACACACAACAAACTCAGTCTAAAGTCTAAAGTCAGTCAAGTCTTATGGGTCCAGTTTAAAACATGAACAAATCATGTCTGCAGCCTCCACAGGAAGCCTCATCAGTTAAGCTGCTGTTATGTGATGCCAATATCCCTTTAAATAATAACATGTAAAATGATGGCAGATCAAATCTAACAGTTACCGACACATGCTTGACATATATTCTGTTAAGATTTATAGAATAATAAAAACTGGAATGATTTTTAATTCAGTATGTCATGTTTTGTTATCCATAGCATGGCACAATATCTTTTCTTCAATTTTGTAGGTTGATATAAAAAGCCATCCCTTTAAAAATGATATCTGATCCTAATTCTGGAGACATTTTTCAAGTAATCATTCCACAAATAACTGCATTTTTTGTTTGACTACCTATGGCAAGATGATTTTCGTGAGAGGACTCATTGCAACTCTTATGAAGTTGTTAGAAAGTGTTAACTTACACTGCAGGCTGTGTCAGAATGGAGGTTCACATTTTGTCTGGCTGTAAACCTTCTCATGTAATTGCATTCAGACAAAGAGTTTAAACCCTTTTAGAGCAGAATAAGACAAATTAAGACCAGGACTAAAAATGAACTGAGAAGCTTACACAGACGGTTGTCTCACTTTTAAGTTCCCTGGCAGTTTTTCCATCCTTTCTCACCCTGTGAAAACGCTTTCTGTGTGCTTCTGTGTGTAGAAAAAAAACCAAACACATAGTTTCCCATTGACTGCATGCATGGCTCAAACAGCAGTCCATGCAGAAAATCACTTACCTCACACACACACACACACACACACACACACACACACACACACACACACACACACACACACACACACACACACACACACACACACAGTATGAAAAATAGTCTGCTTCTGTGTGTTGAGTTTTGCCTCCATGTGTCATTCAGAGGAGATGAGATCAATAAACTGGGAAAACAGAACAGACGAACAAAATGGAGGAAGTTGACAACTGTGTATGATGAGGCAGAATTTTTAAGCTGCCAATCCTTTCCAGTTTGTAATGAGGACTGAACACACTTCACCATACTAGCTGCATGCGGCACTCTGCCAATAGACTGTCATTCAGGATCTGTCATGGCCACTGACCCTCATTTCATTGCTCTGGAATTTCCCATGTCTTCTTCTCTGGCTCCTCTCCCCAATTAAATTCACAAAACGTAATACCTGTCTATCTATTGACTGCAATGAGCGGCTACTATTTCTTCCTGTTTCTCGATTCATAAAGTTTCATGGGGCGAAATTATGGTCCTCTCTTTCCTGCCTTCAGGCCTTAAAATGAGAGGCAGTCAAGTGCTGCCTGAAACCGTTTTCTCTCATAGCTGACAGATGCAGACCTCAAATGAGATTTTTGGTTTTTTTTAAAAAAAGGGCTGCTTGTGTTGTCGATGATCTTGTATGCTTTTGTAGGTCAGAAAGACCACAGTGTTTTAATCTACTTATTAAACAGTCTTGATCTCTAAAAAGGAACTTTAAGTTAAAATAAGATATGAAGAACAACCTGTATTCAAATAAATTGGGAAGCTGTTTAATGTTACTTAAAGGTCCTTATACACCAGGGCAGACATGAATTTAGAACGCGAAATTACGAAATATTCGGAGGCGCCTGACCATACACATCAAGCCCGATGCGATTTTGCGACTTTCAGGGGGGAAAAAGATGCGTCCCGGGTGGAAGCGTGAAGACTGACACAACAGCAGACTGACTGTTTTTCAGTTCTGATTAGACACTAGTGTTGAGATGTCTGTCTGTCATGATAGCATGTACTGAGTCGGGGCCAGTACCAGATAAGCACATTAAACTATAATCCATAAACGTAAGGTAACAACCGAGACCTCATGGTGCTGTAACAGCAACGCGATTGAGTTTGAGACAGTGAAAATACATATGGTATGTTGTATCTGAACAGGTTAGCTTACGAGCTAAAGTTACTTAGCATAGATGAAAGTTAAAACAAAGATGTTTAGCAAACTGTTAAAGCACACAAACCATCGTCATATGAGTTATCTGACGCTATGACTCTCCACAAGTTGTCCTTCAGGTTATCTTTGTAATATTTGTGTTTTTTATCAAAAAGCACTCTGTTCTCTGACACGTAAACAATCAGTCGGTCGGCCATGTTGGATATACCGGTGAATCAGACGTCGCAACAACACGCAATCTGATTGGTCAGAAGTGGACACACAGTATGTGAAACTTTAGAAAAATCGACCGTGATCCGAAAAAATAAATGCCGCAATATTGCAGGACGGGAAAACGTCGCTGATGTGAGCGCTTGTATTGACGGGATACGAGTTCGAAAAAAATATTGACGTCCAAAATAATTGCTTGAAAAAAACGGTCCCTGTGTGAAAGGACATTAAAACAAAATTTGATCAAATTTGATAATTTGCAAATCATTTAAGGCCATATAGGACCACTTTTTCACTGTGCTCCCTGTTCTAACCTTTTTTCAAAAATGTTTCTGGCATCAAACTTAAAATATTATCAAACTATAAAATTACTCAGTTTGCAAATTTGATATGTTGTTTTCGAACTTTCATCAAATTCCTGTCTTTGTTTATATTTTACAAGGGTCCTGACTTTTTAGGGCTGTTAGGGACTGCCATTCCATTGCTGCTACAGTACATGCTGGTGCATTGGTTAGTGCAAGGTGTAAATCTGTAGTTCCTTAAAGTCCACTTGGGGCTGCACTAAGAATTAAAGTTACCCTGTCGGAGCAATGATTGAAAAATCTGCAGGGTAACAGATGTTTACAGCCTGGTTCAGTCTTCAGTCTTGATGTGTTTTGCTCACTTCCTTATTCTTTATAAAAGTTAGATTACTCATCCTGTTTGATTGTATTAAAGTTAAGAGTTACGCAGGCTTAGGTATAATTAGAGGCATGGGTGGGCGTATTTTAGTTGTTGGCCAAGCTGCTGGGCCATAACCTCAGCTCCATCTCTTAGCCTTTCTTAGATTAGGTGGAATTAGTTAGTCAGTATTTCCGATACGACCACTGTCTTTGAACTTCATAACACCTCTTCAGAAACCAGTGAGTGATGACTCTGAGACCAAAGCCGTGTTTAATAAAGACATCAATCTTGAGCACTAAATGTCTTGGAGAAAAAATGTAAACCCAAGCTCTTTATCGAATTAAATCTCTGTCTGCCAGTAGGCTCTTTTTCTGCTACTTCCTCTTTTGGAGATGCAACAGGCTAATTCTAGTGTTAAATGAAGGCTTTGGCTGTGTGTTGTGTCTGGTTTTACAGTTAATGCTACTCTGACAGAATAAATGACACTTTGCTGAGTGAGAGCTGCTCTCTCTCCAGCACTCTTTAGCTGTCCAGACTCTAATAACTATCCCTGTCTTCACCAGGGTTCAAATTGAGTATCTCCAGCCTGTGTTTAAACTCCACAGTTTACATTACTCCAGAAACACTGCCGCTAACTCTTGGACTTGTGTTGTATAATAAAGTTTTGACCTGACACAAAGCCGGGGGGAGTAGGAGGCTTTCACAGAGCTGGCTCCACTTCGTCCTGTGAGGGGGGAATTAGAGAGGCCTGTGGTGGCTGCGGTCTGGCCTGGAGCCCAGCTGCTGGAGGAAAGTTTGGGAAAGAGTACCTCCTACTGGGTGAAATGTACAATGGATACAGAAAATGCCACAGAGAGCATTCTGTGAAACTCTTTACTTGCCATGGGTGGAGTAAAAAAAAAATCAAAACAACTTTTATAATCTTACACATATTATATGTTTGGTAGAAATATGCACAATTTCTTAGAAATGTATCAACTGTTTTAATTGAATTTGACCAGATGCTTCTCAAAAACTCATAAGGCCCAAAGGAAACCACTTTTTTTTGCACCATTTGACCCAGTTTGTCAGAATAAGGCATCCAGATTTCAACATCTGCTCCAACATGTGTGAGGAGGCTGTGAGTTTCTGGAGGGATATAAAATATGTAAAGAAGGAAGATGTGAAAACAAACAAACAAAAAAAAAAAAGAGCTTTTCAATGGTGCCTCTATGCAGCTGAGCATATATGTCTTTTAAAGGGGTATTCCAGTGTGAAATTAATTTAGGGTCAAACACACAGCGGTCTATGGAACCACACACAAACCTCAACCAAAACGCCACTCTATAGCCACAACTAATACTCAGAACAGCACCTAACTTCATCAACAGTACATATAGGGTCCCAGCCATAGTACTAGCCACCAAACATCTTTTTAGCTTTGCCAAATTTCTTTAGCAAAGAGACTAAACTCAACTACTCTCTTCCAGCAGCTGCTTGTATGTAGTGAGACCTCGGCCCAGTCCATTATGAACTGTAGCGGGGTGACGCAGCCCAAGGAAGAACATGTATGATCATTTATTCATGGAAATGCAATCAGACTGAGACACTATGGCAGAAGAACTATCACATCTGCAGAGCAAAATGATTAATATGATGATTATTATTTCAATTTAATGATAAGGAAATTATCATATATGTTCTTCCTTGAGCTGTGTCACCCCGCTGCAGTCCTTTATGGACTGGTCTGAGGTCTCCCTACAAACAAATGGCTGCTGAAAGAGAGGAGGTGAGTTGTGTTTAGTCTCTTTGCTAAGGAAATTAGGCAAAGTTAAAAAGATGTTTGGTGGCTGATACTATGGCTGGGACCCTATATGTACTGTTGATGAAGTTAGGTGCTGTTTTGAGCATTATTTGTGGCTATAGAGTGGTTTTTTGGTCGAGCGTGTTGAGCCATAGACCGCTGTGTATTGCTATTGTGTGGTCGTTACTAAAGTTGGTATAACTAGAGAAGCGAGCAGTCGGCAACATTTATCTCTCGAGGGGGTGTCTAACTCTGTGTTACGGTGTGTTTGACCCTTAATTAATTTTACGCTGGAATATCCCTTTAAGGGGAGAGGATTTTAACATATTTTAGAAACATATTCACCTAGTAGGCCTATCCTGTTTTGTTTTGTTTTGTTTTAAACTTTGAGAGTAGTTTATTTTTAGTCCTTTATAACGGCATTAAAGATGGTTGAACTGTGGATTATTGTGCTCCAGCCAAAGCTGCTGAATGAAAAAGCAGCTGCATGTGTTTTTCTAAAAAAAAAGAAAAAAAAGAAAAAATTGATGTTTTTATTATTTTTTTTTATTTTTACTTGGCTTGTTTGTTCAGCTTATAATCAATATGTAAGTTTCAGTTTCATTTATTGGCAGGTTGAAAGGATTGGTCCCACTTGACATTTTACCCATTCAGTAATTGTTTAATAATGTTCAATAATCCATCCTGGCTGTATGGCTCATGTAGTGGTTTCAGTATATTTATGGCGTTCTCTAACATTTTTGTGAAACATGTTTAATCTGACTGATGCATTTATATCAGTTCTGTGAGCACTTCGATTTAAGACATTCTCCTGTAGGGGGCGATATATGTATCCTGGAACATTAGGATATTGTACCATTCATACTGCATACTGTAGTGTCAGATTGTTGTGTTATATTAAATTTCAATGTATCACATCATATGGTATCGTGATGCATTGTATTGCATTGTAATGTATGATACTGAATCATTGGATTATGCTGTATGTTTGACAATATATTGTCTCATATCGTATTGTATCGTATCATATCCTATTGTATCGATTAGGACTGTATTGGGTATTATGTTCAATTGAATTGTATGATATTGTAACACAAATAAGATGTATGGGTTATTATTACTGACACTCTGGTGGAGTCATCATCGTCAGTTATGTCCTTTGTCAGTGATTGCGTAATGAAATCAAGCGCAGTAATCGTCCCATGATTCATCAAGTCCTTAAAGTCATCTGGAGGGGAATTTAAACAGGAAGGATAAAACTGATGATTTAACATTCAGTGCCTATTTATTTAAACTTCTCTTTTACTTGTAAATCAAGGGTGCTGTTGTGTAATTTAGAAAAAAGAAACAAATGTGACAGCAGTTGAGCAGCAGAAGCAACAATGTTTGGAGTACAGTTTATTTTTGTTCTCAAGGATTATTATTATTATTGTTATTATTATTATTATTATTATTATTATTATTAGTAGTAGTAGTAGTAGTAGTAGTAGTAGTACATTTAAAGACCAAACTATTCCTGTCTTTCACTTTCCAATGTCATGTGATTTCTGATATTTACACCTTCTCTTATTTCTACAAGAAACAATGAGGGTTAAACACTTGGGCATCCAATCCTTCACTTTTATCATTCAAGGTACATTTTAACTTTTCACTGTCAACCAAAAAGTATAGTTTTTCCAGGCTTTATCCCAGGAAATAGTCCTGATCACACTGAGGAAGCAATCTGTTCGGCCCTCATTTCAGATAAACCCAATAAATGAAGTGCTAAAACTATAATTTGCTTAAAGGCCGTGGGCAGAAAGCTATCAGTGTCTGTGGGGTTGGGAACTTTTATGGCGCATTCTCAATGTCAATTTGGGCAAAATGCTTTGTCTTCATGTTTCCTGCCTGTGGGAAATGAGGTCCTCACAGGAAAAATGACTAACAGTTCCCCTGCTCTTTGTTTCAGACCTGTGGTCACAGCTTCTTGCTTCCTAATTTATGTTCAAGGCGTGCCATAAGTTTCGTTTACGCCTGTTTCCCCTCCTCTCCTCCTTAGTGTGTTTTCTCATCAATCAAAACCTCTCTCTCCCACTTTTATTGCAGCTGATTGACACGTTTGCGTTGGAGATTGGAGAGCTAAAGAAAGAGATGGTCCAGGTCTCTCCAACAGCTGATAAGGAAATAACAGACTTACAGGGGTAAGACTAATTTCTTTTTAAAGACTATCAAAAATAAAAATCTACCTATAAAGATTTCTTTGTTATTCTTGAAGTGACCTAAAAGTTAGAAAAAAAAATGAAGCAGGTGATTTATTTAAAAAGGAGGGAAAGAAGCAGGATTATTCTGCTCTGTTTCTCATTTTTTTTAATTTCTGTCAGGAGTATTTGTGCATGTCATACTCCTTTCTTCCAGCAGATGGTGTTAGTGATTTTTTTTTTTCTGTTTGTGTCTCTTTCAGGATGGAGAGTGAACTTGGTGGGATCTACCTGCAGTCGCCTCCATGTGGCGGTGTTGGGGGTGAGAGGGATTCTGGGTACGACTCCTTGCGGAGGAGGATGAGTGTGTTGGACAGGCTGACTCAGACCCATCCGGTGTGGCTGCTGCTGGCACTTAATGAAGAGGAGGCTGGTCGTATCCTGCACAAACAACCACCAGGGGTGAGGAAGAGGTTACCATTTGGGGATTCTGCTGTCTGTTGCTTAGTATGAATCACAGCATAAGCAATAATGTCACTATTTATTTTCTTTCTTTCCATGTTGCAGGTGTTCCTGGTCAGGAAGTCAGCTGCTCTGCAGAGGAAAGTTCTGTCAGTGCGTCTGAAGGAGGATCAGTCAGGAACTCCCATCAGCCACTTCCCTGTCAGAGAGAGCCAGTACAGTAAGTAACGTGTTCACCAAAGCCATAGAAAACTCCAGATAAAAAAGCAGTGTGAAGCTGCCCAATTTACTGTTGGACATTAATGTGACACGGTGACTTAAACACTGAAACGCTAAAATCTCAGATACATATGAGTCACTAAACCAAAAGAACTGTGTAGAGTAAATACACACTGCAGAAAAATGAATAGAAAATAGAGTCATTAATAAACATATTTTACATAACGAACATAAAATAAAGCCCCCCTCCAAAAAAAAAACAAAAAAACAATAATAATTATGACGAAGTATTGACAAAACATTCCTCAACCATACATACATTAATGTAATTTCTAGTTCTTTAGATATATTTTTGTAAAAATTGTTTGTAAGTGTCTAGAATTTAATTTAAAATAGAAATATGATGTAAATAAACCACTGCAAGACTGAAACTATTACATTTTATATCAGACGTGGTGATAGATAACTTAAAAAACGAACAAATAACTTTTACGGTGTCTGTTAAGGTTTCCTTTCAAAAAGCAAACAGCAAAATCTGCCCCAAAAGAATATTTCAAAAACTCAAATTAAGCCTTACAATTTTGAATACGACTTCTAAGGGTCAGCTTTTCACCTTACATGTCTGATGTATTGAGTTATCAGCATGAAGATGTTGTCATTTAGATCTCATGAAATACGTCATCAATCCAAGAACAATGTCTTTAAATGGAATTTTGAGTAAACTCTGAAGTTGAACCTAAACTTATCTTATTTTCGGTTCCGTTTGCTCTCCTGATCAGGGAACCTTCTGGTCACAGAGTTAAAGACGTCACTTCCCCTCGGCGTCTGCATGATGTGTTCAAAGATAAACCCTGACACAAATGAGAAGTGAGAATCTCTGGCTGGAAGGACTGCAGTTTGGTCAAAGTCTGTTTGCTCTCGGTGTGACTATCAAACTGCTTCCGTAGAGTGATAAAAGTTCTTTATGTGATGTTGATGCAGTGACTCATTATGCCTTTCATACAGGTCATAAAGTAGGAAAGAGCTGCTGAAAAAAATCATTTGTCTTGAATATTTCTTTGACCAACATGAACTGTAAGACATTTGGCAAGGTTCCCATATTTGTTTGCACAGCCTCAACCACGACGCTGATGAAACTGTGTACTGTATCTGTGCGTGGGTGACTATGATTTAGAAACCTTTTATTCATACTGACAGGAAAAGACAGTTTAAAATCTATATTTAAATGTTTACTGATGATCTTAGAACAATAGTTTCTACTTTGTACTGCAGTGGTTTGGTGTGGGGAATTAGTCATGGAGCTGTGACAGTGCCAAAATGGGTTGACATACCATCTGTGGATTTTCCCTGCTGGAATGACAGCACACATGGAGGGAGGGGAGCACATTTGTCCCGGTTTGTCTTCAGATGTGGGTCAGCTGCTCTCAGCTTGGACTCTTACTCTGCCCGTGGCGCCTTAAGTCACCCTTGTGCACGAGTGGTTTGAGCTCAACAACAACATCCCTCACACTTTCCAAAAGGCAGTTCCAGTTCCTTTCTTTTACCACAGCCCATATTTCCATATTAGGACTCTCTGTGACAAGTAGGTATTAAAAGGTTTGAAAATACCTCAGTTTATACTCTAGCGTGCAACCACGATAAAACCGGAATGGTAGTTATATAATCTATAATTGCAATTGCACCCAACCAGGGAGTTTTTATTTTGGAGCTATTTTGCCTTTATTGACAGTTGAGTAGTATGGACAGAGTGGGGAGCTGAAAGGAGATGATGGGTGATGGTATGCAGCAAAAGGCTGCCCACTCAAGGGACTAAAGTGTCTATATATAGGGCGTGCGATGTAGCTGCTGGCAAAAATCAGTGCTCCATCAGAATGCTCTCATATACAACCCTAACTTTTTTCAGTGTTGGCACCATAGACTGTATTTACTATGTACAACTTGGTATCACCTTCTGCCAGTATTCGGATTTGAAGCCAAAAAGCTCTTGGAAATTCTGCGTTTTTTCTCTATTTCCTGAAACCAACATTGCGCAGTAGCGTTGTACGCACTCCACCACTTGCGCAGTAGCATTGTACTCTTTCGGCGGTGTCGGCGAGAGAGTCACCGAGAGTCGCTGTAATGACACTTGGCCCAAACAGCGTATCCCCGGGGTGAGCTACGCAATCTTCATACGCCCATAGGCTGTATCAAGTGTCAGTCATAGAAAACATGAACTCCCTAATAACTTTTAAAAACTGAGCTGTACAGAAAAAAGAGGACTTGAGCACAAACCAGTCTTACAATAACTACATGTCAACATCCCAAGCAGGGGGGAGAAAAATGTATATTCTGTGTGATAAATTTCTAAAGTTTGTCCACATCTCCCTAAGGATGGCTGGGGTAGGCGGGATTCATGACCTATACTGCAGCTTGTCACCAGAGGGCGCTGTTCTTGGGGTGACTTTACCCAGCAAGGAGGCAGACGGCGTCCATTCTATATACAGTCTACAGTCGGGACACTTTGTATCGAGTTGATAAAAAACTTTAGATTCTGTATTTAATTGAAATTAGTGCAAAGAGACATATTAGATGTTAAAGTTGAATCATTTCGTTGTTATTGAAAAACTATGCACATTTTTAAATCTGATATAAGTTTCAGAAAAGTTGGTGAATAAAAAAAACATCTCCTGACAAATTAGTTTAAACTTCAACAGGTTCCCTACATGACTGGATACTAAAAAGGCACGCCAGAGAGACTGAGTTTCTCAGAAGGATAGATGGGACGAGGCTCAACAGTCTGTGAGAGACTGGACAGCAAACGTTTCTGAATAATGTTCCTCAGTGCAAAACTGCAACCTACATGTGGGTATCACCAACTACAAACATACAAAGTACAAACAAACTTATCAGAGCAGGAACAGACAATAAGCATGCATATTCTGTGAGGTTGAATGATTGCTATTGACTGAGAAGCCTGCTGATTCTGCTGTGAGCGATCATTCAACTCATCCATGCACAGTACAAGGTGGGCCTCCTCTAGTCAGTGCTCATATTGGAAAAGTAACCCTTATCAAATTTATAAAACAACAAATAAATTGCACAATAAGACACCAAAAGCCATAACCAATCATATTAAGCTGCTTAGGATATTGTTTAATAGAAGCAAAACCCACATGCAGGGTTTTTTGTTCACTGCTCAGCACCCTGCCAGCACTTTTCTGCCAGAATAGGGGTTATATGGGCACAGGCTGTTATGCTCCCACGGCCCTGATATGTGAAAATAAGAAGTATGTCATGTGAAATCACCTCAACAAGAACCAGAACACCTTTATTAATTTGCTAGAGTTATAAATCCTGGCAGCTGTTTGACTTTCTAGTAAGTTACCTCAAAAGCCTCTGCATCAGAATAAGTTCGAGTTTATGAAAGCTAATCCAATCTGCACATGTTTTTGTTGATTTGCAGCTTTTTCTCTTGAGGGATCTGGGATCAGCTTTGCAGATCTGTTCCGCCTGGTGGCTTTCTACTGTATCAGCAGGTAAATAACCAACATTACTCCCCCCTGTTTCTCTCAACCACATCTTCAGCTTCTTTGTTTATTCTGTGATACTGAGAGGGTCATTCCAGGATAAAAACATCATGAATAATGATCATCGTGTCGAGTAAGCAGCAGTCAGCTCTTCATGCCCCGGGCTCTCACTTCTTGTTTTACTTTGTGCCAGCTCAGGACACAGACGGACCGACACAGGAGTTTATAAAATGACACAAGACTTTGCGCCGTGAGCAGGATCCATGTCAATAACAATGTTATCATGTTTATATTATGATAATGATTTCACTTCTGCCAGAGTGCAGGTTCTGTTTTACCAATCGTCATCTTTTTTTCTTAGATATCTGTGTCAAACTGAGGACATGTTCTGACCATAACGCCGTAGAACAAACATAAAGTGAACTTTGAACTGATAACGTAAATGTGTCATCATTTTACTTTTACGAGAATTTTTCTTTGAATACTGCAGCTGGCCCCTTACTTACTAACCAGAGTACTTTATGTTTATTTAGGTCATATTTATTAATTGCCTGTTTATTTCTCACTCAGGGATGTCTTGCCTTTTACACTCAAACTCCCAGACGCCATTGCATCTGCAAAGACTCAGAAAGACCTGGAGGAAGTGGCCCAGCTTGGAGCAGGTAGTCCTCAGTGATTTATCTCTTCGCTAGTATGAAATCTAGATACAACAATGTCAACAATTTTAATTCAAATCAGGTGTGGTTTACTTATATACTGGTTTATATACTTGTAACTGTGTCCTAATTAAGGGGTTGCAGCAACAAGTGGCTACCTGACTGATCTGGCAGCTCATGTAACGCAACACCATCATCAACATTTGAAAGATCATTTCAATGTGCTGAGATAAAACCCTCTTGTTCTTCAACAGGGGTATATTTTGAGCGGTCTTTGAAATCAGACACCCTTAGATATGCTGCTGTCATGCATTCAGTCTTCAAATGCAGCCTTTGAAGGCTGCAGCCAGTACCTGATAAACCCAGAGAAAGATGTTTTGAAGGCCAACCTGATAATGTTCAATAGTGTTTCATAAAAAAAAAAAACCTGTGGAAGAAAAGGCAGTTCTTACTTACAGCACTAAGATGGAGAAGAAAAGTGGTTTCTCTGTGCAAATTTATTACATTGAAAGGCCCAGTGATAGGGTCCCAGCCATAGTACTAGCCAGTAGTACTTGATGACCAAGTACTACTGACCAAGTGCAGCGGGTCATTTCCATGAAATAATAGTCATCATATTAATCATTTTGCACTGCAGACGCGGTAGTTCTTCTGCCTTTGCATCTCGGTCTGATTGCATTTCCATTAAGTAATAATCATAAATTTTCTGCTGCATTCGGTGATTGAATCGTCAAAGCTCCTCCACAAACACGCAGCTGCTGGAGGAGAGTGGATGAGTTGTGTTTAGTCTCTTTGCTAAAGAAATCAGGCAAAGTTAAAAAGATGTTTGGTGGCTAGTTCTATGGCTGGGACCCTATTTGTACTGTTGATGAAGTTTAGGTGCTGTTCTGAGCATTATTTGTGGCTATAGAGTGGCGTTTTGGTTGAGGTTTGCACGTGGAGCCATAGACCGCTGTGTATTGCTATAGTGTGATTGTTACTAAAATTGGGATAACTAGAGAAGCAAGCAGTCGGCAACATTCATCTTCGAAGGGGTGTCTAACTCTGTGTTACGGTGTGTTTGACCATAACTTAAATTTAGGCTGGAATATCCCTTTAAGAGCAGGGCAGATTCATTTGTTTTTTCAGGTGGCTCAATTTATCCTTAATTCTTTGTACAAATGAGTAAAATGTTTTTTAAATAATAAGCGTAAAGGGTCTGTGAGAAGTTTTAAAATGTATGCAAAATGGACTGATACTAATGTCTCCGTCTGACCATCAGCAGCTAACAGGACCAACAACAGACTGTTTTTATCTGTAGTAATTTTTAACACTTAGGATAGGTGTCCAGATAATAAACAGCAGGCTGAAAATTCAGCCTTTATCATTTTTTCATGCCAAACACTCAGAGTGAGTTATACATTTCACTGTTCATGATATCAGGTTGAGGTTTTAGTCAAAAAACACAACTTTTAAATGTACAGGAGGAGAGCTAAGAGTCACCATGTTGTCAAAGGGGGGCGACAGAACCAGTGCAAGCTAAAAATTTCTCACAAACGCTTCAACAAGCGCCTTATAAAGTGTTTCATAACTTGTGAAAAAATACCATGCAAGGGTTTTCCCTGTGCCCCCAGTCTCTACTCTAAACTAGGAAGTCTGTCACCTCCTAGTTTGCTTCAAAACAGACTTGTTGACACACACAAAAAGATTAATGCTGGCTCAAATGCAACACCTAGATTTACTGACCCCGGTTAAGTTTTTCTAATGTTAAGGCATGCGCTGACTCTGGTCTCTGCATAGAAAATATAAAAAAGTGGTAGACTTGGAAAATTTAAGCAAATCTACAAGATTATACTGTTAAAAGTTATAACGGCCGTTATCATACTCTTTCATTTCATTCGACTGAGACCACAGACAGGAATAAAACAGTCAGCCATTTCTGTCCTCAGGGTTTATTTCTTTCTCTCTCTGTAATAACTCTGGACGCTCAGGGCGGGTTTCACAGCAGATTTCTTCTCTTGATCTCTGTGGAGTTATTCTGGGCTCAGCTGCTGTGAGACTGTAATGAGTCAGCTTCCTACAGTACGAGTCTGTGACATAGCTCAACACTTAGTGTGGGGGAGCAGGGGAGTGGCGAGTGGAAAGCCTCAGCGCTGTCTAAACACACACATACCATCTCACCATATTCAAATATGTATGAAAACACACAGGGCCCCGTAGTATGAGCGCTAACGTAACACTCACAGCAAACTGTGTCATAGTTTCAGCAAACATGAAAAGCTGCTTTTGTGTTTGCGTGTTGGAATTCCTGTGAATGGATGTGGGTGTAAGCCTGAACCGAGATGCCTTCTGCATTGGTGTTTTTTCTATTGGATGTGAAGTGGGAGAGGTTGAAAAGGCCTCTTTAAGTGTGAGCCAGCTCCAGCTTTTCTTAGCTAGCCTGTGCAGTCATAAAGGGAAACTCCACTTCTCCATCAAGAAGCCTCTATTTAAGGATAAAGCAGCTGCCATATTATATGTTGTGGAAACAGAGGATGCACATGTGAAACACAAACACATGTGACATGAAGCTTCAGACATTTGAATATGACAGAGCCTGAACACTGAGTTGTTTTTCCTTTAGGGGCATTGATGGCAAAGTGACTTTAGAAAGTCGCTTTTAAAAACGTTTACTTATTGACTGCTGTTTTTAGTAATGGAGATGTTGTATCTTATGAACATTTTGCATTTAGGACATGCTTAATCTGGCATGACATTGCAGGCGTTTATATTTCACACTATTAAAAAAAAAACAAAAAAAAAAAAACTACAATGTTGTTCAAAAAGATAATGTCAGAAAGTAGTGTACCATGAGTTTCTTATATTCTTGGTCAAGGAGACACATGGGATTCACTGCAAGGCTCAGAATTATGGACTAAATAAACCCTTAATTTAGGGCTGGGCGGTAAACCGAAAATTGACCGATACCATAATACAATCGATACAATAATCAATGTCATTCTGCCCATGTGGGTATAGTCGGTGTCAAATAAAAAAATAAAAAAATAAAAGTTGATTTTGGATGTGTGTAGGTAGGCTATGGTCCCTTTAAGACACTGTCCTACGTTGGAGACATGACTCCAACCCAACCAGTCTGTAATAAAGAGGGAAATACAGGTGAGGAGATGGAGAACAGTTCAAAAGTTGAAGCAGCTGGAGCGGCGGCTGAAGTAGACGAAGTTAATGTATGAGGTGGTGAGCAGCTTGTGAAGTAGTCATCGTCCAGTTATCGTCATTAAGGTGAACTGCTCAATATATTGTGATTTTGATTTGAAGCCATATCACCCGCCCTACCTGAACTTACCAAACAGAAAAAAAAAGTCTTTAACAAATTATAATTCTAAGCTTTGTACTCTGCTGTAGAAGTGCAGTATATTTACAGTTTTTTTTCTGTTTACAAAAGAATTAACAAGTTTATCAGTCAATCAAAAAAAAAAAAAAAACATCTATCAAAGTCAAAACTAAATATCTTCACACACTATCAGAAAAAGCAGGCGTTAAGGTCAGTACACACAATCTGGCGGGAGAAGGGGAGAGTACACAGACTGCTGCAGTTTAGATTTAAACCAGTGCCGGCCCTCTTCCTCCAATCCAAAAGCTGCCAGTCTGGTTGAACTGACTAATCAGAGGCAGCACCTCCATCAGCACCTAATCAGCAGAATCACACACACCCACAGAAACAAACACACACTCTCACAGAAACAAACACACTCTCACTTACAGTCTGCAGGAGGAGACTAAGCAATTCACATATGACCCAGTGTCATATAATAAAGTTAATCATAACACCACTGGTAGTTCAGTCAACAACAACTCTACTGATAGTGAAAATTCAAACAGACATTGCACCAGATTGTAAACAGGGGTCCACCGATATTTGTTTTTCATGAGACCAATATGATGTGTGGACTTGAAATGCACTGACAGAGAAAATTGAAAACTTTCTGTCAAAAAATGTAGAATTTTAACTATTTCAAGCTGCAACACAAACTTTCAAGTTCAAGTTTCTTTAATCGCCACACGGCTAGGCCGGTGGAATTTTTCACAGTGCAGGTGGTAGCTGCAACAATACACCACATTAATTTAAACAGACATTAAACAATCCACAGGAAAAAAAACAACAACAAGACAGTGACATGACATAACATAACATATGAAACGGGGTACCACAGGACATAATACACAGACTTCACACATGTCGACCAGAGGAGTTTAGCAGTCTATTAAAAACTGAAACATTCAGCATAATATACAGTAGTTAACATTTAACTTGTTGCACTTACAGTACAGAGTGAGCAAGACTTTGGGTGAGACAAAGTGGTGCAAGAAAAAGGTCCCAGAGGGAAAGTTACATGGGCAGAAAAGCCAAAATAGTGATCAGTAAAACAGAAGACTGATCCAGATTATCCGACTAATGTTTAAAATTAATAAACATTAATAAATTAATAGCCGACTAATGGGCTCTAATAATCAGCCAAGTCCACTCATCAGTCTACCACTAATCTTCACTTTGAACCAAACCTGAGCCTCTAGTCAGGATAGTAATCGGCTAATGTAACAATTCAACCGATCTGTAGTGCTCAACTGGACATGGTGGCAGGAAAGGTTTACATAAACAGTTCTAACATACTAAACTGAATAAACCATAGTCAGGAACCACAACTTTTAATGAACTGTGTATTTATATAGCTAGCTTTTTAGAGAACTCACAGTGCTTATATATGTCACACCACATTCACCCCCTTGCGTTTGCACTCTGGATTAGGCTGTCTCTCGCAGACTTGTCCACACGCCACAGTGTCAGGTGATTGAAGCATATGCAGTCAAGTGAGAATACCACACACATAGTTCAGTCTGCAGACACTGAGGTAGCATAGCACATATGAAACTGCCCTATCAGCCAGAGCGTGAGTCTTTACTGCTCCAGGAAAGGCAGAGGTTATGTTCCCATTTTTAGCCTGCAGGAAATGTCATCAGTGGGTTTCTGTTGCTGTCACTGCACATATATTTTAAAGTGGCTTGACTTGTTGCCTTGTGTTTTTTTTGGTATGGGTAAATGTGTTTAAATCATGGCATTTATTCATAGATCTAATCTTTTGTCTTGTATTGTTTGTAGAGTAGAGTCTGTTTGCATGGTGGATAGTTGAAAACAATGGGATGATTCATTAGGAAGGCACACATGACATCCAAAAGGAAGCATGTGGTCTCCACAGCTTTGGGAAACTTGGACTGTAAATATGGCATAAAAAAGAGGCAGAAAATCGTAAAAATAAGGTTTGATCAACGTGAAAGATTCATTAATCTACAGAAAAGCCGTCAAAAGTACTCGCCTAAGGGAGCGTAAGACGTGAGAGAGGAAAACAGAGCAGAGAGAGGGAGTGGAGGAACTGGAACTGTGCCGTGTGGTGTGTTGAGCGCCCTCCCACTCTGTCATTAGCATGGGCGACTCCCTCTTTGTGTGTTTGCTGGTTGTGTATTGACTACAAGTGAGTTAGAGTGAAAAGACAGGGCAGAACTCGCAGCTTTCCTGCCACCGGCAAGAGGAAAAATACAAACAGGGAGACAGAAATACAGGGAGAAAACTTCAACTAAGCACTGAGGACTAACCTGACCAATGGTAAGAACTTGTTGCTGTCTCTTTTCCTGTCATATAGTCCTTTGACTACTTGTTTAATTTGAAGTCTCTGTATCATGGCTCCTTTTTGTAAATATTACCCTAAAGTGCTCGAGGAGAAGTGTGTCTAGCTGAAGGGTAGTTAATGTTTGCCTCTCTGTGTGCTTGTGTCTGTGTTTTACAGGCTTCTGGGACTCTGCCCTGTGCAGTCAGCGTCACACTCCTCCCAGTCCCTGTCGCCCTCTGAGCCGGACGCTCAGCCCCCAGCGGACCAGGAGGAACAGGGAGGTCCGGGAATCACAGCAGAGGCACACAGGGGCTCACTGCGACAGCGCTCCACCAACCCTACGGTCCCAAAGCCCTCCGTCTTCCTTTCATCTTGAGAGGAGACATTCCAGTGGTCCTGTGTGCTTCATCAACCCCCTGTTCATCCAGACCAATCAGCACCGCCACAGCTTTGATGAAGACCCGCCTCTAAAGGCTGTCAAGTCCACTAACCTGGATAATGCAGAGAGAGCATCCATGAAGCCACTCGGCAGCAGTAATGAAGCGACTGAGCAACAGAATCCCAAACTGAACAGTAACTCCAAACAACCACCCCCTCGCCCTCCTCCACCCCGCTCCATGTCACGCCGGCGCCCTGCCCCACCACCACCTGGCCCTTCAGCAGCGACCATTAGACCTAAGAGCATGCCAGGGGCCGTAGCTGCATCTGCAAAGCAACAGCCATCCCCAGTCAAGCGCCCAGCACCCCAACCACCGAAAATGGGTGCCAAGCACGGCAGCCCATCCAAAACGGCCACCTCACCCAACCGCACTCCTTCGAACCCTCCTCCTCCAAGGCCCAAAAAGCCCGATCTGGAGGCCCATCGCTGCCACATTGCCCTGGATGATGAAACTATTGCTAAGGCTTTGTCTAGAGCAAAACCCCCTTCCTGCAAGTCTCCTGAACTACTGGAGAGTAACGCTGGCAGTCCCTCCGCTCCGAATGAGAGGGGAGGCCAGCGTCTTAGTGACATGAGCATGTCTACTTCCTCCTCTGACTCACTGGAATACTCACAGGCTCCTGGATTCTCCCTGGGGCTAGCCCCGAGTCCATCGCGGCATATTAATCATCAAGACACAGTTGAGGACAGCAGCGATGATGATGAGTATGGGGAAGAAGATGAGGAGGAGGACTATGGGGTCAGTCTAGAGACAGACCTCGAAATGCGTCTTCGTCCCTCTTTCAAAGCTCGGCGGCCTAGAGTCGGAGTGAGCCTGAGTGGTGGTTCTTTTGTCATCCCCAGAGCTCTAAAGGGACGTTTCAGGAAGGTGAGTGGTATGCTGAGCTCTCTCATGACCCCAGAGAGACGGGCAGTGAAAAGGATTGCTGAGCTCTCCAGGGACAAAAGCTCATACTTTGGCTCCTTGGTCCAGGACTACATCAGCTTTGTTCAGGAGAACCGAGGTTGTCACACATCAGCAGTGGATTTTTTGCAGACTCTTCGGCAGTTTATGACACAGATGAAGGCTTACCTGCGCCAGAGCTCTGAGCTGGACCCCCCACTAGAGTCACTCATACCTGAGGAACAGATTGGTAAGTCTGACCAGATCTCTGTAAATCAGTAAAACGAAGCGGGTAAGATGCACTTTTTAAGGTTTGTTGTCATGTGGAGTGTCTTGGTGAAACATCTCCTCATGTGAGCATGGGCACATCAGCGTGGTGGTTTAGTCATATCCCATTTTGACAACATTCAATTCCCTACATGTTTGCCCTTGGAGAGTCATAAGCATTTCTTCGACGTATTATTGAAATGTCTTCATTCATTGACAATTTTCTGTAAATTCTTGAGTGTGCTTAGAAACCAGACATCCTGGTTGAAGTTTTCCATATTAGTCAGTGTCTCATTGCTGGTGTTGAGTTACAGAGATGCCGGAGTGCTGTGCCCCATTGGGTTATTCTTAGCTTATGTCTGTTGGTGCTGTCAAGCTCTTTGAAAGTCAGAGCCGGTACATTATAATGGTCAATAACAGAGATCCAGTATTAAGTCTTGCAGGTATATCTACGAATATATTCTTACCGATGTTAAAACACTAACCAGTAATTGTACCCATGCTGGAACAGCAATATGTATTGAGCAGGCTGTAACATTATAACTGACAGCACTGTCTGCACCTCATGTGGCAAGGCGTCAAGGCCAGGTTTGGTTGTCAGTAGTGCTGACATGATGTTACATTTACCCCACAAGATCAGGGCCAAAAAATCCATGATAATGATATGTTTATGCTATGAAAATGTAGCAGTGCAATCAATCAAATCAAAGGCAAAAAAAGGATGGAGCAACATGGTACTTTATTTTGCTCTATAGTCTGTATTGTCAAAGCAGCAATTTTAAACGGAACCACACGCTATTTCAAAGTAACTTAGCACATGCATGTAGTAGTATATAGATTATAAATTCCAGAAGTGCAAAACAGCTTGAAAGTACAAATGTTTCTTAAGTGGATTCACAATAAATCTTGAAACATCAGTCTTAGCAGCGTCTAACCATCTTCCAGAGGGCGGCTGCTGCTGTTTCTTCATCTTCTCTCTGTTTTTATAGCAGGTGGCAACCAGTCTGTAGAACCACTACCACTGTCACTGCTTACTTACTTGGTATAGATACCACTGCCAATATTTAAAGGGTATTTGACATGTTTTTTTCTTGTATTTTTTAAAATGACACAGTTTTACTATATGCTTGCTTTCAGCATATCAATATTTTATTTTTGACAAAGAAATTTATCATCAACACCAGAATATTGCATTTGAACTATTAAACTTTCGGACTAGGGTGAAATCAGCGCCCTCTGTGGACAAAGTGATACCTCTATAGTCCAGTAGTATTTTTAGGCCCAAAAGACAGTATCCTGTTGTCTTTTAAGAATGAAAAATATCACTTACTAGGAACATTTGCCATGAAAAAAACAAAACATTCTCCTTTTATCAGCTGGCTGTCAGTCATCAGTTCAACACCTACCTTCACAAAGCATTTCTAAGCATTGAAAATTATTACACTAAATCTGTCTGCCCTCTTGCTGATGGTCTCATTTTCTTCTAAAGAACAGACAGAGGCATCAGTATTAGTTTTAGTTTGTTTCTCTACTAGTTAATATCTTCTGATTGTACTTTTAATGTAGAACAAAGTCCTGAAGGAAAAATGTGCTTAAAAACATGTATTTTCTATGATCTATTGTAAAACCATATTAGTGTTCAGATATCTTGAAGCAGTCGGGTACTTACTGAATATTTCTCTTGCCACTGCTTGACACAATGTGTGAGCTACAGACACAAAAGCCATGTTTACATGGGCACAATTAATCGGAACAAATGCCCGATCAGAATAAATGTGTCATGTAAACATGACGATCAGTAGATTCTAATCCAATTTGACTCTACGAAAAGAAATTGTATTCCAAAATGCGTCCATGTAAACATTTATTCCGATCGTGACTCTCTTACCTGACTCAATCTTCACTCTTTCGCCTTTGACATATTTGTTGAGGTCATTACAGGAGGTGTCATTATTGACACTCCGGCATTAAACACAACTGCAGGTGCTGTGTCATACATACAGTGTAATGATGTCACATCTGCACACACAGTGCTACCTTTGACAGAACAGTAAAATAAACTCATGTCCGTGTGCATGTTTGAATGCCTCTTATCTGAATAAAGCTTGGTGCATGTATACCCACATCGCGATTGGATTATTTGATTTTGAATCCATATAAACTATGGATTCAGATTTTCCGATCCCTCAGATTTTTAATCGGATCAAGAAATTTTTGCCCATGTAAACATGGTTCAAACTTCACATTTCAGAAGTTTGTATGTCCTCAGTTAAAAGAAAGAAAAGGAGTTTGTGGGTTAACAATGGTTTAAAGTTGTAGTACTAAAACTGTTTTTCGTTGAAGCTGTGAAAATTTCTAAACAACATTTACAGCTCTGTGAAAAGAGATATTTGATCATTGTGAACTTGACTTTCTGCATTAATATGTAAGCATGTTTGTGCACCCATCTCACTCCCCTTGTTCATTGTAAACAACAACAGCAAAGCTTTGTTCAGAGACAGAAGTGATCCTTTCTCAGAACAGACCACAGATGTGCACTCTCACTAATGTTCCCTTTGGAGAAGAGAAACATGAAGAAACATTCTTCAGCTTTTGTAACTGTATAATCAGAAAAATAACTTTCTCTTGGCAGGTTTAAGTTGTTTCAAAAACACTTAAAGGATTTCTAAATCAGCTAAAAACAGGTCTGAATCAGCAATAGTTTAAACTGAAAAATCAATAAAACTACAGCAGGATCATTCACTCAGGCTGATGTCATCCTGAAATCCCACTGGGCATGATTTAAGAAAGTGAAGTTGAGCTGGTGTGTGCGTGCTCCCATCCAGAGTGTTTACAAAAAGATTAAGATGAGAGTGTTTAGATTAGGACTCAAAGTCTGACATCTTAGGGAAGAAATGTTTCAATCGGACTGTTTTTATGGTGAATAAGAGGGTATCTAAGGTGAATATAATGCAGTAAACTTTAAAGTCTACTGGTGGAATGACTGTCAGATGTTTGAGAAGGAAGGGCGTCCCCTTGCAAACACACACATTCATTATGACCTTGATCAGAGAGGGGGTTGTAAAGGAAAAGGACAGGTCAGCATTTATGGGTTGTAAAAACCTTGGGTGAACGGTTTCCATTATCTTAATTTTCTATACTGATTCTTGCAGTAGTATGTTTTGTGTGTATCTCCTTGTTTTAATATAACAGATTATCAGATTGATGGTGTTTTAGGTAAGCCTTCTAACAGGTTGTAGTCCAGATAAGCTAATTACAATTTCACAATATACAAAGAATATGGGCCTTCCTGGAGGAAACCAGGAAGCCTGCAGCAAGACAGTGTGAGCGGATGTGTGAACCTGCCTGGTCAAACTACTTAGAGTCCAATAGTATGTCCTTAAGAGCCCCTTTACCCCTCCTTGTGTACACATGAGGATCTGATGGGCTTATCAAGCCACTGGAAACACCTCCAGCTTTTCGGTTTTCATAACTTTAGATTTATTTGACTTAGCGGCGTAAAATAAAGATCTACCAATCCTTACCCTAGGTGACCCTCAGCCCCTTGCGCTGAGATGGAGCTTGTGAACTTGTCTTGTGGGGGAGTGCTTTTACCTTGAGCTCCTACCATGACTCACTGTAATGGCAAAAACTACTCCAAAAGAACAGATTTCTTGTGTGTGCATGTTCGCTTATGCAAGATGCAAAACGTGCGTTTGGTTCAGTGCAGCTGCTTACATAAGAGCAGCATAGTAGAGCCTGCCTGGAGGCTGAGGATGCCTGCGCATGAATCAGAAGTCAGTTCTGCCTCAGAACAATGAGACACAATTGTTCAGACGCAACATGCTGTGCATAGCTGAGGTGGGCAGGAAGGTCTTCAGAGCTTATGTACGTAAGTCTGAGGTACAGATGAATGCATTGAAAAGGATCAAGTGCAACTGAATGAATGAAATACAGGATTATGAATACACTTCAGTTTGATGCTGGATTTTTAAAGGTCATATTTGTGATGATGTGCTTCTCCTTTACTCTTTATATCAAAGTTATGCTGACTTCTAGCTGAAAAATCAAAGTCCCTGCTAGGACTTATTTGTTTGTAATGATTTGGGGGCATTGCTGCCCTCAGATGCCTGGACAGCCTTTGTGACAGTAGAGTAGGAGTATGACTTATCTGTAACATTGAAATCTTTCTGAAATTGGCCAAGACAAAAATGTAAGTGGCAGAAATGGGAAGGTGTGATAAATGTAACATCCTCAGTTGTCATTGAAGAGATCTATAGCCCAAGGCTGCTTCCTCCCCTGTTAGGACCTGTAACAGGCTACACCTATAAATTTTAGTGGATGACTCACAATAATAAGTATAATTTTTGTGGGCTAAACTGGTCATGAAACAGGCTGAAGATTAATTGTTAAAAGACTGAGTTTCTATGTTGTAACTGAAAAACAGATGACAAATTTTCCAGTCATGGAAAATAGAGAAAAAATAAGAAACAGCTAAATGTTCTGGAAAATCACTGGGAAAAAAATTGTATTGGAAAAAAACAAAACCATGCCACCTGAAGGGGCTAAATTATGTTAAAGATACATACAAAACTGTAGAAAATGGACAACAGTGCTAAGGACGGGCCACAAGCTGCTTATACCTCAAGTTATATCACACAGTATTACCTGTGGGCAGGATGACAATTAAATCAAGTGAAGTTCCAAATAAAGTAACAAAACTTTCGATGATTGAAGAAATATGCTGTTTCAGAAGTATAAATATGAGTCACAGCTTGTTGCTGAATAATGCTAAATTAGTTCGCTTGGTTGGATCAGCTGATGAAGCTGACATGCTAACTAGCTAGCCTCGCCTGAAAGGTTTGCAGTATGTGATTCGCACTCAGAACGCAAGTTACAAATGCAAGTCCGGCATTTTTGACAGAGTTCGATACCCACTGAGCAACAGACGGTTATTAGATGTCTAGTTTCTTTTTTTTAGACCTAATTTCAACCATCTAGATTCTGTATATTTTTAAATGGAAGTCAGACGTTGCACTTTAACCCATTATTTAATAACTATTTATTTAAAAAAGCAACTGTGAGTTGCATGACTGATCTCCAAGTACGTTACCAAAATAATTATGATAGCTGTTGAGCAAAATACAGTGTAGTATAGATATAGCCCAGATTTAGACTTGGTCTAAACTTGGTATAAATTTAGAGGTGTAAAAAACTTTCATTTTTAGACCTGTGGTAGCCTGATTTTAGACCAGTCGTCTAGGCTACATTTAGACGCCTATTAGACCTCTTTTAGACCAAAAAATGCTCAGTGGGTAGAGTTTATGGATCTTTGGAAAATAGCCGTAACCACTGCAGAGGGGTAGCTGTGTGACAAAGCAATCTAAGTTAACTCGAGATGAGAAAAATCCCCTTTTTTCAACATTTTCCACAGCAAATATCCCCAGTAAATGAGGCGCATGACTGTTTAACTGTTAGATAAGATATTTTTTGTCAGATAACACCACTACTCACATGACAGGATGAGGTAAGACAGAGGAGGTATCACTTTGTCTACGGGCAGGGCAGTAATGGCACAAAAAGGGAGTTCCTCAAGACACATGAAGTATTTGTTGCCATCATTCTTTGAGAAATTCATTTTCTTCATGCTGCAGAAATAGAAACTTATGCAGGGACCCATGTACCAGTGCAGCGGTGTCTCAAGCAGTCAGAGGTTGAGTGCCTTGCTCAAGGACATTCAGGAAGCAAACTTCCCATCAATCAGACCAGACTTCCTTTTGTTTGGTACCCACACTTCAACAAGTGACCCTTATGCTCCAAAGTCATGTTCCTGCGCTTCTGCTGCCCTTGAATGTGTTGCATTGGCCACGCATCTGTTTATGTTGTCTGGGATTATTTATGATTTATTTTTGTAAGAGTGTATGACAGCATATATGTAGAAAGTATACCTTGACACCATCTCGTCTCTGTAGTGTACATCACTGACTTGTATCATGTATTCTATGTGTTCTGGTTCATATCAGTGTCATGGTATGCCACATTTTCAATGAAGACAGAGTGTATTCCAATGAAGAGTGTCACCTCTGTAATTGACAGTAATTCTAGATTTTTATAGCTGACTGTGTGGTTTTAGTTTAGTGCGGTCTGTCTTACATTACAGCCAGTGAGGCAATTCAGTTGTAAAAATAACTATTGTGTTTGAGAATTTTTTGAATAATCTACTGGTGTGTCACTGTCGTCCTCTGCAGACCAGGTGCTTGAAAAGGCGATGCACAAGTGTGTCTTGAAGCCTCTGAAGAGTGTGATTGATGTGGCTTTACATGACTTCCAGGTAAGAAAAAACATACTTCTAAGAATTTGTTTAATATATTAGTTGGCCAATATCATTGGCTCATTTTGTTCTACCACAGATATTGGTATCTGAGAAGAAACATACCCCAAAAAAAAATAAAAAAATCTAAGATTAGAAACATCATGGTTTAAAAACACCATATTAATGACCTGTTGATGACATTATTTTGGCTAACTGTGTAAATGAACTCTCCTCTGACATGTGTTTGTCGTCTCTACAGAAAAGCAGTAATTCTTTGCAGCAGCTGAAGGAGAATCTTGCCCTCGCTAAGACCAAGAAGCCTCAGGAGTTAGGAGTGGATGGAGCTGTGCCCCCTGACTCTGTGGCTATCGAGAAGATCCGCCACAAGTTTATGAACATGAGAAAGATGTACTCCCCAGAGAAGAAGGTGTCGCTGCTGCTGCGTGTGTGCAAACTCATCTACACCATCATGCAGGATAACTCAGGTAAGGACAGAATGATTCATCTCCTGGTATAAAAATCCTGAAACTCAAATTTATTTGCAGACAACACACTGGTGGAGCAGTGGTTTTACTTTTCAAAAGGTTTTACAAATCACTGATGTGAGATCCACACTGTGTTTGTAGTGCTGAACTCTGTCTGACCTGGACAACCGCCACACCTAGCCACGTCCCTGCTCAGTCTCTGCTCTGTCTGCTTCCTTTCAGGGAGGATGTACGGTGCCGATGACTTCCTACCCATGCTGACTTATGTGGTAGCTCAGTGCGACATGCCTCAGCTGGACACAGAGATCCAATACATGATGGAGCTTCTCGACCCCTCTCTGCTGCAAGGCGAGGGTAGGTCATCCTGTCTCACTCTACGACAGTAGGCTGTAACTTTGGTCTTTATTATTTGTAGCTGAGAAAACACAAACTATGCTGTTAATACAGTATCACTTTATTTGATCTATTCTTAAGGTGGTCTGTCTCTTAAATTACTGATTCATACTGTATGTTAAAATGATCTTTTCTTAGATCCTCTCCCTTACGTATGATATGCATGTGTTCAAGCATATATTATATAGGATGATAGATTGCTGGGTCTGTTTATTGAGAAACTGGTTTGGGAAGCGAGGCTATCTGCCAGTGCAGATGAGTTCAACTTCAACTCTGACACCAACATCTATGTTGAAGAATTTTTAAGCTACCAGAAAGCCCTTTCATTTATGCATGATCTGCAGAAACATATATAACTTTCCCTACTTGGGTGAAAGTCGGTTTAACCTGTCAGTTGAGTGGAAGGCTCATTCTCCTTAAATTTGCATGCCTAAAGGTTGAAAATCAGGATGTCGGGCAATCATTACTTGGCCACAGAAGCAGCGTGGTTGCTGTCACAGCCTGAGATTGACACCTAAACTTCTGTGAGATGTCTTGTCTTTTGATATTAACTTAGTTCATACAAAGACTGATTATTTCATTTTATCTCCTTTAACCAGGAGTCTATTATTATAAAATGTTTGACTGACTTTGTCTTATTATCAATCTGTTGCGGCAATCCCAACAGATTGACCCAAATAAATTAGTCTCTAAATTTCTTTCATTATCACAAACACAAAACAACATTTCTTCCTGTATCACAAACAAAAAACTAAAACTCTTTCATTATCACAAAATTGATTCAATCTGAATCAATCTGATGTGGCAATCCCAACAGATTGAGACCCAAATAAATGAATCTCTAAAATTCTTTCATTAAATGATGCTGAAATTAACGCGCCAGACAGATGAACAGTGCACAGGACTGTCATATATGGACCTGTCACCTGGACCCTCTCAGCTGAGTTGAGTTTCTCAGGAAGGTGCAGCGAGAGTGAAGGAAGGAAAAGGCCCTGCGATACAAGAAGGAAATTCCAGTGGATGTTTGATTTGAATGGAGCGGGTTCAGAGGAAAAAGAAGGCTGGACCCTCCCAGAATGAAATACTTTCCTATCAGCGTCAACCTGTCTGGCACCTTCACTCATTGAAGAGTGAGGTGGTGTGTATCCTCGAGAGGTTTTATTAATTACTTAAGGAAAAAACAGTAGCTCCTGTTCTGACTCATTATACGTAGCTGATAAAGAGGAAGTGTTCGGTCTAACATTTTTTGGTGACTATGTGATCTCAACTGGTTTCATTTCTTGATAACAGGTCCTGATGTACACTGGACTCTGTTTTGTTTCTTATCCTTCCTCTAACATTACTCTCTTTTGTGTCGACCCCAGGAGGTTATTACCTGACGAGCGCGTATGGAGCCATGTCCCTTATCAAGAACTTCCAAGAGGAGCAGGCGGCCCGTGTGCTGAGCTCTGAAACCAGAAACACTCTCCACCAGTGGCACAGGCGCCGAACTGCTCTGCGTTCAGCACCATCTGTGGACGACTTTCAGGTATCACGCCTGACCTGAACCCACCTTGAACATCCAGGCAGTGAGTCTAAGTCGAACCAATTCCAAAATTCATCCCACTCCAGCTGGGGAAAGGTGCATGAAAGGTGCTGTGTACATCCACAGTTTCTACTAACAGCACAGCATGCTGATCTGGCTCTGCGGTTAATAATTTGGGTAGACAGCACCCTCTAGTGAAACTTCGAACACCTGCATGTGATTTCTCAGAATAACCGCCATCCTGTCTGCTTGATTTTATCTGATACTTGAATCATTTTGATGCAGAGATTTCTTTTTGCACTATCTTGTAACACACGGCTCTTTTGTTTTCACTTTAGAACTATCTCCGTGTAGCGCTGCAGGAAGTGGACACAGGCTGCACAGCCAAAACCCTGGTCGTTCATCCGTACACAACCACTGAAGAGGTCTGCTCACTCTGCGCTTACAAGTTCAAGATCCCCGACCCCGAGAATTATGCACTGTTTTTGGTAACTGAGGATTCGAGTCAGCAGCTCGCCCCGGACACTCACCCCCAACGGATTAAAGCCGAGCTCCACAGCCGGCCCCGAACACAGATCTTCCACTTTCTCTACAGGAAGGTGCCTAACCTAAACCTCTGTATCCCCACCGTCATACACAATGGAAACTGCCTTCAAGTGGAATAATGAAAGAGAATGTGAAGTTACCACTTACTGCACTTGACCTCTCACAATAATTACAGTTTGCTGCATTCTGGCGCTTGTAGTTTTTTTTTTTTTTTTCTGTTGTCGGATTGGAGAAGGTGTGGAAAATAGTCTAAGCTGGATGTTGGCACATTGCTGCAGATATTGAATGTCTTTAGTCAAGAATGGTGTCATAGAGAGAATTAGGGGATTTTATGTATATTTTTGGTTAAACCACCAAAGGTAGCATGGATTTTGGTAAGTGTTGGTGTTTTACCTGAACACTACTTGGATCAAAAAATCAGGAAATGGTAAGTTTTTCTAGGGTTTAGTGAAGAGTTGACAGAATTATTTGACAAGCATCTTGAACATGAAATTAGGAAGGATAACCTGTACCAACTACCTTTTCCTTGTTAGGAGGGAATCCTCCTCAGCATGTGAAAATTTTATTTTGACACTATATAGAGGTACAGTGTGTCAGAATTAGTATATTTGGTGATGTCTAACAATAAAGTCCTTGATTGGACTGCTCACCCCTTACTTGGTAAAGCGATGGTGGCCTTTGAAGGCCAGAAGCCCCTGTTTTGCAAAATTCTTTTGCAACCACTTTCTTTTTTGTCATGGTCTTATGGTTGTCTCTAATTTAAAAGAACACATATCACTTGGTATATTTAGGTTAATTATACACCGATTTAAACATTTATGAATATTATGTTAGAGTTCTACAAAGTCTTTTCTGCTAAATATTGCTCAACACTACACACTGTACCACTACATTTTAATATATTACAACTGTCTAACATGCTTGATGTGTATTTAAACACCTATATTTTGAAAAACAAGATGCTGAACCAATCAACAGAAACTTTGACTAGATTACAGTTTTCTGCAGTTTTGTTTTCCACTGCAAAAATGAAATTCAACTGCAACTGAGAAAGTTTGAATTTGCAGCCCGAACCACACCATTTTTATTCATATATGTACAAGTCAGGGAAGATAAACTCATTGTCCTTGTTTTAATAATTGTTACCGTAACATATTTTTTTTAAAGTTGGAATTTTACTGCAGAAACTGTATGAGAAATGCACTTCTAGATTTTTGGAAATACTTTTTTGCTTGTTAAATTCTAAGCTGGTAAATTTATCATCATCTGACCTGCCAAAATAGAATTTAAGATATATGCAATTAAATTTGAATGGTTAAAGTGGACTTATTCACTGCATCGATCTATAAAAATGACAACAATAAAAGCGTAGAATATTAGTAGCACCAAAAATAAAACAAAAACAAGCAGACTACAAAGAGAGACATACCAATAATTACACAAAGGGCAAAACAATTTTTTATACAAAACTTCATTCATGTATATAGCAATTGAAAAAGCCTTAAAGAGTTAAAAATAAAACAAAAAATAACATTAACAGTATTAAAAGAAACTTGACACCAAGCTAAAATCAAAATGTAAGCTACAAAGATAAAGAAAGAGATAAGACATTCAGCAAACAGGTTAAAAAATCAAATGTTTTAGATATCTGTCTGCAGCTTCATTTTTCTGCTACCGACAAACTTTACAAAAAAGTTTTACATAAAATCTAATCGTTTCTAGTCTATTGTAATCAAATCTGTTCCTAGTGAGCAGAGCAGAAACAGAGGGTTTGTGTGTCGATGTTGGAAGGGTCTTTAGTTGTTGAGTAGTCATGTGTAATACGGAGGTGAAGAGATTGCCTGATCGTTAGACATGATTAAAATCTCTAAAGTAGAGTTCATAGAGCTGAAAACTGCCTTTCATGTAACTTTGTTCGCCTTAACTGCTGTTCGCACAGGTGCCTTTAACAAGAATGAATCTGTTTATCACTGGGAGCTTCAAACTCTTATGAAAATGACCCTTTGTGCTATAGCTTTGATTTGATAAGTAATATTAACTGTTTTTAAAGTTGTTATTGTTTTTTCAATGACTCTTTGTTTTTATTTCTGCAGTTGCTGGTCAACTGTAGCTCTTATGCCTGAGTAGAAATATTTTTATATACAAATGTTCCTCTTTTCATCTCTGAAGTGTCAAAGATTTGTATTTAGATTTAAAATATCTGTACTGGACTCTGTAGTGAACTTATGGATTTATGCCAGTTAGTTTTCCAAATACATTTTAAAAAGGCTGTTTCTACTGTTTGTAAAGGAAACTTAAAGATGACTCTTGGAATATATAAAATTCTCTTTAACAGAGAGTTAAGCCTGACTCATGTTTTTTTTTTCTCCTTAAGTTTTGCTCCATTCATTGCGGACCAAGTTTCCTTTTTTTCAGATTTATAGTGCAACCAGCATTTCAACCTCAGTCTACAAGCTGTGTGCTCTTGATGGCTTCAACTAAGTTTTTTGATGGTCTTCCTTGCTTGTTTTGTTTCTTATAAATCTGTCAGTAATTTCACAAAAATGAAAGATTCAAATGGCCCTTTTTGTCTAAACAATTGCTGAAAACCTCACTGTGGTATGTGACAAAAGGAGCAAATGCTTACATATACGAAGCAGATATGTGCAACATTAAAAAATCCTTTTTGGTTAAAAAAACAACAAAAAACTAAATTATTGGATGAGTTGTCAATTCACCACCTTTCTATTAACATATGACAAATTCTAGATTAGTACACATTTAGAGAATATGCCGTGTAATTTAAAGCTCCTGTGATGAACTCCGTTTCTGTTTGCGCGAGAGTAATACCTCTCATCTTTTAACGAATCCTGCTGTATATCTCTGAACAGGAGGTTCTGAAACAATCGAATAAGAATCACACTTCCAATTTAACAGTATAATATAAAATAACACATATATATAAATATGTGGAGGAAAAATGGGGGGGGGGGGGGTCTATCTTGCAGCATCATCTTACACCTACCTTTGCTGTGTAAGCATTGGAATCATAATATAGAAACAGATTTTTTTCCTGTTGGTCTTATTTTCTTTTGTGGGTCACATGCTTGCTTTAGCACAATATCAATGTTGCACTCTTTTAGAGGAAAAAATGTTAGCATTAACTTAAACAGTAAAATCTATGCAGTTAACACGGCCTTACACCACCAGGAACTGCCACATTCTTGACCCTGGCATGCCCCTGATCAATCATCACATGCAAAACAATAATCTAAACAATAATCTCATATATTCTCCATGTGTACAATGATTTATGTGTCTCTAACCAGTTTAATAGCTTCCTGGAGCTGTTGGTGAGTTATTAATCACCATACTTGCTTTCTGCAGTGCCTGTGATAAGAAACTCTATTATTATCGACACAATTACTTGTCATCCATACATCGACACACCCATGACATAAATCTATCATTTCAAAGTCACTCTGAATAAAAATTCAGAATAATAATAGAAAATAAGAATAACTTTATTAATCCACGAAGGGAAATTCAGTTGCCTGTTGTCTCACAAAATATGTCTCTAACAGTTTTCTGCTATTTACCCAAGAGTTATACAGTCTGATGGCTGTTGGTACAAAAAATCTTCTGAATTTTTCTGTCCTGCAGAGAAGAGAGAGGAGCCGTCCACCACCATTGGCTCTTTGGTCCATCAAGGTTTTGTGAAGTGGGTGATCCATGTTCTTTAGAATAGTGTCCACCTTCTTCAGTGTAGATCTCTCCACCAATTCCTCCACTGAGTCCAGTTTGAGTCCAACCCATATGGTCCAACCACAGAGCCAGCCTTTTCACCAGTTTGTTAAGATGTCTTGCATCTTTGTGTTTGATGCTTCCTCCCCAGCAGACTGCAGTGTAGAACAGAACACTACAGACTGATAAAACATCTGCAGCATCTCACTACAGATGTCTATTGATTGAGGTCTTCTCAGGCAAAAGAGGCGGCTCTGCCCCTTTCTGTAGATGAAGTCTATATTCTTAGACCAATCCCACCTATTATCCAGATGTACAACTAGGTATTTATATGATGTCACCACTCCGATGTCCACTCGGAGTGGATAATAAATGAATAAGTTGCCAACTAATAAAGTGTGTCTTTACTCTATAAAAATCATTGTTTGAAGGTCTCTGGTCCAAGCAGTTCAGCCCCCGTAGGCCGATGTAGACCCAACCTTTACCAGCAGGGGGCAGCACTCAACGAAGAAGATAACGGAAGTCTATTTGGTTCCTGTTCCCTGATAGTCTCCATGCATGCAGCTGGGGCTTCTTGCCGAGTAGTGCAGCCGCTGTTACAAACTTGAGAAAATCTCTGTTGTAGTTTTGAAAACCTGTCTATGAATGCACCGAGTCACTTCAGGTCTGTGAAGAATTTCTCCTGTATTTGAACAACTCAAGACTCGGACTCGTCTTCGTTTCTGTAAAGGATGCACTGAGACGACTTCTGGTAAGCTGGACTGTGTTTTTACTTAGGCTTATCGCGCCAATTATGATAAACAAAAATATATCATTTAGCGAGTATTTTCAGCAGATACCTCTGCCCAACATTTAGCCATCAACGTAAGATTTGAAGGTCTATAAATTAGCTTTGTTGTTTGTTCTTCACTGAGTGGTTTTGTAAACCAGTACTTTTATTTTTGCAATAGGCTTCTCAGTGAAAAGGCTCGAACTTTGTTTCTTTTTACAAATCATCATACTGGGCGAAAAACAACGTTTGAAATACATTTTCCATCAATTGCATGATAGCTAGCTCATTTAGAAATGCTTCCACTGCATAAATAAAAAAATATATATAATTTTTTTATTGTCATCATACTAAAAGTACAATGAAATTGGAGAGCTTCTCCTTTTCCAGTGCAATATACAAGTAAATATAAAGTAGTAAAAGTACAAATAGTTGTAAGAAAGAAGTTACTATATATACAAGACAAGAATTCTACAGAACCGTAAAATAAAAAAGTATGTATAAGAATAAAATACAACGATAATTACTAAAAACAAATATAAAAAAAATTATGTACATATATATGTGTATATATATGTGTGTATATATATATATATATATATATATATATGTATATGTATATGTATATATATATGTATATGTATATAATTATATATATATATATATATATATATATATATATATACACACACGTGTGTGTGTGTATGTACATTTTTTTATATGTATATAGACACGTGTTGCACAGATAAAGGATATTATAATCAACACAGCAGCAGTAACATTGGTAATATTGCACTTGTTACCTCATCGTGAGGGCTTGAGCTGGTTTATGGGAGTTTGAATAACTGTAATATAATAACTAAAATGAAATTGAATTTAAATATTATATTAAATTGAATCAAAAAGCCATATCTCACTAAATATATGTGTCCCACTTAAAGTTAGATATCTCTCTTTTTACAGTTTACATAAAGCTACATTGACTTTAAGTCATCTTCAAGATATTTTCATGTCATGTTGTGTTTTAATAATGAAATCTTTAAAGGTCCTCTACTGCAAATTTGACTTGGATGTACAGAAATTTTACCAGCATGATGAAAATATGTAAAGCTGTATTTGTTTGGTCTCATTTTGGACAATTTCTTTTGTAAAGTGGTCAATTACATACAGATAAATGACAATGAAATGTAATGAAAACACAAACCTACAGAGGACAGATACATAAGACAAATCAGAAACACCAGCACTGCAGCCTTTTAAAAATGTTCACTTATATCTCAACATTAAACAAATGTTTCAATGTTAATACTATGGCAATCATCACATCAAAGTGGTGATAAAGGCCTGTATTGGACATACTAAAGTAAAACCTTGATATACAAATAAAAGCACCTCTAAAATGAACTGCACCCAGATGTGTCAAAATGCCCCCTCTGTATCTTCTTCAAAATGTGAAGAGGCAGTTATTTGGCCACCTGTAAGTTTCACTCACATACAGTAAGAAATCTGAATTATTTTTTAGCTTTAGCAGGAGACCCAGCCCGGAAACAGTCTGCTACTTCTTTTTCCCCCATTTATATACATGCAGCAACCTGCAAAACAGGCAGCTACTGTGAACTTATTGTGTAACCAATGCATTGACTTCAGACTTTTTTTATTGATAAAATTAAAAGGATAAGATAAACAGCAAGTGGCTCCTGTTCAGGCAACTTGGTTATTTTAGCAGTTCCACCTCTAGTTATTAATTTCTAAAGTTTGTACACAGCTCCACAGGGGTTGCTGGAGGAGGTAGGATTTATGACCTATACTGCAGCCTGTAACCAGAGGGTGCTGTCCTCAGGGTGGCTTCACCTAGCGAGGAGGCAGACGGCGTCCACTCTGTGTACAGTCTATGATAACAACAAGTCTTTCCATCTTTGCTCTAAAGAATATCTGTGTTGAGATAAGTGAGTTGCCCATAGACTGTATATACTATGGACAACTTGGAGCCTGTCACCAGAGTGTGCTGTTCTCAGCTCGCTTTACCCAGCGAGGAGGCAGACGCTGTCCGTTCTATACAACACTATCTGGCAATGTTGATTTCAGGAAGTACAGAAAAAATGCAGAATTACCAAGAGATTTTTAGCTTCAAATCTGTATACTGGTGGAAGGCGGAACCACGTTGTCCATAGTATATACAGTCTATGATACCAACTCAATTTCACAGCCATCTTTCATAACAGTTTTTTTCCAGTTGAGTTTTACCTGCATTTAGAACAAGCTGCAGTCGCGGAAGCTTATCTTGTACTCAGTCAAATGGGTGCAGATGATTTGACAAAGCTTGAACTATATTGCACAACAATATAAAACTGTGTTGTCAGCATAGAAGGGAAAGACAGCATTGGGATATTTTGTCCAAGACAACTTATTAAATAGTAGTTGGCCCAGAGCTGATCTTTGTGGTACCCCTTTGTAGATTACAAGCATAGTTTTATAATGCTGGAAATAAAGCAACATAAATGCAGGGCAGAAAATAAAAGCATGACAAACAATCAGATAAGTTTTGGTCAGAGGGCTAGATAATGACATGTTAAGTAAATCTGCTTGTTAGTTAGGTTTATGATATCATGTGTTGCTCCACCATTTTCTTTGCTTTACTCAGTGTGACTAAATTTGTTGTTTCATTTACATGTTTTATATTACTATATCATTAAAGCAATAACCGTGGCGTGAATGCCCAGTATTGTGACAGCCTTATATCATATGCTTATTTTTAGCACAATCTGAATAATTTGTTTTTTTAGAAAAGACATCCATTAACAATACCGGTATTGTACGACAGCCCTCGTAACAACATATACATCTGTTTCCTCATGTGTAGTTTAACACTTTGTCCTGACTTCAATTTTTCTTGTTATCAAACATTTATTTTTCAGAAACAACTGCCCCCAAAGATGGATCTCAGGACAAGTCTCAAAACAACCCTGAGGAGGAAGTATCAGAAACTGAAGGAAGCTTATGCTGACAAACGTCTGCTTCCTCTGAGTCTTTGTAACTGGGATGCCAATGTTGACCTACCCTTCCCCAATTTGCGGCAGCATGAATTTCGAATTGTTGACAAGTCTGACCTACATACTTGGGTTGTTCGTTCTAGTGTCTTCCTGAGGCAATTTTTTTCATGTGACTGCCAACACCTCAGCTGCCAAAGAACAGTTCTCACTTATGGAGTTTCTGGAGCTGGAAAAACTACAGTAGTTCAGACTTGTGCTTTGGACTGGGCTGAAGGTCAAGAGTATCAAAACATTGACCTCCTGTTTCCTCTCACATTCTGGGAATTAAATTCAATTAAATGTAAAGTGAGTTTTCTTGAGCTTCTACGGATGTTTTACCCTGAGATGAAGGAGCTTGACGTTTCCAGCCTGAAGGGAAAAAATGTGTGGTTTGTTCTTGATGGACTTGATGAGTGTAATATGCCACTTGATTTTCACAGCCCCGCTGTCAGTGATGTGTCTGAGGTGTCCAAAGTAGATACTTTAGTGACCAGTTTGATCAGGGGAAGTCTACTTCCTCGTGCTCATGTATGGATAACAACCAGGTTTTCAGCAGCAACACGGATCCCTGACTGTTACATTCTTACAGAGAACAAAGTTCAAGGATTCAATGACAACCAGAAGGAGGACCACTTTAGAAATATAATCCTTGATGATGATCTTGCCAGCAGAGCCCTTGACCATGTGAAAATATCAAGGAGTCTAAACCATCTTTCTGAGATACCTCCAATCTGCACCGTCATGGCTAACATCTTGAAAAGTCATGTAGAAGCAGCTGATGATGACTTTAAAATACGACCTTTGAATCTTACTGAAATGTACTCAAATTTGATCCAAGATTCAAAATTTGGCATCATCGGAAGGCTGAAGGAGCTGGCACTGCTGCGACTGAGTGACAACAGTGTAATGTATGAGAGTGATCTTGCAAAGAAGGATATAAGTGTCAGGGAGGCGTCTGCCTTTTCAAAAAAGTTCCCACTTGTGTTGAGAGAAGAAAAGGGACTACACAACACCACAGTGTTTCGCTTTGGCCAGTCAAGCATCCAGGAGTTCTTGGCTGCGTCGGCTACATTGGACAAGATGCAGGGGAGTAACACGGCATCTGCTCAGCTTCAGGATCTGGTGGACGCAGCAGAGCGGAGCCCTGATGGAGAGTTTGATGGCATCCTGCGCTTCACCTTTGGACTCTTAAAGAAACGTGACACATTGCCTCCAACAGATCCACTGTTTGACTACACCAAGAAAGTGATCCTCCATGAAATTGTTACCTACAAATCCGTGATTCTGTTCCACGCTCTAAGAGAGTATGACAGCCAGGCTTTACTGAATGAAGTCAAGTTCTTTCTGAAGTTTGGCTTTTCTCCAATCCAGGGTTTCACACCCGTGCACTGGACATTCATGATTCAAAGAGCTACAAATTTTGAGGCCATTTTGGATAATATTGAAATGCCCGTCGGCAAAAGATGTGATGAGCTTCTCCGGAAGACGCTACCAGCTCTTCTTAAATCCAAGACGGTCGGGTGAGTAAACATTGGTTGATTGCAACTGTAACAGATGTTGGAAGCACCAGAATTTTATTTTTTTTAAAAACAGGTTTCTATTGCTATTCTGGCAAAAGGAAATGAGCACTTTAGCAAGTACCAAAGTACAGATCAAAAAGAAAAAAAAAAAGATCTTATTTTCACTTTGTGGTAAGTAAATAATATTAGATCTCTGTAGCTGGTTCTGTATCATCATTGTGTAGATAGGGGGTGTAGATATCCCTCAAGTTGTGACAAGCAGTTTTGAAGCTTCAACTATAACATAATAGCAACAGTCTTATTTTTAGGGACCAAACAAACCACATTTGGACAACAGGACAGTAAGACATAACGACTGTCAATCCTGGTTAGGATTATTTTGGTAGCAACTGGGCATTTCTAAAATTACAAATTTCCTTGCCATTTATACAGGTATTAAAATTCAGATTAACCCTGTAGTTTAAAGATAAGAAAACACTCAGGAAACAGTAAAATCTGAGCACTGTTAATTCTGCAAAGCTGAATGTGGTTTACAGGATCTGTGGGTGAATGATCTCAAATTGGTTTGCCAAGTGCAGTACGGAGAGCCGTACTCAAACACACCGTGCTATAGGATACAAACAGTCTTATGTCCTGGTCTGCACTGGTAGTATGTAGATATTATAGCCTTGGGGCTGTAGCCATTAATCAAACGTATAGTCTCAACTCTGTTAATGCTTAGGAACAAAAATTAGCTGACATTTTGAACTAGTTTAACCATTTAGTAATTCTGATGCAGACCATTGAGAAACATTAACTCACTAAGCCATAGGGGTGTCCAGGTACAACTTTTTAACTTCTGATACAATACCGATATTGTAGCCTTCAATATTGACCGATACCAATATTGATCCGATATGGCACAAAATTGTGCATGACAAGTTTTCACTCAGCTGCAGTGACTTTTTTGGACTTAAAAAATACCGCCACAAGGCCAGCATCACTCTTTCTCCTTGCTACTTTGCTAGTACCTTATTACACACTGGTATTGTGTTTTTGTGGGCTCAGCTTGCTGGATCAGGGTGCTACTAGAGGTGCCGGAGCGGAGTCTGGAATGGACAGCTTGTATCGGAGTGCTACCATTGGAGATTGTAGGTGCAGGCCAATATAATCCGATATTTGTTTCTTTTGCTGATATTGTACTGATATTCGATATCAAGATCGTATCGGGACACCCCTACTAAGCTTCATGGGACACAATAGAGCTTTCATTTGTAAAATAAACACAATTGTACATAAAAAAGACAAAAACATCTCATGAAAGGGCTAGTATTTTTGAGTAAAGCTCTCCTTTTATTCTAACCTGCTGACATTGCAAGCTCAACAGTAAGGACAGGGATCCATAACCTGGTTTAGAATCGATAAAACCCAAAAATCAAAGATGTTTTAACTCAGCGTGTCTCCCGTCAAGGGTCCCTGTAAGTAGTGTTAATAGCGTAAGTAGCACACACATGAACAGACTGTAAACTACATTTTTTAAAATAGCTAACAGGTATTAAAGCTAAGAAGTAAGAACTCTGGTGGTCAGCTGTTTGGCTATATTTTACTAAATTTAAAGATCAAAGGGACGTGAAATGCAATTTATTTTGCAAAATAATTTCATAAAAGTGGGAAAACTCACCCTCCATAAACAAGCACATCAGCATTGGGCATCAAATCAAATCGCAATGCGGAACCTTTTACTGTTTCTGTCAACTCCGGCTGCTGCTGCTGCTTGGCTACCATCATCCTTTTCCACCCCAATTAGTCGAGTCAAACACGGCCAGACTTCAGAGCAAGTTTCAGTTAAAAGTCAAAATCCAATGTTAGAATCAACGCTGGCAGCTGCAGTTTAAGAGTTAGTTAGCTAACTATCCAAGGTGACTTATGATTACACTGTGAGGTGTTCAGAGTTGGGTCAGTTAAACGAGAATCAGGCGAAAAGAAATGAAAACATCTTTACAGTGTGTTCAAATGCCACTTCAAGCAAAAAGAAAAATAGTTTTTTGGTAAGAATTGTGTTTAACACATTTGTTTGAAGGAAAACAATAATAGATAATATTGAGTAGCAATATCAAGAAGGACTTTGATCATAAGGGAGTCTGAAGTATCCCAATTAGGTCAATCCAAAAGCATCACCATCAGAATTTCACTCAAGTGTTATGTGTCATCTGCTCTCCTCTTCTTGCAGACTTGGATTCTCTAACCTGACAGACAAGAGTTGTCCCATCTTAGCTGCAGTCCTGAGCACAGGGGAGTCGTATCTGAGAGTGCTGGACCTGGGATTCAACAGCTTCACAGATCATGGAATCAAGTCTTTGGTGGAGGCACTCAGCGATCCAAACTGCAGGCTGAAAAAGCTCAGACTGCCAGGCTGTAGAGTGAGCTCTCTTGGATGTAAATACCTGATCAAAGCCCTGAAAGAGTCTCCGAAACTGATAGAGTTGGATCTCAGCAGGAATGACATTGGAAATGAGGGAGTGCGACATCTTGCAAACGGTTTGAAATCTCCTGAATGCCGGTTAGAAGTTCTGAGGTGAGTGTGTTCAGGCTGTGCAAGAGCCTCATGACAAGATGTGTATCACAATATACAAGCTGTAGCACGACCAGTATTGTTTTACTTTCAATCATTCATAAATGACTGAAATATACAGGGTTCCTACACAGATTCATGATCTTCATCACTTATCCCTTCTGGGTTCACAGAGGGCTGCAGACTATCTCAGCTGATATCAGGCAAGAGCCAGGGTACACTCTGCACAAGTCCAGTCTATCACAGGGGTGACATGTAGAGACAAACAACCATTTGTGCTTACACTCACACCTTTGGGCAATTCACAGTGATCAGTTAACCCGATGAACATGTTACTGGACTGTGGGAGGAAGCCCGAGTACCTCCGCACAGAAAGGCCCCTGCATGGGTCTGCACCACTGTGCAGCCCAGTTTAGTGATGTCTTTGATTGTTCACGAGAAAAACTGACACCTCGTCCAATAGCAGACTGAAGTTTAAAAATTCTGTTTTCATCACCAAGTTATATTTAGTGTCTAGGGGTGGCAAGGACACAACATGAATAAGACCCATTTCCCCCACAACCACAGATGGGTTAGAAGTAAATTCACTGTGATATTTATTTACAGTTTGATTATAATTAACAACCATGAGGGAACTGGTTCAAATTAACTTAATAGTGAACTGTGAACTCAAAGAAACGAAAATGAAAATTATTCACCTCCCAAACTAACTAAACATGAGAAAACGATATCAAATAAATTGGCGAGTCACCCCTACAAAACCTACCATCAAAATTTAACAAAGGCCATGTGGACAAATGGGAGAGGAGGGAGGTGGGATCCCAGTGCCACGGCTCTGACATTGAGAGAGAGAGAGGACCACAACCACATCAGCACATCCAAACACCAGCACAACTGAATTACTCCTAACAAACAAAAAGCTCATATAATAGCCACAGTTGTAACATTACTTAGGTTTTGCAAGTATTTGCAGAGCAAACTGATGGTTAGTCAGTTGGCCTCTACAGTCCTGAGATTTTTTATAGTAAATTTATTTTTAATCTAGCAGTTTATTTTTTGGGACATAGCTTGAGGTCTTAACTTTACTTGCAAAGCTCCAGGGTGTTACAATATTTAGTTCTTGCTGATCCAAATTTCTTTTCTTTTCAAAGCACCATTGTTTTCTTTTTTCACAGGCTATCTCAGTGCAGAATTGAGTCTGCCGGTTGCTCCTATTTGGCCTCAGCTCTGCAGGCAAATCCCAGCCATCTTAAAGGGTTGGATCTGAGCATCAATTCCTTCGGAGACAAGGGGGCCAATGAGTTGTTAAAAAAAGTAGACATTACACGGTTGTTAAAGCTGGAGTGAGTATCATTTGAATGAAAATATGTTCATTTTGGCCTGTTGGAAAACAAATATCACTCAAACAGGGCTCTTTTTGTCCGTTATCAGGTTGTACCACTGTGGGCTCACCATGTTGAGCTGTGTGAAGATCGGAGAAGCTCTGAAGAATGAATCCAGCGTTCTTGTGGAGCTCAATCTGAGCAGCAACAACCTGAAAGATGCAGGACTTGAGCTTATCTGTGAAGGCATGTACGCGTGGTGTAGTCTGGAAAAACTCAAGTAAGAAAACCTCCTGTATTTGTATGTGACAAACTGACTTTACTGGCTCTAAAGTTATCAGATTTATTTATTTATTTATCTTTTTTAAGTATTTAGCTTCAAATGCTGCAATCACTGTAAAGAGCCAGCCATGGAATATGAAGCAAAGGCAAAAAAAAGGGGTACCATTCAGGTAGGGCTGAAACGATTACTCGAGTAACTCGAGTAACTCGATTAATAAAATTCCTCGAGGCAAATTATATGCCTCGAGGAATCGTTTAAATCCGGAACCATGTGCAGCGCACGGTGTTTGACACGGACGGTTATTTCTGTTGCGCAGCAGCGTGCTCTTTCCGCTCCTTCCGCTGCCACGCGTTTCATAGACATAATAAAAGGGTAGACCCCGCTGGGGGTGCTGCGCAGCGAGAAATGCGGCCGCCATCTTGGTCAGGTCAAGCTTCCCATACGCTCCAGTCAATCATATTCATTCATTCAGCGATGCCGGAGCACTGTGCGGCGTATTCCTGTGCCAACAGGCGGACAGCAGAGAACAGGGCTCAAGAAATAACTTTTCACAGTTATGATTAAACGTTTTTTAAACATTACACTTGACTGTAGAGTCATTTGTAGGCCAAAGAGGAAGACTATCGGTCAACTCCAAAAAGGAAACAGCATTTGCGAACAGCTAGCTTATTCACAATAATAGCAACTTTGGTCGATTATCAACAGATTTGCATTAGATTGAAAAACTTTTGTTTGAGAGAGGTTCTAAGAAACGTTAAGAAATAAAATAGAAAGAAAAAGGAAGAAAGTGAGCTCTGTTTTATTATCTGTTTTATTAAAGATTTCTTTGTGGTGATCTCCTGTTTCATTTTGAAGATTTCCTAAGGACAAAAACTTGAGGAAGAAGTGGGAGATTGCTGTTAGAGGGAGAAATTCGCAGCAAGTGATTCCTCTGTGCTGTGTAGCCAACAAGCAAATTGATATGTAGTTTAGATGCTGTCCTGTCATGCTGTTCTTGTGTTTAAATCTTTTTGATATGTAGGCTATATATTTGTGTGTATTTTCCAGTTATTAAAATAGTGCCTACTATAATACAGCCACTGCTGCCATGTTCTAAAATATCATTTTATTCATTCTGAGTATTTGAAAAAGCCAAAAAAAAATATGGCCTCTATCATGCCTCTTTGAATGGCGTTTGCAGAGAAGAAAATTACGTAGTATTGAGCGAACTATGATTCATTAATGCGCTCAGACTTCATTCCGCCGGTTAAACAGCGGTGCAGAGTGAGGCGGATGACCGGACCAAGATGGCGGCCGCATTTCTCGACAGCGCCCATTCGTGGTAGCGGCCGATGCGGGGTCTATCTTTTATTATGTCTATGGCGCGTTTGGTTCAATCATGGAGGGAAACGAGGACAGACAGAGAGAGGAAGAAAGAGATGACACGCAGAGGAAACGGCAGAAAGTGTCTAAAGTGTGGGACCATTACACACTGAAAAGGAAAGAAAACGCCGTGCAGTGCGTTCACTGTAAGGCGGAGTTGGCGTTTCACAACAGCACGTCGTCAGTGCTGCAGCACCTTAAAAGAAAACACCCGGTCCATGCATTAAGTCCGCTCTGAGGCAAACGTGATTCAATGCAAAGTATTACAGTGAGAGCAAAACATTTCTTATCCGATTACTCGATTAATCGACAGATTAATCGATAGAGTACTCGATTACTAAAATAATCGATAGCTGCAGCCCTACCATTCAGGATACACAAAACCTGCAAACAGCACAGTAACAATCCACTTCACAAGGTTTATTGGAAAACTAAAACTAAAAATATCTGGTGTAAAAAGAAATCATGGATGTCTCAAAAAAGTCATACCAGTCAAAAAAAATGAACTTTTGTCTGATACAAGTAAGGAAAATGTGCTCAAATGTAGCACCAGCAGGAACTTTTTATGTTAAGTGTGAAATTAAGAGAAACTAACACCTTCACACTAAACCAAATATGTTTGTCTTGGTACCAGGAAGGGATTTCTGAATTATTTTCAAAATAATTCTGAACATGTGCTACAATTTAGCATCTTATGCTCTAGCTGCTGTATTGAGTCAAGACTCACAGTGAAAATAGCATATTGTGTGTAAAGTAAATTATACTGACTAAATGTGCTGAAAAATTAAAAAGAAATTAGACCAGAAAAATAGCACGAGGTGCATCTTAACATATACTTCACTTCTTTTTTCTCTCCAGTGTTTCGAGATGTGGAATCTCAAATACAGGCTGCCACCACATGTTTAAGGTCCTGGGTTCAGTCTCACAGCTGTACCAGGGGTGGAGTCAGAGATCAGAGTGGCAGGCGGTCGAACTGAAAGAGCTTGACATCAGCAGAAACTGCCTCTTAGACCAAGGAGTCAAAGAAATAGTTGGTGGATTGAAGAATCCATACTCTCATCTGAAAGTTCTCAAGTAAATCTAAACTCAGCTGTATTCCTTTTCACACTGATGTTGCCACATCAGAGGAACTGAACTTTATCATGCTCATGTTCTGTTTCAGCCTGTGCCACTGCAGCCTGACGGATGAATGCTGTTTAGACCTGGGACTGGCATTAGCGTCCAAGCAGAATGTGGTCACTGAGCTCAACCTCACAGGAAATGAAATTCAAGACAAGGGATTGAAGAAATTCTGCATGGGATTGAAAAGCCCTCTCTGTAAACTGGAGAAATTAATGTATGCATTTTTTCTCTTCTTTGCTGATTCACTAACAGTCTTATTACATGTAAACTCAAAATGTTTCATTCCACTTTTGATTGTCACGGCCCAGAGCTCAGAAAATGAAAAACACATCTCAAAATATTGGGCTGTTTCATTCTAAGTGTGAGTAAATTGTTATTCAGGAGCAATAAATACCACATAATTTTTGGTCCAGTCCAAAATATACAACCACAGTCATAGGGAAGACTGCTGACTAGAAATGATCAACACCCTCCACAGGGAGGTTTTGTCACAGAAAGTCATGTTTATGAAAGTAAAAAGGGGTTAGAGCAAGCTAAAGCCGCAGATTTTCTTTTTTCATCTGCTAATAAGCTCTACAGAGATGCACACTTCCTTTACCTGCAAGTCTTGCACCTTCTTTTAGTGCCAAAACTCCTACCAAATTGATTGCATGATTGGCCAACCAGTTTGCCTTCCCTAAAGCTCATAGTGAATCTGTGGGATATTTGTCAAAAGGAAGATAAGAAACAACCAACCCAAAAAATACAGATGTGATGAAGGCCGCTTTCAAAGTAGCCTGGGCTTCAGTTACACTTCAGCAGAGCCGCAGACTGATCGTCTCTATGCCATACTGCAATGATGCAGTGATTTGTGATCAATGCGCCCCAACAAAGTGCAGACTTTGAAAACGAACATACTATTTAAAAGCTGGATATTTTTCAATTTGTAATCCTGTTTTTTAACTTGGGAAATACTCGAATAATTTGTGATACCGGATTTCTTTTTTTTTTTATGAGTAATGAGCCGAAAGTTTAAGCAACAAGAAGGCTTGCTATATTCTTTGCAGGCTATGAACATAAAAATATGTTAATAAAAAATTAACTTTTTGAAATAGAATACTAAAAAATTGATTCAACACAGAAAGGTCTAAATTCACAAAAGTACAAATGCGTTTTTACAACTGAGGGTTTTGCCAACCTTCAGTAAATTCACAGGAATCATACAACACAGTTATGAATTATAAATATATAAGATTTAACTGGTAAATCCGTGAGATATTAAAAAAAGGTTATGACTGGTTAATTTCAGTCTTGGTTATTTGAGGGATAAATCATAAAAGCAACCTACAACTGCCTGAACTAAAATGAAAAGTTTGTTTATTCAGACTGAGGAGCTGTAATCTGACCTCAAAGAGCATCCAGTTCCTGACCACTGCCCTGAAGTCAAACCCCCAACACCTGACTGAGCTGCTCCTCATGGGCAACAACCTGGAAGACTCATCTATCCGAGTGCTCTGTGAACTGACAAAGAACCAGAAATATGCCTTACAGACATTAGAGTGAGTACTGAAATCCATTATTCTCCTAAATATGTATGTCACTTAGATATCTTATTTCTTTAACTTCTCTCCTGTCATTATGACACAGTCGAACAGGCTAGTAATAAGGATGTATTTTTATTCAACCCAGATTTAATGACAAGCACCGTCTACAAATGACCTGATAATTTCAAAGTGAGCTATTCATGTGATCTGTCCCACATTTTATCTTTCAGCGTCTCAGTGGACTAAGGAGAGAAGAAGAAAATACACACAAGGAAAAATAATACATAAAGTGGCTCTTAGGCTCCCTGGATGTCTACAAGCTAGTAAAGTAGCTGTTTTTTTTTACTTACTGTGTCTCAAACCAGTCTTTAGAAACTGTATCAAAGTGTAGCCAAACTAATGGGTAATGCCAAATATGAATATATCTGAGCCTTTTTTTGGTCTACTTTTACATGATTTTTTTGCAGCACATTAATTCCACTACTCTTGTAGCAGAGAGGCATACATAATAATTTAAGTCTTCTATAACCAGCCAAAAAGGAGTTATAATTTATGTGTCTGCTCATTAACTATGTGCCTACGGGATTCAAATGAGCACCACTGCAAAGACCCACTGCATAAGAGAGATTGTAAACTGTATGAGTTGTTATTGACAATGAAAATGGTGTTCTGCCTGAATATATGTCTGATATGCTGTTATAAATTCTTATGCTGATCTGGGACAGATAGGCTGAGTTGTACTATCCTTTACTCTCACTCGCTCTGAAGCTTCAAAATAACTGAAACCCGTGGCCATGTTCTCCTGAAACTGTCAGTTCACTTTAATGACTTACATTACCATCAAAGTGTTTCTTATTCTGTTTCTTTTGTTTAAACTGCTGTACAAATGTCATTTTTGTTTAAGTCACCCTTTGATTGAAATGTAATGTTTCTGCTGTGAATAAACGCCTTGTCTGCAGATCAGATTTCAAGTCATTTTAATACTTCATCTGTGTGACTTTCACCCAGACAATTTAGCAAAGTGTCAAGCTCATAAAGCCAAGCTACACGATTTTAAAATCCTTTTGCTAAATAATCACATTTTACAAACAGCCAGTTGATGGCTTACAGTTCATACATTATAGTTTATGATTAAATTTGCATGGGATGCCAATGCCGAGACAATTAATGTACCCTATGTGTAAATATTAAGGAAGTGTACGAAACATGTCAGCAATTCAGCTTTAAATATAGTAAACAAATAATTCTGAAAAACCTAATGTAGTCAATTCATTGTGTATTGTGAACAACGAAAGTTGCATCTAATGATAAGAGTCCAGAAATGATCTGTTATCAATTTGACAGTAAATGCACTGATTAGTGACATCTCGGAGAGATGCCCTCAAAATGCTAACTGTGTCAAAACAAAAGTTTAAAACAGAGATCTCTGCAGAAACTTAATTTTTTTTAAAACTCTCAAAGGCAAAGGGTTGTATTTTTCACAGCCCTATAATACAATCTGACACTTATAAAGCATATTTAAGTGCAAATTAGTCATGACACAAGGAGTTTACTTTAAAGAAATAAAGTTGACATGTAAAAATTGTATTCTTGATCAATAATCACTTTTTATGCACCAAGTGTAATCTTGCTTAGTGAAAGTCATTTTTGCATACAGTGTAGACATAATGAATATAATGGTAAGATATTGTTTTGCCTTTATTCTTCAGACTTTCCAGTTATAGAAATAAAATATTGGTAACAGGAATGAGTTTGTGGTTGTGTAGTTAACCATTTGAGTGGTAAACTATTTTCAGCGTAACAGTAAACCTGCACATTATACCAATGTCAACAGGGTTACTTTGGGCATTGAATATTAGATCCAATTAATGAAAGGTTGGGCAAGACAGTGAAGATTGTGAAGGATGGTTAATGGTAAGAAAAAAGGGCCTCACAAATATGAAGTCATTTTAACTGCTGAGTTGATTTACATGAGGTAGTTATATCAATAGAGGAGAGTGGGGTAAGATGAGCTACTTTTTATTTTTCAGATCACTACATCAAGTTAATCATAGTTTTGTCTCTAACTAGTGTATTTGCATATATTTCAAGATGTTGTGCATCCCTGCAAACCAACAGAATGAGTGTAAACATACCTGTCTTGATAATATGGCAAGCCAAAAATTTTAACATGAGAATGTCTTTAAATGATTCAGAACATTCACGGCTGTATTTTTGAAAAGAAAAAGTAACACATTTCAACGATCTGAACTGAAACTCTGATCCTCTCATCAGACTCCTTTACTTTCTCAGTTAAACAACTGACTCAACCTACCCCTGAACTACTATTATGACTTTATTAGTCCTCTAAGCTAAAATGGTGGACTTTTATGCTAGGCTTTTGACCTCATGTTGTAGCTCACAGATACCACAATTGATGTATAAAACAAATTTAAAATGGTCTTTTTTGGTCTGAACAAAATTCTAATAAAATTTATGACAGACTAAATTCACTTTCAAGAGTGAAAAATGTTTTTGGTTTTTTTTTTGGAAATAAATGTTTGACCCCTTCACCCATGTGCTTCTAACCTTCACAGACTCCATGAATTGATGCCCATTTCCTAAATATTTAGTCACATGATCAATTTCTTTTACCATTTCCAAGCAACAGGGGGTGGCTCAACTTACTCTTTGGCTCAACTTACCCCACTCTATGTGTATTTTCTACAGTAGTCAATACAATTCTGCGGGATTTAAACTATTATACACGATGGTAAAGTGCAGTGTGAGAGTGGGGACAGGTAATGACTGCTAATTTTCTGGTGCACAGATTTATTGACACTTAAAAAGGAATTATCTGTGATTTACAATAAAATCAATGTGCAGCTCATGAAACTGAAATGCGCTCTGCAGTGCATCGCTGCCTCATCCGGCCTTTTCTGTGTTATAGCAGTACTCCATCTAGTGGCTAATCTTTGTCATTTCAGCCAATGACGCTTTTGACGCCAGTTGACACAGCGATATCTGTGCTGCGTCTGTCAGTGCGGCACAGCAGCCAGCATCTCCTGTGTCAGCGCAGTGAAGGCACCTCTGAAGGAAAGGTAAGTTACGGGACATTTAACATTATTATCATAATACCTGCTGAGAGTAATTCTGTAAATATACAGGAACAAGTGTTTTCCAAATGGATGTTTATTCCAGGCACGTTTGTCAACGCTGTTATGTAAGTACATCATAGTGAGGGTCGAAATTGATAGTTGAGTGCTGTGTGGTGTCGATGTCGCGGTAATTTGATCAAGCCAAGTGCTGCCAAAAAGAGTGCAGTGGGGTGCGGATTGGCACTAAACTGGTTTGCTTATCGAAAGGCCTGTATGGCGCAGTTTCTGCAGATAAATAAATATCCAACCTGACAAACAGGCGGGAATCCTCTCTGTTGATCACCATCATCATCATTATTATCCTGTCTCTGTCTGTCACCGAAAAATAAGAGTGCTGTACGTGAAACCGTCTGCGAAGTGGATGCTGAGAAATGCAGACATTTTTAGGACGCCCTCGGTCCCGCAGTGTAATGGTCACTGCTTGTTTATTGCGGCATTGTCTTACATTAATGTATTGTCCAAACAATTTTACGACACAAACTTCTTCTGCAAGGACATCCATTGGGATAGATATAAGTTATTCATTGTATGCAGCCATGTTACCCACATACTCCATTATTATGAGAACTCCGGGTGAGGGTTGTTGTCTTTAGATACAAACCATACATTATAGTAGAGAATGGCTGACTGAAAATACAACAAATATCCTCAAGGTATGGAGCAGTGTCTGTTATTAATCCTGTAAACATAGTGACAGAATGTAACCTGACAAAGCCAATAGTCAGAGAGATTAGTCCTCTTCTTGATTCTCAAGGTGACTCAAATGTAAACAGGCAACATTTCGATGAAGATGCAGTCAGAGAAAGTTGAGCTTTGCAGTCAATGACGCTGACCGGGCAGAATGGGCGCGTTCACGTGCTGAGTGCGCGCCCGTCACAAGGGAGAATGACGTGACAGTTAACGAATGTTGAGGTCTCGCGCGCTAACTAGCTTTTAGTTCATCATCACCGAGCAGGAGAGAAGACGGTAAGAAGATTAAGCTCAGTTAAAGTATGAATTTTCACTCTAATTTATGATTGAATAGTGGGAATTTGTTGTTAATGTTTGTTTTTCATATTTTTTATCTAAAACTTTCACAAATTCCCTGAATGATTAAGCTTTTCCCCAACTTAAAATAAGCTTTAATTCCTGGAAATTAGGTGGATATGGTCGTTAAAGGGGAATGGCTTACTTTTCATGCGAACGTTTAGAAAATAACAGTGACATCTTGTCTAAATTCGTCTTTAACCTGTAAAGCACGGGCGCCAAATGCTCTTGTTCTGTGTTAAATTAAACTAGCTTGTTGGCTGGAAAGAGTACTGTAATAATATACTGCAGTAAACGTAGTTTTACTGTCATGATATTTCACTTAAATAAATGTAAAACTATCAGTTCGTTAATCTACTCCAGTATATGTAAAAGTCCTTTATTTAGACAGACTTCAGTTACTAAAAGCTCTGCTCCCCACCTTTCCTGTCTCTTTTCAATAATAAAACGTAAATATGTATATAATACTTCCTTTAAACCAGGGTGAAAGGTTACTTGTTACATTTCCCTCAAGTACTATTATTGAGTACCTTTTGTGTGTACTTGTACTAAGTGTGTTTTTCATCAGTTCATTTAAAATTTATTTCAAACATGCCAATCGCTAAACTAAACGTTATTTAAATCTTAATGTGCGTACAATAATGGACTTATACTTGACTATAGTTTTGAACTTTAACCACAATATTCGTTGTGTATTTCATTTCTTTGTGAATGTTTTAAGATGGCTTTGTAGATATCAGAAATGAACTTGTTGCAATGTTTTACAGAGTAAGATATGTTCCTGTCTTTATTGAGTAAAATGTTCACTCAAGTTCAGCACCTTTGTCATTTGTAAGTAATAGTAGATTGTTGTATTTTGTTAAAAACCAAAAATAAAAAAGGCAGAACAACAAAGTGGTATCTGCATCATATATCTGTCATCCTGGGCTTTCATTTTCCAACCTTCAAATATAACCCCTAAGTGAGCTTTTCTTCTTGTTTAAACATCTCATTACACTTGAAGAAAGCTGTATAAACAAGACATGCCAAGACAAACATAAATCGTATTTCAAGATATTTCAAGTCAAATTTCTTGATAAGTTCCATAAAGTGTGTACGACAGTCTGTTTGAGAAACTTTCGATTAAAATATTGCTTGCTGCATTGGCATAACTTTTTTTACTCATTACAGTCAGGTAAGTCCTTATTTTTTTAGTTGTAATAAAAAGTCTCTTTGCACATTGAAGTAGGCTGTACTTTTACTCAAAAACACTTTTTTTTCTTCTCCTTTTCCCTTGGTTTTCAATCTGTTGGGCTGGAGAGAGCAAGATACACACTCCAAGTCATACAACGTGATATTTTCCCCAAACAAAATATTGTAACAACTGGCAGCCTGACTGTCTGAAGTGATTTTGACTAAGCATCTATTTAGGGTGAAATTATTGAATCTTTTGGCTGTATCTTTGTCAATATTACAATTCGTTATTGCTAGCCAAAAATAAGGACCTCATGGATTGTAATGAGTGAAACGACTGCCAATGACGCACAACACTTTACTCAGATGTTTCTCAAAACAAGGTTGGACAATGGAAGCGTTAAACTTGTAGCTATAACATCCAATGCTTACATAATTACTGTTTATGCATACAAATTGCAGGTGCATTGTCTGTGTGGGTGTCTGTGAAGAGGTGATAGTCTTCCACAGGTCTGTCATCTCTGTCCCATTTATGGCAGATTGTTAATTCTTAATTCTTCCAGTATCCAGCGGGCTGAGCTGCAATGGGGAAGGAGAAACTCCACATAAACATTGTGGTAATAGGACATGTCGACTCAGGCAAGTCCACCACCACTGGCCACCTCATCTACAAGTGTGGGGGCATCGACAAAAGAACTATTGAGAAGTTCGAGAAGGAAGCTGCTGAGGTACATGACTCACACTGTTCTCTCTTGAATTTAGAGTGTAATGTTTTTTTTATGCCAGTCTGTGTAGGTGCAGTTTGCTTTGCATGTGTTACAGCACTGCAATAGTATTATGTTCTATTTAAATAGATGCTTTTTTTGAACAAGTATGCCTATCAACAGACCCACCATCCATCTGTTAAACAGAAGAGTATTCTAATTATCATGGTATTTAGATACTAACAACATAGGAGCTTCATTCAGAGATGTGGACATGTTTGATTCCTTTTTATTGTGGCAATTTGATTTAAAACAGACACTGAAAGCATGATTTCCGTAAAAAAAGTGCCAAAAATGACCATACCTTGTTTTGTTTAACACAGTGGTTTTCAAGTCCAGTCCTTGAGGCCCACTGTCCTGCATTTTTTGGATGTTTCCCTGCTCCAACACACCTGATTCAAATGATCAGCTCGTTATTAAGCCATTTCAGAGCTTGATAACGAGCTGATCATTTGAATCAGGTGTGTTGGAGCAGGGAAACATCCAAAACATGCAGGACAGTGGGCCTCGAGGACTGGACTTGAGAACCACTGGTTTAACATAATAAATTTCAGTTATGAATTGAGTCTTATCATTATTACAAATGACATTTTTTTCTTCATAAAAAGTGGTCTTTTTCCTAAAAATTAGTGTTGAAAAGTTTGGGGAGACCGTAATTTAATCAGGTTTGTCTAATATTCAGATAAGAACAGTAATACATAAAATAACAAATACTAACTGTAAAGATTTCAACGAATAAGTTCAGTGATGTGTTAAAGAACAGTTATAAAAAAGGGAATGTTATACTTCTTTACCTTTCTGTCCTTCCACATCATTTAGATGGGGAAAGGTTCCTTCAAGTACGCCTGGGTGTTGGACAAGCTAAAGGCAGAGCGTGAGCGCGGGATTACCATTGACATCTCTCTTTGGAAGTTTGAGACAAGCAAGTACTATGTCACTATCATTGATGCTCCAGGACACAGGGACTTCATCAAGAACATGATAACTGGGACTTCCCAGGTAGGCCGGAAAAATAAATGTGTTGTAGAAAGAATAAAGCTCTGAGGCAGACTGCCTCACTTCCCTCTCTTCTCACTCCCTCAGGCCGACTGTGCTGTGCTGATAGTAGCTGCAGGTGTGGGTGAGTTTGAAGCTGGCATTTCCAAAAACGGGCAGACCCGTGAACACGCCCTCCTCGCCTACACCCTTGGAGTGAAGCAGCTCATTGTGGGCATTAACAAGATGGATTCCACTGAGCCTAACTACAGCCAGAAACGCTATGAGGAGATTGTAAAGGAAGTCAGCACTTACATCAAGAAAATTGGCTACAATCCTGACACTGTGGCTTTTGTCCCCATCTCTGGCTGGAATGGAGACAACATGCTGGAGCCCAGCCCTAATGTGAGTATTAACAGAACAATCTCATAAAAGAACAAGTAGTTGTCATATAACCTGACCTCCAGCTTCTATAAAAATATTTCAGTTACATAGAAACGGTGCATCATAAGTGGGGTCTCTGTTTTTTTCTAAATGAGACCCTCTAAATTATGGGGGTGCTTTCAGTCAGGAATCTGCTGTAACACAAAAAAAAGCCACTTAACACAGACCAACAGTTGCCATTCTTCACCAACAGTTGCCATTCTTCAAACAGCAAGGAAATCAATCAATCAGTCTTTATTTATATTGTACCCAGAGGAAGTGTGTGGTGGTAGTGTGTATACACAGAGAGTGTGCTCTCTGTCTGTAGTAGGCATATGCCGATATGAAAAATTTGATATCACGATATTTGTGGCCCAAAATATCACGATTCACAATACTATCACAATATTAGCGCATTGCTTTTTACGTTATTAAAAATGGCAAAAATTGCGAAATCACTTCTCTGTCAAACAATATTTATTCTTTGACAGGACTTAAGTAAACAACAATGGCAACACCCCTGTAAACTGCCACATTACGTTACGTTAAATATGTAACGTTAAATAAATAGCCACTAGTAAATCTACAAGCTCTCAAGGCGACTCAACCGGATGTGCTGCGAGGCATGCACAGCATGACACGCACAAACAATATGAGCAAGAGGCAGCTAACGCAACATTGGGAGCATTAGCTTTTTGGAGCTAAAGTTAGCAGAAACGTCACTAACGTTGTCAATAATAAGCAGTGGAGTAGACCAAACTTGTTGCAGTCATGTTTTTTTTACCTTGATTTAGGTGAACGATGCTGGATGGTGTTCACAGAGGTGGGCACGTAGGTTTGCAATGTTAGACAACAGCGCTGCAACTTCCTTACGGCATAACTTGCAGATTGGTGTAAGGTTTACCTGCTTCGTCTGTTTTGTGAAGCCGTAAATCGTCCATACTGCCGAAGAAACCTTTTTAACAGGAGGATACAGCCGAGACGTTTCGTCATTCTCAGTCTCCGACTGTTCTTGGTCCGGCTGCATCGTTACATTGGTTGGAAGTTGGAACGCGTGCGTCAACTTTTTTTTTTTCTTCTCTAAACTGTTCACGGTTCACAGAGTGGACATGCTCCAGTGCTTTGGGTGTCCGCAATGCATTGTGGGTGGCCACACATTTTGTCATAAAATTTCTTCATTTTCTCTTTTAATGTTCCCGTTTTTGTTAGGCTGGCATTAATGTACTTAATTTGAGAGTTTGTTTTTTATTTGGAACTAGTTTTGTGGTGGTTTGTTTGTACATTTTGCTCCTGAGGCTTTGACACCGTGGGTAAGACTACAAGTGGGTTAGGTTGGGAAGAACTTGGCTTCGTTCGCCTTCGCAGAGTGACGCTGCCATTCGTCTATAAATTATAATTGTGGAACGATTATTACAGTACCCGTCGATTTCATCATCGTGGCCGTTTAATATCGCATATCGCGATTAAATTGTATATCGGCACATCCCTAGTCTGTAGGTTTGAATTTTCCCACAAAGGTCGCTTTTTTATGGACATAAATCATTGTATGTCGCTGTGAATCTCCTCGTTAATAGTAGGGTCTAGAAAACATAGAGGAACTGGGTGACATTACTGTCTCTGTTCTCTGCTCTTTGTCGTTCTGCAACAGACATTGTTGTAATGTGTCTACATTAGATGGAATAAAATGTCAGTATTTGCTAACCTTTAAACCTGGGGGTAGCAGAAACAGAAGATTCAGACAGGAGGAAGAAGTATTGACTACAGCTGCAAGCAAACCCAATCTGTGATTTTTCTGCATGAAAAATCTCAGACTGTGTTTTTAAGTTCTTAAGAGGGTTAAGTCTTTGGAAGATGTGAACGCAGCCATCCCCAAACAAGAAGGTGTGCCCCAACATAACATTGTGATTATACACATCAAGCCCGATGCAATTTTGCGACTTTCCGGGGGGGAAAAGACGCTTCCCAGGAGGAAGACTGAAACAACAGCAGACTGACTGTTTTTCAGTTCTGATTAGACACGAGTGTTGGGATGGCTGTCTGTCATGATAGCATGTAGTCGGGGCCAGTACCAGATAAGCACATTAAACTATAATCCATAAACGTAAGGTAACAACCGAGACCTAATGATGCAGTGACAGCAACGTGATTGAGTTTGAGACAGTGAAAATACATATGGTATGTTGTATCTGAACAGGTTAGCTTACGAGCTAAAGTTACTTAGCACAGATGAAAGTTAAAACAAAGACGTTTAGCAAACTGTTAAAGCACACAAACTATCATTATGGGAGAAATCCGACGCTATGACTCTCCACAAGTTATCCTTCAGGTTGTTATCTTTGTAATATTTGTGTCTTTTATCAAAAAGCACTCTGTTCTCGACACGTAAACAATCAGCCTGTCGGCCATGTTGGATATACCAGTGAATCTGACGTTACAACAACACGCAATCTGATTGGTCAGAAGTGGACACACAGTATGCGAAACTTTAGAAAAATCGACCATGATCTGAAAAAATAAATGCCACAATATCGCAGGATGGGAAAACATCACTGATGTGAATGCTTGTATTGACAGGATACAGGTTCAAAAAAAATATTGACGTCCGAAATAACCGCACGATAATAACGGTCCCGTTGTGAAAGGACCTTAAATATACATATTTTTTCACATACATAATCACATTTAAAAGATTTGCATTGAACACTGTATGCAGAGGCAAAGTGGCTGTTCAGTATTTGATTACCTGTGTCTGTTATAGTGAAGTATCACAGTAAACCTGCTTCTCCACAGATGACCTGGTTCAAAGGCTGGAAGATTAACCGTAAAGATGGTAATGCCTCAGGAACCACTCTGCTTGAGGCTCTGGATGCCATCCAACCTCCCACACGCCCCACTGACAAGCCCCTCCGTCTACCTCTGCAGGATGTCTACAAAATTGGAGGTAAGATGGTGTCAGTGTGGGTGACTGTGAAGTTAATACCTGTCAGCGCCCAACTTGAAATATGGAGGTAGGGCTGCACGATATAGGCCAGAAATAAAATCCAGATTTTTTTCATTTTTTTTTTATTCAGTGACAACCTCACCATACTTCACCAAAAAGTTTTTCTATCATCTCTCAAAACGAAACCACTAAAACGATGTAGTGCATATGCCAAGCCAGTAATTGGCGCTGTAATGCTGCCAAGGAAATGCACAAAAGACAGAAGAAGAGTACAGAGCATGCGTATAAAGGTTGTTTTAGCCGGACAGGCACAGACGCCGTAAGAGGGTTCTGCTATGTGTCACATAATCATCTCCAGAGATGCAGATAGGCATCCACATGGAGATGAAATGTTAGTCGTTTACGGGTTATGCACTCTTGTACCCGTTTTCAAAAAGTACTGTTTACAGTCACCCTAAACGCCATTTCCTTGTGGATGAAACACCTATACGACAAAAAACTTTAGCATTTACTCCTGAATTTGTTTCTGTGTGGACGGGTTGATATCGCCTTTAGACAGACTTTGCAGCGGTGAGTGGTTTGCTCTTCGTCCAAAACTGCAAAGCCATACCAATTCCACATGACTGACTTGCCTTCCCCCTTTTTAGCCACGAAATTATCGCCTTCTTTTGTGAATGCCCTGTTTGTTTCCACTGGTGTGTGTAGGAACTGGGGAGCACTCCCGCAAGAATGGGGAGCCTATGGTGGCCTGTAAGCGCGAGACATAATAGAGAGGAAAATCAATTTGACAATTTAAATTTTTTTTGACATTGTCATAATTAAACAATTCAATTACAATTCAAAATCGATTAATCGTGCAGCCCTATATGGAAGTATTTTAGTTACCAAGTTAATAATAAATATGCTAGAAAGAGTACTTTTGAAGTGAAAGCACCTTTTGATTTAAAAGAGCAGAACTGAATTAGCTATAAACATAATTCCAACTGTGTACCCTAATGCTAATGTCTGCTTCATTTCCCAGAATATAACAAACATCTTTTTAAAGTTGCAATCATCAGATAACTAAAACAAACCAGCACATTTCTAAGGTAACCGATTCTTTGCCAGGCATTGGGACTGTGCCAGTGGGACGAGTTGAGACAGGAATCCTCAAACCTGGCATGGTGGTGACCTTTGCCCCTGTGAATGTGACTACTGAGGTCAAGTCTGTGGAGATGCACCACGAGGCCCTGACTGAAGCTCTGCCTGGTGACAACGTGGGCTTCAATGTGAAGAACGTGTCTGTGAAGGACATTCGCCGCGGTAATGTGGCTGGAGACAGCAGGAATGACCCACCACAGGAGGCAGCCGGCTTCACCTCTCAGGTCTGCATACAGAATCGAATTTGATACTGACCGAAATGTCACTATTATCAGTTTTAGCATAATAAGTGTGTCTCTGCTTCTTCACATGACTTAATGTGTTGTCCAGGTGATTATCCTGAACCACCCTGGTCAGATCAGTGCTGGCTACGCCCCAGTGCTGGACTGCCACACCGCACACATCGCATGCAAGTTTGCAGAGCTCAAGGAAAAAATCGACCGCCGCTCTGGCAGGAAGCTTGAAGACAATCCCAAGTTCCTTAAGTCTGGAGATGCTGCCATCGTAGACATGATCCCTGGCAAGCCCATGTGTGTGGAGAGCTTCTCTGAGTATCCACCACTGGGTAAGTTACCTGCCCCTCAGAGAGATTCCTACACATAGGTCAAATAGAAGTTGTTTGATCAATTATTGCTGCTTTATGGGGTTTCGTTAGATCAGTGGTTCTCAAGTCCAGTCCTCGAGGCCCACTGTCCTGCATGTTTTGGAAGTTTCCCTGCTCCAACACACCTGATTCAAATGATCAGCTCGTTATCAAGCTCCGGCTTAATAACGAGCTGCTCATTTGTGTATCTAATGCATTACCCCTAATTTCCACCGCATCCGGAACGGCTCCACTGCAGAACAGTGACAATTTTGACCATTTGCCGATTCCTACCAGATATGTTTGTGAGGCAAATTTCATGGCAGATAAGAGACAGTGGGAATCGCAAGAACTCACAAGAACCTGCGGATTCACATGCAATCCCGCGATAATGAGTTGTCTCTATAAAGACAGCTACATAACCATATAAGCAGTAGATTGTGTCCTTTAAGGGGGGGAAATCCACTTCTAGATTTCTAGAATCATCACCTCCTCATCTATGGTGTTGTGGTGAAATAAAGTCTGAAAACCTTTGACTTGTTTGTCCCTGCCGACATTTGCATGGTTGGAAATATGATCCGCCTGAAACACTTAATATTTTCTTTTAAAAAGAAGCCGGATGTTTTATTTTGTGTCTGTGCCCAACTTCCCTTCCAGCATGGGCTAATCTGTGCTGAATTTATGTGGCATGCTGCGGCATCTGGAAAAAAATAGAAATCTGGCGATCGGCTGTGGAGCTTGCTGAACCGCAGCGGAATGGAAAGAGGCCAGTGGAAATTGACATTAACTTGAATGGAAATGATCAGCTGTGATCAGCACATACGGCCTTTTCGCCGCTGTTCTGGATGCGGTGGAAATTTGGGGGTAAGGGGTTGCAGGACAGCTGCGGTGGCAAAAACCTCGAGACTGGCTGTCAAATCCATAACATAGATTTCATAGTAAAACTCATACAGTATCCACTCCAAATGTAGACCATGGTTACTAAAGGAGTACACAAACCCAAAGCAAGTCAAAGACTATCTCAGATTTAAGTGACTTGCTGATGACAAAAATTAAAATGCGAGTTAGATATTACTAATAAACTAATTTTCTGTCCATCTTCCTTCCTCAGGGAGATTTGCAGTCCGTGACATGCGTCAGACAGTGGCGGTGGGAGTGATCAAAGGTGTGGAAAAGAAAGCGCCCACTAGTGGTAAGATCACCAAGTCTGCACAGAAGGCACAGAAGTCCAAATGAACGTTGTGCTGGGCTGCTGCCCCAAACGCTCACCGTGACCGAAGACACATTCGCACCCTGCACCTTCTGCACACCATCGTTAGTGTCTGGTCTATTATCACAATGCATCGCAAAAGCAGACGTAGGAAAAAACTACTGGCGCATGATTAGCGATGAACATGTTATCACTGTTATATGTCAGTTTTATTGTCACACAGTTTGTGGAGTAACAACACAACACATTTGCATTATTGCTCTCTGGTTGAGTGTTGTAGTTTGACGTAGGCAGCTTGTTCATTTAGCCTACAAAATTACTGGCTTTGGTCTAGTTTCAAGGCAGATGGTTTTTTTGTTAAAGTAACGCCGTGTTCTAGCTTTAAAATTGATATTCTAACTAGCCAGAGGTAGATTGGCTTGTTGCATGTTTGCACTTTAGAGAAACAAGCTACTGTAAACATCCAATACCTGAGATCTTCATGCGTATCACTTTGCCTGACTTCGACTTCCTGGCAGTCGCACTGTTAAATGTTACTTGTAACTCCTTTCCTGCTGTTGTTTGTGAGCATTAATTCATAAAAGTAAAGATGCTGAAACAGTAAGTCTTTGTTTTGGGTATTATTGTGAAATTAAAACCAGGACCAGTTAAGAAGCCCTCTATAGTTTTAAAAAGCAAAAAACAAACTCTTCATTGAATTTCTTTTATTGATGAATGAGAATAAAAGTTCACTTGCATTTTCATAACATTACAGGCTTCATAAATCTAACTGAGATTATTACTAGTGTGTAAATATGTGCACATAATTTAAATAAATTAAACGAGACAGAATGTTAACATGTCAAAGGCCCGTTTTATGCCCAGTAGCAAAACGATTGCTGAATCAAAAAATTAGCCTCAAGTCAGATTTACATTTAGAAGAAGAGAAGATGAAGACAGTGTAACCATTTCTGTTCAAATGAACCTAATGCACTTTTCAGGAAACTGTCGATATGGAGATGATAATGTACCACAAGAGCAAGGCACCTATTAAAAGAATGTACTACACATTTTGTAGACTTCATATCAGAAAGGAGGTCTTTTCTTTTTCCGCTGATGCATCAGTTTGAACTATAAATAGTGATATGTCTTAATGACATGGCATTCATTCTCAGTTACTAAAAGGTTTGGATATGACAACCTCTTCATGCAAAATATTTTTTAAATATCTTAAGGAAATGAAAATCCTCCTCTTAAAAGCAAAATGACCCCAAGCCGCCTTCACATATATTCTTGTTACTGAAAGGGGTCTTCAGTGAGCGATGAGGTACTGCAAGCTGATGGTGGTTACTCACCACTAAGGCGTTGGATGCTTAATGGTAGTATCTACCAGCAGCTGGGGGTGCTAAAGTCAATATCTTGCAGCTGAGAGGGAAACACTGTCCCCTACCTGATCCTCAGTATCTGTACCATGCACCAGGAATACATTCTGCAGAAAGTCCACTTTAATGAAGCCAAAATAATCCCACATTATTTTGTATGCATAAAAATTAAAAATTGACCATGATTAAAAAAAAAAAACAAAAAAACATTTTCCTTTCATGTAAAAACAGAGCAGCAAAATGCAAAGTACAATACAAAGTAAAATTTTCCAACATTTCTCTCAGTGTATCTGTTCTGAACCAAGACAAAGTGCTTTGCTAAAACACACATTTAGACGACACATCAAACCAAGTAGACATTCAAGATGAATTTATTTGTGGCTGTCATCAGCTGGAGAAGTAAGTGTTTTGTGTTTTAGTAATCTTAAAATTGGCAACAAAGTGTTCCTCTATCCATTTCTCTGGACTGTACCTCAGATCCTCCTTGTGTTGCACACAGCTGGCTTTTTGTGTAAATCAACATCTTTTGTGTAAATCAGCCTTTACAGGCGTGAATGTGCATTGAACAAACAGCACCTAGTATGACAGATGACACGGTGGACACGTGTTGTCTTACAGTTTTGGTTAGCAACAGCAGCACTGATTTCTGGCATGCCCTGGGTTTGTCTTGCTGTCCTTACCAATGAAAGGTCATGTTTATTATGTAAGATTTTTAATGTAAAATAACTCATTCTGGATATTTTGAAAATCTAGTCTTGTTCTGTCTTACACTGTCAGAGGTTTGATATGTAAATTAGGTTGTGACTTCTCTTACTGGTCTTAGGTTATCTGAGAACAGTTTGTAGAGCCTGGCTTACATACTGCTTGGTTAACGATGAGCAAGAGTGGGCCTTTAATGCAGAAAACAATGTACTGTGTGATTTTGACATCATAGTACAATAGTCAGACAAATTAATTGACGGCTGCCTCTCTGCTTAATTTCATTATTAAGCCCATTTAAGGTCAGGCTCTCAATGTTTTAACTTAATTATATAAATTTGCTAACAAAATATGTAAATGCAAACATGTTGGCTGACTATTCAAAATCCATTTTTAAGTCATATAAATTAATTCTGTAAAAATGGCTTTGTTTTTTTTTCAGACATGCACATGCATAGTTCTTAAAACTAGCTGCACATAGAAGTACAGAGTGTAGAAATGAGAATATTTAGTTATGTCTTGCAATCAGATTTTAGATTAAAACGCTTCCTGGCTCACAATTTTGCACAATACACAATTCTGTAATTGGCCACAATGAAATGTTTATCAAGATGCTAGAGGGTTAAAACGTTTCATTGTAAAATTTACAGTGTGCAGTATTATTGTAAAAATTTTAAACAAAGTCATTGGTAGAATACTGCCATTGCAGAATATATGGATTTAACATTCACTTCACTTTAGAAGCGTGTTATTCAATCAGATTATTTAGATGTGCTTTTGTTGTATTGAGGAAAAGTAACCAGATGGTGAAAATGGACACGATAAGTGTTCACTAACTGTGAAGCTAAAAGGGTTAGAGCTCCCTCTTCTGGAGGTCTGCAGTATGAGACAGTAAGCCGCACTGCCTACTCCAGTGCTGCGTCCGAACTGCCCGCTCGGATACTACATGCTACTGCTACGTGCTACTGCTAGATCCTACTCCTACATACTAAAAACGTTGGCCCAATTCGGACACACTAGACGAGCGGTGGGGAAAGACGACCCCCGCAGGCAGAGAGTAGGTACTGCGCCCGTGCAGACAGTGGTAACTGAAGCCCCTCATCTGCGGGCCTGGCTGTAGTACTGCAGCTGTGCAGTTTAATGATGGAATAAGTGAGCTTTACCTCCATGATGTCGCCACTTGCTCATAAAATGATTACTTGGGCAAATATGACACCATGACATAACAAAGAGATACAACCGCACATTTTTTAGGACAGTGTGTGAAGTTACATGAAACTTACATCTGTACTGCAGCGGTCCCGCCTGCTGCTGCTGCTCCGACATGGTGCGCGCTGCTGTGGCCAGCCGGCGTTCGCGACACTTTTAAATAGGCAGAGCAGCTGGTGGCGCTAGCATCACATGCGCTTCTACAATTTTTAAGAGGACGAAGAAGAAGCCCGCGGTGCATTTTGGGTCAGTAGCATGCCCGTAGGATGCACCGAGACCAACCTACAATGTGGGCGTGTCTAGCATCTGAAGTAGTATCTGAAGTAGCATGCTACTCGCTCCGGTGGCCAATTCGGACATGCTAGATACTACTTCGACTACTACTTCGACTACTACTTGGCAATTCGGACGCAGCTCATGTTAACAGATGGGATATGGGTTAAAAGCAACCAACTCTTAAACAAGAGTTATTTAACTTTTCACAGCCGTGCATATCTGCTAAAAATCAACACAAGAATCTTTTCTATTGTAGATTATACCGGCCTGAAGGATCTTCAATGTTTCTTTGGTAAATTCAATGTGTTGTGGTTTGCTGAAAAGGTGGGGCATCTGTCCTGCAACTTTACAAGCTAGATTGCTTTAATGCAATCTCAATAGACTGAGAGGAAGTGATGTCCATTTAATGAAGAGTTAATGGTCTAGACCAAAAGAGACAGTAGCTATTGTCGAAATGCAATCATTAAATGTATGCATCACTTAATATCTGACAAGAATTTATCTTTGTATTCATGTCTACAAACAGACATGTTCATCAGAGTTCAGATAACCTGCTATACATGTAGTATCTTAACTCCATCACCACATTGTGTCCCAAATTTCTTTTTGGACTGTAAACAATCTCAAGTAAAGGAAAAAAAAAGGCTTAAATATGGCTTATCTGTTATCAGGACTTTCAAGGTTACCTGAAATATCGGCACTTGCCATAAAGACTTAATTGTTGATGGAAAAGAAAACTATATGCTCATCAAAAACCAATCATAAATAGTGTTATTTAAAACTATGGACATGAAACTTTAAAACTACAAACAAAATTAAAGCCATTCCTCAGCCCCTAATGTGAGAAAAATGTAAAGACCAAGAATGAACTAGGGCCAGCGGGAGTCAAACTACTGCAAATGTCTTGTAGGTCACATAGTCAGGAAGCTTGTCTAGAAACTGATGATTTTTCAGGGTATTAGCCCAAGAACATACTGGTGCCTTCTTTTTGCCGGGTATTCCGGTTTTAAAAAAGCATTCATTAGGACCACATATTATTTCTGCCTGTTTAGTCCACTCCGTACAATAGTTGTTACATTTTTCTCAGATGTCCATGCCTTTTAAAGTTTTCAAGTGTAAACCCCTTTTTTTCTGTCTTTTCTCAGTACCTTTGACTAAAAACATGCAACGCTCATGCTGTGTCTCAGAGTCTCCTTATCACCACCAGTCTTTCAGGACAAAGTTTGGTTGGCAAGTTTCAGTTTTCTTCTTGTCTATTATGCAAGCCTTCTTCTTCTTTAGATTCAAATTTTTTAATCATACTCAAAAACAAAGAGCAACTCATGCAATGATATGCCACATGTGATCAGCCTGTATGAAAATACTGTGATTTTTATCAAATGGATCAACATAAAAGTAAACAAAATAGGACCCCCTTGTGAAACACCCACCCTCCCACTCCCCTCCAAACAGGATAAAAACTGTCTTTGTGAGGTGAGGTTTGCGTGCCTTCTGACTCGTAGGCAAGTTTATTTTAGCCGGACATGCGGCATGTTCAGCAACTCGGTGCTGCCAGCAGAGGGCGGAGTTGCATGGCCACTGGCCAGGCTACTGTTAGAGCCCCGGGACCCTGCCCCTGATCTGCTCCCTGTCCTCTGGAGCTCCAAGGAGTAGGAAGGGGTCTCAGCAGTCCCTAGTGACAGGAAGTCAAATCCCTGCGTCTCCATCTCCCTGTCACTGATAAAGAGGTCCTCCTCACCCCATCCAACCCCACCACTCCTGCTTAGATTTCCACCACCACCCCCTCCTCCCCCGGGGTCTTGGCTGCAGCTGTGGAAACCAATGGGGGAGTCACTGCATGTACTGGGACTTGGAGATGAAAGACTGTGGCTGTGGTGGGCATCCTGGACAGCTCCTGGAGCTGCCTGCATCAGGTCCTGCACTGACATGGACTTCCCCAAGCTACGGTCCACTTTGTTGGGGCCAGAGCAGCAGCCCAGGGTTGGTGGCACCAATGGCTGCCCACACCGGCTTGGAGGGGGAGGCGGTGGAAGTCTTGCCAGAAGAGGAAAGCCCCCATCTGTTACGCCTCCACCACCCCCACTGCTGATACTATTTGGTGTGAGGAGCGGGGAAGCGCTCCCCACGGCCTCCTCTGTGCCACTTTCAGGTGTGGTTGCTTGAGCCTGGCTGTGGTGATGGCGCGGATAATGTGGATGATGATGGTGGTGGTGGTGGTGATGGTGGTGAGGCAGAGGGGATGGGCTGAAAGAGGAGGATGCAAGGTTGGAAGGGGGTGTTGAAGAGGAAGCATTGAGATTAAGGTTGAGCTCATTGGGTGGTGCAAGGATAAGATGAAGTCCACCCTTAGAGAGATGAGGGTTGGTGGAGGATCGTGTGACGCAGCCACTAGAGGGTGGTGCTCCACTGCTGCTGACTTGGGTGGAGCAGGACAGGTCCTTGCTGAACACAGGGGAATGGTAGTCAGAGGTTTGGTCAAGCTCAAACAGGGGCAAAGAGGAGAGCGTGAGGGCTGAAGATGAACCTTTACGCAAAACCTGACGATAGATGTCGAGCAGGGAGTCGAGCTTTGACTCAATCGACTGCACCTACGAAGAGAAAAATAAGGAGGGTGAATAAATTTAGAAACTCAAGAGTGCAAATCCATGCATATGGATTTCAAATCCATGTGCCTGGACTTGCACATGGCTTTTTTTAACTTAAAGTTTTGCTCCTGGCAACCAGGGAACTTTGTACTTGTGTTTCATGTAGAAGCCTAACCGATTAGTACACAAGTGTCATATCACATCAATTTAAGTTCTCTAGAGTGTTTGTTGACCTAATTGTGTTATTTACCATTTATACAGAAGCCCTGACAGGCAGGTGAAAAAATAAATTTCCTAAAAATTTTGCTTTATGACCCACAATATAAATACTTTTTCAATCTAATCTAAAAGTAGTTTTAGTCATATTCAGGTGCAGCCAATATACCAGCATGTACAGCTGGTTTTGCATTTTCTCCTGCACCTTCTTGCACATATGTACAGCTCTCCATGGCAAATTTTAATATTTTTTCTTTGGCTAAAAAAATAAATAAAACAATAAAACTAGGAGGAGCAGATATGAATAAATGTATTGCCACAGACTGACCAGGATGACTAAACACCAAACTTATATTCACACATATATATATTTTTTTAATCCCTGATAATGAAGTTGACCATACTTGAAAGCAAAAATATGATTGCTGATGATGTTCAGATGATACAAAGATGATTTCATCACAACAAGTGCTGATTTGTCTAAAAGGATTCAATTCCAGGCAGCAGGTGACCAGCAGTAGTTGGTAATGCAGTTTTATGTTAACTGGTCATGGGCAGCAGACTTGTATCAAAATTACAGCCCTGAAGGCTGAGCTCAACTATGGGTAGCTAGAAAGACTGTTAACTTCACATGGTGAAAATAGATAGCATTATAGCTAGTATAATAGTATTTTTTCCATCTTTACAGATTACAAAAAAGTCTGTATTTTATCAGAATATTTTATCAAAACAAAGAACAAAGACTATAGTTTTTATGAAGCACGTGTCACCATATAGTTGCAGCCTTGCAGTTTTTGTGTGCCTTGCTTGGGAAACAAAATTCCCACATTCCCACAAACACAGACTGCACCTTATACACTGGTGTAAATGATACTCTTGATTTATTAGTATTTTTATGATGTCTAACTCTGAGTTACACTGTTTTAACATTAGATGTGACTTTGTAAGCATGAGAGTTATCTATGAGTTTTTAATTATTTCTCGTCATCTCTGAGACTGATAAGAAAATTAGGTTTTGCTGTGTATACACAACTCTTTGACTTCTGTTAAGGTTCTTTTCCTGCTGGTCAAAATAGGTTTTAAAATCCCTTACTGATGTGAAAAGACTTCTTTGTTGTCTGTTTGAACAGGTGAGCACAACATGGGAAACAGATGTTTCTTTAAGGACTTGTTATACTCAATTTGGCCACCAGAGGTTGATGTGCGCCGTTATTTCATGCTAAACGGGCTGAGAGAGTTCATGTTTTCTTTTGCACGAGTTTTTATCTCGCCATGCACTCTAAACATACCTCATTGTCATAACATGAACACAAGCTGTCTCACATTACTGCCATGTATTTCTTTGGCTCTAAATATGGTTTAATTAATGAAAATGGAAAAAGAAATGTTGACAGAAGCTTTTTAAAAATAAATACTGGAAAGAAAAATAGTTTAAATCAGATCCAAGAAAATAATTAACATGGTTTTGTTATCCTAAATACTTCATTTTGGCTACCTCCATGAAAGGAATGGATCTGTGACAAAAACTAGTGTTTGTAGAGGTGATGCATGCTAATCCCCTGATTCAGAGACTCAAGCGTACATTATAGAAAAGTAAGACACAGACCTGCCGCTCCACCTTACAGACACGGCCCAGCATACTCATATCTTCTAAAATATCCCCATCAGACAGCAGCTTCTCTCGAATCTTCTTATCCAGAGGGATCTGGCCTCTCCCAAGGATCTGGTCCACTCTGCAAGACACACACACACACACACACACACACACACACACACACACACACACACACACACACACACACACACACACACACACACACACACCACACAAAAAAGCACATGCAAAAAAAAGAGGACATTAATAAAAGGAAGGACAGAAAGTGACAGAAGAGCTCAATGCGGCAGCACACAGAAAGGAGGAGGCTTCAAACTGAAACAGAATAAAGGATGATCCATTTCTAACAATGGCAGATAGAGAGAAGTTATCCTTCCTCACTGGATTATCAAGGAGCCATCCACCAAAAATGATAGGATGTGTGCACATGTTAAAGGGAATCAAATGGTTCAGACATCACACTGTCTCAAATTTATGCAGAAAAAATATTGAACAGTTGCTCAATCCAGTGAGTTCAAGAAGAAGGTGGGTAAATAAGTCTCTGTCTTTAAGTGGAACTCCAGTATTTTTTAACCTCTGCCTCATTTTTGTATTTTGGGATCTTAAAGACTGATGGATAAGCCAGTTTTTTAGATGCTCCAGTAGACTTTCCTAAAACAACTGCAAGACAGACTGTTATTTCTGCAACTTCAGATTATTTGTCTATGTGCTGGTTTAAAATACATCTACTAAAAAGGTTGTTTTTGTTACTGACAGGCTCACATCTTTATTGTAACTGTATCGTAGTATGTTCTGTCTGAAATACTTGATCCTGATTAGAAGTAACCTCCAAAAAAAAATCACATATTGTTATTGATTCTGAATAGTTTCTCAACACCCCAAAAACTGCACTGGGGACACCCTGATGACACACTTAATGTTGAATCAGTTTGCAGAAAGAGGTCCATTATATTTCACTTCTGCCTGCTTGCACTGGCACAAACAAAAACAAAAACATTAGTGTCTGTTTCTGGTGAATATTGTATCATAAAAATGTTAGTTTCTGTCTCAAACTGGTCTTCAGAGTACAGGCACAGATGTACAAGAAGCCTGAGCAGCTACTGGACCTTAACTGTCTCTGACTGGGAAAAGCGAAAGCAACGCCTTGTCCTGCAATTCATGCAACAGAGCTGGTGAGTGCATCTATAAGTTGCCAAACGCTGTAAAATAGCTTAAATGAGAGGTAATAACCATGAGTGGTTATGATAACAGCCTCTCTTGTTTTGTAACTGAGACATTGTTTAACTGCATCAAAAAGTCACACACTATACAAACCACTCACTGGTAAAGGTAGAGGTACACACTTGAAATAACAATGTAAACCTGTCAGTGGCAAAAACAGTCTTACAGGACAAACTCTCTGATTAAACCAGAAGTCACAGTGCAGCTGTTACATGCTGTCTCGTAGCAGTCTACAGGGGATCCAAAGGTTTTTGTGCATTGTTGTAATTTAGACTCTACATAAAGGGCCGAGGTTTAAAAGTACCTGAAATCCTCTTAATTAATAGGGTTAGAGTCATCAAAGGTAGTGCATGCAGTAATATCATCACCAACATTTCTGATAACTGAAAAAAAAAAGAGATTCCCAAATCTAGACCTGGTTCATTTTTTTCCCTTTTTGTTTAACTGGTTGGCCAAAAGCCGAAAAAAAACAAAAAAAAAAAACATACAATTTTCATTTAACATTAAGAAAACTTTTTCAAATGTTTTAGTTTCT